GGTCTTGAGGCGTTGTTGTTTCTTCAAATGTTGCATGTACTGAATGTATACCTTCCAGTCGTTCTTATTCTCGACCATTTGTTGTTCGAACAAGTGATTCAATAATTGTTGGACTCGAGAGTAATAGGTTGATTCTGAATCGGTTTGAGTCTGTTCTAATTCATGAACTTTCTTGGTGAGATGATTAAGCATCATTTGATACACTTGATGATCATTTGGAGGTAAAGAACCAATTAATTTTACCACTCGATCCAATTGTTGAAATCCTTCATTTGTGAAAATATTCATGTCATCACCACATGCAAACCTCTTGAAGAACAGCTTTTTCATTTGAACACTATTGAGAGTATTCTTAATGGAATCCACATGCATTTGATAAATATAGTCTTTAGAGAATGTTGAATTGAAGCTTTCAAGATGTGGCAACAAATTCTTATAAAATTCAATCTTACTCTCATTCTCGATTGATTTGACTCCATTTGTGCATTTGCATGCATATTCAATAGAATCCTTTGAATAATTCGTTAACTCTAATAGCAAGATTAAACACTGGACAAAGTCATTCGAGTCAATGTTTCTTAATTTTTCTAACATGACATGACATTGTTTCAAAATTCCAATCACAACCCTCGTATGTACCTCTCTCTGATAAGATAGTAAAATATTTGAATAGATTAATAGAGTTCTAAATGATAACAAACTACATTGATTCATCTTGTTAAATACTTGATGAATTCTATTAATGAATGAAACATCACCACTCAATTTAAATAAATCACTTAATAATAGAATATAATAGTGATACATGAGAGTAGTATGACACACTCGATCACAAATATTGTCCATCACTGAGAGAATACTTTCATAATCAGATAATGAAGAGGATGGGCTATTAGTAGTAGTAGTAGTAGCAGTAGTAGTAGTAGTAGTAGTAGTAGTACGATTCGTGTTCTTGTTACTACCATGTGGTGTTAAATATTCTAATTTAAATTTCACAATGAGATAGAGACATTTTTCATCACTTCTATAATTTTTCAATAACACATCGGAGAGAATGTATTGAATCATGTTTGGAAAGAAAGTTGATCCTTGATGAGTGTTAATGTTTTCATCCTCTTCATCATTCATTTCTTCGTTCTTTTTCTTACAAGATTCTTTCCAATAAAACAATAATAGTTTCAAAATACTGAAAAAGTGTTCATAGTGAATATCTTGAATACTTTCTAACATGGTATTAAATATTGTTGAGAATTCATCATATTCTTCCTTAATTAATTTCAGTTTCAATAGTTCCATATTTAGAAATATACCACTGTGAGGAATGGCCTTAATACCTTTCTTTAACACCTCCATACTATTATCAATAGCTTGGTTGTATTCAAATTCAAATTTAGCATAGAGTAACCATAACTGTTCTTGGTTCGAATGTTTGGACAGGACTTGATCGAATGCAGCATTTGGTTTCAATTGATACTGCACACAAAAATCAATATAAGATTTAAATAAATAAACTTGAGTACTAAATTTGGAAATACCAATTTTGAATTGATTATACGGAAATTGCAAATGAATATTAAACTCATTATTCTTCTTCTTTGAGAGTTTTAGTCTTGCTTTAATCAAAGTTAATAAATTCAATTCAAATAGCATATGGCTGAGGTATGGATGCAATAAATCCTCTTTTGGAAGTGATGAGGCTAACAAGTATAAATAGTCTGTTCTCTTTTGAACAATTTTAGCAATTTCATCATTGGTCAATATATTCTTAAATTTTAATTCGTTGAGAGAATCTACTTGGAGTTCCAATTGTTCGGAAATGAAAATTTGTTGTTCATTCATGATAATGACGAGTTATAGTGCTGAAAGAGAGTATGTGTCGTAGTAGTTTCCGATGAAAATGTCTTCAAGATGTTGTTGGAAGGATGGTGTCAAAAACAATCGTGAGAGAGTCCGATGAGAAGGCCAGAGAGAATTTGATGTTCAATTTTTTTTTCGAAGCCATTCTCAAAAAATGAATAATACTCGTTGGTTCTTGGTGATGAGGAAAGCATCGTCATTCAACCATGCATGTGTTCTCCATCATCAGGGTCCCATGATGTATCGATCCTTTTCATATTGCAGACTGTCATTGACATCTTTGGACAATGATCAGAACCAATCTCATTCCGACAAGAGGGATACTACTGCTTCCTCTCCACCATCCCGCAATACATTCTCTCACCTTTTTCAGAAAATATTTAAACTCTATCAATCCCTTACAAATTATTTATTCAAATTTCAAATGAATTATACCAATGTATTCTTTTCATCCTACAATCGAGATTTATCTCCATATTTTAGTGATTTAAAAAATAAGAATAAGATTTCAACTGGAAATACCTATGAATCAATGACTTCTGGAAAATTTGCTCAAACTAGAAAAGATTTGGATTTAGATAATATGGAGAGTTTGGAACCTCTTTTTGAAAAAGATTTATTTTTATATTTTGTATTCAAAAATCATTTATTAGTGAAATATTTAAAGTTATTAGCATTTAGAAAACAACATACTGAACTAGACACAAGTGAATTCCACTCTTTTTATGAATTGTTTACTTCTCAACAATGTTATAAAGATTTTATGAAACATGTACAATTAGAGGATCAGTCATTCCAGGTTGAAAACATTCAAAATATCGATATCATTAATATTCAAAATAATATAGTAGATGATTACATCCAAGTATTAATAGATATTGAAATGTATAATTATTCCAAAGATGGAACATACTTTTATTCAGTGTTCTATATTGAAAAGAAATATCCATTGAATTATGATTCACACCAAGAAAAAAAACCCAAAGATGAATTAGAGGCTTTGAAGCATTTCATTTCAGGATGGAAATTCTCTCGAGTGCCTCAAATCATGAAACTTGAATCGTAGATCAAGCAACAATTTCAATTGGTCTTTGTTTCATGAATTGGATATAAAAAAGATGGTGGGGCGTTTGAATACTGTATTATGCAACAAGTTCAACTTTTCAGCGTCAATAAAAATGAGTTCAACAACAACCACCACGAGCAATAATCCAACATCCTCATCGTCGTCAAGAAAACCCCGAGAAAATATTCTTGATTTATCACAATATGTATCTAAATCTGTGCTTGTCAAGTTCATTGGAGGAAGAGAAGTTTATGGAATATTACGAGGCTATGATAATATGATCAATGTAGTATTAGAAGATTGTTATGAGTTTATTCGGGATTCACAAGATCATCATAAAAGAAAATTAGATGAAAACAACAAACAGTTTGTCCGAAAGCTAGGAATTGTGATATGTCGAGGAACATCATTGATGCATCTATGTCCTGTTGATGGAACTGAAGAAATTGAAAATCCTTTCGAAGAAGATGAAGAATAAATTATTACTGATTATTATTCACCCAATACCGATAAAAAATGCTCAACAAGGTTCTTCAACGCAACACCTCAACTCACATCAAGCCTTTGATGAAAAATTTCTTGTCCCAACCGTCATCATTTGGAGGTTGCCTTCTATCTAACAAATTAGGAGGATCTTCAACTTGTTCATCATTCCATACCACTTTGAAGACTGGGGTATCGGATCGTGAAACCGAATGGGAAAGACAACACAGAGAAAGAATGAGAAAACAAGAACAATTGTGGAAGGAATCACCTGAGAAATTGATTAGATACTTTGTTGAATTGAAATTCCTCAAAAATTGGAATAGAAGCAAAGTACTCATGTTACTTGTATTTTCATTTGTTGGGTATTATGCCTATGATAAAATATCCGGTCGTCATGGATTAGCCTCTGGTATTTATCAATTATTAAACGGACCAAAGAAAGGAACAGGAGCTGTTATTGAAAGTGACCCACAGGCCGATCAACAACCAACTGATGAAAGTGCTGCTACATCTCCAAAACAACAATTGTTGGACCGTATTGATCCATCACGCATGAGATCATTTGCTTATTTGGATGTAGAACATTCTGACTCTCGCTTTCAAAATGTCATCAAGGGACGTATTATTATTGGGTTATACGATAAAGTAGTTCCTGTAACCAGTTACAATTTTGCTAAATTATGTGAAAGCAAGGAGTTGAAAGGAACCATTTTCCATCGTGTGATTAACAAATTCATGATTCAAGGAGGAGACACAAAACAAGGAACAGGAATGTCAAGCGTTCCATACATTGGAAGAGCAACAGATGCCTCTGTATCAGAAGAGTTGAAGAATAAGATTAATGACATGCTGATCAAAGATGCTCTGGGAAATGTCATTCAATTTAAGGATGAGAATTTTGACCTCAAACACAACGAACCATATTTGGTGTGTATGGCAAATAGAGGTCCAAACACAAACGGCTCTCAATTCTTTATTACCACGGAATCAACACCACACTTAGATAATAAGCATGTAGTATTTGGCAAGGTTTTGCAAGGAATGGACATTGTGGATCAATTACAAAGAGTTAGAACCAGTGCACGTGACAAACCCATTGATTCTATCAAAATTGTTGATTGTGGTGTGTTAAGTGTGGATGATTTATTGTAGATGAATAAGAAGAATGGAAATAATTTTGCAAATAAAACGTGATCGATTTGGAAATCTTTCATCACCACAAACTACGCCATAAGAAAACTGCCAGCGAAAAAATTCGACTCAAAAAGGCAAAAATTTTTTGACAACGAAATGCAGAAACTCCGGGATTGGTTCAGAATCTTGTAAAGTTTTATTCAATAGTGCTGTTTGTTCATTAAAACTGTCCTCCTGATTATGACCACACCTATTGTACCAAAGCCAGTTACTAAAGTTTCGAAAGCAATTCTCTTCAGCCTTTCGTTATACAAGGATTGGTTGATTGTTGATGATAATACTCACATTCACCGTCATTACACCGTTCAACAAGTTTCTCGTTACACGATAAAAATCCATCTTTTGTACTGATCACTTGGTATCTAAGTTACATCAAAGTTGTTCCACGGTGTTGCTGTGTAATCGTTGTTTAGGTGTGTGATTTAAAATACTGGACCTCATCTTTTGGTGAAGGCATTTTTTTTGGAGTGAAAATTAATGTCAACTTGAAAAATTAAATTACAACAAAAAGCAAAAACTCTTGTTCTTTGATTTAATAACAGCATCTCCTTGGAGCTTAATTGAGAGAAATTGAGATCAGCATTATCAATAATATTTTTCAATTTGTTTTCTGTGCTCGGTGGACCTCCTCGCTTTTGTTTTATGCGAGTGAAGCTAGCTTATCGACAAAGTAATTGTTGTATTTTGTTGTGTGTTTGAATGTTGGTTTGATTGGTTTCATGTTGTGAAGGTTGAGATGATAATGTGTTCGGATTGTCAAGGTTATGTTGGATTGTGGAGAAATTATGAGAAGATTGTGGATAATAGGATTGATGATTTTGAAATAAATGTTCACATCCTCCATATTGAATAGGGATATTCTGATAGCTCATTGAATTGGATTGGTTTGGTTGTATCAGATAAATTCTTTCGAAAGATGGTGTGATGTTCTTGGTGAATCAAAAGAGCCGGGATTAATGCTACTGAAACCGGTAGATGACGGTGATTGCACATTGAAAGAAGATAATGGAGAGGAACACCATGTGTGGTGATTTTGATTTGAAAGTCCATATGATTGACCTTCAAAAAAGTTGTTGTTAGATGTGGTTTGGTTTGTGGACGGTGATGAAAAGTTTCAATTTGATGACATTTTTTGTGATTTAGAGTGTATTGAGGATTGAATTCAATTGTTTTATTGTACAAACTCGAATTCTTTGTCAAACTTGAACGACGTCCACACTTGATTAGTTTCCACATTACATGTGAGAGAAATGTATACAATTTTCATCTTGTGTTTCGTAATCTTCTTTCCGAATTTACGTGTAAGACGTGAGTGAGTAATTTCCAACTCAGACCAATGTTTGCATTTGTCTAAAGGAGGAACACTGTCAGTAAATCTGAATTGAATGCACTTCTGTCTCTTCTTTAGGCCATTCCACAAAATGTCTTGATACCATTGGTAATATTTAGCCTTTGTTCCCCTCAGAGCAAGATAAAACACGTTTGGGTTGCAACACCCAACCGTTTCATGGCTGATGGAGTTTGAACATCTCATCTGTAGATGTTGATAAATAATATTTCTTGCACATTTGGCGAACTGTTCCCATATAATTCCATAAATTTGTTTCTTCTCATCTGGTACTTCTTTAAAGGAATTATATTTTGGTACAAATTCAAACAGTCCTTTCTCTAAAGTGAATTGATATTCCTTGTGAGTGTCTTCAGCAGCTTCATCTGTGGTTCTTGATTTTCGTTTTTTGCTCTGTTGGGAAATATTGTCATCATCACATTTGTTGTTTGGTGTTATCGTACATTGTGTCTCATCAACAATACCAGAGAAGCTGCTTGTGCTAGGCAACAGACAGCAAGGTGGAAATGATATAGTTTCGTCTGTGAAGATCCATTCCTGAACAAGTTAAGCAAACACATTGTAACAAATTTGAAACATACTGTAGAGGTAGTCATTACTGGTGATGATGGGTGAGAAGGGTTCATTTCGATGCTTGATGATGAAGGAATCTTGTGAAATATGTTACTGCTGAATACTGGACAAACATAATACTTACATTGTTCGTACTCTGGTTCGTTGTGGATTGGCTATCCAATGCTGGTGATTCATTGGCCTTGATAATTGAGATCAATACAAGGTGAACGATATTCACTAGTACTTACGTGATTAGTATTTGTTTCGCAACTCGAATCACAATCAGAAACACCAAGCTGAGGTAAAGATTAGTGTAGGTGTTGAAATTGTTGTTTGATGATGTTGTTGTTGTGGTAATAATCAATTACTTACACAGTATAGAGGCACAGTGCCCTCTTCAATGACCACTAATTCAGCTTCCATGTTGTGTGTGTTGTTGGTGTTTTTTTTGTGTGAGAAGCAGAAAACAACACCACAGACCAATCACTCCCACCACAAACTACGCCATAAGAAAACTGCCAGCGAAAAAATTCGACTCAAAAAGGCAAAAATTTTTTGACAACGAAATGCAGAAACTCCGGGATTGGTTCAGAATCTTGTAAAGTTTTATTCAGTGCTGACGTTCGTTCATTAAAAGTGTCCTCCTGATTAAGACCACACCTATTGTACAAAGCCAGTTACTAAAGTTTCGAAAGCAATTCTCTTCAGCGCTCATCTCTCGTTCTCTTCCCACAGAAGAACTGTCCTATACAAGGATTAGTTGATTGTTGGTGATAATACTCACATTCACAGTAATTACTCCGTTCAACAAGTTTCTCGTTACACGATAAAAATCCATCTTTTGTTGTACTGATCACTTGGTGTCTAAGTTACATCAAAGTTGCTGTGTCATCTTAGTTTAGGTGTGTGATTTAAAATACTCGACCTCATCTTTAGGTGAAGGCATTTTTTTTCGAGTGAAAATCGATGTCAACTTGAAAAATTAAATTACAACAAAAAGTAAAAAATTTAATTTAATTTTTAACAAAAAATTTATTACACATCACAACTTTGGGAAAACATGTTCATGGCATCGCTTTCATCGTCGTTGTCATTTGCATTGTCCTTGCCATATTGAACGTTTGAAATTGGATCATATTTGGAGGTTATTTCATGTTCTTCGTGATCTTCGCATCGGGTACACACTTCGGAGAGAGATTTCCCTGGTACAAAAGACAACAAGGCAACATTTTCCTCTTGGAATGAGAAGATCGGGTAGGGTATTGCAAGAAATTGCTTGTACTTCTCATTGTTTCGTTGCCTGTTTTGAAAGGGAATTTTCAAATCTCTACATACCATGAGTCTCCTAATTTTCGGAAGCATGAACTGGATCAAACTTTGATCTTTACATGTCGGAAACATTCTGTCCAAATAATTATACTTTCCTCCATTGTTGGATGTGTTTTTCATACGCCTTTCATCATCAATGTGTGCTCCTTCGAATCCCTGTGTTTCAAAGTGAACCAAATTTCCGTATACTTTGATTAAAGGAATTACATGATGGAATAGAATATGCATATACCAACTTTGAGAACCACTATCAGTATAAAGAGATTGAACCACTTCTTCCATCTCATTTAGCTTGAGTTGAAGGTTATTAAGTTCGGATTCAGAAAAGGATTCATTTTGAAGTAATTTCAACACATTTCTAAATTTGCTCATTAATGTGATATATTGAGGAACGATTACCTTACGTAATCTTCTCAAATTGCTTAAAATGGAATTAACTTGTTTTCCGGTTAAGTAACACTTCAACTTTTGTCCTTTCTCAGTTATTTTGAAATTATTGAGATTTGGAATCTTGCGAATGATCCTGACAATAGTTTCTCGTTTGTTGCTCGTCATTATTGCATCAATTAATATTCTTTCCATTATTCGTTCTTTCATATGGAGCAAACAGATGACAATTTTGAATGGACTAACTCCGAGCAGACAACCCAACTGTTCTTTGCTTCTAGCGAGGTGAAAATGGTCACAAAAAGTATTCAATGTATTGCAATATGGACACATTTGTGAAAATTTAAGATTAGAGATACGCTTTAACGAAAGAAGATCTGTTGTGACACAAAAATCCACCTTGTGATTTACTCCATCAACATCCACCCCATGACATGTCATCGATTCAATCATTACTCGAATAATTCCAGTTATTGCTCGAAGTTGATTTTCTTTTCCCTTCCAAACAGCCACAGGATGGACTGCTTCTCTTGATTGAGGACTCCCAAAATTTTTCATATTTAATGGAGCGCATGCGAATGTAACACGGCCTTTAGATCCATCGAGATTGAGTTTGAACCACTTAATTTTTGTTTTCCAATTTTTATCCTCTTCGTTGAGATGAGCAGCTAATTCCTTGTCTGTTGATATTTGTTTTACCCATTGTACATATAATTCAATCATATATTTAACTAAAGAATAAAGGCTGATGAAAAAAATATTTTCATTCTTCTCATGTGTCCCTTTAAATTCAATTAAGGCCTTAATACTAACTACAGATTGAACTGATGACATACTTGAGAGAGGAGTGGTTTTGGAGCTTGAAGATGACACCAGTTCCTTATATTGAGTGTTACTGATTTTGGCTTTGTCTTTCGCTTGGATATCAAGTAACTTTTTCCGTACTACTCGCAACTTTCGTTTTGTCACTTTTTTTCTTTGATTTGTCTCTTCACTCGATGAAGAAGCATCACTTTGCGAATAATCATCGTCCTCCCAATCCATTTCATCATCGTCATTTGAGCTTGTTTGTAGAGCTACACTACTGCTTACAGGTTCTTCTTGTGAGATTGTTGATGTTGTTTCATTAATTGCTTCACTTGATTGATGTTCTTCATATTCATCAAAATTTTCATCGATTTCAGAACTAATTTCAGATGAAACAGGATCATCGAGATCATTTGGGTAATCATTAATGGCAATAGGGTTTGTTTTTTCTTGTTTGTTTAGATACATTTCGATATATGAGTCATATTCTGGTATTTTTTTGTTTGTGACTAATTTTCGAACTTTCGTGTCAATGTCATCATAATCCTTTCGTTTGCTTAATGTTCGATAAACAATATCGGGAAACATGTCAATCAATAGATCGAAAAATTCAGAGAAATTTGAAATTCCATTATTATACAGCAAAAGTTCGATTCCGCAAAGTAATGATCCGAGCTTGCTTTTTGTATATTGAGATTTGTCTTGTTCAATCATACTTTTGGTTGTTTTTTCACTGCCTTTTTTACATGTCAACAACAACTTCCCATTAGATTTCGTCTCTTTTTCGAATTGATGAAATTCTTTCTGCATCTTGTCAATAGATGGATTTGCAATATTAAAATGTAATGAGTTACATATCGCAAAACTCTTGTTCTTTAATTTAATAACAGCATCTCCTTGGAGCTTATACTGAGAGAAATTGAGATCAGCATTATCAATAATATTTTTCAATTTGTTTTCTGTGCTCGGTGGTCTTCCTCGCTTTTGTTTTATGCGAGTGAAGCCATCGACAAAAGTAATTGTTGTATTTTGTTGTGTGTTTGAATGTTGGTTTGATTGATTGGTTTCATGTTGTGAAGGTTGAGATGATAATGTGTTCGGATTGTCAAGGTTATGTTGGGTTGTGGAGAAATTATGAGAAGATTGTGTGATGTATTGCTGATTGAATTGTGGATAATAGGATTGATGATTTTGAAATAAATGTTCACATCCTCCATATTGAATAGGGATATTCTGATAGCTCATTGAATTGGATTGGTTTGGTTGTATTAGATCTTCATAAATTCTTTCGAAAGATAGTGTGGATGTTCTTGGTGAATCAAATTGAAAAGATCCCGGATTAATGCTACTGAAACCAGTAGATGACGATGATTGCACATTGAAAGAAGATAATGGAGAGGAACACCATATGTGGTGATTTTGATTTGAAAGTCCATATGATTGACCTTCAAAAAAGTTGTTGTTAGATGTGGTTTGGTTTGTGGATGGTGATGAAAAGTTCCAATTTGATGACATTTTTTGTGATTTAGAGTATTGAGGATTGAATTCAATTGTTTTATTGTACAAACTCGAATTCTTTGTCAAACTTGAACGATGTCCACACTTGATTAGTTTCCACATTACATGTGAGAGAAATGTATACAATTTTCATCTTGTGTTTCGTAATCTTCTTTCCGAATTTACGTGTAAGACGTGAGTGAGTAATTTCCAACTCAGACCAATGCTTGCATTTGTCTAAAGGAGGAACACTGTCAGTAAATCTGAATTGAATGCACTTCTGTCTCTTCTTTAGGCCATTCCACAAAATGTCTTGATACCATTGGTAATATTTAGCCTTTGTTCCCCTCAGAGCAAGATAAAACACGTTTGGGTTGCAACATCCAACCGTTTCATGGCTGATGGAGTTTGAACATCTCATCTGTAGATGTTGATAAATAATATTTCTTGCACATTTGGCGAACTGTTCCCATATAATTCCATAAATTTGTTTCTTCTCATCTGGTACTTCTTTAAAGGAATTATATTTTGGTACAAATTCAAACAGTCCTTTCTCTAAAGTGAATTGATATTCCTTGTGAGTGTCTTCAGCAGCTTCATCTGTGGTTCTTGATTTTCGTTTTTTGCTCTGTTGGGAAATATTGTCATCATCACATTTGTTGTTTGGTGTTATCGTACATTGTGTCTCATCAACAATACCAGAGAAGCTGCTTGTGCTAGGCAATAGACAGCAAGGTGGAAATGACATAGTTTCGTCTGTGAAGATCCATTCCTGAACAAGTTAAGCAAACACATTGCAACAAATTTGAAACATACTGTAGAGGTAGTAGTTATTACTGGTGATGATGGCTGAGAAGTGTTCATCTCGATGCTTGATGATGAAGGAATCTTGAAATGTGTTACTACTGAATAATGGACAAACATAATACTTACATTGTTCGTACTCTGGTTCGTTGTGGATTGGCTATCCAATGCTGGTGATTCATAGGCCTTGATATAATTGAGATCAATACAAGGTGAACGATATTCACTAGTACTTACGTGATTACTATTTGTTTCGCAACTCGAATCACAATCAGAAACACCAAGCTGAGGTAAAGATTAGTGTCGGTGTTGAAATTGTTGTTTGATGTTGTTGTTGTTGTGGTAATATGGATAATCAATTACTTACACAGTATAGAGGCACAGTACCCTCTTCAATGACCACTAATTCAGCTTCCATGTTGTTGTGTGTTGTTGGTGTGTTTTTTTGTGTGAGAAGCAGAAAACAACACCACAGACCAATCACTCCATTTTTTTTGACTCCGGGACTTACTAAAACGAGCCGAATTTTTTCTTCGTCAGTTTTTGCACTTTACGCTCAGGCGTAGTTTGTGGTGATTTTTTTTGACTCCGGGACTTACTAAAACGAGCCGAATTTTTTCTTCGTCAGTTTTTGCACTTTACGCTCAGGCGTAGTTTGTGGTGATTTAAAAAAATGAGTGAAAACGATCACGGTATGTTGGATGGTTAAGCCAAATGCGATCGAGATTTTGACTGACAACAATCATCAAATGGTGTTCACACTTGTATTTTCTGGATCATCATCATCATTTATATAAATCAATCTCTCATCTGCAACTTGCCATAATTTTTATTCCTAATAATTGTTGATGCATCAAGAGTTGGAAACGCCTGAAAGAAGAACTCACGAAGGAAATACACCAACAGACGACGTTGAACATCACATTGATCTTCAAGAAACTCCGGGAGTGGTTGATGATTCGACACCACAATATCAAGAACCTAAAGTCAGATCAATTATTTATTATGTTTTCATTGGAGTATTCTTATTGTTAGCCTTTGCTTGCACCATTGCAGCCTTCATTAGCACATTCTTACAATTTCCAGTTCCGGATCAAACATGGAAGAATACATCCTTTGATCTTCCTATGGAATCACTATTTACATCCATGGCATGTGGTTTCTTAGCATTGTTTGTCATGGTATTTTTAAGTTTACGTGTATTGAGCTTTAAAGTTGGTACCTATGAATTCAATGGAAACAAGTGTTATGAAATCAGTCAATACATTGCGGATGGAGCTCGTGCCTTCCTAATTCGTGAGTTCCAAGTCTTGACTGTCTTTGTATTGGTGGTTGCAGGTATCTTGTTTGCTGTCGATCAATCTGGATACTTTGTAGCAACACCTGTGTGTTTCCTTGTAGGAGCTGTTACGAGTGCAGTGACCTCCATTATTGGAATGTATATTGCAACACGTGCCAATGTAAGAACCACCAATGCTGCTCGTACTTCTCTCAATCAAGCCTTGAAGGTTGCATTTTCAGCAGGTACAGTTATGGGCTTGTCTGTGGTGGGTTTAGGATTGGTCATGTTGTCTCTCTGTTACATGATCTTTAGAAATTTGAGTGCTTTGGCTGGATTTGGTTTCGGAGCTAGTAGTATTGCATTGTTTGCTCGTGTTGGTGGTGGTATCTATACCAAAGCAGCTGATGTTGGTAAGTTGTGGTGTAATACTGAAGTTTTCATTATTAGAGTCATACGAATGGTTTTAACAAATGGGTTTATGTAACCAATGCGTTTAACAAATGGGTTTATGTAACAAATGGATCAATGAATGCATCAACCATGATTGGAACACAATTTGCATCCATTGAACTCTCACTTGATATTCCACTTGAAATCATTCTCTCACATCTACCACCACAATAGGTGCTGATCTTGTTGGTAAGGTTGAATCCAACATTCCTGAAGATGATCCTAGAAATCCAGCAGTCATTGCTGATAACGTTGGAGACAATGTTGGTGATGTTGCTGGTATGGGTGCTGATTTGTTTGAAAGTTATGTTGGAAGTATCATTGCTGCTGCTACTCTTGGATCACAATTCTTTGGATCGGTGGGTGTGGCTGCACCTTTCTATTTGAGTGCCAGTGGTATTCTTTGCTCCATCATTGGAAGTTCACTGGTGAGCGTGAATAGTTCAAGTGCTTGGTGGCCATTGAATTATTTAATTGCACCTTTCACAAGACATAGAAGTTCAACCACCAATGATACAACTCATGCAACCGACATGGAACAACAGACTCAAATCGATGAAGATCAACAACACGCACCTGATGTGAATCCTGCAACTCAAAGTAGTCTCTTAATGGCCATTCGTAGAGGAATTTTCGGTGCTGCCTTGTTAAATATCCTTTTAGGTGCATTGATTTTATTTTTATTATTTGATCCATTAACACAAGCATGGGCCATCTTTTTATGTTTCCTCATTGGTATTGCAAGTGGTGTGCTCATTGGTTTAGCTACTGAATATTGTACTTCATTTGCATATCGACCAACTAAATCCATTGCTGAGAGCGGTTTGACTGGTGCTGCACCTGTGATTATTAAGGGTCTCAGTGTTGGTATGCTTTCAACGGTTGCACCTGTCATCATTATTGTATTGAGTATTATTTTTAGTGTCTTGTTGGGTGATTTTGCCAGTGGAGGTAAAAGTGGTGGAGGAATTTACGGTATTGCCATTGCAGCGGTTGGAATGTTGAGTACGTTGGGAGTTACATTGGCTACCGATGCCTATGGTCCTATTGCTGATAATGGTATGTTCATTTTTCAAATATATATTGGATCATCATTATTGGATCATTGATATTCCGATTTCAAATATATATTGGATCATTGATATTCCGATCATCATCATCATTATTATTGGATCATTTTTATTATGGGATTGTTCATTGTATATATATATATATGTATTATGCTGCAGCTGGAGGTATTGCTGAGATGAGTCATTTACCACCCTTGGTACGTGAGAGAACAGATGCATTGGATGCATTGGGTAATACTACAGCTGCTACTGGTAAAGGTTTTGCCATTGGATCTGCTATTTTAACAGCCCTTGCATTGTTACAAGCATTTGCAACTGAATCTGGTATTACAACTGTTAGTTTATTAGAAAAAGAAGTTATGAGTGGTTTAATTGTTGGTGCTTGTTTACCATATATTTTCAGTGCATTAACAATGACTGCTGTGGGTGATGCTGCCATGTCTATTATTGTAGAAGTGAGAAGACAATTCAAAGAAATTGATGGATTACTTGAAGGAAGGCCAGGAGTTAAAGCAGATCACACTAAATGTGTAGATATTTCTACAAAGAGTTCTTTAAAGAAGATGATTCTACCTGGATTGTTGAGTATTATTGCTCCAGTATTGATTGGATTTGCTGGACGTCAGAAAATGTTAGCTGGTCTTTTGGGTGGAAGTTTATCAAGTGGATTTTTATTGGCAGTGACAATGGCCAATGCAGGAGGTGAGTATTTATTGTGGCTCTTACTATTCATCATGATGATTCAAATCAATGATTGATATCTGTTGTGAAATTTTGACAATTTCTTGTGATTTGTTGCACTTCTTCTATTTTATGAACAACATAGGTGCATGGGATAATGCCAAGAAATACATTGAAAGTGGTGCTTTGGTTGATAAGGAGACTGGTGAAGTGCAAAGAAAGGGATCCAATGCTCACAAATCATGCGTGGTATGTTATTGCAACATGAACTTTAAGGATTTTCTTAATTTCAATCATTCAAAATGATTCCATTGATCAGGTTGGTGACACTGTTGGAGATCCATTTAAGGATACTAGTGGTCCTGCCTTGAACATTTTGATCAAATTGATGACTGTTATTGCATTGGTGATAGCTCCAGTCTTGAAACAGATTTATGTGGATCAATAATGTTCTGCTGAATGTGGCTTTTGAGAACTCAAGTTCAACATTTGTGCATGATGATAATTTATTAATGAGAAATTTTGTAAATATAATACAATGAATTATTTAACAAACTGCACCGTTGCTGTGACCTTTAAATATCACTAAACTCAAAGTTACCACCACCGATTTGAGCCATCTTTTCCAAATACATTTTGTTTGCTCCTTTTCCAATGGCAGTGAAATGGAATCTCGTGTTGGGATAATTACTGATGAAGTTTGGCCAAGCCCCGTTCGTTGATAACTTTCCAACATCTCCGTCACACATAACAAGCACGTTCTTGATACCTTGGTGTTTTTTAAGCAAGCCTTCATATAAGTTGGTGATCCGTGATCATGAAATTGTTCCAAGATCCATGATTCAACCTCTTGCTGTAAGTTTTCTGTATTCTCATCAACAAATGCTCCATTTTGATACCAATAACAGTTGGTAGACCAAACAGCTAATGCAATTCTTTGCTTTCGCTCAAGTGCTTTCTGCAAAAAGAGTTTCATACATTTCACAAGCGTTTGCAAGGGGTCTCCCGCCATAGACTCTGAAATGTCTCCCAACACCACAACATCTCCTTCTGACGTGAGGGATGAGCCTGCCACTGTTGCGTCTTCACTATGAGTAAATGTTTGTCGAACATTTCTAATTGCTTGTTCTCTGTTTTGAATAGGTAAAGGTTCAACAATGTGACTGGTGGTTAAGATATTCATTTCAGGTAAATGTACTTGGACTGATCCTGCTGGAAGTACTGCTGAAAACGAACCTTCTTCGTCCGTACATGTTTTGAACCTGAATGTTGAATCGCCACTCTGATTCCATGGATGAGAAAACAAACATTCAGCTACGGTGTTAGCCACTGGTTGATCCATCTTTCTGAATTCAAATTTCGTGCTCTTAACATTTAAATTTACAAAATCTGGTGAAACACGTCCATTCTCATCGATAACAAAATCAAATTGTTGCAAAGGCAACCTCTCATTGTTGTTGTTTGATTTTTGAAAATAGGCATGTGCAGTATATTTCCCTGGTGGCTTTCCATAGGCAGTTATAAAGGCAGTGGAATGTCCTACGGGTTGGTCATTTTCATCAAAAATGTCAATAACTACATCATCCGATAATGGATGAATGTAAATGTTTGTCTTTTCTGGAATCGAATGCACAGGAATGATCGGTGCTGTACTTGTTGGTCCACTAACATGACTGAGATCGTTCATTTGATTGATGTCACACGAGTCCATGCTAGATGTAGAGTGCACCGGGAAGCTTCTCCACAATGTTTTCGAGTCTACTGGCTTGTAAGTGTAGGGAATGTTTGAGGATCTAAGAGATTTTGGGTGATTGAGGTTCTAGTACAACACTTATCATTGAAAACTATAAAACTTACAATAGTTCTTGGACTTGTTGATCATATTTTTCACTTTCAAGACGAACAGAATTCCTATGACTCACATCAACAATTGTTGAATGTGTCGAACTATTGCGCTGTGTCTCACAGGAATGATTCGTTTCAAGATTTTTAAACTTTTCAAAAGTCTCCTTATTGCCAGTCACATCAATGTGTACTCGATGAATGTTGGAGCTGCAAGTTGTGGTCTCTGTGAGTTGACTTTGAATTTTCTTTATCATGGAGTCTCCAGATGATTCTCTTTTTCTATCTAGTTTTTCGATCATTTCTTCTTTATATGAGTGAGTATTATTTGAAGAAGAAGAATGTGCTTGTTCGAATAATAGTTTTTTAACTTTAATATTTCCTCCTTGAATTGAATCTTTTTGAGTAAAAGAAGAAGGAGATGAATGATTATTATTATTGGAGGATGAGGAAAAGGATTCAAAGAAGCTTTTTCTATTTTTAACACTAGAGATGGTCGAAGAAATGTCTTGTGGTGGAGATGATGAAAGTGTGTGTGTTTGCATTTGGATCGATGTGTGTTGAAATATTTTTTGTGGTACTTGTCATATTTTCACATCGATGGAAGTGATGTTGTCACCTGTCTCACAAAATATTTTGATCAACCTTTTTGAATGTCATTGACACAGTCAAATCCTAAATGATACAACTCACAACTCCAATACATGCACATACAATCAATGTAGAAAGAGCATCAAACATGAATTTAGGAGCAAAGATATCCCATGTCATTAAATGTCTTCGTTGAATAAATGCACATAACATACTTGTTACGAGCAAACAAACATTCAATAAGAGAAATTTGCAATAATTTTGTAGTGCAATAGTTTTAGATTCGGAAAATTTTGTATGGTTTGTTTTGGTATTATTATTAGTACTTGAAGTACTTGTAGTAGTACTTGTAATATTACTATTTTTGATAGTAGAATGGATATCAGTGGATTGTATCCATAAATTCAAAGTTATAGTTAATAATATTTTGAATGAAAATTGATTGAGCATGACTAGTATTCCAGAGAATATCATGTGTGCATTTGAAATACCAACAAATGCACTATTCCAATGAATGGTTGTCATTGAATTTTGATGTCCTAAACTAAAATACGATTGAACACTAAATAGGAAAATGTCAATAATTTGACTTTGTTGTGAACGAATATTCAATAGAGATCCACAAGTAATGACATGATAATAATGATATTGTGCAAGTAGTATTACAAATGTATATAAATATCGATGATCATACAAGATCAATAATGGACTCATAGAAATGATAAAGAAATAGACAAGGAATGTACGTTTTTCAGTTGATACAACACTCATGATATCAGAAGTGGTAGTAGTAGTATATATTCCTTGTTGTTCAGTAGTAGTATATGTTCCTTGTTGTTCAGCAGTAGTAGTATTAGTATAATATATTCCTTGTTGTTGTGATGATCTCTTCAAACCTATAAAAGTAGAAATCAATGTGATCAAATAGAATGCATAAAGACCTTGTGCAATAATGTTTGAAATTTCCACAAAACCCTCATTCACAAATTGATAATAACTCAATACGAGAGTCAATGAGAGAGGTAAATAAATATTTAAAATTACAAAAGAAATGATTGATTCATGATTGTTGGAGCATGTAAGATACTTGCATCGACCTTTCAAATGTTCTCTCAAAATATAATAAATAATTATTAAATAACTCAATTTCATGAGGAAATGATTTGAAAAAATAATCGATGTGAAATTATCATCAATGAATGAACTTGAATGATATCTGTATCGAATCATGGAGCTTGATTGATTCAATAATATTAAAAGAATCATGACATTCCATGTGATGTGAGAATTATTGGTTGAACTTGTCATGAAATTGGTTCGTGGAGAAGTAGTATGAATCGTCGTTCTAACAGTCGTTGATGCATTTCGTTTTGGTTTCAAATAATTCACTTGAAAGAAATAGAATAAAATCACTCGAAATATTAATAAATAATTCACCATTCGATCTTCATAAATAATAAAACTATTTGAAAATAAACTAATCGAGTATAAAATCACACAAATCAAATCAATCCATGTCGACAAGTTGGAAAGTAAATTCCATGTTTGTACTCGAGTTGGATAGATTTTCATGACATGAATGAATCTTTCATAAATTCCAAATAAAAGTGTGAAAAAACAAAGAATGATGTGAATCATTTCATAGTATTCATATTGTTTGGAGAATGGTGCAATTAATAAATCATACATGGTCCTAGTAGTAGTAGTAGTAGTAGTAGTATTATTATTATGAGAGGACATCCATTCATCATTATATTTCATGACGAGTTTGAATAGAACCATGAGCACACCAGAACCAATGACACTCATGAGAGGTATGGTTGAAAATGGGTAGGACATCATTTCATGGATGAGACTCAAATGTTCCAATACTAATAATAGTAATGTTCCAATCAATAATCCCATTCCTATATATAAATAGAAATTATTAAAAGTTGCCCAACTCTCTCGACACACTTTCACAATCTCTTCAATAAATATTTCATAATGTTTGTAGTTGAGTTGTTCATGTTGTTTTGGAGAGATGAAAGAAGCGACTTGTTCATTGGCTTGTTGAAAATGATTTTGAATTCGTTTCCATTCTTCACGACCAATAAAGGAATGATCCAAAGTTAAATATTCTTCAATATATTGATACATTTGATGAGCATTTTCTTGTATCATCATGAGACGATCTTTGGGTTGCATCATCCATTTCTTTGGAATCATGGTGGGTATTATTTTACCTAAATTCACAAAAGGTATTGGAATGTTTAAAAGAAGACTTAATGTTGGAACGAGATCAATTTGAGGTATTGAAGTAGGAATAATAGTAGTAGTAGTAACATTCATGAAAGTAGTATGAGTTGTTGTTGTAGTACTGTCATTTGTTGAACTAGACATGAAATTATTGTCAAATAATTCTTGAAATGGAGAATACACAAAAAGAAGTGAATCTACTTCGAGATTTGAATTTCCTCCATGATCTCCATTATCATTCATTCCATGATCTCCAAATATTAAAATCATGGTATCATTTCGAACCATGGATTTTGTTACATTTTCAATCATTTCATTCATTTGTTGTAATTTCAAATCCATTTCTAAATGATTCACACCATATCGATGACCACAATGATCCACACCAAGGAAATGTGCAATCAACATATTTCTCTGATTTTCACTTTTTTGAAAAGATTCCAATTCAGAATTTAAATGTTGTAAAATTCCATTATCGACTGTATGAAGATCCCAAACGTTAAACGATGGATATAAATAGTGAGTATTAAAATACATGGATGTGTTAAATAAATATTTCCAAGTATCATCTCCCAAAACCACAACATTGGAATTGAAAGTTTTTAACTGTGAAATTAAATTATCTTCAATGACTTGTTCACTATTAAAATTATATAAAGCTTCTAAAAAAGTTGGTAATGAACCTGTCGTTAAACTTTTCAATCGTTGACTGGTAGTAGTGGGTGCATCAGCAACAAATTTAAATACTCTTGTATGTTCTGGATATTTAGATTTTAATTTTGATAAATATGGTAACTTGTCATAGAAATCAAATCGTAATGCATCAATAAGTAGAATGATAATATTTAAATTGGAATGACGTAATGTGTCTGAAGATTGAGATTTTCTAGTGATCATCGGATCCGATGATTCATGGAGCCATGAATGATCCTTTGATTTGTATTTTGAATTTGGTAAAATAATTCTGCTCACTAAAAATCCTTTAAATGTGAAAAAGTATATTGCACTCATGATCACAGTAATCATTCCGAGAATGAACCATTTTAATGAGTGATGCGGGGTGGGGTGTGAGGTCGTCGGGTGAATGGAATTTTCGACCATTCTGTTCGTGCAAAATATTATTTTTTTTATCGACTTGTTGTTGAACTGAGAACATAATAATTGTTGTGAAAAGAGGAATACTAAAAATCCTTTAAATGTGAAAAAGTAATATGGTAGATTATAAAATGACGACTTTTTGTTGAACTGAGAATTAAAAATAATTGTTGTGAAAGACTCATATGAGATTATAAAATGACACCATTTAACACAATAATAAACAATATTTCAACATGTAAAACCATTCATCCCTCTCGTAAGAATTCTCAAATTCAAAAAGCCACTTTTTCTTTTCAGTTCGATCGTTCAATGTCAAAGTATTACTCGAGAAAATGGAAACATTCTTTTTAGGTTGATCATTGATGGTAATATAACACAAATTGGATAATTCCATTTCTTCAGATGGTTTCATATCAGAATGAAATACTTCATTGTTATTACCATCTGCATTGAAAATGAATACTTTAAATTTAGATTTCGAGCTCACTAATAATATATGTCTCTTTTTCAATTTGGAATTTTGAAAGAAGGATTTCACATCCTTTTTCATGGCTATTCCTTGTTTGAGAACGGTATATTTCACATGAGAATCAGTATATTCTTTGATCAATTGATTGGAGTGAAGAGTTTGATTGGTTTTGTACAAGTAATGACTTAAATATCGAAGTGATGATAAATTCATGACTTGATCTGTGTTTGGAATGTGACTGAAAATTTCATCACTAAACAAGGAAGATATTATATTTGGATCCATTGGTGTGTAATGATGTGAATTCACACCAGTTTCAATTGGAGGTATGGTAATCCAAATATTATTTGTGGAAAGAGTGGGTGATGACGAGTCTTTCAATAATGAATTCACAGGATTTGTATTCATCACGGCAATGAGAGGAGATGAATGAGTCAATGCTTGTTGAATCAATGTTGGACTTGAATTGGGTGATAAATTGACAGCATCCATCAGTGAGACTAGATTCTTTTTCTTCATTTCGGAAGATGCTAGTTCACTAATACTATTATTATTTCCATTACTGGTATGACTATGGTTATTTCCATTGCTATTATTATTTTGTGAAATTTGTGAGGAAGGTTTTGAGAGACTTTGATTCATTCGTGTGGAAATGGCAGGAGAAGAAGAATCATTGGTGGTTGGAGAATTTCTTGCAAATGATTCATTAATAAACTCTGAAATGATATTAAATGCATGTTGTGAATGTTTGCATTCTTCTAAACATGTCTCTAATAATTCTTGCTTGTCAAAAAGTGTCACATATTTCGGTAATTCATTCTTGGCAATGTGATAATGATCTGGTAAAGGTGTGGCAACATTATTTCCTCCATGGTGATTATTAATATACAAGAAACATGATGAAATGAATCGAATCATTAATTTGAATACATGTGAAATGATTTCAGTACGAATAGAATCTTTTTCCATCATGAAGGAATAATCTTGTGGATGTTGATCTGTGGTATTTGCCATTTCACTTCCAATTTTGGTTGATGCTGCTGTTGAGGTGGCACTCGTTGTAATGGATGTGGTATTCATATCCAGTGATGAATGATAAGCCTTATTCAATACTTGTAATTTCTTGAAAAATTGTTCAACTTTGTATTTCATAAATACATCTAATCCAAGAGAGGATTTCATGATCGGATGAACCATGGATTCAATTCCGAGACTACGAGAGGGTGCAGAGATTTGTTCTCGGGTGAAGGGATCTGATCCATATGAATTTCCGAAGAGTGTGTTGTTGTTGATAGCCATTTTGAATGATCGTATATTCAGTATATTCGGAACATATAGTGGTTGTTGTTTGTTGTTGATCATCACATAAATATTTAAATGATTCCAAATTCATGATCCCTGATACAAAAACACCTACCAGTCTTGTTGGTTTTAATCCACTCCAATATTTTACTTCTTTCATAGATTCTACCATTCAGCAATGCAGGTTCGATAAAGATGGTTTCCGTGAGAGAACAAATATAATGGGGAGGAACATCTGTATCGTCACTGAAAAATTCTTCTAATGAGGACATGAGAGAGATGCGTGTTGAGAATCTTGTTGTAGAGAGTTGTCAAATAGAAGTGGTGGTTCAAAGTGAGAGATGGTTTCGGATGTGGTTGCAATTCTTATTGTTGGAAAAGTGAACCAAGCTGGTCAAGCACAAAATTGTGTTGACACTTGACGATAAAAAAAGTTAAAAATACACAAGTTCCCTCAATCAAAATATTCAGTCTTTCAAATAGATTGAGGGATAGATTGATCTTTAATTAATATAAATAAGAACTCTCAGATGTTTACTCAGGCACTCTCCGTGTGCACACAACACACAATTGGAAACACGCTGATTATTGAGCATCCTTAGTGATGGTTACAGAATCAACAATGTCATTGGTTTTGGCGGCATGAAAATCAAAGTGTAATGAGTGAACACGAGTTTCTCTTGAATAGGATGTTCTCAAAATACCATAACCTTCATCCTTGTAGAAAATATTAGCACTCCAATTATGACCAAAATGAATATCCCATTCGTGTGTGACCTGTTTGATGTGTTCAAGTCGTTGCATTTCAATTATCACGAATTCATTTGGCAAATTCAACAAGTGTTGTTTTCCATATTTTACATATCTCGAAAAATGTTCTACTTACACCTTCAATACAACCACCAGCTCCATTCACAATATGAATAGGATATCTTAAATTATGGAAATTATCCTTTCTTTCGACTTGTGTCTTGTAGAGTGGATAAGTTCTTTCATAGGAATGAACATGTCCAACCATCATGATATCAACATGATATTTCACAATAACATCTTCAAAGGCACTTTGAATTCGAAGAGATTGGCCAGAGACTTGCCCATCTGCAGTACTATAACCATGTTTTGAAGAATAGATAGGTCGATGACCAACTACAATCACCCAAGGTGTCTTCTTTCGATCAATCGAAGCAAGAGTATTTTCAAGCCATGCCAATTGGTCTCCCTTAAAATCATATTCAGAATAGAATGCATTTGGATAATTGGTTTCAGTGGAAATTGAAACAAAGGTAATAGGTCCATGTTCAAAAGAATACCACATATTGTGACCATATTGGGAGGTATTTCGAAGAGGCATAAAGAAACGATGATTGTAAGCCATGAAACCTAATTCAAATTTGTGATAAGGTTCGAGTTTTGGTCCTTTCTAAAGTTGTTGATATCGAGACATGGATCCACATGGAAAAAATAGACATGGACAATAACATTTTAGTTGACGAGAATGTAAAATCAAATTGAAAAACATGCTAAACATGAGCACCTACCTCGTGATTTCCAGGAAGTACCATATAAGATGTGTAGGGCATGATCTTCTCCATCATGATCATGTACTTGGTCCAAATGGCTTGATAGATCAATCCAGGGAAATCATCAGCGTACTGAGATTGAGTTTATGTTAAAACACTTTTCATGAATTTCAATCGAGACACTTACCGAAATGTCACCCAAATGATACACAAACAAATTCTTGTGATTGGTTCCATTATCATTAAAACTCTTCACAAAGTCTCCTACTTGAGCAATGACATGTTTGCTATTGGTTGTTCCTTGATCACCATACATGACAACAGTAGTCTCGAAACTTTCACTCAATCGTGGATCAGTTCTTGTGTGGAAATAATAAATATCAGAAGTCACATTATCGTTCATCATGAATCCACATTGATAATAATATTTAGTTGAATAATCCAAGTTTGAGAGTAACACACTCATGTCAAATCCTGTTTGAGAAATTTCTCCGTATTGTGTTACAACACCACCCAAATGAGCTACTCTAAAATCTCGTTTCAATGATGCGTCGTTGGAGCTATACTTTACAATGGGCTTTCCTAACTTCTTCTCATCATAATTAACTGTATGAAATGTGACCACCATTTGATTTGGAACGGAAGTAAAAGCCAAGTGTACTTCAATGGGTTTGTAATCATCATCAGAAGCAACTTTTGCATTGGACGAGGAAGCAGCGATACGAATATTATTGTGATGATGAGACTTGGCATGGACAGGGAAGCCTTCAACACCGTATCGGACTTGGCTGTAACAAACGACAAGAAGTAGCAGCACAACGACAAGGCTCGTTAGGTACTTCATAATGATTGTCGCTAAAGTGCGCAGAGACAGGAGTGAGTTTGATTTTTTGTGGTGTTGAAAAATTGTCTCATTCAGCGGAATGAGGGCGGCTCAGATCTTTACAAAATTAAAAAGTCACACGCGTTAAAAATAATGAACAACAACAACAACTTACTCTCGGAGAGCACACCATACTCCATCAATGATAACAATGATTTTTTGGTGTTTTAAAGTGCTCCGATCACATACTCATCTCTCACACGAGAGACGGAATTATCATCTTGACAGAATGATAATCACATAGTTATTATTATATAGATCTATGGCCCGAATGATGAATCATTTTAGTTGTCTCTTCAACTTACCAATGTAATAAATGATGGTAATTCTTGATCAAAATATTTCTTGCTCCATTACCGTCACGAGGGATGTGGAAGTGACAATGATTGCAATGAAACCATTTGCTTCCATAAAGGTCTTCCTTGATCACTGAACAATTTCCACACGTTTTCGATGTATATTGTTCTGTGACAACATGTACCTTGCATCCACGCATTTCTGCCTTTTGCAAGAGTTTCATTCGAAAATCATAGTGTCTAAATCGCAACATTTGGCGAACAGTTTTTCTAGTAATTTTTCTTCCAACCCATTCGGAAGTGTTGGTGGTGGTTTCACTTGTGGTGGTGTCCCTTGATTCCCATCCTTCGAATGGTGAAGACGATGCAACAAGAGGTTCTGTTCGCACATCCATATTCTCCGTTTGGCCATTAGTATAACCTTCTTGTCCTTGACACGTGGTATCTTCTTTTCCTTGACGCTTCCTTTGTTTTTGTTTTCTAGCAATCATGGTTGTCGAGCAAAATGCTTGGGATTAAATCTTTCGTTCAATTCCTCATCAGTAATCATCTCCTTCTTTCCTTTTTGAACATCTTTTAGAAATTTATTTTTGGCCTTTCGGGCAGCCTCTTTGGATTCCTTTTCTGCTGCTTGCTTGTTTTTATATCTAGTAATTTTCTCAGCCTTGACAAAGTCTTTCACAGCGTTCAATTTAATATCTGCTGGACAATGTTTCAACTCTTGATCCCATAGCCACCTAGTTTGTTTGAATCTCAGGTTGGTTTGGGGATTCTTCAAAATTTTAAAGTAATCGTCTTCTGTGGTGGTAAGGAGTGTTTTTCCCTTGTTTTGCTCTAACATGAAATGAAGGAGACATGCTTCATTATAAGCATGGTTAGAATTGAAGAAAAATCTTTCAAAGACCTTCTTTTGTTCTGAGGTGAGTTTCAATCTCACTTTCTTTGTTCTCACAAAATAATTGTCTTCGTTTGAGATTGAGAAGGAGGTGTAAATTTGTTTTAGCAATTTCTCGATAGTGTCATCAGCTTTTTCCTTTGATTCCGCAGTAGTGGATGAATTGACTCCATTCTCAGCAGTCATAGATGAACTCACTTCATTCTCAGCAATCGTAGATGAATTGACTCCATTCTCAGCAGTCGTAGATGAACTGACTCCATTCTCAGCAGTCGTAGATGAACTGACTCCATTCTCAGCAGTCGTAGATGAACTCACTCCATTCTCAGCAGTCGTAGATGAACTCACTCCATTCTCAGCAATCGTAGATGAATTCACTTCATTCTCTGCAGTAGTGGATGAATTCACTTCGTTCACAGCAGTCGCAGATGAACTCACTTCATTCTCAGCAGTCGTGGATGAATTCACTCCGTTCTCTTGAAGCATTGTTAAAGACTCCTCCAACGCAGATACTTGCTTGAATTCCTGAACAAGCTTCTTCTTTTCTGACCCAAACTTGCGTCCGTTGAACGAGCAGACTGTCCTTTTAACCTTGGAATTTCCACACTTACATGGCGTCTTTTTCCAAGTTTCTGATTTACTCCACACTTTTTCTACCAATTCCTTCTTGCTCGGAGGTGGTTTTGTGGATGGACATCGTTGGCGAACGGAGAGGGTAAACCAACTTTGGGTCGGTATTTTCAAACCATTCTTGGCAAAACATGACACGGGACAAGTCTTGTTCAAACGATCAACCGTATCATCATGCCAAAACGGTTTTCTTAACTCCTTTGAATCAGTCGAAGCAGTGGAATTAGGAACCATCCTTCTCTTATTCAATCTCTTCTTCGTTGGTTGCTGTTTGTGATAGAGTTGCCTTTTTCTTAACCGTCGAACCTTATTTTTCAGCGACTGAAATGTTCGGTGTTTAAAGTAATCTCGGTAAATTTGTTCCAAATTCATTCCTTTCCGCAAGGATGTCACAATTAAATCCTCTTCCGACTGTGAATAAGGTTCTCCTGGAGTCGTTGATACATTGGACTTGTTCGATGATGGTTGTGCTTGTCTTAACGGTAAGGGTTTGGATGGACTTAATTGACCAATTTTCATAATCATTTTCTGGTAATGGTCAGAATTGGTCCATGTTTCAGGAAAAGTTATCGATACAGTAGAGGTAAAGGTGTTACTATCAGTGAATTCTGAAAAGGTTAAATCATCGACACTCCATTGAATGATAAAATTTGTTGCATCTGAAGCATCATACGCTCCTTCCAATCTGGCACGATTAATCTTTCTTTTCAATTTCTTGTACTTTTTCTTCAATGAGTTGATGGATCTATCAAAAAAGAAAGTACCAATTTTGCTCCATTCCATATTGAATTGTTTTAAAAATAACAACATGTAATGTTCTTGGGTTGCATATGCTTTTCCTTGATCGAGAGAGAGAGGTTCAATACTAATTCCACGCTCCAAATAAGCAGTCCTTAATAAGTCTCCAAATTTATCAACAGTAGATACGTCTTTCAATACTTCCAATCTCTGCCAATGAGAAGCAATCTTCTTCTTTTTCTTTGCTCTTTCTTCCTCACACTTATAATGATCACTCAAAGTGTGTTCACATGGCGAAAATTTAATTTGCGCCATTGGTATGTATGGAGGAGGGCCCTTTCAAACCTGCAGCCGCAGCAAACAGCCGTTCAGCCAGGATAGTCCTCGCTGCCGAAATTATTTTCAGATGCAATCAACAGAATCCTTTGGCATCCGGTTGAAACAGGATTTTTGCGGCTGAGATAGGATTTCGATCAGGTGATCAGTTTATTTTGCTTACTAAAAAACCGTTCTCCACAATGACGGTTCTTGGAAACGAAGTAAATTCCTCATAATATTGTGTAAAATCTTTAGAAACGTCTATCAATCTGCAATCTGCTTCATTCACAACAAAAGTTTTCATGAAAAATCTAAAAGTATTGAGCTCTCCCATTTTAGTATCTCTTCGGTATTCCCATTTGATAGAATATAAATAATCTTCTCCTTCCCATCCTGGCAAAGGTTTTTTGTTCTTCTTAGTCCTTTTTGTCCACTGTTTGATTTGCTTAATTTGGCAGATGAAGACATGATTGTTTTCATCTAATTGGAGAACATAATCACCAATACTTAAATATTCGGAATTGAGAGTCTGATTTGCTTCTGGTTTTTCAATTTGTTCTTGAGAAGTCAGTTGAGAATAGAGTGGCCATGAGAGGGAGTTTGATTGTTGTGAGATAGTGTTAGGTTTTCTCTTATCGAACCTTCTATATCTCGAAACATCACAAGAAGTTTTGTGACTAAATGTTACTTGACGTATCAATTGTTGTTTGTGATAGATAATTCCTCCAATGGTGATATGTGCATTGGATTGTTTGTTTTTGAAATTTTGCAGCATGTTGTGTGGTTGATGTGTTCTGTTCCATTGCTGCTCCAATTTATCGAATTCCACAATATCATTATTCGAATATTGTTTCAATTTGAATTCTTTTGTAAGTAAAACTTCAATACCAGGTATATTCAAATTAAACAATAGAGTATGAATGGTTGGAGCTTCATATTCAGCATCTGAAAGCATGGCAAAAGTGCGACATGCTCTTTCAAATTCACCAATAACAATATAATTAATATGTTCTGGTGATGGGAAGCAACAATAATACTCATATGGTAATCTTGTGGATTGATCTTTCTCTTTGTTGAATTGTAAGCCAACAATTAAGGCACTTAAAAAATTATTGAGAGCATTCAAGAAATTTTCAGCGTTCAGATTGGTGTTGGAGCCACAATGTTGTCGAGCCACTCCATAAAAATTCTCGATCATATATTCTTGCAGTTGAAAAGGCAAATACTCTGTTGTTGGGTGATGATTGAACTCTATACATTGTCAAACACAAACCGATCATTAATAACAACAATAATGGATAATGACAATTTATCTACCTTGAAGTCGAACTAAATTGACTCATCATCATCTTCGATGTCAGTATTGTTATGATTTGTTTCTTTTTCTTTGAGGAAGATGCGAGCGATTCCACAAAGCTCTTTTGTTATGAACATTTGTTTGACATCATCTTCAGTCACAATCTTGTTTTTACGTGAAATCTTTGGTTTGGATTATCATTTTCGGGTTGCATTCGGAAAGAAATCACTGCTTTGATGATGGATTTTGGAAGTGCAAATGACATGATCTCTTCATCATCAAATAAAAGTTAGAACAAGCAATGCTTCTGATAGCATTTTCTTCAAAAATACGTATTACTGAATTGATGTCTGATGGTGTGAATTTTATATCGGTAAGATAGTCATAGAGAAGATGAAGATCAGAATTCGTTTCGTGGGTGTAAGTTGATGTGGATTGGTTGTCTAGCTCCACATTTGAATTCATTTCGTTCAAGGATAACATGCCAAAGCTTGTTCGGAATTGTTGTTGTTGTTGCTGTTGTTTTGCATTTTTATTGTTAAAAATTTTATTCGTTGTAAAGCCAAAAACAACCGCCAAAATCCGTAATCATCCGGATTCTGGAGGATTCTGGATTTCCACAAAGTTTGGGAAGTCAGCAGGAGCTGGCAGCCGTCCTTTTCGGCTGTTTGCTGCGGCTGCGGGTTTGAAAGGGCCCTCGTATGGAGGGATAGAGAAACCACCAAAACCACCAACGCCTTTCAATTTACGCCATTTGTCAATACGTTCCATCATGGAACGTTTTTGATAAGGATGCTTGTATATCATTTGTGGTTGCTCTTTTATCGCCAAGACCCTTTTTGAATTTTGAAAGGTTTTTTCAATTTCTCTGGTAGGATTGGGTGATTTGAGGGGGTTGACAGACTTGTCAACATGTTCCAACTTGGGTGATTCTTGGTCCTTTGTTGATGTTTGTTCTGAAATTCTTGGAGGAAATGGTGGAATGATTGGATATGATTGAGGAGAGAAGGGATTTAAAGGAATCCATGGTGGAGGGAATCCAGGTTGAAAAGAGAGATTTGGGGAGAAAATGGCGGGATTTGGAGGGAAAATTGGTTGAGAGGATGGATTTTGTTGAGTGAAAAGATTGGGATTTGGTGGGAATATAGGTTGAAGGAATGGATGATGGGAGGAGGTGAAACGAGGGTTGTTTGAATTATTCTCCTCACGACTCTGGTTGTTCATGATGAATTGTTTTTTTTAATGATGATTCAATAACACAACTAAAATTCAGCATGTATTTATTGTATTCTTAATGTCCTACCACTACGTTTTAAATTACCATTTTCAACATTTAATAATTCAATTCGAGAAATTTGAAGTACCAATTTCGAAGTTGCATTAATTTTTACCCATTTCATAAATTCCTTATTTAGGGGTATCTGTAGGATCAAGTAATATTTATTATTACACCGAAAATGGAAGCCATGACATCCATACTTGCACGTGTATTCGAGATAGGGTGACAAATTCTTTTCGCTAATTAAAAATCTTTGTTTGGTAATTTTTTGTAATCCCTATACTTGTACCAGATTCTTTTTCACAAGACACAAATTATTTACATTCATCGCGCCTTAGTTTTGAATACAACCAAGAATACAACTCCCTCGCGTTGATAAAAACTTGGAAAATCAATTTCTAATTGAGTAAAATAGATGAAGACAAAGTCAAAAGACTCTCGTGATTGAAATAAGCGTGGTGGAGGTTGGTTGTATGTTGTAAATGATGATTAATTGTTAAAAATTGCTTTTCAAACATATTTTTCAAAACCCACAATTTTGATGATTTTGTTAAATTATAATCATTGCAACCCTTTCCTCATTTCTGCACTGTCAATACCTTCTCGCTGACCCACTGTGTCCAGCGGTATGGAGAACTCTCGTGAGGGAGAAACAGGGTTGTCGTCCATGTTCATACATGGAGAATGCTCCGCTTGAAGGTTGTTCATTGATAATCATACCCACCGCTTGTTCTCGCACCAAAGCAGCTTCAACGAGATGGCATCAAGGAGAAGGTTATTTTTGCTGATTTTGATGGCAGGACCTGTTTTTCGGTTACTGGACTGGTATAGGTTTAGGTTATGGAATGCTTTAAAGTGTTGATGAATAACCGTGTTGTTTTCGTTTATTATCGGTTCAACAATCGTTTTAATACGCAATGATTATTATTCAAAATAGAAACAACCATGATGATGAATGGACTTGAATATCCGAGTGGTGGCCAAGTGTTGAGCGCATTTCGCATGATTGTTCCCCAACTCAATATTTAGCAAGAATTCGAACACTCAAAAAAATATCCTTAATAATAATAAATATTTGTGCAATAAAGTACATAAACAAAAGCACTCAAATGATGCATCAAGAAACGTTGAAGGATACTACAGCAATAAAGTACATAAACAAAAGCACTCAAATGATGCATCAAGAAACGTTGACCCTCGCCAACTCGCCAACAAACTCGCTGGAGTATTTTGGCTCGGGTTAAACCACTGTGTGTCACTCTTAATTTCGTAAAGAGATATTGTGGAAGGCTCAATTTTATTGTAATCGCAAGGTCGAGCTGTAATAACGAACAAACCTAATTTAATCAAGTTAGTTCTATTAATCAAAGAAACTGTCAGCACTGTTTTGAGCTTGTTGTACATTGGAGGACGTGTTTGAGGTATTTGAATATTCAACAGGGAAGTCTTCCTCTTCATTATCGAGCGAGAATTGTTGTTGTTGTTGTGTGGTTGCACTCGACGAGTTTGGTTGCGCAGAGTTATCACTGCTCCATAAAGAATCATCTTCATCGACGGATGTAATTTTCTTTTCTGTTTTTGTTGGAAGAGGAGGAAGCTTGGCTCTATTCATCTCACCACTTGTTGATGGGCTTGAAGAAGCAGAGGTGTTTGGTGATGCACCTTTTTGCGTCATTCCCTTAAAGAATGATGTCATGGCTGTCCAATTCTTAGACACGACCTCTGATGCTTTTGTTGAAAATTGTTGCAAATTTTCTTCAATTTTCATTTCCTTAATCTTTGTTGAGAATTGAGTCTTTTGGTCTTGCTGTTTGATTTTTTCATTCAAATCCTTGCCAATTTCCTTCACTTTATCTTTCAAAGAAGACAAGTATTGTTGTGTCTGGCCTCCAATCTGTTCTGCTTTTTGTGAAACTGTTTGCAGATTAAAAGATTCTCGAATGGGTACAAATTTCAACTTGACACTCTCAACATTTTCATTCATGTGTTTGGCAAACTTGATCCATTGCTCCTTGCTATGATTCAAAGATTGTTGAACTTTCTTTGAGATGTCATTCTCTTGATCTAATTGTTGAGCCTTAGTCTTCAACTGTTCAAATAAATTCTTTGATTGAATATATCCTTCTTGGAATAATCCTTGAATTGCTGATTGAGAAGATGGTGTTTCTCTTTCTCTATCTATGGAAACTCTGCTTGGGGTGGCCGTTGGTATTGTAGAATTTTGAACAAGAGATTGAGCCTTCTTTCTCGGAATTCCAAGTAAATCACACAAATTAAATATGTACAAGGTGGTCTGTTCGTTCAATTTCATTTCGTTCAATAACAAACTTGTGCTGAAACTTTCGCTATTCTCCAAACAAACAACAGCACCATTCAAATCATCCACAATAATAATCTTCTCTACACTTCCACAAAATGAAAAGAAATTGGATATCTCCTGAACAGATAGTTCTTGTACAGGAGTGTTGATGCTCACGAAAACGGAACGATGAATTTGATCGAGAGTGAGAGCATTGATTCCGTATTGATGAACAATATCTTCGGGGATGAGTGTTGGCACATATGAATGGACTCTTCTCTGGCCGTTATTGTTTTGAAATGATGAGTTACCAAATGCGGGAGTTGATTGACCAGAATGACTTCCCATGCCACTATTATTGCTCGTTGTATCAACGGAATAATACACTTGTTGTTGTTGTTGTGGTTGCACGGAATCATATCCTTCATCACTACCAGCAATTAATTGATGGGAATGTGTTGTTTGTGAAGAATTATCCTCATGTTCTTGCTGTTGAACAACATTGGGATACACAACAGTTTGGGACACGTGGTTTGTCTCCTCCTCAAACCCTTGCTCAAAGTTCGCTTCAAAGTCTGTTGTGTTGTTGTTGGACATTTTTTATTGGTAATCTCTCATCACACACCTTCTAATTTGGCCGTCTCTCCTTAAATGAAATCCAGTTACTTGTTTCAAGCGCGAGAGTGCACGGAAGGAACTGTAATTCAACAGAATGTGATTTAGAAAATAAAAGGAATGGACCTTACATAGCCGTTCCTCTTTCCAAGTTACCTCTGATGTCTTCTGTGTATTTGTCATACGCTTTGCTGAGAGACTTGGTAAATCGTTTGTTGGTGTCATTGACATAGAGTACAGTTTCGTCGTCATTTTGCTTTCGTTCTCTGCTGTAATTAGCTTTGCTTTTTTCAATTTTTTGTTTCAATTCATTAGCCATAATCTCCTTATTTTCGTCCGAAATATCTTTCCCCAACGATGAGCCGTAGGCAAGTAAATTTGTTTCGGAATCTCTTTCTGCTGATTTATATTCTTCAATAGCCTGTTGGGAAATAGTTTCCTTGATTCTCTTTTTATGAAGTTTGTACAATGAATCGCTATTTAAAGCCTCCCATCCCTCTGGCTTTTTCTTTTGTGATCTCTTTCGTTTCTTTTCAAAATATTCGGATTCTTCTAGTGTGACATTTGGAATTTCCATTGCTTTTTCAATTACATTTTTATGATTGAAAAATGGTTTTGGTTTATATTCTAATTGTTCGTATTCTTCTATAGCTTGTTCTGTATTGTCATGCTTGGCTTGATTTAGTCTGAGTTGTAAATTAAATAATCTCTGGGAGTAGGAGGCTAATTTGTTTGACAAGTCCGATTTACCAACTTGATCATCGGAGTGTGTTGTTTTTTCATCTAGCTTTGATGATGTATCATTCACGTTTTCTGATGATGCTGATTTTTCCTCCTCATGATTTTGCTGTTCTTTATCAAGGCGTTTCTTGGTTGAAGATGAAGTGGTTTTTTTGTTTCTTGGCATTTTTTTATCGTTAGTCCCTTTTCTTTCTGAAACTCAAATGCCACAAACAATATTACTTAGACGAAAAACTAGACTAAGACCCCCTTCGGCCCCTTGTTAGAATCCCAATTGGATTCGGTGTACATGATTCTTTCATAAATTGTTTTATCATTCGTCGACGTTTTTGAAAGGAACTGTTTGCTTTCTGTTTTACCCATTCTCAAAGCAATTCATTTAAAACAGAATACTGTTCAAAGAGAATAATAAATAATATTTTATCAAATCTCTAATGCACACAATACAACGACTAGAGGGTCAAACCATTCAAACGATTTTCAAGCACAATTTGCTGTTGAACACGAGCTCTGGAACCCTCACCATATTCTCTAGCAACTGTTCTAAATGTGTCTAACTCATTCTTAAGCATCAATGCTTGATGACTCTTCTTGGCAACATTCAACGAGTTGAGTGCCATCTCCGCTTTCTTAATGAGATCTTTCATGTATTCATTCTTATATTTTTCAGAGTGAGATTCAGATTCCACAATTTCGTCAATCTTCTTTTCCGATTCTGTCTTATTTAATTCTCTAAGTTGAGGGAATGTCAATCCTGGCCACTTTGGCTTTTCAACAAATTTCAAATCTCCTTGAATGAATTCTGGCTCAGCATGTTCCAATGAGCTATGGAGGGCTTTTCTTTCTTGAGGAGAAGGTACTATTTTACAATCGCCATAAAGTTCTTGAACAAAAACTTTGACATCATCCAATGTTGGAGTTGTTCCCAACAACAATACAAGAGGGCCTGCATTCTTTGGTCCGATATCAATCTAAAAAGAAATTAATATAATTTAAATATATTCATTCCGAAAATTGTATTTCCATCATTAGATCATCATGAGGATGTTATGATCAAGCGACAGTGGTAACATTAAAACACATACATCGTATCCTTGATAAGAAAAAATAGTATGAGGAGTTGGCGTTGCTGGCATTTTTTTTTGAAATTGGAAATGGTTTTATTTTTAGCTACCTTAATAATATTCAGAATATTCTTTCATACTATTGAGGATTAATGACATTAACGAGGCCAAGCACATTTCGATCAATCGAAAGAAAGTAAACCTCTTTCTGCCAAATAACCCAAACAATTACCTGTACCACAAAGGTTGGTGAAAGTAGCTACATCCTCTGTACAGAGCTTGAATAAAAAGTGACAAATCAAGCTCTTGAAATTATAATTGTAATCACTCATTCGACCAATGAACAAACATTTGAGAGGTTTTGTGTCAAGATCTTGAGCATCGAGTGGATCTTTGTAAGGTTCTTGTTGCTGCGATGAAGATGGTTCATGTTCTTCATTGTTCTCGTCGTTTTCATCGTCGTCATCATCTTGGTTCATGGGTTTCGTTGGTTTGATGGATTTGGCGACTCTGAATGAAATGTATTCTTGAACTTGTTGTGGAATCAATGGTGTGAAATTTGGGAATGGCCAATTAGAATTCTCAAATATCCAATCGCAAAGAAGAGCTTTACACTCATTTCCTAATGTTGGTGTCTCATCATCTGATAGAGTAAGAGAGCTGGCCAAGACACCAACAATTGGAGTTAAATAATCGGTATACACATCTTCGTTGGTATTATAATAAACATAATCGCTCACAAGAGTGAATAGAATCATGACGTTAGGCACTCTTTTCGTATTCTCAATGGATAATAATTTTTTCTTGAATAATGGTGGAAGTTGTGTGAAAACTTGAACTGTATGTTTGATAAGCGTCAACAATTGCTCCTTAAATTCTTTCAAGTAATAGAAAGTGTTATCATCAACATGATCTTTTCTGAGAGTCATATGAACGGTGATACTTGTATAAAACTTCATAATGAGAGAAACCATGTCCATCGTTCTGTGTGTGTAAAGTACAATAAAGTTATTGTTACCTCTCAATTTAACATCTTGTTTTCAAAACAACTTACGTTGAATAAAATTCATCTGACATTGATTCCACATGAATACACAAGTTGTACAATGATTTGAAAATATCTTCAATACAAGAGAGTAGAAATGGTACAAAGGAAATGCTGTTAGAAATGGTCACATTGGACAAGAATGTTAAATCATTAACATCATCTAAATAGATTTGGCCAAACTTGTTGAGAGTGTGTTGTATCCAATCTTCAAAATAATACATTGCACTGTTCAACATGGTAACAACTACAGACAGCTTTCTCTCAGCAAACTTTTCAGCATTTTCTCTGTCAAATGTCATGTAGAACAAAAGTCTTCCAAACATGAAATGTTCTTCATAATTCAGTCTCTTAATAGTTTTGGTAATTATCAACGTTTAAACAACCATCTTGCATTTACTTACCCGTTCTTTAGAGAAGGTCTTGTTCACAGCTCCATCCAGACAATTCATAAAAGTTTCATTTTCAAGTAAACATGTTCTCAAAAATGATGAATGATGAACTAAATTAAGCAAGCATTTCATACAAGATAGTTGTATCTCTCTTGTAGAATCATTGTTATTCATCAAGGACGTAAATAATTTTGTAATAAACTCCAATACATCATACTTCAATACTGGTTCACATCCAGTCACTTCTCTCAACAGTAATCTCAACACAGACAAATTTCTTTCTAGATTATTGGGTGGGCTGTCACTAATCATAAACTTTTTAAATAATTCCATAAATTCTGATTTGATGTGTGCATCAGGAAAGCAATCGGGAATAAATCTTGTGCAACTTGAATATTCTCGTAGAAATTGTTCAACAACAGAATTCCAATTGATGGTGGTAGAAAATTGTTCATTCGGAGAAGAGTGCTCTTGATGGGTGCTGGATGATTGCAACAAGATTTGAATACATTCATGAAGAGGGCCTTCACGTTTTATCATTTTTTTGAAATAATCCAATCCATCACGTGATTAAAGTGGAATGCTGGCACATCTTGAAAACTCATATCTTGTATTTATATGATGAATTGATTTTAAGTACCACTAAAGAACAGCTTTGAATATATATTTTGGAAGAATGTATTTCCCTCCAATTGTAGTTAAAACCATGAGATCGTTTTGCAAAAAGCCTTACCTGGAATGAAAGGCTTTCATGAATTCACAGAGAGTGATGAGGCTTGCTCTTGAATTGAGAAACAACACACAAAAAAAACAAAACATGCCAGCCACACTCACCTCCCAGACATCATCGACGAGCAACGTCACTTCTCACTCCTTCTCTCAAACACAACAAACACCACTTTTCATATTTGACAGCATCAAACGGAATGATTTTGAACAAGTGAAACTCTTTATACAGCAAAATCCAAGCCTTCTGACGTGTGTGGATGATCCCGATCAACTCAATACTCCATTACATGTTTCTTGTCAGTGCAACCATGAAAAAATTGCATTGTTTTTGCTCGATAGAATCCAATCCATGATGCCAACATTGGGTTATTTATTAACACAAGAGAATGGATCAAAACAATCAGCAATCATACTGGCAAGCCCTCGTCTGAGGGGTATGATGAAGGCTAGCATGGAAATATTCAAGATGAAGAAATTATTACTTGAAAAGTATAAATCCAAGTCTTGCTCCATGTCACAAAACAATAACAGCAATGACCTCACCTGCTCTTTAACAGCGTCCTCTACAGACAGCATTGAGAATGTCAGAAAGGAAGCACAAAAATTATATGAAATGATGCAATAAATATTTATTAATCAAATGGAAATGTGTTGGATAGAGCAATAGTCTGGAGAAGGTCAATCCTGTTGGGAAGGTAGATATCAGTATTGATACTATGAACAGCCTCCAAACATTCAAACCTTTGTTGGTTTGGATGTTCAATAGTAATGGTGCGAGCTTCTCTTAATTTTTCATCTGTTTCAAAGACGGCCATAAACGATTTCGTCTTTACAATAAAGTTGGTAATGCATACAGTCATGTCAGAAATCGCTACACGGTGCTCCAGTTGTTCTGAATATTGTGAGCTTAATATTGCTACTTGTTCCAAGAAGTTGACAGCATCAGAATCGAGTGTTGAAATATGATCATAGTTGTCTACAACACTAAAAAGAGAAGTGTTCCCATGTACATGTTTTTCTAATTCCTCAAATCTTTTTCTAATGCTCACATAATTAAGTAGAATACTGCCTCCTTGGCCCCATGTTGGAATTTCTTGCACTTTGGGCTGTAGCTTTCCCAAATACAACAACAGCTCGTCATATCTGTTGCAAAGAATCAAGGAAGGGAAAATATGGTCTAAGAGAATCTTGTGAGCTTTAGCAAAATGATTTGATCTACAAAGCTTTTCAAATAATAGAGGATATGAATTTCCATATTCTGCGAATAACGCAGCTGCTTCCTCAATCCAAATTTCAGGTAATCCAAGTGTAAGTTTCATAAAGTCAATATTGTTTGGACGATCGAGAAGGGATGGATAATTTCTGAACAATAGTTCTCTAACAGCTCTATCTCTTGAATGAAGTAGCTTATTCTTTTTGATTCTAGAGACTGTATTGTTTTCTCTATCTAAACTTTGGGATGATAGCAAATCTGTTGATAATGCACTAGTGGTCTCATTGTGACAAAGGATGACAATAGCATGATGCCAGTAACCAGCTTTCTCTAATTGTAGAGCGTAGTTCGTGTGAATTTTGTGCGCCATGTTGCTAGATTGACCAATTAATGGAACCCATCGTAGAATATTGTACATGTGCCATGAGAGTTGACAATCCATGATGTCATTGCAATATGTATAGGGCTTTAAATATTTGCTAATCTCAAGAGGTACTTGTCTCTTAGATTCACAATATATCTTGATTAAATTAAATCTAACGTCGTGATGAATGGAAGAGGAATGGTACTTGGTTAATAGCAACGGCCTTGTGGATCTTGCTGTTTCGAAATAGGAGGTATAGCTTTGTAACACGTCACAAATGCTTTGATCAGGAGAGCATTTAAACCACAAGTGCAAACCTAAGCATTGAAGCCACTGAAGTGAAGTGTCCGTAACATGACCGGCTAACAGCTCATAAATCTTCTTTCTTTCAACATCAATATTAGCTTTTGTTTGGTTCCATAAGGTAATTTGCTTTTCAATATCTTTTTGAATCATAGGATTGGAGAAACACTGTGAAATAATTGCAGAAAGTCTCAAATCCTTATTTTCTAAAGCCACCTTAGCAGCCTCTGGAATTCTGCCACAGGTCAAATATAAATATATTTTTCTTAGAGGAGAGGGATTTTCGTTTCTAATAATGTCTTCTATAGGCATTTGATCACGTATCCAGGCGCTTAAATTTCGTTTTCTAGCAATATCATCTGCATATTCATTATTATCACCCATGTTAATTTGACTGAACAGAATATGGATCAATCTCCAAACACTTAACTCAAACGACCCTCTAGAACGAGTAATGTCCTTCACTTGTGGGGAAATATTTAAAGAGTCGATATGATTTACCATAGCTTCAATTCTACGTATATAATTTTCCATAACTGTGGAGTATTCTCCTTTAAGCCGAATAGAAATATCCTCTCTATAGCAATTCTCAATGACAAGATCTAGATACGTTTCATACTTTAAACGATAGAATTCTTCTCTTTGATTTTCAGCCACATTGTAATCTTCTTTTACGATAGTATTTGAAATAGATAAATTGGATACATTAGATTTAGGATTAAAAACTGAGTGAGGGACAATAAATTGACCATTAGGCAGAAATCCGACTCTGAACGATCTTCTCAAAGCAGATAGCATGTCTTCTGGATCAGACTCCGATTCCTTATCTCCCTTTATGTTACTTGGAACCGGGATAACAGACTTTTTTTGCCTCGTTGGCTGAATGGATGGAATTTCTGTTGAAAATGTTAAGCTTTGAAATGGTTCTTGGGTTGAAGTACCAACAAATCTTGTTTTTTTGGACTTCCTAGTGTTTTCAATAGTGTAAATGTCAGTGTCTTCATTTTCATCCATAAGATTTGATTGCATAAGGTACATTCTACGAGGATCTAGATTTAACTGCCTTGGCAGAAAATTTTTATGGGTGGTAATGTCAATCATTTCGTCGTTTCGTAAAAAATCGGTGTAATTATCATCTTCAACTTCCTCATCTGGCAAATAATGAATAGTCATTGATCAGCAAAGTAGCTTTAATCTACCTCATTACAAGCTAATATCTTACCTTCCTCTGCAACAATTTTAGATATTCTTACCAAATCTTGTTTGGTATCATTATTCTCCTGCTCCTCTTCAATTTCTTCGATTTCCTCTTCCTCACCTAGTCCATATTTTGTGAAATGTTCTACAGAGAAAGTCCATTGGCCGCTGCTATAAGAGAGAAACTTGCTACCATTATTTTCACAAACTTTTCGTAGTCTTCTTTCAAATGACTTGTAATCATTATTCTTTGGATGTACATCAAAAAGTGTAATAATAGTGGGCTTATTTAGTTCGGTTCCAACTGGTGGTTTTTCACCTTCGGTATATACATGCTCACTGTAAACATCTACATGATTTTTCTCAATTTCAAAAATAATTTTGTCCAAGTCCAAATTTTTGGTGACATCAGTAAATCCCAAGAATTTGAGCTCGCCATAGCCTTTTCTTCCAACTACAAAATCTCTGATTCCTTGAAGCTCAGTCAGAGTCATTTTCTTCATATCTTCCATTGATGGAACAGTATAGAACCCTTCTTTGGTTAATGTTGGAAGATAATGCGGTTTTTCAATTTCATTTGTTTGTACTGGCTCAATATCAATGGATATCACTTTTCCTTTTTGTGGTTTTGGTTTTACAATATTTGCGTTAGCAAGGTTTTGTGTATCTTGTTGTATTTCAGAAGGAGCCTTTGAAACTCTTTGTTCTGGCTGGTTCTGGACTCTCTTACCTTCAAATACCTTTGGAGAGATTGTTAGACTTTTAACATTTTCCTTTGATGTAAAAGATGAGCTATCCAGTAAATCTTCAAATGGTTTGTTGGGTTCGCCTTCGGTAGATATCAGAGCCAGTCTATCTGCCATAGTGTTGATACCACTTTTCTTGAATGTTCTTGGTCTAATTTGAGCTGATGTTTTTTGAACAGATTTAGATATCACGCTTGTTTCTTCCTCGAATTCTTTTAATTCAGAGGCACCAGATTCCTTGAGGAATTGATATAGAGAATTGGGACCATAAGGATCGCTCAAAACAGTTGGAACCTCAACATTGATAGCTGGTCCAAAGTTTGCGCCTCCAGTCATGGTAGCTCCAAAGCTGCCTCCTGGTTGAGAGAAGTTAAATCCAGCAGACGTGGGTGCAGTGGTGCCTGCTCCAAAATTAAAACCTGTACCTCCTGCAGTGGTGCCTGCTCCAAAATTAAAACCTCCTGTTGAAGGAGCACCTCCAAGTGTAGATCCTCCAAACCCGCTTGTGGTTCCTGTTCCAAAGTTAAAACCACTGGTAGTGCCTGCAGGTTGCGAAGGTTGAGCTCCAAAATTGAATCCTGTTGAACCAGTACCGGCTGTAGCAGTACCACCAGGTGCTCCTCCAAAGTTAAATCCAGTTGAGGCAGGTGCAGTAGTACTCGTTGCACCAAAATTAAATCCTCCTGTTGTTCCAGTATTTGAGGTACCAAAACCTGTTGTTCCAGTACTTGCTCCCCCGCCGAAATTAAAGCCTCCTGTAGTACCAGTTGTCGATGTGCCAAATCCTGTACTTGGTTGAGTTGCTGTACCAAATCCTGTGCTTGTAGTTCCTCCAGTACCTGATCCAAAGTTAAAACCTCCTGTAGTACCAGTTGTGGCAGGCTTGTTAAATCCAAAATTAGTGGTTCCTGTGGTACCAAAAGTGTTAGTAGTTCCTCCGGTTGTACCAAATCCTGTTCCTGTGGTACCAAATGTTGTGCCTGTTTGACCCGTGTTCGAGGTTCCAAAACCAAAACCTGTAGTTGCGGGTCTATTAAATCCTGTGTTTGCAGAAAAAGCTGACGTAGGTTGAGAAGCAGTGTTTCCAAAAGAAAATGAAGAACTTGTACCGGTTGTTGGTTGACCAAATCCTGTGGACATTCCAGTGGTGGTAGTGGTAGGTTGGGAAAAAGGACTGCTTGTCAACTTTCCTTGTGACGCCAATGTGTAGTACCACCTCCATTCCTCAAATGATTTATCTTTGTAGGGCTCCATTTTAGTAAGAGAATAGTAAACCATTTTTCCGCTTGTTCCATTTTCTTCTACAGGCTTAAATGCTGGAAAAATTGAAGTATTTGTTTGTCCTTGTCCCATTCCACCACCGCTCATTCCTCCAAATCCCATAGAGCCCATACCACCAGTATTGGTTGAAGTTGTAGGGAATATAGACCCTCCTGCGGTTGTATTGCCTGGTTGCCCAAAAGTAAATCCACTGCCTGTTGTTGTTGTTGTTCCTCCTGTTGTTGCACCAAATCCTGTACCTGTAGAGGAGCCAAAAGTGCTTGGAAAGCCAGAGGTTGTTGGTTGTGTACCTCCAAAACCAAATCCTGTTGATGATGTAGTACCAGTTGTAGTTGCTCCGCTAGATCCAAACATATTTGAAGATGTTCCGAATGGTGTTGAACCAGTTGCTCCAAAAGTATTAGTTGAAGTGTTTGGTTGAGCATTTTGGCTTCCCATCAAGTTAAATCCTGTGTTGGTTGTAGAAGATCCAAATGTTGTTGTTGTGGGCTTAAATTGTGTGCCAAAGGTATTGCCTGTCCCAAATCCAAAACCAGTGGCTGGTTGTCCTCCTCCAGTAGTGTTTGATCCGAATGTGTTAGTTGGTTGCGAGCCACCAAATCCACCCCCACCGCTTTGGCCAAATGAGAACGTGTTTCCGGTGGTGTTAGTTGAAGGTTGAGAGCCACCAAATCCGCCAGCACCAAATCCTCCTGTTGTAGAGCCAAATCCTCCAGTGCTTGGCTGAGTGTTACCAAAATTAAACATGATAATTAAATTAGAAGAGTGATTGGAAATCGTGTGCAATAAATGATAACTAAATAATAATTAAAACCAAATGTAAAGTATTGTTCGGATGGATTGAGAGAGTTGCCGATGAAGAAGGCAATGATGATAGAATTTTTTTTGTTGTTGAATTTTTTTTTGAGTTTCAGCGTGGCCCTTTGAGCCTCCAAAGAATTCCTTCCAAAGGACAATGGAAGGAATTCTTTGCAAGATAGGTTCATTCAAGTCCATTCGATGAGATTTGTTGTTTCAATGGCACATTTGATGTTTTGTAGAGATTGGTACCCTAGACTCTATCGTTGGAACATTATTCATTTAAAAAATACATTTTCAGCCTTATTATATCTGGATCATGTTCTTTTTAAAAATATGCCTAGTTCATCTTGTAATTCTGTCCCTGGTATCACGTTGCTTAGGCCAAAATGATAACCCGACATTTAATCTTATATCACCTGGTATTTTTTGATGATGAAGATTTATCTAGCCAATGGGTGTATTACAAAATTGCAAACCCAAACCGAGATTTACGCAGCATTAGTGGAATTGTAGAAGCTTGTTCAGGAAGAGTGAATATATTCTTTAAAGAATGTGTCCAGCAGTGTGATGATAGCAACAAGTGGGCTCCCAACAACACCAATTTTGATAGGAAATTTGTTACGGAGCCAACATCTTATTATCAACACTCAGTAGGGATTTGTGAATCAGATCCAAACTCAAAATGCTCTGTGGCCACGATATATTATCTTGGTATCATACCAATTACAGAATCCTCATCGATCAGAATTTCAGTTCAAGGGTTTAACAATGAAGGAAAAGTGGATTTGATAACAACCGATAATAGAGATATTAGCTTTGACGTCTTGTCAAGACGAGGCACTTTTAGCACACCAACGTACTGTAGCTCCACGAATGAAGCAAGAGGTTGCTCTAATGAGCTTGTTCCAACGCCGTCGTACCTGTTTTGTGCCGTGTTGATAAAGAGCCCTCAAAAAATCAATGCTGCTTCAGTTTGTGGATGTAGATTGGGAGATAATCTCAGCATTACGCAATGTATATCGTCCAACATGACAGGCCTAACAGAGTGTACTCTTGACAAGGGAAGCTTTGAAAAATTAGAGAAAGAGGAGTACTTTTTGAATGTGGTTGTGGAAAGAGAAGACGTCCCACCACTCAGAGCGTTTGCCTTTAATCCAGCCGCATTTACTTACGATCCAACAAGCAACGTTGTTGGTGTGGTAGTTGGAGTTTTGTTTGTGTTCATTGCTGGTTCGATCGTAATGACGACCGTGGTGATGGCAGTGATCCTGTATCGGAAAAAGTACTCTTCCTATCAAGCCATCTAACGAAATTGGTGACGACTGGCGTGATCAAAAGAAAAAACCGTGGATTGTAAAACATTAAAAAAAATTCCACACACCCAAAAAACGATCGTTCATCTCGTGGAGTAGGCTTTTTTTCTAGAGTGATAAACAACACTGAAATTTACATAGTACCGAGCATATCATATACAAAGGAGAAATGAGCACTGCTAGCAACGTACAAAACAAGCAAGACGACAACAAGATCCAAGTCTCAGCCACTAAACAATCACTCTCTTTCTATGTTTATTTGGCAAAGAAATTCTTGAAGAACAACAATGAGATTGAGCTTAGTGGCTTGGGAGGAGCAATCAACACTGTTGTTTCATGTGCCGAGATCTTGAAGAATCAAAAGCTCGCTACTATTTCCAAGATTCAAACTTCTACTGTTCCTGTTTCCGGAAAGAACGACCAGTCTTTCCAAAAGGCTAAAATTCAAATCTACTTGAAGAAGACTGCTGAGTTTAATTCTATCATAGCCAAGCAAGAAGAGGAACAAGAAGAGAGAAAGAAGCAGAAGGAACAGAAGTAAGCTGATGACGTTGTTGTTTTTGATTCAGAATTCGTACTGATGAATAAAGATACGTTTATTTGATTAGGAATCACTATTTTAACGCGTTGATGAAGAAATCATTGTTCGGGTATGCTTGCCAAGAGATTGTAAACTAAACGACGGGATTGTTGCCAAAGAATTGAAAAAAATATTTTGAGGCTGCTTGTCGTTGTTGTTCTCTTTTCATTTCATCACGAATAATTACTATCAATTTCCATTGTCATCATCATCATGGTTGTTCGATATGCCACCAAGGCTTTGAACTCTTTGAAAAGTACACTCAAGTATCAGAGACTTGAAGACCTTCCACCATCCATCACGTATCCTCTCAAGCGTTCGCCCCAATTTGCTGCTTTTCTTCAAAAGAAGTTAGAGAATAAAGGAAGAATTGAAGAGGAGACTGAAACAAATCCAGAAGCTCGAGAGAGAAGGACCAACTATGAAAACCTGTTTTTAAAACCAGACTTTGGTTTGAAGGTAGATTTACCTCTCACTTCATCCACCGAAACAACATACTCATCGGAAAAACATGTTGGAACTCCTATGAAGAAAACAATGGAACAAGCGGTCGCAGATTTTGAAAAGTTTTTTGAAGGTTTTAAAGGAGAGTCATTTGCTGGATTTGACATGGAAACATATCAACGAATCCAATCTGACATACCAATGCATTCATTGGCAAATCTTTTGAAATCCCATAAAATTACTAGACACAAAACCGTGAGCACTGAAGAGCTAGCAGAACGAATTTTTGATAGTGAAGAAATGCGTGCCTATGTTACAAAAAGAAACGAATTCATTACTCAAAACAACATCCAAATTCCAAACGAAGAGTTCCTTTATGATATGCCAGTAGAGTTGGAAATAGAAAGTATTGTCAAACAAAATCATGAACCACTGCTGAAGTGGATGAACGACCAATGGCAAATATTTGTTAATTACTCCAAACAAATGCAAGCCTTCAACAAACCATACTATGAAACATACGTTAAACAAAACACAAAGTCTGAGAAAGAAGCAGCATTATTACTTGACACAATTTACAAGGTTGAGGAGATCAATTTTCTGCGTTCTAGCTTGTCCTTCACAACACAACCATGTTTTCAAATTAGATTGAAGGAAGTCAAACCAATTTTGGATAGAATTGCTTCTCTCACTCGGGATTTTGAATCCACAGTGCTTCAGATTACCAGATCTAAGTATCCACAACTTTCCAAGATGGTCGAAAAGCTTTCTCAAGTTTCAAAAATCAAAACGGATTTTTTGGCTTCCAATCCTGAGGCTCATCTTTATTGGTTGCAAGCATCTCCTATTAACAAAATTCATCAAAACTATCAAGAAGAAAACAACACACCCAAGTTTATGGGCGTAGTGTTAAACTCACTCAAGTCGTACAAGGGTCAATTAGAGCCACTTTTTTCTGTTGAGGAATACAATGAATTCAAAAAGGTTATCATTAACAACATTGATGCATTAGATAATGATACTTATGGATTTTTACAATCAACAGTCGAGAACTTTAAATCTGACGCAACCATGGATCTTAGACCATTGGACATTTCAAATAACGAAGATGCCTTGGTCATGAAAAAAATTAATACTAGAGTGAAGAAGGCTTTGAAGGAAGGAAAAACTCCATTTAAGGCCATCTTTAACGTTGATAATTATGTTGAGCTTTTCTCTCACCTTAGTAGAACAAGAAATTCTGCTGAAATCAAAGAGATGTTGCCAGCCTATCAATCAAAGTATATCGCAGACACAAAGCTACCAATACATCATCTCACTGTAAGAAAATCTTATGGATTTCTTCATTCTGGTATCAAGTATCCAGCTGATAAGGTTGTCAAGTTGACAGTGCGACTTGCTGACATTGACTTTAGTTCTGACATTGCAAGACAAAACTTTATCAAGCTTGTAAAGGGAGATATGAAGGCCAAGTACAAAAAGAGATTTAGTGAAATCAAACAATCCGTCACGTTGAGATGTAGTTTGTACGACACCAAAGAAGAGAATATCAACTACCTGCAAAATCTGTTGGTTGAGCTTATTAGAGCTGCAGAAAGCTTTGATACCCTTATTCCTGATGTCCCTTCCATCACAACCACTGAAACTAGAGAACAATTACAACAAAGATTCTTGGACGAAGATACTAAAGCAGAGGCTGCTCTTGAAGCTTGGGCAATGCATAGAAGGGCTGGTAAGGTTGCTGTCGGTGCTGACCTTACTTATGGAGAAGGCGTCAAGAAAGAAGAGACACGTGAAGAAGAAATTGTGGAAGATTATGGTTACAATACTTATAATGTGGAGGATTTACAGGACATCAATATCGATGAAGATTCTAATTTGAAGAAATAAATCTCAGGTTAAAAAGGTATCAATGAAGAGTTCCTGTTAACAACGATTCTGAACGCTTAATTACTGAATATTCTTTTTAGAAATGAGCTGCATGATTTCTCTTGTCATTATGGAGCATTCATGTCGTGGACAGGTGCTATCAAACACACAATACAACAGGCTATGATTTTTCTTGAATGCAAAAATAGCAAGTTGCTTGGTGATCACGTACGTTTCGTTGATGTCCAAATTAAATTCTTCACCTTGTTGTTGTGGGTGAAACACATCAAAAACGGTCATCATGGAATTAATGTAGAATTCCCTGAGTGAATGTTCTATTCTTTCATAGGTTAAGGGACTTGTATCGCTGTTAACAAAATTTTCATAGATAAAGTAAGGAGAAGATCCTGTTGAATTACTCATGAAAAGCAAGGCCTTAATTTTAGCCAACTTTTGAGCATCTGACGTGATTTCATTCTTTTCATCAAGCTCTTGTACGAATGAGAGAAAGGATCTTGTCAAGACGCCTGATAATCGAATTATTGATCTAGACCAATCCTCACTCTTGCTTTGAATAGCAGTTACAATATCATAACCCTTTAAATCTCCAGTTACTATTGCACAGTAGTGAATATTATCGATTAATTTGATGCATAAAAATCTTGTGTTGACATTTTCGCGTAACACGAGAGGAATGTCACGAATAGTAGCATCATTTTCTGAATGAGATAATGAATTCAAATAAATAGAAAGAGCTGTCAATTGTTGTTGGTTGAGATACTTGTGCCATTCAGCTCCACAAAAGAACAAACCAGCATTCACATAAATGGCAGAGCACAATAACGTATTCTTGAATTGAGTAAGGAGGTAATTCATGCATTTAACCAAGAGAATTTCTACCTCCTTGATATCAGGAAACTTTAAGGTTTTTCTGCCAGGGCGTAAACATAATTGTTCAAATGGTTGTTGTAGAAAGGAGCTCACCATTGATCTTGAATCTTCGTCAGTTTCATAGGTTTTCTTAAATGATGGAGTGTAAGGAGAGGATGATTGTAATAAATATGTAATGATGTCAGTCAACGAATTCAAAATAATTTTCACTTGAGGTATTTTCTTTGCCACTTTGTCTGATGGTTGCTTGTTTGTGATTGATGACAAAGTAGTCTTGCTAATAAATAAATAAATTACTGACTCTAACGCCTTCAAAAATGTTTCGTTGCAAAAGTGTTGGTAAATAGTATTTGTTCTATTTTTCTTCTTTTTCTTCGATTGTTTGAACTCATCTCTATTTTCTTCGCTATCCAAATGTTCATCATTATTTTCGTCGTCTTCGCTTTTTTGAACATCAGCAACCATTAACAACATGGCCATCGAGGGAGGAGTATGTTGAAGTGATCTCACTGTGCTATTGTTCACAGTTGCGTTCGGTTCTTCAATATCTAAAATTGGCAAAAAAGTAATACATGTATTTTCGCTTTCCATCACCATCACTTGATGAGTACATGATGAAAATGATCGAATAAAAGTAGTGTACAGTAAACTAGTATGAGAGGTGTCGGGAAGTAAAGATTGCATCATCGGAGCTGAGTGATCTCCTCCCAAAGACGAAGCCTTGTTGGATTGAAAGTCAGAAAAGAAGGATGAAAATGTCGGAAGAGAAGAAGTAAACATCATCATCATGGATGAATTTAATGTTGCAGAACTTGTAGCATCCTCAGCAGCCACACCTCTCTTCAGCAACTCGGTGCAGTTACAATCCATGACGCAAACCCATCGTCGAGCCATTTTTTTTGTGCTTCCTTTTTAGTATTGAGACAGGTTTTATAACAATTGATTCGAACCTTTCAGTTGGATTTCAGTGTTATTAAGAAACTAAATATTCCATCAAGTCGAAATTCTAAATTGAAATTACAATTATTGTTTCAATAATAACAAACCACATTGTATGAGTGATGGGAAGATTTAGAGATCAGGTCTATCCAAATCCAAATCCATTGAGCGGTGAACAAGCTAAAGTGATCTTCACTGCAACACACTTCTTCTTCTTCTTGCACTTTCGTGTAAAACTGGATGTGGAGAGACGTCGCTGCGATTGCTGTCTGTGGCTTGTTCAAGCGGCCTGCTCAAAGCATCCTTTTTTCGATATTTAGATGTTTTTGTTACAACGTCGTTTATTGGAGTGTTTGTAAGGCTTCCCAAATTTGTTCTCAGTTTCGAACCTTAATGGTTGGTCATGTGTCAACCATTTCAAAATAATTTGGACAAAAGGATGGACTTTTTCACGATTGATGTTCATTTCTGATGAGAATGTAAGAGTTAATTTCACAAATAATTCTTGTTGATCCATGTTCCAACATTTGTTCGAACTTTTGGTAATGATCTGAAACACTGTGGAACCAATGGTATAAATTTCTGACTGTAGCGAATGCTCCTTTTCATAGTTGTAAAATGAATGTCCATTGTGTTTGCTTTTGAAATTTCAATACATCTTTCAAAATCACGAGGGCCCTGACAAATCCGCAGCCAGAGCCCACGCGCGATTTTCAAAAAAATTGGCAGCAAACGTTATCATTGTTCATCATTTCAAGAAAGCTCTAAAATACGAGTAAGGCCCATAATGTTCGATGAGTGTTATGACATTTTCTAAATGACAAAAAGGACCAAGTGAATAATAAATCAACCTCTCTCAATTATTTTGTTGTTGTCTCCCAACCAAATCTGATTCCTAATGCTAAATCTACAGACAACAACTGATGAAAGTGATTCCACAAAACAAACTATGTTACCATTCCATCTTGATTTCATTGAATTCTTTCAAGAATAGATTCTAATTTTCTTCGAATCTCTGTAAATGAAGGTCTCTGAATTGGGTGTTCACTCCAACATGATTCAGCAAGTTGGAAATAATCGAGAATGGCTCTCGCATCATGACTAGGTGTGGAATTTCGAAATTCAGAACTGAATGACATGTACTCTCGTGTCCACACATTCACTTGTTCTTCCGTTCGGAATGGAATGATTGGTCGAGCTCCCTTAAGAACCATTTGAGGAACATTAAAAGGAGTGGCAATTAATGGAGTGGTGGTAGAATGTGAGCTTGCTGAACGTGTGGTGTCATGATCTGAAAGTGTTCCAATATTACTTTCAGGTTGTTGCTGATCAAAGAGAGGTTGTAATTTACAACTACCTGACACGAATGGTGTTTCTTCAAAGAAGACTTCATGCTATCAATAGAAAATCCGTTCCGTTAGAGAGTGTGTAAAATAGTGATGAAAGAAAACGAATAATCAAATCGTAGAGGTGTAAAGTCATTTGGAATTGATTTTTCACATGAACCATTCATTACTTACCATAATAATTCCAAAGCTATAGACATCCAATTTTGTGGCCAATACCACACGATCTTGTTTGGAATAATAGTGTGATTTTGGATCTTCCATTTGACCATTCAATTGTTCAGGGGCCATATAAAAGAGAGTTCCTTAATAATGATGAAATATTTTCAAGCACCATGGACATTGTTTCATAACAAAGAATATCACAAATTGTAATCCATAGGGTTCCATGAACAAGAACTTACCTAAATTTGTGGTGATTGCGCTTTGCATGGTAGTGACAGCCACCGTTCTAGAAATTCCAAAGTCACAAATTTTGCTTTCAAAATTATCATCTATTGAATAAAAATACCAATGAAACAACAATATAATTCTAATACAACTATAAATAATCACTTCTCACTTACCAAGTAAAATATTTCCAGGTTTCTATGAAGACAGTTGATATTGTTCAAAATTTTTTACAATATTGTAACTTGAATTTTATACTTACCAAATCTCGATGAATCACAGCTGGAGATAATCCATGAATATATTCAATACCTTTGGCTGCTCCAATTAATATGGAAATCTTTTTTGAGAATGTAAGAGGTTCAACTCCTTGCTTGCTTTTAAAAAGAGCTTTGTCAAGGGATCCTCTTGGCAAATATTCAGTGATCATGTACTTGCTATCGGATGTAATACATATTCCATAGAATGTGACAATATTTGGATGCTTTAAAGAGCTTAATAGGGATACTTCTTTTTCAAATTCTTCATCCATTTCTTCAGCGTCATTTTTCAACAACTTGATGGCAACATCTACCTTATTCCATAACTTGCCTGAATGAGTTGTGAAAAGAGGTTTGTGAACGAGGTTGTGAAAAGAAGGTTGAATCGAAACGATCATTTGCATTGGTTTTTGAAAAATTGTGCATGAATTATATAGAGAGAGTGTTGTTTGCCATACATTCATAATGAACCAATGTACAGTGAACATACCTTGATAAATAATTCCAAACCCTCCAGTTGCAATTTTCTATGGAAAGTGTTGTTGATGGACATAGCCAAGAAGAATGACTTACCTTCAAAATTTCAATATTCTCAATAGGAATAATAAATGAAGGTTGTTTTTCAGGATAGAGACCATAAAGTAAAGGTCTCTCCATTGCATTAGATTCTAGTAATTCATTTTCACCGTCATGGCTTCTCGCATCTTGCAAACTAAAAACTATTCTCTTGTCAATAATTTTCTGTTCAATGTGCTTTTCAGCTAATTCTTTTTGCTTTAAAATTCGAATTCGTTGAACAATATAAGATGTACACATGATGAGAGCAATACCAATGAAAATTCCTCCCACAAGAAATAAAATTCCCAATGGAACAGCAATTCCAATGACAAGGTCTACATTAATCGAATGATCTTGTTCACAAACAAATACTCGCTGTCCATTAAATGCTTTCTCTGCATATTTGAAACCTTTTAGGCATGGAGTGATGGAGATAGTAATGGTTTCAAATAAATTGATATTCTCAGGATTAATTGTAATATTTTGTTTGGTATTGAAGGTAGTGTCTAATAATTTGAGAGAAATATAAAGAGTGTCATGATCATAGGAATGAAGTTCATAGGTCACTTGATCACTTGTGAAAATTCTTAACATTTGAGTTCCAATTGGAATTCTTCGAGAGAACATGTCCACAGGTGCTACTTTGATGGTAATATTTTGTCCAGGATACACTTGTCGTGGTTGGAAATCAATAATGGACAAACTTTTAGTTGTCGTGGCAATATCATCTCCAAACAGTTCTGCTCTATTATTCGAAAATGTTAAACTATTCTCATCAATGACACTTTTCGCATCTTTGACATTATTCAAATAGATGGCTCCTCCACTATTGAATGCCTTATTATTTCGAAAGGTACATTCAGAAATTTTACATGTAACATCAAAACCTAACGTTGGAAACGATTGATAATAGAGAGCACCACCTCGAGCAGCTTCATTATCTACAAAGGTTGCTCCTGTCAAGAAATTACATTTTGAATTCGCTAAATAGAGAGCTCCTCCACCACTGGGTAACATGTAATTGGTGAGAGATCCTTCTAAAAATGGATTGGTTAACACTCGATTTCTTTCGAAATATGAATGAGCAATACTAATGTCACTGCGAATGGCTCCAGAAATGGTCAATGCTCCTCCACTTAGTCGTGCAGTATTTCTTAAGAAAATATTATGTTCCAAATACAACGAGTTCGTTGGACCTTTCACATAGATGGCGCCTCCAAAATCATCACAATAATTTCCTTCATAGGTATTGAATGTAATATTGCATTGAGATCCAGAGAGAAAATACTGAGATTTGAAATAACCAATATAGGTTGATCCTCCACTTCGTTTTGATTTGCTATTTCTAAATGTGTTGTTGTGAATTAAAATATTTACATAGGAGTGGATAGTTAAATCAACTGCATGATATCCACTGTTGGACTCAAATTTTGAATTCTTGATGGAAAATGTGTCAATTTCATGAATTGTAATTAATCCTATCTCATAGGATAAATAAATATTGGTGACAGAGTTATTCATGACACTTAAATTTTCCAGTTCAAGTGTTTTAAGGCCATACCCTCCCAACCACACATGATTGAGATTCTCCACTTGGCAATCAGTGATTCGAGAGTATTGAATATCTTCTAAATTAAGGAGATAGTCATCCGAAAAAAAATTAGAATTAAATAAAGATTGTGTGATTAGTAAATTTTCAATCGACCTCAAATAAAAGTTAGCTCTTCTTGATTCATAAGACATTGCAATAAATTGAACTGTTTGTACATTATTGACATTGAACAGCCCGAGCTCAATAACTTTGAAATGTCTCACATCCAACAAGTTGGAGTCTGTAATACTGATCATTGAGTCTGGAGTAATCATGGTTTGATGTACGTTATAAATGTACACGGATCCTACAAACGAACTAAATATTGCACAATTTGATAAGAAAACTCCATTCAGTGTTAGGCTTGCTTGTTGTAAAATATCATTATTGAAAGTGGTATTACGACAGTACATATTCTTTGCTTCAGGTACGAGCTGTGAAATGGCAATCACCGAATGGTACAAATTGCAATTAGTAATTTTCACACTCAAAGGTCTGCAAGAAATTACAGGAATGTGCATGAAAAGAGAGTTGAAATCCAATAATAAAATGTCACTCCGATCGAGAGAGGAGATGTTGGTGCACCACACTTGATTCGCTCTTCCATTAAATATCATGGAATGGTCCACATTACTTTTCACAGGAGGAAGAAATTCGGCTAAACAGAAATTACCATCATTACTCCACATTTCAAATTGAGTGGTCACCAATGCTCTCCGAGAGTCAGCTGCTGTCAAACTTGGCAAAACTATTGTCTCTACATTGTTGTTTAATTTTTGTAAACCAATGGATAGTGAAGGACATGCATTCGTCGGAGAATCTCCACATGTACTCGTGTTTGTATTCAAACTGTTGGTATTGATGTGAATTTGAAAATTAAATTCCATAGAAGAAGAGGAGGACATGGTGTTTCCATGTGCAGACCTCTCGTTCATGGATGATGCATCGACATTTCGAAGAGGTCTCAACCATTCTTGTTGTTGAAATGGTATTGAAAGGTTTTTTATGAAATGATTAGGAGAGAGGATGAAATTATGAAAACGAGAATGAGGTACTTTGGTCGGTACCACTACACGATGAGGATTCATGGAAGATGTCTTCGAAAACGAGAAATGTTGTGATGTCGAGTGAATATTTTGATGATGACGACTCGGTGATGAAGTAGTGACGACTGGAATGGCCAATCCGTACATGATCATCAGCACGGTAAACATGGTGCGTAATGAATTCAAAACACATAAAGATGCCATTTATACTATCTCTTGAAGGTTTTTTTTTATAAGCTTCCTTCTCCATTTGGTCAAGCGTAATCCTTGCAAATACATGAAACTTCAACCATCTCCTAATTATTACTGTCCATTCAATCTGTTTAAATTGTCATAATATTGCTGGGCTCTACTAACTGAGTAACAAACTGCAATTAGTTTTCACACTCAACACCTAAAACAGGCTCTAGTGGTTTTCATATTCAACACCAAAAGCAGGCTCGAGTGGTTGAGCTCTCAATGCTCTCTTGAGTGGATCGGGATAGTCTTGTGAGAGGTTATAAATTTCAACAGTTTCAACATCTCCAAAGCATGCCTTAATATGGCGGATATTGGCCTTGAGAACTTCAAATTCATTGAAAGGCATTTCAGTGCTCAAAGCCTTGATGCCATCCTTCTTGTATTGATCTCTCTTAGCAGCAATGAAAAGCATTGGCTTGAATTTCATATAATCTTTCATTTCTGTTGAGATGCGTTTCATCAAGACTTGTTCTTCCTTATCGTTTTCATCGCAAAAGGATTCCTTATATTTCGAGAGAAGCTCCAAACACTTGAGTTGCCAATCCAAATACTTATCAGCAACATAGACATATGCCTTAAGTGGTCTCTTCTTATTCTTGGACTCCTTTTGGAAGGATTTACGAAATGAGTGGAGTGTACTTCTGAGATATTCATCAATAGCCAAAAGAGATTGGTCAGCTTCTGGGGCTACGGGCCATTTGGCATTAACAATGGATCCTTCTTTCTTGAGGAATTCTCTCCATATATGTTCAGTAATATGTGGAAGAACAGGAGAAAGAATAATCGATTGTGTTTCGATAAACTTCAAAACAAGCTTCTTGTGCAACTTTTCAGAGTCTCTTTTCATAAATTCAATATACTTTGAAAGAGAGTCTTGCATGTCAACCCAAGCAGATTTGAAAACTTCCTTGTAAATCATGTCATTGTAGAACTTCTTGGATTGTTCAACACAAAAATTAATTCTGGCGTCGAAAATCTTATCAGTGAACAAATATTCAGAGTCGTCTTCTCTCATAGGTCCTTCAAGAGTTTCCTTTATCCATTCCACGAATGCATTAAGCTTAAGAACTGCACTGTTAGCATTGTTTTGTTCAAAATTGGCGTCAGCATGAGTGTCACCACTATCACATAGGACCAATCTAGTGGCATCAGCACCATACATATCAATAACGCTTTGCAAAGTTAAAAAGTTATATGAGCGCGTGCTCATCTTTGGAAGCTTGACATTACCACTAGCGAAAATAGATCCTGGCATTTGGTCTGAGAAAATAGCAGCATGGTTATAAAGGAACATGGTCAAGTGGTTCTTGATCAAGTCTCTACCGCTGACATGCACATCAACGGGATACCAGTACTGGAATTCGTTTCTCAAAGCATTCAGGGCCTCTTGACTGATACCATTGGTCGCAGATGGTTTCTTTCCATGGAAAATGTAGCTCCAGATTTCGTCGGTCATTTGTGAAGGCGTAATTCCGAGTGGACTTTCACCAGATCCGTCCAAAACACCACCTTGTAAGAGATGTGCAACAGTATGGAAAGCCATGTAAATAGTCGAGTCGCTCAAAGGTTCAATCAAGAATTGTTCATCCCATGGAAGTTTTGTACCCATACCATACGATCGCGAGAAACCCCATTCTTTCAACCAATCAACGGTCGATTCAAGCTCATTAAGAGTAGCAGGATTGTAAACGTGGAGCTTTGTTTGGAGATGATCCGTCACAATCTTCTTCCAATCATCATCCCCATATTTCAAATACCATTGCTCAATCAATCTTACAACACATCGATCTCCAGATCTACTGATGACTTCATTGTCTGGTTCTGCATATGGAATTGCTATTCCTTGGCCGATCAACGTTTGTCGAATCTTATCATTAACCTCTCTCACAGTCTTACCATTAAACTCGCCTTCAATGATAAAAACTCCTTCGTTCAATCCATTAGTTTCATCCTCAGCTTGTTTCAAGGCAATCCTGTCATTTTGAGATTTTACCTTGTATTTTTCACATAGAGCTTGTGCGCACAAAGTTCCATATTCTGGTATGTCAATAATTGGAATTGGATCAAAAAGATATTCATCCTTGATACCATACTTGGATCTAAGTTTAGGCGTATTCTTCAAATCTTGAAGTGCAGCATAATCAGCTGGAGCATCAGAAGGAACGCTGGCGAGAACACCAGTTGTCTTTCTTGCTGAAATAGACATCATTGGCAAAACATAAATTGTCCTGAGCGGTGACAATGGAGCTTGAATAGCTGCTCCCATCAAATCTGCACCCAAAAATTTGGCATGTTGAACAACTTTTCCGAGCTTAGGACTCAATGCTTGCCAAGCAAGATTTCGGGCAGCTCTTAAAGTACAAACAATAATTTCACCATTATTTGTTTCAAAAGCTCCATACTCAATATCAGGCAAAAGCCAACAGTTTGTTTGACCAAACATGGTTTCTGGACGGAGAGTGGCAGCTCCCAAATAAACTTTTCTGTCTTCCAAATGCTTTAAAACTGCAGGGTATGGTTTCTGCAAGAACAATTTGACTATGGTAAATTCTTGTGGTTTTGCTCCCTCACCCACAGCTCTATCATGATCAGAACATGGCTGGTTATCTTTTGGAGAGAAGATGCTGTATCGCTTACCAAAGCAAATTCTATCTTGTTCTTTCAAACGATTGAATTGCCAACGAATGAATGAATCATAATATGGGTTCACATCTGTTGTAATGAAACTTCGCCTAAAGTCACACATAACACCAAACTTTTGAAGATCCTTCTTTGCAAGAGGTGGGAAATATTCCAACCAATATTTAGCATTAGAAAATTTTGCAATTTCTTCATCTGGCAAACCATTCTTTCTCATAATATTCCATTGATATTCACCTGTCTTTACTTCAGCATTTTCGTCTACAACTTGTTCTTCTTTATCCGTGTTGGTGACTTGTTTTTCTGGGAATTGTGGAGGATTTCCAAAGTCTTCGATTTCTCTCTTCAATTTATCTGCACAGGCTGTGATTGGCGTTCCAGTACAGTGGAATCCGAATGGAAACAAGACATTCTTTCCCAACAATCTTTGAAAACGAGCTTGGAATTCAGCCTTGGTCAAAGAGAAGGCATGTCCCAAGTCAAGCCTACCATTCATGTATGGAAATGGAAATGTAACGAAAAACTTTTCCTTGTGATCCAAATCAAGAGCGTTGACCTCGGTAACATGATTATCCTCCCAGAATTTTTGGATTTGTTGTTCGATATCAAGGAGGAAATCTCTTTTAGCGTACCTTTGGCTTCTTGGATTGTGAAGAGAAATTCCTGGCATTTGTCTTGTTTTTTTCGGTTGAAATGCAGATTGAGTGTTCCTGCGAATTTGCAGCGTATCTGTTATTCAATTCCAGTGAGTGATGAAAACAGCAAAAATTTCAGACTTTTCAACTAATCATCAATTCAATTACCGATTTTGTTGTAGAGTTTCTTTTGAATCTTCGCATATCAATAATTTTCAAAGTCATTGGATGATAGTAGTGGCTTGCATTATTACAATTTCAGTATTGTTAATAATACATTGAATTATTCTTCAAAGCCATCTCTGTATTTTTTTAATTTATTTTTCGGAATTGCACAATAGACGGATCTGATTTCAGTTAATAATTATTACCCCTGTGGTAATTCAAATATATTGACTAGGTAAACGGAAGCATGAGCTAACAAAAGGAAAGTCTGGAATCTCTAACCACCTCAAACCACATCCATCATCGCTGGTTAAATCAAATTTGGTTTTCGTTATTTTTGTTTGGTTTGTCATCTCTCACAAATATTTCTCACATAAAAAACAAACAGAAGGTCGAACATCTGCATTCTCATAACAGTGTTACACTCAGCGTTGAAACTCAAGTTCAACACACTACAGACAACAACATTCACACCGTTTTCACTCCTTCACAATGAACAGTGAATTCTTCAAAAGCATTTCGGACATACTTTCGTATCATGCAGGATATCACCGTTCGCCCAGTAGCAACCACCACAACAATCACGTGTTTGCCGATTCGTCATCATGGCTCTCATCAGTTCTGAATAACCTGTTCCTTTACAATACTAGTAGCAACAATAATGTGACCCATTCCAACTCTTACGTATTAGAACCAGCCATTGTGAGTGGAATTAACATTAGTTTGAGCATTTTGTACATTCTCACATTTCTAGGAGTCATGCTCTTTGTCGTTATTTTCACATCGTTACGGCCTGTGAGAAAGCAAATGAAGAGAAATCAACACAAAATGATCATGCTTGTTTTTTTATTGTGCATTTTGCAATGTTGTGGATTAATAGCACGTTTGTGTTACGATTCTTTTAATTTGAATATGGTATTACGATTGGATCATTACGTACAAACACATTATGGAAATAATTCGGAAATTCTAAATCAATTTCAAGTCATTTATTCCTACAATAATTCCATCGTCTCATTGGAACAAGCAGGAATTGAATTTTCAAATTTTATTGCTATGAGTTTCTTTGGAAGTGCAGAAGTGGTGTTTGTCTTGTTGAATTTAGTGGTCATGATGGTAGTCATGTGTTTTGTGGATAATGTTTTCTTGACCACAGTGAGAATTTCAAGTGGAATGGTTCATTCGAAAACCATACGACGAGTGACTACTCTCGTGAATGTCATTACTCTTGTATCTTCACTGACATTGGTTGTTTTGATTATGGCTGCATTTTTCTTTGTCTTTTTCCACAAATTGCAATGGATTGCAGATTATCAAACGTATTTCTTTATTGCAGGTTATGTGGTGTTTGTGCTTCAGATTATTCTACAAGTTGTTGTATCAAATGTAAGTTACTCGACTTGTGATGAACTTGGTTTGAAACGACGACGTATATTATTGGAAATTACTTCAACTCTTTGAATATATTCAAGGCGACAGCTGCCAGTTTATTAAGGACCATCTCAAAATTAACACAATCAGAAAATAAGGAAAAATCAAGACGACCCATTATTAAGGTCATGATTCTCCAAGCATGTCTTGTTTGTTGTGCATTGCTTCAAATTGTTGCAGTGGGTTGCGCTATTGGTCTGTACGATTGGATTTATTTGACTCTCTTCTATGCATTTGTCAATTCCTTAGGAATATTACTATTTGCTTGTGTGTCGATTGCCTTGTACCATCCCATCTTTACAGATACAGCCAAAGTATTTAGTGAATTGAATCATAAGAATATGCCTTCCACCACACCAAATGTACTCACAAATGATGACATTACAGTCAATAGTGAGACCAGTGGATCTTCATCCATGCGTAGAAATTCCAAGTTGAAGACAAATCAAACAAGGAATGGTAGAAGCAATAGTTCTACCAACAACAACAATACCCATAACAAACAAGAAGTTGTGCCAACATCTTCGTCATTGGCAACATCCCCTCAAACACCTGGTGTTTCTTCAATGGGAAATGAAGACATTTCGGTGGATGTTATCAGTGTTTAAAGGAATCAATCATGATTCCAATTAGCACAGTGGTAGTCGTTCCCCAAAAACTCGAAATGGGTGATACTCCCAACAAAACCACATGATTAAAAATGCTTCAAAACACATCAACAACACATTCCGAGAGTGAAAGAAAATTCGTTGGCAAACTGATCAGCTCCCAACAACAATCCCAGCAATATGCTGATGAGAATTTAAAGAGCAAAGCCCGATCACTCATTCCTGTGGATCGCATTCATCAAAATGCGCAAGAAAAATTTAAGTTTGCAAAGGAGCGAGATCCGAACTCTAAGCCCCTTTTAGAGCGAATGATCATTCAAGAATTATTAAATTGGTTTAAAGGAGAGTTTTTCAAGTGGGTAAATAACCCTCCATGTGATTATTGCCAATCGACACGAACGCAGCTTACAGGAGGTACAGTTCCGAATTTTGAGGAGTCAGCCAATTTGGCTGGAATGGTTGAACTATATTCATGCCAGGATTGTAACAAGATGACTCGTTTTCCGAGATATAATTATGTTGGAAAATTATTGGAAACAAGAAGAGGAAGATGTGGTGAATGGGCTCAATGTTTCACTTTGTGTGCAAGGGCTCTTGGCTATGATTCACGTTTTGTGTTAGATTGGACTGATCACGTGTGGACTGAAGTATTTTTGGATGGTTCTTGGGTCCATTGCGACAGTTGTGAAGGTGTTTTAGATTCTCCACTCATGTACGAATCTGGATGGCAGAAGAAATTATCCTATGTAATTGCATTCTCGGTGGAAGAAGTTGTTGATGTAACGAAACGTTACACTCAACACTTTTATGACAATGAATTTCAAAAAAGGAGAAGGGATGTTGGAATCAGTGAAGAATTTCTTTTAGAGACATTACGAAGTCTGAATAGCCAACTTCAAATATATTTACCTCCATACAGAGCTACTTTTATTAAGAAAAAACAGGAAAAAGAAATGGAAGAATTAGAAAACAAACAAAAGCAAAGCATTAGTGAAGATGATCTAAAAGATGAAGAAAAAAGAGGAAGAATCTCTGGTTCTCAGGAATGGAGAGAGGCAAGAGGAGAATCTGGAAAGCAGTGTGAGCCTGGAGCTAGCTGTTCTGTACCCCAATTCGCAATGGACAAGTCAATAACTGAAACGCTAGAGTCGTTTTCTCATGTCCAAGATATTATCACGAGCAAGAGAAACTCCATTATTTGTTTAGGATCGAGTAAGATTGTCAATGACAACATTGTCTTAACTGAAGACAAAACTGATCAAGTTGGCATGGCCGTACTGAACGAAGAGTTCGCATTGAACGAAGATGTGTTGATATCATTCAAGTTTTTAGTTAGAAAAGCTTCAGGTACAGGCGCTGACGGATTTGCATTTTTGTTGCATTCAAATCCACAAAACAATTTGGGTATGGGCGGATCAGGCCTGGGTTATGAAGGCATTCCAAACTCTATTGCCATAGAGTTTGATACATATCAAACAGTTGATAGAACGAGAGATCCAAATTCAAATCATATTTCTATTCAAACTAGGTTTGTTTTCTATTTTCATATATTTTGGTTTATTCCTTACAAACTATGACAAAGATATAATCAACCAAATTCAGCTAACCATGACTATTCATTATGCTGTCCAAGCCATCTCCCTATTACGATTGGTGATGGCTTACCTCACACATGTAAAATATTAATTCAAAACAATAAGCTTACTGTAATCTTGGATGACAAGTATTTGTTCCTTAAGGATTTTGTCATTGATTTTCAGCGAATATTAGGCAATGGCGGAAAATTCAAAATCGCTTTCACAGGCGCAACTGGAGGTCTTTCAGAAGAGCACACTATTTTAAGTTGGACTGTTTCATACAAGACACCAAAATCCAACAATGAACATTCAGGCAAAAGGTCTCTATCACTGGATAGTTATATTCTCTTTGAACAGGGTAATGTTTCAGGAATTGAGAAGAAATTCAGAGAGTTTTGTGCACTTGAGTCTAGTACAAGCATTTCAGAACAACAAATTCAAAATTTGCTGAACCTTTCATCGTGGAAGATGGTTGATTGTAGCTTGGCTATATCAATAATCAAGCAATGGAAATTTGATCATCTGTTTCCCGTGATAGACTTGTTAAGATTGGCTGTCATCAACAACAAAGCAGTAGCTCAAACATTTAGCAAGTTGTTTATTCAGAATCAAAAGGATCATTTACTTCTAAGTATTTTCGATAGGCTAAAGGTTGCAAACGAGACAAATAGCTATTCATACTGCCTTTTGACTCTTCGACTCTTGAACAACATGTTTACGGAGAAACTAAGCAGGGTTTATGTGAACAAATTCTCAGAAACCATATTGGAACAGCTTTGTGAAAACAAACTCTTCTCTGCGCATTCGAACAAAGCCTCTGTAAGGAATGTTTGGATCACCACCTTCTTTAATTTGTCTCTACTTTTTACAAAAGAGCTTCCATCCGAAGAAATGACGTTGAGACTGTTCAATATTGTATATGAGTTTTTAGAAAAGGAATGTACATTGAGAGAAGATATAGACGAATCTTGTTGTGTGATGGCTTTGAAAGCATTCATGGTACTTTTGAAAATTGGTTCAACAGATTCTCTCAAAGAAGAGAGTATGCTTCATGGTTTGGCTTTGAGCATGAATCTTGCTCAACTTCTTACCCAACAACTAGCCACAAAATTTAGTGACACTCAAACGCATGCCCAACTCCATGATTTTATCCACACTTTAATGCAGCACTTGGAGTAGTTTGAAACAAATTCTTGGTGTTTAAAGTTCGTGCATGTTTCTGCAAGAAAATTTTTTTTCCCGCTCTCGGCTTACGCAAATCTTTAAAAAAAAACGTGTGAGAGATTTGTCAGCAGCAATCACCTCAAGACCATCAGCAACTTTATTTTTTTATCTCTCATCCACAAACAAAATACCAACCTCTTTATTTATTAATGCAACAAACGATAACAACACGCACTACTTGGCAATGATGAACGATATTGGTCCCGTAAAGGTTCAGCCCATGCTGGACAAAATTTCTACCCTCATCATCACACAAACAATATTAACGCCATCCGTAAATAATGGAATGCTTGAGTCTGACCCGTATCTGAGGAAAACCCTTGTACAGCTTCCTCAAGAAAAGTGGTCCTTATCTAAAATGGATATAAATACAACAAAATTTGCCCTTGAAAGCATTGGTGTGGTGGATTGCTTTGAAGGAGTAATAAGGTACAACAAAACAAACATCAATAGCGTGATAACACCCAAAAAATTTATGGATATTTTAAAAGTAACAGGAGAGCCGCTACCCTATAGAGTTCTGTATATTGATAATGATATCAACAATATCAAAAGCGCAAAAGAGATCGGAATCTTGACATGTCATGTGGTGCAAGGCTCAAACGGTGTTCCTCTCCCAAACACCGTAGATTTCCAAATAGACACAATCTATCATGTACAGACCGACCTTAAGGAATTGAAAAGTAAGTCATTATCGTTTTTATTGATTTTTGATAACTATCATGAAGATTTTAAGCGACAAGGAGACACTGACGAAGAACGAGGCAGTCCTTTAGCTATCAGAAATGATATCGTTAATACCAAATCAAAACTTATATCAAACAGTAGTACTAATCTTGACAAACGACACATGGTTTCCTCGACGCTCTTGCAAGAAGATCTTCCTTTTAAACCCAATCCCATCCAAAGGCCCTCTCCCATCGTTAATAAGGCATCCCCAACTCCTGAAGTTGTGGAAATTCCAAGTTCAATACCAGTAGACAAAAAAACGCCCTTAGAGAAAATTAAATTAAACTCCATTGATCCCTCTTCGTCAAGCAACTTTAATAACACAAATATAGGAGTGAGAAACAGTATGGCATCAGAAAGTTCTTCGAGCAATACGCCAAAGAAAAAGAAGAAAAGGAAAAAGAAGGAAAAAGAACCTAAAGTCTCTGATGGGGCAGGAGACGATAGCGGATCAGAAAAAAAGAGAGTGAAACAACTACCACCTCTGCAAACAACGCCAAATGGTCTTAACCATGTTATTGACGACATCACGTTCCCAAAACAAAAACAAACTGAAATTTCCAATACCAGCGAACTTTTGAAAGATTTAAACTTGGATGAAGCACATGGAAAGAAGAAGCTAAACCCTTTACCTTTTAGGAGGCCAGATGATGATCCTTTCTCCATTCAAAATAATTCCAAGAAAGCTTATTCAGAATTAATGTTTTAGAGCTTACTTGCACGAGAATTTCGTTGTCCAACGCTTGGTATCGGTGATATTGGCTTAAATGAATAAACTTCTTTAAGCAGAACATTTGGAGTATTGAAAAGGTGATCCAATTCTTGTCTCAAGTCTTTGAATGACCTCGTAGTCAGACATCTTTTGAGTGTGTCAAAAAGAGGTTTCAGTTGATCCATTGGGATTGAGAAATTAATGCTTGGTAAGAGTAAAGGCTGAACTTGGCCAGAAACCTGATCTGTTAATTTGTACTTGATATTGCTCGTGACAAGACCAATCAAGGAACCGTTCTTATTGAAAACGCCACCACCACTATTACCATCATGAACGAGAGCCGTTGTACAAATCATGGCTTTCTTGCTGCCAAGAGTTACAACTTTAGAAACTATCCCTTTTGTAATGGTACACTGTTTGACAGAGCGAGAAGTATTGATTGGTTGCATTAATGGATAACCCACTACAAATACCTCGTCTCCTTCCATTACATTTTCTTCTAGCTTTATGAATCCAGTTTCATCAAAATTAGAATGAATCCAATGACTCGCACATGTGTCATGAATTTTAAGAAGAGCCACATCCAGCTATCACAAAGTTGAGAAATAACTGCCATGGAATTAGTACTTACTGGACCAGTATTACAAAATAACACCAACTCTGCCTTGTGAAATTGATGGTTTTTCTCATTGTCTCGTAAATCAACATCTAATTGTACAACAATTGAAAAATGCTCTGGGAGATAACAAGCATCGCCTTTCTGCTGCATGTACGGAGCCATCACATGCGAATTGGTTAAAATATCTATTATTCATGGAGCCATACGTTTAACAACAAAAAAACCGTCAATCACACTTACAACCATTTTGTGAAATTAAAATTCCACTTGCCCAAGTATTGTTAATCAATATCAGTACAATATTATTTCTCACAGTATGATAAACATTAGATGTTTCTTGATTCTCTGTGGCCAATAAATTAGTATTCATTGTCGATTTCTTGCCTCCAATAAATTTTTCAACAAAAAGATTTAAAAATGGTTCAATAGAAATTATGATATTCAAACCAGTACTAGAAGCAAGTGATCTTATTGGAAGCGTACAAAACTATGATGAAACCAATAATTCAAAAAGTAATTTCATAATACAATCGTGAGATAATTATTGAATTTCTCAAATTAATACTCACACCAATGCATTTGGTTTGTGAGAGCACTTTAGAAAACACTGGAGCTCCCTCACAACCTGGATGTATTTGACAATCTGTTAAAATTGCCAAATTTTGCTTATTAGACGAATTATTAATCTTATTGCTGATAATTCCTTTCGATAAATGATTACTGAGAGAATGAGGAGAAAGCAATCCAAATGGAGACGACACCACATATAACTCTTCACCTTGATTTAAAAAATTAGCAAAATTAGAATTTCTGTGTGGAAGGTCAACAGAATATTTCTTTACAACCTCTCCGTTTGAAATTTTGAAAATTGCTATCGTAGAAGGAGAAACTTTTAAAAAACTGTTTGAAATAAAGTCAGAGGGCATGGATTTGTCATCAAAATGTGAGTGTGGTTCGGCAAAGAAGGAATGCGAAGCTTGTACAATTTTGTTGTTACTCTTAACCAATGGATGTCCCCAATACCATCCATGCAACTGAGATGTCATTTGATAAATATATTTGTCCGTCACCGTGTGAGAATATAACCCACAAAATTGAATATCTACTTTTGTGAAGGTGTGGCTTGATGTTTGTTGATGATTAATTATATTTTTTGTTTTTCCAAATCTTTTTACATGAGATGGTAAAATCTCACTAAAGATCATTTCTCCGTTTGGCAAAGTTAAAGTTATTTTGCATTTCAAATTTGGGTTTTGAAAAGATATATTATTTACATCCTCTTCGATTTGTTGTTGTGGTTGGTTGGATGATGACTGTTTTGTTCTTTGAACGAACGGAACAATGATAGTACCACTTGTAATTAAGTAGCATGATGAATCATTTTCGCTTGACACAATAAATCCACTTGAGGAGCAGCTCAAATCATCACCCGTTCCAGTCATATCATTTAAAAAGAATGGCAATTGAAATTCATTGGCTTGTAATGTGTTTTGTCCTGTAACGGTTACCATCACGGAATCTCCGAAAAGTTTTGTGTGCGATCGGCTTGTGGTGTTATCGGGAAGGGTTCCAGTATCATGGTGCAGTAATGATTCCGAGACTGGATGCCCTTGATTGAATGTACCGAAAGAAAAGACTCCTCCTTGCATTTTTTTTGATGACAAATCCTGCTTGTGAGCACACATGTTTTCAATGAGACATGAGAGCAAAATGTTTATTGAGATGATGATTGTTGTTGTCTTTGTTGGATATTCTTAACAATCTTTTCATAAATGGATTTAGAATAAACAACAGCTCTTCTGACAAGCTCAGATCTAATTCTTGCTGTTTCAATAGTTGAACCACTGAGCATGTCTCCGTTTTCAATGAGTCTTCTGGACAGATATGGCATGACATCATGGACCTTTCCAAATGGCACATATTTTCCAACATTGTAACCATGATATGCCAAAGCAAATGACAAATTGTCACCCATGCCATAGAGTTGAGCAAAAATAACTCTTGGATCATTCTTTTTGAATCCATACACCTCATTCATAATCCTACTGGTCATACCAAGTGTGTCTTGGTTATGAGAGGCAACAACAATACCAATATTTCCATGCTTATACATGCTGTCGAGACAAAATTCTACTCCTTTAACATAATTAACATGGGTTTCCAAAAGAGTTTGTTGGAAAGGATACGGCAGCTTCAATTCGTTAGCTCTTAAAGTTTCAGACTTCATATAAGCACCACGAACGAGCTTGGCTCCGTGATGAGCTCCGTGATTTGTCAAAAAGTGGTAATCAAATTGCAACCTATGGAAGGAGTCTTTCAAGTACAATTGATATGTGTTGTAGACTACCGGCGTATTTCTTCCAGCCATATATTCCTTAGAATTATATTTTACGCTCATCATGATGTAAAGTTGATCGATAGCTGCTTGGTAATAAGTTTGCTCTGCATCAATTAATAAACTCATTCCATTCTTCACGCATGCATCACACAATGAAGCCAATCGTTTCACTACTCTTTCTAGTTTCAACAGTTCAACCGATGTTAATGGCTCCGGTGGCGTGTTTTCATTCATATCAAATGCAACAGTTCTAGGGTATTGCTTGACTGTATATTCTTTCATTAAATCAAACGTGTTAACATCGTTCGAAATATCTCCAAAGAAATAAATGTTGGTGTTTAACAACTTCTTTGCATGTTCTGATTGCGGAAACATTTGAATATAGCACAAAATTTTGCTCAACCTTTCCAATAGAACACAGCTTGAAATACCTGTAACTTTTACCACTCCGAACGGACACGGAGGTGCAACGGTAGGTTCAGTAGATAATGTTCTATTCTGTTGACCCATGTATTCAATCGATTCAGCAATGACACTACAAATAGAGTCTTCAACTTTTTCGTCAGTATCGACAGTAATTGCACTGCTTTCAAGGGGTTGAACTGGCCCTTCAACACTGTAGTCTAAAATGCAAAGCATTTTCTTGTTTTGTGTTAAATCATGAATTACCTTCTTTGTCTTAGGTAAAGTTTCACCACCACAAAAGTATGGAAAGTATGTATATTTCACGGCCTGGTTCACAATCATGCCTCCTTTTTCAATGATTTCAGGAGCAAAATGTTTAACGAAGGGAAATCTTGTACTTGCTAGCGCTGCATAGGTCTTTAATAATTGAAATGATGATAAAGGTTCATAATAAATCTCAACACGAGTAAAATCAATAGTGCTATTTCCGCAAGTTTTTTGAACAATATTCTTCTCTTCATTTGATGGTTCCGTTGATGAAGCAGAGGTGGAATAGTGAGCCTTTGAAATGATTCCATGATTTTTCATCATCACTATTCCAGAAGCATTTCTTCGAAAATTCAATCGGTTGCAAGCCTGCAATTATGAAATTCAGTAACAGCACATAGAGTGAACGGACCGTTGGTGATGATGAAGAAAAATTTAGATAAATTTACTCACCCTGGTACCAGCGACAGAGCGTGGACAAGCTCGGAGAAGCATTTTTTTAATTCTGAATTTTTCCAAACTGGTCACCCAACCCAAGCCATTGTGAAATTTGGTTTACAATGGATATGCTTGCTCAACAATAATTACCAATGAATCCAAGATATAATAAAGAATCGTTTTTGTTCATGAATAGCTATATAAACAAGAAGCACCATCCGGATGATGAACCAACATTTACTTCAAAAAAAATGTTCGCTCATTCAATCATTTGCAAAACCGGAGGAAACCAACCACAAAACGTTTCTCTACTCCTTCGAGCAGGGTACATTGGTGGAATACATGTACTCAAGATGAGGAGAAGGAGTTTACTTCATGATACAATAGTTTGTTGTTGTCGCCAGAATTCACTCCAAATGTTTTCTCGGAATGTCATAGGAAGAGAAGAGGATAATTCTCACTTGAAAAAACCAAAGATTACCAATCAGATGATCATTGAAAAACTCAATACTTTAATGTCTCCAGAGAAGAGAAGCAAAGCCGTTCGGAAGATACGTTCTGATAGAGAGAACAAGGAATTAATTACTGAATTGGATAACCTTGTGTTGCAAGATGACAAACCTATATTGGCTCAAGTAGATATTCTGAAAAAGGAACTCGTAGAATTTGTTTCGGAAAGCGTAAAACAAAATTCGTCAGAAATTATTGAACATTCTGCACAACCTCAATCCTATTTCTCACAACAAGAAATTACCAAAATTCGTTCCATCTATAAGAACAGTGTTTTCTTTAAGAACAGCAACGTAAAGCCAGAAAGCTACTTTTTAAACTACAATGTTCTAGTGTATAAGTCAAAGGATCAAAGCGATTTATATTATATTGGTCATCAGCTTTTGAAATATGTGTTGACAAAATATTTCAATCAACATTTAAACCTAATAGTAGAAGAAAAGCCAGAAGACAAAAGGACATCTCTTAATATTATCAATGACGAGATCACCAAAGAATTCCAAATTCAAGAACACTTAATGGAATATTTCTTGAATCAACGCCAACTCTTCTACTTATACTCTCGTCAAAATAACCTTTACGAGTTAGATCCTTTTTTGAAACAAATTGACTTTACATCTGCTGATTTTCTTGACAGAACTGCTCATGAAAGATTGTTTAAGGCGCTAATTGGAAATATTTACATGAACATTCAATCTTTTGATGTCATGATGAACCATATTTTGTACCCTTTTATTGTCAAAGAATTCATTCCCAGCTTTACAGAACTCATTCAAAACAACTTGTCTCAAATTTCAACAAAAAGACCCTTCCAGAAACAAATGAGCATTGTTGAGCAATTTGAATATTTTCACTCACGACATTACAAATCTCTTCCAACATATACTTCTGTAGCAACAGCGGGAGATGACATACAAATGGTACAAGTTTATTCAAATAACAATCAATTATTGTCTATTGGATATGGCAAAGATTACCAAACTGCAAAAGAGGATGCAGCAAGAAGAGCAATCTTACACTTTTGTTAAATAAAAAAACATTTAATAATTAAAGTAGGAATACAACTATGATTTGGAATCAAAAACAAGACTTTACAAGAAGTACATAGCCTTATTGGATGGTTGGATATTGTGGTCAATTGGAACTTCCTTAAAGCTCTTGAACTCTCTGCCCAAATTCTCATCAAACGCCAAAATGCTAGCCATATTACCACAACGATAGCAGTAATTTGGAGCTGACCAAACAGTAACTAGGTTTTGCTCAGGGAAATGATACTTGTATCCTTCTTGAACAAGTTGGTGAGCACGGCAAATCAATTCAAGATTGTTCAAATGGTTAAACTCGCTTGTGACTCTACTTCCGAACAACCAGCCAGCTCCACGAGGGGAAACAGCCCATGTTTCAATATTCTCTGGATCTGACCACATGACATCACAAAATGGACCTTCATGAGGGATTTCTTGTCTACGATCAATTGTTCTCATTTGGTCAAGTGTACGAATATCAGGAGACAAACCGCCATGTACGCACAAAATCTTTCCATCAATGATAGCAGCAACGTTGAAACAATCAAAAACTTCACAACAATATTTCCAAGCATTAGCGTTACCGTATTTACGTTGACACTCATCATAGAAACCATAGATTTGAGTAATTTGGCGAGATTCGTGATTACCACGCAACAGAGTCATTCGTTCTGGATATCTTGCTTTCAAAAGCATTAAATAGGTCAACGTCTCCAAGCTGTTGTATCCTCTATCAACAAAGTCTCCCATAAATATATATCTAGTGTCTGGTAACTCTCCACCAGTTTTGAACAACTCTAACAAATCATGAAATTGGCCGTGAATATCACCACAAACTGTAACAGGAGAAGAAACAGGTTGAACGTTAGACTCTTCAATAAGAATAGATTTCACCATGTTGCACAATTTCTTTAAATCTTGCTCAGGAAGGTAATCACACTTCTTTACCTTCTCTATCCATTGGTCCAATTCGTTAGACATTGTTTTAATATATATTTATAGAGTTCTGAATAGAGGTGATAAAGACATGAATCGGTTTGTTACGGCAGTGCAAATAATATCATCAGTAAAGAAGATAGAAGATCATCAATTATGAAATAACAAATCAACCCGAATAATAAAAACAGCGGAATACAATATCAATAAAAGTGCCAAGTCATCATGTGTGGAACAATGATGATGATAATTATCAAGTATCCATTCCGCATCGATAATAGTCGTTAGTTAATATATATATATATTATAATAATATTATAATCAGACAGATAACCAAAACGTTTCGGCGCTCATGATGGATCACAAACAAAAATAACGTACGAGAAACTTTGATGATTTTTTTAAAAAGGTGTTTTTATTATTATCCATCATGACAAATTCATTTGAACGTTGAGTTCATTGATATCCGGCCTCAACGAAATAATTATCATTCATTCATGCCAATAATCACTAATGATGAGAACTTGCCATGTTGCAACAAACGATTCTTGCGAGAATTCGCTTTGAGAATAAAAACCCAAAAAATATCATCACAATTGTGCTGGCAAGTGAATGAATTTAATTTCTCGTCATCAAAGCCTTGTTTCTTCCTCCTCTCGGCTTGGAAGCGTCATTGTTCATATTGACGGAAACGGACATTCATCTATTGAAAACAGAGAAAGTACTGAGAGAGTGAGAACCTTTTTGAGAACCAAATTACGTAGCCCATGTTACAAGTACAAAGGATCAATCGGTAAAAGACAACCGAATAGCTGCAATGTTTTTAAATATCCCAATGATGTGCTTGTTGATGAAAAGAGATCAATGATATTTGTGAGTGATTGTGGAGAATTGAACATTCAAGTATTTGACCTTCATCAAAAAGAGTTTTTATTCAACATTTCTTCGCCTGATCGGCCTCGGTTTATGTGTCTTTATTATAATTCATTGATTTTCTCATGCGAAAATAATTTGGTTTATAGATATGACTTGGAGACAAGACAGGAGGTATGGACCTCTAAAAAGGCAAACGCATACAGTGACATTCAAACAATGAACAATCCATGTGGTGTGGTTAGCGATGAAATGGATGAAAAAATTTATGTTTGCGATTGCAATCAGGGAAGAATTGTTGTTTTAAATGGAGACAATGGCATGTTTTATAGAAGCATTGATCTCAGCACAAGGTCAAAAAATCAATACGATGTGAGACCCTATGGTATTGATATTAATGTGGACTATAATTTGGTTTTCTCAAACATTGTTAATGCTAAAATTCATATAGTTACAAAAACTGGTGTTCCTATTGCAATAATTGGCTCGCCAGGTAGTAGCATTGGATTAGATTTCAATTTCCCCTCTGGTGTCTTGGTCAATAGCAAAAATGGTAATATTTTGGTGTGTGACAGGTAGGTTTGAAATAGATACCAACTTAGTGGCATATTGATTGTATTATATTCTACAATTTCAGAAACAACCATCGTGTGCAGGTATTAAGCTCTAAGGGCCAATATATCAAATGCTTTGGTTCATGTGGATATGATGTTGGTCAATTTTATGAACCTCGAGGTCTTTGTATCGATCATAGTAGCGGAGACTTGTACATTGTAGGTAAGTAAGAGAAAGCGTGTCATTTCTTTATTCATGAATTACTATCTGATCCTTAGACTATGGAAATGATAGAATACAAATCTTTGAACAGTTCACTTAGGAATACAGCTTGCATCTCCTATGTAAAGCTTGTTTCATCCAATTGAATAATAAACAATTATTTCTTAAAAAATGTTGCAACCACAGACCGACGAAAAGATGTTAAACGACTCTGATCATTCCAATGTATCCACGATCAAGGAGAAATCTCCACCCTCCCCAACACATTCTACATCTTCATCTGTAATGAGTAGCACTTCATCTATTGTTTCCGAAGAAATGTACAGTGCCGGAACGAGCCAACTGGATAAATTAAATCCATTCCGAGCTAGTCTTTCGAGTCATGATGGCCATTCCGAATTACCACCTACATTGTATTACATTCCAAATTTTATTACTGAAGAAAAGGAACAAACGATATTGAACAACATTTATGCAGCCAATTCTCAACAATGGACACGATTGAGAAATAGAAGATTACAAATGATAGGAGGCAAACCAAACGATAAGGTTATGTTTGAAGAAGGATTACCAAAATGGCTTACAGGTCAATTTTTAGGTATAAATGATTTGCATACCTATCCTGGAAATAAGACAATCAATCACGTCTTAATCAATGAATATGAAGTTGGTCAAGGAATTGATTATCACAAAGATGGACCAGTTTATTTTCCAATGGTTTTTATTATAAGCTTGGAGTCTACAGTCATGCTGAATTTTAAACTTTGTGAACGTGATGAAGATTATGTCGATCAATGTCCTTATGTGAAGCAATTCTCTGTGATTGCAGAACCTAGGTCCCTCTTAATATTTACTGATGACATTTACCATTGTAAGTTAAAAGGCTCATACCTTAATTTTTATATCATACTACCATAATTTACTACAATAGATTATATGCATGGAATCGATGAATGTGACTCTTATGAAATTACAGATGACATGTTAATTGCAAATGCTGAGCTACTCGCAAACAAAGAGTTAGCAAAAGTTGGAACCAAAATCGAGAGAAGTAAGAGACTAAGTTTAACCTGTAGATGTGTAAGAAAGACAATGAAAAAGAAATTGTTTTTCAAGTAACAATATTGTAATTGGATTGCATGAGTTTTAAAGAATTAGTTCGGAGATAATCTGTTATTAACATTTCAATTATTCATTCTTCTTTGGAGAGCAAGCACTAAAAGTTATTCCACAAGCAAACCAAATAATCAAGAAGATCACAATCAAAATAATGATCACAATCACTGCGACAATAATAATGTTTCTATACAACATATTGTTTTTCAACTTTTTGCTCTTTCTCTTATAAAGCTCAGCAGAATCCACCAAGTCACCTGTTCTGTTCACTAATAAATCAATTTTTTCTCCTCTATCCAAAACTTTGTCAATATTGTCAATCATAATGTCCTTAACTTCCTCAATTTGTCCTTTGACCTTTTGAATACGATCGTTTTGTTTTGGATTGTTGAAGAATTTTGTTTGTTGTTTAAGAACTTGTCCGAATTCTCTATTAAGTCCATTGGGTTGAATTCTCTTACTTTGATCTCCAGGATACTGTGTCAAAAATCGTACCTTGATGTCCTCTAAGAAATTGAACGGAATTCTAGATCCAAATTCCTTTCCGCTCATACAGAAGAAAATTAAACCATTCTCTCCATGAACCAAGATGTGGAAAATATATTGGTCATACAGATAGGAAGCTATTTAAATAAATATTGATGAAATGTAATGATCATATTCCGAACAATTTAAATTCCACCAAATTAGTATCACCACCAATCATATCCAACATATTCATAGTATCAGTCATAGTGTTTAATGATCATCAAATAATTGTAACAATTTCTCTCGCATCAGAAAACATCATCACGATCATCAACCACTCACACCTACCTTTCTGTGATTTATTGCTTGGAATCTTCTCCAGTATTTGTCTTGAAATTTGTTGAAAGTTTCCCTTATTCTCCGTATATTCGCATAAAATAGTGGTTCCTCTCGATACAAGTGAATAAATAATTCCAGTACCGAGTGGTCCTTCAATATCACCTCCTTCTCCTCCTGTTGAGCCGTACATTTGAGAACGTTTAAATTGTTTTTAAAAAACGAGAGAGCAAACCAATTGTGGTGAGATTTTTTTTTAAAATGACGAAAGCTCATTTTCGAACGCAATTTGCCTGGCTTGTGTCCGATGATTGCATGATTCTGCAAATATTATTAATACAGAATTTGGAATGATATAGAATACAAAGTTTAATTAACGTTGTTGTGCTCACAGGTGGGATTTGTTGTAGAGGGTGGTGGAATTTCTTGTGTGGAAAATTAGAGAGTAGCAATGAGAGAGTGGAAAATGTTCAAAACGACGCGTTTGCAAAGTTGTGGAATTCATGAAAATTTGGAATCACAACACATGACGATAACAACAGTCGTTGACCAAGAGTAAATTCACAATTTCACACTGTGCTTATCCAATTCCAAGCCCAAGTGAAGGAACGAAAATTTGAATCAATAACCATCCAACGCCCAATAATGCAATAATAACAATGAAAATAATTGCAATAATGATGAGACGTGTGGCACCTCCTGCTTTTTCAATAGCTTCTACTAGCTTTTTGTTAGTTTCATCCAATGTCTTGTTGTACTTATCGACATCTGCACTCATTTTGTCTAGCAATTGAGCTTGCTTGTCTAATTCATCAGAGATGGAGTTTGCAATTCCACCAATCTTTTGAATTTGGCCTAACAAAATATCAACTTTTTCTTCGACTTGTCTTTTGGCAGCTTCGATTTGTTCAAGACCTTCACTAATGTCAACGGTTGGAACTTCATTCTTTGCCTTTTCTAAATTATCAATTGAATCAAATTTAACATCACGTTTTGGTAAACTATCATCGTCTTCATCCATGATGCCTGTCACAAGCTTTTTGTGTTCTGCTTTCACATATTTGATATAATCTTTAAAGTTTTTAATATCAGCTTCTCTTTGCTTTCGCATTTCAATTGGCATTTGAATTTCCTTCCACATGACTTTTTTGTTCACTGCCTCTTGATGGATTTTCTCCAATTCTTTCATTTCTTTATCCATCTTTGTGACTGCCTTGTTGATGTCATTGTTGAGACGAGGATCATTACCGCTACTCTTTCTCTTTTGTTGAATGAGTGATTCAGTTTGATCAATGGCTTGTTTCACCATGACTATAGAGTGGTTCATGATTGGTTATTGTGTGTGTGTGATCATGATGAAACATGATGTTTGTTTGGCAATGATGTCCATCAACAAAACAACAACAAGTTGGAGAGCACACAATTTGAAGATTTGTGAAGAGATGATGATATTGCAAAATCATGAGTATTACACGCAAGGAATTCGAATTTCAAAAGAGTCATCATTGAAATGTTTTTCAACCATACATTCCGTTAGGTATCAAAAAATACAAATTTCCATTTTAGGATCATGTTATCACACAGTCATCATCATCAAATAAAATTAATAAGTTATTGCTGTTGAATTTGATATGACTCTACAACATACCCTTTTGTCTTTCAAATTTATCCAACTTTTTCAACTTCTTTTGAAACTCTTGCATTTCAATTTGTCGTTGTTTATCCATTCCATCACCTACAATCTCTCCGCAATCAATTCTAATTTGATACAATCTTCGAAACAAGTCAGCCATACCAGGGGAACATCTCAACAAATCAATTGAGTTCACTGTTGAAGCGTAGCCATCGGCTGAACCTAGTTCTGCGTTGTCTCCTTCTGCGCCCATTGATGAATAGTTGTATGAAGAGAGAAGAGATGCTTTTTCTATTTTTTTACCTGTTGTTGTGGGTGACTGTGGTGTGTTCATTTGGGCTTCAAAATTTTTTAACGTTGCGTTTTGAGTGAGGTTGACAGGTGGCAGGTACACAGTTCGGTTGGAAACTGCTGTTCGGAGAAGGTTCTTGTTCTCTGGATAATAATTATTCAATTAGAATTTGTATGGGAGAAACAAGTCTCGATATTCAGCTCCGATTGTTGTTGTTTTTAAAGAGAACGTTAATTCCAATACGATTCCAAGATTATGAAATTGCGATAATTTTTTTTTGACTTTGAAAGTTGGGGAGACGTGAAGATGGTTCAACAATTCAGGATTGTGAGAACAACAAAAGTTGACTCTGTTTCGAATCGTTCAATAGAAATGACACTCAATAATGTTGTCAATGTTTTGTTGATTCATCATTGTTGTTAGTCGTTAAAACAAAGCAGTGTCGAATTTTGAGAATTCTTTGAACAGTCTGCAATGCCATTTTCATTTGTGAAATCTTTCCATGCAAGAGTTCAAAAATTCCTTTCTCTTTCATGTTTGCGATTGGTGACGATGATTGACACCATGTTTCGGCCATTCTATTGGACAAATAAATTCCGCTAAAAGGACTCGATTCATTCTTTTCAAAACACTCTCTATACATTTGCCTCAATTCATTAAGTATAGATGATGGAGTTGATAATTCAGAGGAAAAACCTTGACTGAGCACGTGAGGAATGGACTCCAATGCATTACAATAGCTTTCCATGATAAGTTGTTGAAGTGGAGAATGTTGTTGTTGTGTTTTTAGGAAATGAATGTAGGCAGAAAGTGACATTTCACATGCTCCACCTCCTGGAACCAGAATAGGAGATTTGAAAAAGTTTTCAACAATGCAAATGGAATCATTGAAGGCACGTTCTAATTCTTCTACTGAGCTTTGAGTTGATGCGCTCAATATTACAAAGGAGAGAGGAGTAAGGAGAGCTTGTTTCAGAGTTTGACCTAATGAAATATAAATTTGTCTTCCAATATAAACATTCTTAGCATCTTGATGGTCAAGGTGAATATCATGTTGGTATACAGAGATGACAATTACTTACAAGCAATTTCTGCAAGATATTTTGATTTTTCTGTCTTGTCGTCACACTCGATAATTTCCTGTAACTTTTCAATCGACGAAATGGGAAATATGTTAAATGCTTTGCTTAGTAGTGAAATATCATTCTTGGTAATGGGTTTGAGGCAGTTGATTTTGGATTTTTGAAGCCAAAACTTTGCAGAATCTGAAATACCAGCTTGATATCCGGCAGACAAATTTTCTTGAACGCATATCATGTTTGCTCCAAGCTTTTTCAATTGTATCACTAATTTTTTGATGTAATTTTCTTCTTCTTTGAGTAATCGGTCTATTTGAGAACTGTCAATTTGTTTGTGTTCATCTAACCTTGAAGTTTTTTGTTTAGGTTTGTCTAGTTCAAATAAAAGCAATGCTAACTTGGGAGATGGCAAAACCATACCTTCTTGCTCATTTTCATGAACAAAATTTGTGTTAAGCAATACCTGATTGGTCAATAATGCAGTATCGTCTGATGAGGAGCCTCTAAATGTAATACTATTAGTAGTTTTACCAAGCTTCAACACCTGAATTAAATTTCTATTTCCCCTTGCCGTTGACATGGCATCCACAGCAATGTCTGCCAGCTTTGGAAATGATATACTTGAAAATTTTGAGTTGAGTGTAGTTCGTACTAGCTATTTCAATGACTTTAGATGTTAAATCTGTATTTTCACACGTACTTGCAAAATTAGTTGTTTAGAATTTTCTTCGAAAGGATCTACCTTAAACGATTGAAACTGTGTCAAGTGCTTCTCAATGATATCATTAAACATGGAATAATTGTTCACAATTCTCATTGGGTGAATACCAGATCTTATTAATTTTAGAGCCTCTTCTAGCCTTAATTTTCATAATAATTGTTTCAACAAGGGTTTCATGCAAATAACTATAAAACATACATGGATGCTGCCAAAACAATAACAGATGTTGTTCCATCACCAACTTGATTGTCAACTGCTTTGCTCAAATCCACAAATAATTGCGCAATAGGATTTTCTATTTTCTGAAAAGTATATCCGTTTAAAATTTCATAGAGCTAAAAAACCTTACCATGTATTGTATTGCCGTTGCTCCATCATTTGTGATTAATACTTCTCCAGTTTGAGGGTCAACAAAGAGTTTTTCCAAAGCTTTGGGGCCTAATAAGGTTTTACATCTCTCTCCCACTCCAATGCAACTTTTAATATCTATTTTAAATATTTCCAATATTTGTAAATTGAAAGTATCGTGTTTGATCTTCATTGTGATTATTATTATTTCAAAAATCACATACTTTCGAAATATTCGTTCAAACTCGCCGACGATGTTTTTACATGTTCCGATAATATAGGCGTTGCATGCACGGACGATGATATTTCATGATGATGAAAGGATTTCCTGACCAGTGGCAATGAATGATCATTTGAAACGTCTTCCATGCCCTCACCATTCCGTTCATTCATTTTTTGTGTTCTCTTTCCGACATGCTGTTTGTGTTCAACAAGAAAAAATGGCTTCTTCCGAATCGAACAATACGATACAGACGCAAGATGATGATTGCCAACAAGCTGCTGCACCTCTTGATGAGGCTAATATTGATTCTAAAATTTTGGATTTGGAAAGCGAGAGCAGCTGCTCTCCAAGTTCTACTCCATCAACGCCTACTCTCAATATTACTCAATCAAGAAAGCAAAAGGCTTTTACTTTTTCTGCGAGTTATGATGAATCACCCATGAGTGTGTCGGATTCAAGTTTTGTGGATTTTGATCACCATGAAAGATCAGTGAATGATCGCTTTCATTTAGTTACTCCCAACTTGGAAAATAATGAAGAAAATAATTCTAAACAATCGAAAAAGAAATTAAAACGATTTGAAGGATTTTTAAAGTATTTACACAGAGAGTTGAATGTTAGCTCGAGGGCAGCTACTCACTTATTTTCGAATGATAACAGGCAAGAAAGTCCAGAGTCTGTGAAGAGTGTAATAGAAACTGAGTCAACAACGAGTCACAACGGAAAACCTTATAATTTTCCGAATAGTTTTGTGAAATTAACACACGATCCAAAAGATAACTGTTTTACTGACGAAGAGCTGAGGAGTCAAATGTATAGATTTGTTGAAATTCCGATTCGTGTTGAACGATTTTTGTTTTTTGGATTTTTCATTTGCTTGGACACTTTTCTCTTTTACTTGACCTTCTTTCCAGTGCGGGTTTTATTGTCACTTCTCGGAATTATTTGGAGCTTGGTCAAGTATCTTGTACTTTTACCATTTAAATTAAGTTTACGAATAATTACAAAGGAGCCAAACACATCATCTAGACCACGCCCTGTTCTTCACGAGAGCGTTTTATTTGACATTGTGAAATTCCTATGTCTCCTTATTAATATTATTTTAATCATGACCACAACAGATTATTCATTGCTGTATCACTACATTCGAGGAGAATCAATTTTGAAATTATATGTAATTGGAAATATGCTTGATGTATTTGACAAGCTGTGCTCTGCATTCGGGCTGGATTCTCAAATTGCTGTGCTTTACTCTGCAAAGCAATTCGTTAAGTGCTTTATCTCCATTTCGTCCACTCAATCAACCTTTGAGTCAGGTCCCAATCAAGGCGCTCTCACAGAGCTATTCCATTTTATCGTGACATTAGTGGTGCATGTGGCATACTTATATGTACATAGCATTGTGCAACTCATTCGAATTGTCACTCTAAACGCAGCTCTCAACAGCTCCAATTATACTTTATTAACCATGATTATTTCCACTAATTTTGTAGAGCTTAAAGGAAGTGTGTTCAAGAGATTTACGAAAGAAAATTTATTCCAACTTGCATGCAGTGATGTGGTAGAAAGATTTGAGCTCTTTTGGTTCACTCTTCTCATTATCATACAGAACACCTTGAGAACAATTGTGGACTCTGCATCAGCACCAGTGACAGGAGTTGATTTGAATGAATTTGAAAGTATGGCACAAATGGAAGGAAACAACTCTCTTTTTGCGTTTCTCGATGACAAGATGGAAGAATTTGGACAAATTTTTGTGTTTATGATTTTTGCAGAAGTTCTCGTTGATACCTTAAAACACACGTTTGTCTCCAAGTTCAACAATATCAATCCCTCCACATTCAAACTCTACACTCTAAAGCTGTGTGATGATTTGATTTCTCATTCCACCGACCCTAAAAAGGGAGAAGTTGCTGTTTCTTCCTTTTTCGACAACACCAATCGAAGTAAGGTTGCAAGAAGACTTGGTTTTCTGGAGGGACCTCTAATTACACATACTTTGAGAATGATTTTAGAAGTCATGTTGCCATGGCTCTTCCATTTTGTTGCTGTTTTTGGTTACACTCATGTTGAAGGTTGGTCGAGTAGTAGTACTAGTACTAGTACGAATCAACTTGGTCATTTACATGAGAGTACATCCTCATCATCATCATCACCAGATATTCTACTCGCTTCATCATCTTCCACTGGTACTACTTCCGTGATGATTTTTCTTCATCCAGTAATTATTGTACTTCTCGGATTTGCATGTTTATTCCTTCTCAAATTACTCATTTCAATCATTGTTATTGGTCATGCAGCCAAGAGGGTTTGTCTGTGGAAAAAGGCTGATCCCAATAACGCTGTTCATGGTATTCCAAACTTTCCCGATCGCTACATGATGTACGATAAGAGAATTCCTTAGATTCCTTAGTTTCGAACAAGTAAGAGCATTTGTGTCCTTTTTGTGGAACAACAATCATGACGACCCTCTCATAACAACATTGTTGGAAAGTATATTCTTGAAGAAGGCTTTAATGATAAGAGGTGCAATGTAGAATTTGGCGGTAAAAATTTATTTAAAAATGAATACAAACCCTTCTTCGTTTTCAAAAGGAATGAGTTGGCTGACGGAATCAACTCTGAATCAACCGAGCATACAGACCAATGCTCTTTCATCATCCATGTTTCAGAATATGACCGCTAGTAGTAATAATATGGAGAATGCTCGGTTAACATCTCCGACAAGACACAATCTAAATTCGTTAATGACCCTTTCAACTTCTCCATCATCAGCCTCGTCATCGAATAAAACAGGGCATTCTTTAGCAGATCAAACATTAGGATCAGACTTGGTGAATACCGGTAGTAATAATGTTTCCTTTGGTGAGGACTATGATGAAGTAAGGTCCACGATTAGCAACGAGTCGACATCCAGTCGATTCAGCTCGTCATCGGCACGAAATCGGGATTTACAAAAATTATTGATGAACACCAACAGCACAGCGGCCAACAACTCATCGAATCGATATGCTGATGTGACTCAGTCAGCATCTATCGATAGTACAACTCTCTCTTGGGATGAAGTACAAAATGTTATGAAAACAGGTTCTGTGGAGAAGGAGATGGAACAAATGAAAGAAAAAATTGATCACTTGCAACGAAATAATTTAACGTTATCACAATCTTTATATTCTACGAACAAAGAACACTTGCTGTTACTTAATACGTTGAAAGAGAAAATTCATGAAGTATTTCCGAATATTTTGATTGAAAACCAAAAGCTGAAGGAACAAGTGAAAGAGTTGACAAGTCACGTATTTAATCTAGAGAAACAACTTGAAAAGGTGAAAATTGACCATGAAAATACCAGAATAACATTAGAACATAAGATTGACGAGCTCAAAAGAGAAATGGATAGCTTAAAAACTAAGAAAGTTCAAACAAAATACGAACGGATAGAAGAATTGATCAATGCATGCATCAAACCAATTGAACAAACTCTTAAAAACAACAACATTGCTGTGAAGCGATGCTCTGATGACATTTATCAACTAGGACAATTTAAACTGAATGTAAATTTGGAAAAGAGAGGAGAGAACGACATTGTAGTAGTACACTTGAGCGACAAAACGATACCATTCGAAGACTTTTTACGAACCTTTTGCAGCAAATTCGTCATGAAATAGTCATACCACAGTTCATTTTGGGTGTTTTTAATTATTGGCATCCACAGTTTGAGCTTTCTGAAGTTTGCTTTGGATAAAGTCCTTGGCAATCTTCTTAACATGCTCTTGCCGATCAGCATCACCATATTGAGTCTCAAACTTCAGATACCTCTGCAAGAAAGATTTCATCTTTTTAGTGGAAAGCGTTGTGAGATGACAAACTCTTTCAAAGATTTCTCTAATGTACCTGACATCTTTGGTATGTTGTTGCTCGCAATCCAGATAAATAGACCAAGCATCAGATCTCTTTGGATGATTTTGTATGATATTCTCCATCACGTTTCTTGCATCTAGGATATTTTCTCCAGTTTTGTATAAAAGAATTGCAAATTTGCATCTTAGAGAAATATGTTCCTTGTTTGGAAAAACCTTAAGTGACCTTTCTAACACTAATTCGCCCTTCTTGATGTCTTTTAAAGTTGAAATACACCATCGTTCATACTCTTCAAACACTTTCTTCTCATTTCTATACTTTTTACAAGCTTTTCGGTACACTTGGTCGATTCTATTCAGTAGATCTTCAAGCTCACTTGTTTTTTTCTTTTTCACTTCGTTTTCATCGTCAGCATCGCTTTCTTCGGCTGCTTCCTCATCTGCTTCGTCAAGTCGTTGCTTTTTCTTCTCGTAAAGTTTGTTAAGAATTGTTGCGTATTGTAAATAAATACTCTGTGGCTTTGAAGACCCTTGGAGAGCCTTTTCAATCACTTTTTCAATATTTGGTTTGTTATTCGAAACATATAAACTTAAAATAGCACTCCATAAGTTGAATCTCTCGTTCTCATAGGAAAAGTGTATTCTATTAACTGCTCTTTCACCAATTTCTTTTGCCTTTTCAAAACCATAGGTATTGAGCATGAAGGTCATGTATTGAATCCATAAATAAGAATTATTAGGCTCTCCGATAACCAAACGTTCAAAATCTGCCTCACTCGTTGGAGCCTTATTAGGAAGACTTTCTTCAATCTCTGCAATTTCTGTTTCAGTTAAATGGTGAACATCATGGTGATGATGATGAGTTTTGGCTCTCTCATCGATATCATTTTCAACTTGTTCTTCATCATCGTCCTCACTTGCAGATTCATCATCATCTTGCTGCTCTGAATTTCCATTCTCTTTTTGGTGGTCAATGTTCCAAGCGAATGATGTTTTCAACTTTTTAGGAGCAGTCGTAGATGAAGTTGATGATGTTACAGAGGAAGAAGCGAGGTCTCTCTTTACGCCTCTCACAGCAGAACTGTTTGAAGTTAAATGTTTCTTGTTTGCAGAAATTATTGATTCCTGATCCGATGATTCATCACCACTGCTGCTATATTGATCATCACTTTCTGAATCTTTTTTAGAACGCTTCTTCTGGAATTGAGTTGACAATTCCGGTTGTTGCTTTGATTTTTTAGCAGCGGAAAGCTTCTTCAAAAGTGCTTGTTTGTTCATTTTTTTGTTGAATTTTGAAAATTTGATACGGCATGAAAGGGTGAAAAAAGCCAATTTCAATAATAATTTTCAGTTTTCTATTACATTTATGATGGTAACCAGTAGAGTGTGTTATCTTGAACAAAATTAAACATTTTCTTGAGTGGCCTCTTCTTGAACCTTTCCCAATTTCTGGAGCCTTTGGAACTCTTCGATATTTCTCTTTCTTCTTTCTTCGAGTTTCTGTTTTGTCTCTGGGTTCAAGTGAATGTCGTAGACATACTTTCGTGCATTCAAGAATTTTGTTTCCTTCTTCATTAATTTTGGTTTCTTTTGTTGCAGGCGGTCTAAGAAGGCTCTCTTCTTTCTGTTCTCTGAAAGTTGTTGAATTTCCAATTGTTGCAATGTAAGCAAACGATCTTGTTGTTCTGGGGAGAGGCTGTTGAAGTATGAAACCAAATGTTCTCCGTTTGCTTGTTGTTGTTCAAACTGGGCCACTTTTTCATATTCGGATGGATTTTCCTTCAAGAATTGAGCCAAACTTTGTGCTGTTTCTTCTAATTGTTGGTTCAATTGTTGGGCTCTCTTATTTGCAATTTGTTGTTTGATAATCTTCTTCTTCAGCCAATTACCGAATCTTGATGCTACATCCTCTGACTTTGTGTTCAGTAAATAATTATCAAGACCTCCGGCTTTATCGATACAACGAAGAGCCTTTGCTGTTGCCTTTAATTGAATTCTTGTGTCCAGAGCCTCACTGTAGAGTTTGACCCATGCAACGTTTGGCATCCACTTTCTCTTTGTTTTTCTCTCCGAAAAACTTCTTTGATTTCCTGTCAAAATTATAGCATCATGGTAAAGACCTGTATTGAATCTCTTTGGTCTTGTAGGATGTTTGTTATGTTTCAGCACTTGTCCAAGTCTAACGAAGGGTGTGGGAGAACCTGAAAAAGACATTTTTTTTGCTGTGATGATGAAAATTCATTATTGCTATTATTATTATTATTTAATGCAAATAATTACTTGTCGTCAACCCGTGTTGTTAATATCAACATTAAAACAAAAAAGAAAGAGAAAACAAAAAGCGATTTAAAAAAACTCAAGTCCAACTCTTGGATTTCACCCACCACTAACTCATGCTCAGTTCTGCCATCCGCCCATCCTACAGTGTTGCGACTATGATTTGCTCAGTTATCCTGCCTCAACCGATTCATCGCTAATTAGGACCCAACTGACTCTCGCATTCCTGTAGAACCAGATTGGCCACACCGTTGTTGGAACGGACAGAACATCGTCACCTTGTTGCTAGTGGAGGAATGAGTCCAAAGAACCATTCTCTTGCTCATCGCTGTGGCAGAGTACCATGACAGTTAGACCCCTATCCTAACCCAGCTTGTGGAAGAGATGTGAATGGCTGGCATGTGATTCTTGGCAGAAGGAAAATGAACGAGAGTTGTGGTTCCATGATTTAAATATTTTTATTGGCAGAACAAATTTCGCGCCGTCGTGAATTTACGACATTGGCATCTCTGATCAAAAAAAAATGAGCAAATATCAAAGCCATAGTGAGGCAATTTTGGAGATGCAAGATAAATTAAATCTCTTGGATGGTGACCGAGAGAGGAAGGCCACGCTTGAAACAAAGCAAAAGGCTCTCCAAAAGAACAACGACACTTTGGAAATGGTAAAGAAAGAAAATAAGGATTTAAAGGAGTCATTGAAAAAGTTACAAAAGGAAGTCGGAGGAAACAATGGAGAGAAAACGTTTCAACAGAAAGAGTTTGATCGTCTTGAAACAATACTTCACTTGAAACGACAAGAATTTGACGAGCTATTAGCGATTGCTCAGAACCTGCAAAAAACTATTCGAAAAAAGGAAGACATTCTCAACGATTTCAACAAGGAAAAGGCACCTATTCTCACTGATGACTCGCCGCTAACAAGACAAATCAGAATTTTGGAAAACAGGTTGGACAAGGCTATGATAAAATATAACGAAGCTCAAAGCATCAAAAAAACGTACGAACAAATTTTAGAAAGGCTCAAGGAAGAGAGAATAGGGTTTGATAATCAGTTACAAGCAATAGAAAGAACACTTCGATCAAAAGATAAGGACTATGTAGAACTGTTAAACATGTCGCGAGACGCAAACTACCTTCGAGAACTAGCAAAGAACGAGCTAGCACAAGCAACAGCAGAGTTTGAAGAGTCTGTAAAAGAACTAAGAAAAGAATTAGATGAAAAGAAGAAGTACGTGGAAGCTCGTGTAAATTTGACAACTGACCTGGCTAAAAAAGAAGCCACGAGACGAAGAAACCAAGACGATGAGGGGTCAAGAAAGAACCGGTCTTCGAGCTCCTCTTCTCAACAAATGCTTGGGTATAGCAAGTCTGGACCCCCTGACGAGGACAGGGACCGATTGCAGGTGCTTGAGGAAAAATGGAGGAAGTTAAAGGAAGTGACAGGTGTAGATGATGTTAATGAGGTGATTCAAAAGTTTTTGTCGTCATCTGACACTCACAAGAATCTTGAGCAAATGACAAAAGATTCTCAGAAACGAATTGAACACCTCACAGAAAAGAAGGCGAACCTCAAAACTAAATTGGAGGATCTAAAGTATTCTCAATCGTCAGGATTGGGAAGTAGGCGAATAGTGGACGAATTTATTCAACAATTGTCAGAATCCCAGTCTAAGAATGAAAGACAAAAGCAACAGTTTGAAAGAATTGCAAAAATTTTGGTGAACGTCAAAGCAGGAGCAGAGCATTTGAATGACAAGATGAGCCCCGCTCTAGTTGAGCTCACTCTTGATGAAACTCTACGAAAGAAATTTATTGAGGAAATTGCAAGAGGAGAAGATATGACTGTGGCAGATGATTTCAATGACACCGTAAGCATGTCGACCGTTTCACTAGGTACTCAAAGCAACGAGGAGCGTCATATTGTTAACTTGCTTGCACAGTGCTATGTCAATGTTTCTTCCATTCTTGACAGCCTTCCTTCAGAAGAAGAAATGTTCCAGGATGCCCTTCGTAATTCAGATTCTCTAGATTTCAACCAAAGCAGGAACAATATTAGAATCAAACTAAGCGAGGAAGTGGGACAAGATAGCGAATCTGAGGATGAAGACGATGATAAAGAGGCTGAGCTCATAAGTAGAATGAACGTAAAGAAGAAGGCAGAGAAAATACTCAAAACAAAGGTTGTCAAAAAGTAGGGATTCAACACCTTGTAAATCTGTAAATAATTCAACGATAAAAAATTGAATGAACACGCCGCAATCACTTCGTTCTCAACGCGCCAACACACAGGAGACGTTATCACCAATATCGTCTTCTAGTCTAGGTTATTCAAAGGAGAAAGCTTTGTTGTTACCAAGAAATGTTGTAAACGCTGTTGAGTTTGTGGGAGATGTAATTGAGGCTAGCTCCGATGTACATAGTCCTATTAAGGACAAAAGTGAGTCCAAGAAGAAAGAACGAGAGAGTATATTAAAATCAGCAAATCTTGTTCCAGAGTTGCTCAATCAGGGGAAGTTGGGTAACAACCCTTTTGATGATTCCGAAAGCAGCGATGACGAAATACAGGATGCATCATTGTCCTTATCAAAACAAATATCAATTTATTCCAAACTCCCTCCTCCAAATGTGCAGTCACTGCCTTTTAACTTTCTTTCGGGCACAACTGAAGACAGCGTAATTTCCAACGTTCAGACTAACGATGACTTTGAGTCTTTGAAAATAAGGGTCAACGATTACGTAGACAATTTGATTAATCTGGTGGACGATTTATTTGCAAAGAACCCCAACGAATTTATTTCTTACTCGGCATCTAAGAAACAAGATCATGTCAAAGGGCAACCAACCACGATCCAGTATCTAAAAGCGATTGAAAAGGCGAACGACATAATTGAAGAAGTTGAAAGAAGTAGAAGAGAAACGCTGATGAGAACAAAGCTAAACAAAACGCACTATGGAGAGTAGTCGACAAACCATTAATGTCATAGTTAATGTAATCTATTTAATAGCTCCATCATTTCCTCTTTTGATACTTTTATGTTCTTGTCGTTCACTGCATTTCATAATAATACAAACTAATGTGAATTCATGAGCTCACTTACCTATGGTGAAAGCTACTTCCTCTTCTTCGGTAACAATCTTCTTAAGTAAATTTTGTGACTTCCAAGCACTATTAAGCCCAACACTGTCAAAAACACACTCATCGAAAACAACACAGTAAGCACAGCTATCTGCAGCATTCTGAAGTCTCGATACTTTAGAAATACAGTTGTTGAGTGAGGTCAATTTCTTGTAATTCAATAAGGCCTATCCATGTTATCACTGGGACACTGTCAAAAGAGAACTTACTTTGGTGATTCCAATGTTGCAATAGAATGCTTCCATTTCTTCTCTATTCACATTCTTTCTGAAAGAGTCCAAGTTCTCCAACAGTTTAACGGCCACTGAGAGGGCATGGTCTGGGATATCTTTCTCAAAGAGAATCAATATGGACGATTCCATGAGCATTATATGTTTCCCATCATGCCTTTTGATCATCTCTAACATGTTCCCTACAAATTTCACAAGTAATTGGTAACCTCCCTCAATTTGATGTAAATGGTACAGAAACTTTTTATAGTGCATGAAATCGACCATCATGACATAATATGCATCCTCTTTGGACATGGAAATATTATAACTGCTTGCTTGTTTTAAATACTCTGAGGCGAGCACTGTAGCGATCATGTTTTTCAAAGCACAGTATGCATCCTGAACTTTAAATTTACCAGCTCGACTCGTGAGATCGTCCGAGGACCATGACATTCCATCCAATTGTTTCATGTACCAAGCAGGAAACATTCTTTCTGCCTCATCTTGAAATAATGTTGAATCCAATTTAGTAATATTACAATGGCGAGGGTCTCTCATGATATTTTCAAACAACATTTCAAGGTGTTGTTTAGGGCCCTCAATGATTTGAAAGAACATATCCTTCACGCAAATCAGAACACCAGTGATATTGAATTTCTCATTCATGGGTACCGCTACTCTCAGAATACTCTCTTTCGTTTGCTCCGTAATGTATCCTGAAGTATTCCTAGATGCATAATGGATTCGCATCATCACATTCGGTTGTGGCTTTTGTGTGGGAGCCTTCGAGGATGAAGCTTTTTGCTCCAACCCTGGCTCTGGACTTCGTAAACCGGAGTTGCTACTGCCACGAGATTTCTTCATAATAAATGGTACCAACAATGGAAGTTGTTTTTTTCTATGGTGGAATATTATTATGATGAGCTGTTCGTGGTTGTTGTTGTTTGGAGATATCCTTGAAGGCTCCAAAAGGTCATAATGCTGAATGTTTTGGCTTTGGTTAATAACGCTCTTCTTGATAAGGCAACTCCGATGTTGATTCCTGAGCGAAGAATGATGTTTTTTCAACCACGGATGCTTTGGGTATAATAGTTGGAAATATGAATCATCTAATTGTATCAACAATTGATTGAATTTTGGTACGCCAATGATGAAGTGTCATTTACATGCACGAGTTGATTTTTGAGGCCAACGGATGTCTTGATTGGATATTATTAAGGAATCCAACAAAAACAGCAGTCACACCAATATCTTGATATCTTCATTTCTCTCATACATCAACAGATAGCAGACCCCATCTGTCATGATGATTCAACAGCTACCTATTGATCTGTGGAGCATCATCTCTCATTGTCAAGTCTCAGTTTTCAAAGATATTTGAATTCATACAACGTGATGTCAATGATGTGATTTACAGATACAGATTTCCGTTTGATTTAACATGTGGCGCACACTACTAATTGCTATTCTGCAGTACTATTGTTCCGATTCTACGATTTCACTTCAAACAGAGATGTCAAGTTGTAATGCACGGAAACATGTTGTAATTCTCAAAAAGAGTTGGCATCTAGATGCAATGAACAATGATGACTGCGTTTCTGCTCGTTCGTTACTACTACAACAAATATCCACGGCCCTTTCGTTGATCACATTAGGAAATGATCGTACAGCATTGAGGTTATGATACAACACCTTGTACATGATAATGAGATAAAAGAAAAACAACAAACAGAGATGACTCGAAATCAAGTACATCCCTCTCAGAAGCATCCTCCTCATTCATCAACCAATAATGAGCAGGAAGGAGATCGAAAAGACTTGTCTTCTCCTCTATTGACTGCTAACCTAATGGAAAATACGTTTGACTCCAATCGAAAGACCCATTGGTTTCTCTCCATTCGATTCTGTCTCATACTATTGGTTTCTTGTTTGACCATATTGAGTGTATTGGCATTAAGTATCACTTGGGGAGCTTGTTTTATTCCAACCATCACTCAACTCTCAAATTCCTATCGAGATCATCAACTCGAACGAATCATTGATGTTGTGGATGAAACCTTATCAGATATTGCAAAAACTTCTGAAGAAATCAAACAACAAATCATTGGGGATGGTCTCACACTGGCGCCTAATACCACAGAAATTCACAGAAAAATTTGGAGTTGTGTCAAGGTAAGTCGAATGATGTTTCACATTGTCATACGACTCGATGGATTCTAAAAGTCAACCAGTAAAACACATGAAGGAGTAGTCATTGCATGTTTTTTCGGAGATTCCTCTCTGAATGTCGTTGGAGCAGGTCGATTGAACAAGTTCGCTCAAGCAGCTGCTTACACCGTATCGAGTTTGAACACTCATATCCATTATTGTCCTCCTCCTGAACAAAATGACTATTGTTTGATCAATGAATCCAATCCTGGACGTATCATGCCACCGTTGAATTTCAAGTATGCACAAGAACAGTGTAACAAGTATCCTGGTGAAGTTGTGTATGTACCAAGTCGTGTAGAGGCACATTTGGTGGATGTCACAAAAATGTCTTTGGTGAATTGTGTTCCTCTCAGTAATGGAACGAGTGTGGATAGCAAAGGAAATCGATTTGCTTACTTTTTTGGACATGATTTAACTTCAGCTTCTGTTGCTATTCAATTGAAAAGTCTTGTTCAACCCTTGTCTGGATATCGAGGATTTATTGTTGAGACTCAAACAGGTTATTTGATTGCAGGTAAGTGATGAACGATGAATTTATGATTGGTTAATATTCTTTTAAATTGCATGTCATGCTTTACAACATTCATGTAATAGTCGACAACAATGCTACCCTTTCACAATTGCAAGGTACTAAAATCTTTCGTGCCACCTCTGAAACCGTCAACGATACAGACATCAATTCCATTTCCAAAACAGCTATGACTAATTTAGGAATGAGCTTCACAGAGCTCCCATGTAATACTCATCTTCTTACTTCAGACACCACTCGATACATTTCCTTGTATCGATTATGTACAGTGACAAGAGTCGACTGGGTCATTGTCTTGAGTGCTCCTCAATGGAACTTTATAAGCTCCACAGTCATTGCCATTGTTACTGCCATTTGGGGATCCCTTGTGATTATTTCTGTTGGAATCATGGTTGGTGTGCTATTTTCAGTTCGAATTGCAAAAAGTATATATCAATTAATTGAATTATTCGAAAGTGTGGCACATATGGATCTAGAGTGTTTGTCTGTCCAAAAAAGTAATTTTTCAGAAATTTACTTGTTGCAAAAGCAATTTGTCTACATGATTCATCGAATGAAATTGTATAAGAGTTTTATTCCATCTCATTTGTTGGCAGAGTTGGAACAACAAGGAGATTCTACCACTAAGGTTGAAGATGAAACTTCAATGGTATCCAGTGGAACCAGTAGAAATTCATTAGAGAGTTCAAAAGGTGTTTCTCTTTCTCATCATGGAATTTCGAGCTCAAAGAAAAAGTACCTTTCTAAGGATAACAAATTTCAATTATATCTGGAAAAGAGAAGAGTGACATTGGTTCAAGTGATGTTAGAAGGGTTGAATGAATGGGTTCATTCTATTTCTCCCAATGAAATGGTACTTTTATTAAGGTAGGTTCATGACACATTGTTGGAAAACGTAAAGCAAGTTAACACATTCTTAGTGACGTGTATGATCAGTTGAACAGTATTTGTAGAGTGAGTGGAGCTAGTCAAATTTCAAGCTTGGAAAATGATTCTCTCATTATTGCTTTTAATGCAACAAGAGATCAACAAAAGCATGAAGAAAAAGCAGCTCTTTTCTGTCACGTGTTGAATGAAAAATTGGTTGGACTCAAATACATGAAATGGAAAAATGAAAAGTCACAACAGCTGAATGTCCATTATGCTGATTTGATGAACTTCAGATTTGCTCTTATCACTCAAGAATGTCTTTGTGGTAATGTTGGAAGTCAAGAGATGAAACAATTTAGTGTGTTAAGCAGTGGAAAGTATAACTTGGCTATCTTGATGGATGTGGCAAAACATCTTAATGTGAATATGGTGTGCTCTGAGAATGTTAAGAACGGTTGTAGCAAGGCGTTTAATTTGCGTTACCTTGAAACTCAGAATTTTGTGGATGACATGTATATCAATAGTTTTGGAAGTGTGTCAAGCGCTGCATGCAGTATTCCACAACACCAAGTTCATATTTATGAGGTAGGTTTTCCTGTTGTGTTGGGACATTCAACAACAGCTAATGGCTATCTATTTTTTTGCAAAGATTGGGGCCAAGCTTCATGTTGAGAATGATGAATGGATGTATGAATTATCAGAGAAAGAAAAGAAGAATCAATGGAACGAATACAACAAGGCCACTCACTTGTTTTTAGATAGAAGATACCAAGAAGCTCTCGATTTATTCCAAACTTTTTACCATTCCAACACAAACGACAAGCCAACTGAAAATTTGATCCAAAAGTGTCAATCCTTCATGTAGATGTAAACATGCCGAAAATTGTAGAATTTCACGTTTTCATTAAATGGTTTATTCAATAAATTAATGTTTTACCTCACTCTCTTTGGCGTCTTTGTTATCCTTGTGACTGTCTTGCTGTGAAGGTTCGAGCTTATCTACTCCATACGAAAGTTTCTTTTGAGAAGTGTAAGCAAAATTTTTGAATGGGTTGTTTTCGGAATTATCTTCTTGCTCTGCGGTACCTTCATCTTCGTCCTCTTCGTCGCTATCCACAAGAGGTCTGAAATTTGATGTATCCTCTGGGTCAGTAACTTGAGGAGCAATTGGAGGTGATTCGTTTCTGATTAGAGCCCAATTGATGCCCTTGAAAAATGGATGTACCTTAATGTCTGCAGCACCATTCTTATGTCCCAATCTCTTGTCCTGATCAGAAACTAACAATTTCTTAATCAACTCCTTGCATGCCTTAGATATTGGTTTATCCTTTGGAAATTCAAGCTTATTGTGAAGAATGTGATTAAATGTATCTTTTTGAGTGGATCCTTTGAATGGTGTTGTTCCAAAAAGCATTTCATACATCAGAATACCAAAGGTCCACCAGTCAACTGTCGAAGTATGTCCACATCCAGCAATAATTTCAGGGCTGAGATACTCAGCTGTTCCGACAAAACTGTTAAATTGTTGAATTTGTTTGGTATCTAGCTTACTCTTCTTATCCGACGAGAAAAAACCTTTCACAATTTTTGGAGTGACTGTTTGAACAGTTTGTTTCGAGAGATCAAAGTCAGTCAATCGAATGTGTCCACTCTGATGGAGTAAAATGTTTTCTGGTTTTAAATCACGATAAATAAATCCCATAAAGTGCAAATACTCCAAAGCCAAAAGTACTTCTGCTGCATAGAATCTTACGGATGACTCTGGCAAGCACTTTCCTGGCTGCTTTTGTAACATTCTAAAGAACTCTCCTCCACTACAATATTCCATGATAAAGTATAACTTGTCTTTTGATTGGAAAGAGCTGTAAAGTGTGACGATGAAGGGGTGATCAGTAGTAGCAAGAATTTCACGTTCAGTGAGCACTCTCTTGACCTTATTTCGTTGAATCATTTCTTCTTTTTTCAAGACCTTCATGGCAAAGTATCTACCAGTTTCCTTGTGTTTCACAAGGTAAACCTTACCAACTGTGATTATTCCGACATTGATGAAAGTTTGTAAATTGTTCACAACATGATGATGGGTGATAACACCAGGAGGTATCAATATGGAGAACGTCGGATCCATGTAAATAGTATTATTACACGAATATTATTAATTCAGCACGATGATTAATTATTAAATATTTAACAAGTACGTACCATCTCCACGTCCTAACAATCTAATCTTCTTAAAGTGAGAAGGACGTAAATTCTTATAATCAAACTTTTCTTTTGTTTTTTGCAATGATTCTATATCTACATGGGACTGATTTGATAAAGCCATTTCCTCTGCCATCAAATCTGAAAAGCTCATGTTATGCGGGATTTGTCTTGGAAACATTGTTGGCTCTACTTGAGAAGGATGTGCTTGAGAGGAGCTGCTCGGAGTGGATGATGCTGGTGAGGAATCTACGCTGGAAAGAGAGGATGAAGAAGCGTTTACTTGATGGGCATTTGCTCCATTATTGCTGCTTGTACCCGAAGAAGAGGAGAGCGTTGTGGGGGTTGTGGTTGTTGTACTGTTCATTTTGTTGTTGTTGTTGATGTGATGGATGATGCTCGGGTGCCCTCTTGCAAGTGTTTTGATACTTGTAAAGATTCAATATTGGTCGGTTGATGGCAAAGATGATGAAGCAAAACGGTAGGCTTGCGAAGGTTGTTGGCAATTTACGTACGACTAAAACAAGCAGTGTGCTGTGTTTTTGTTATAAGTATTATTATTAATATTTACGAGAACACGGATTCTCGATTGAAGTTTTTAATGATGAACCTTCTCTAAAGAATTGTTCACGCTCTCTCAATTTTTAAAAGATCTAAACAAACACACAACTCTCAATGTCGTGTCTTGGAGGGCTTGTTAGATATTGATCGGAATTGATTTGGGAGAAGTGTTCTAACTTCGAAGGTCGCTGGTTGTATTAATTTGGATTTATTGCAATAATGTTCAGAGAATTAATTTGGAAAGTAAGGAAGCTGTCAAAGAAACAACAATGTTGTCCTCACCAAAGATGTAACTCCACAATGGGGATGATTGAGCTTTATGAGTGCTGCCATGGTTAGTTGCTGAACTACGGCTGCGATCATAGGTTAAACTCTCCACAACCGTACACGCCCTTAATGTTGAACGTCATCATGTATGAACTCTTATATAATTTTTCTGATCAATACACTTACAAATTAATAAAAGCAAGATGAGGTAGATGGGACAGTGTTGAGAATTCACTTCCATAATTTCCACTCTTTTCAAAATAGTACAAGTACAAGGAACTAAAAGCAAATCCACCACAAAACATTCCAATGGATCCCATTAAGGATTTTGAATTGGAAAATCGAGTGGAATGACCAAAACTTCTACCAATGACATCAGCAAATCCATCTATGTGAACATTTTGATTTTCCAACATGAAATAACGAATGAATTTCTATACTATAATTGAAACTGCCCATGCCGTGTGAACTTACCACCACCACATAGAATCATGATTGTGACAATCGATGCAACATCACGTCTCCAAAACGCCAATGTACTCGCCACAATAGCCAATCCATAAAAAGTTGGACCTTTAAGAATTTCACGACAATCTCCACTTCGTGATAATGTTTTAACAAGTTGTTCATTCTTTGCCAATCCCAATCCAACGAGAATGAAATAAAAAGTAAATATTCCTGGAATGCTGGCACACCAGAAACGACTTGCCAGGTCCTCTCCTGCAAACAAATTCCAAAACAATACGTAGATAGGTCCCATTCCGATATGAACTAATTTTCTTCGCAATTTTTCAGGTGTCCATTTGCCCACTTGTTCCAATAATCCAAGCGATAGGACACTTCCCAACAAGGTGATTGAAAATGCAGCAATATTTCTGCGATCGGCTCCAAAAGTACTATTCATCCAATCATCCATGGAGGAAATTTTTACATTCGTAATGTGATTCGTTGAAAGTGGATGCTGATCAACAGAGCGAGAGGAGTAAATCCACCGTACGATGTGGTCGAAAAGAGGGGAAGACAATTTAGACATGGACATTTTTTTGAGATCTGTCTGATTGGTTGATTGCAAGCTTGTCTCATGATCTTCGCTGTTGTTTTACGTTGGACAACATTAATTTCTCATGTCCAACCTTTCGTTTTCCAATGACAGCAACGTTGTCATAAATGCTTTGAAAACACGTTTACCTTTGATTTTGAAACAATAAGATGTTACTCGAGTCATCCCGCCGATTTGAATCGTTTCATCCAAAGTAAAAAAAATTAAGGCATAGAGATATCCCAAAAAAAAGTGTAAATTTACTGTTCTTATTGAGAGAACTTATCATCACCCGAATACAATCATCATTGCACATCCTTTATTACCTACTGGTTGAAAATGGGGCTTTGGAATATGATTAAGCGTGAGTAATCATTGTTACGAGTTGAGGAATATATTTCTTGTTGATAATTAATTTTAGGTAAAAAGAAGAAAAATGCGGAAGACGAAACTTTGGTCATCGAGAGGTCTGTATCGGAAGGAAACGTGAGGTCGTTCTCACCCGAGAAGAAAAATTCATTTCCTTTTGGATTCTCTCCCAAAAAATCAAATCATCACCATCATCATCATCACTCTAAACATCGCCATCATCATCACAACGACCATAATGAAAAAGCCGAATTTTTTGCTGATAATTTAATAACAGCAGAAACTATTGAAGATTTTTCATCCAGTCCAGAAACGAAGCAATTATTTCTAAAGGAGGCCACCTCGACTGACGACAATATTTTAGCTGACAACAGCATTATCACAAAGATTGTTCGAAATCGCACTTCGCCAAACTCGACACTAAATTCAACATTGGATCATGAAAGTTTTATGAGGCCACCATCCCCAAAGCAAGCAGATACCACTATCGAAGAAAACAATATTGAACATACTAGTTTTGAGGATGAAGTGTGCATTAAATCGACAATATTAAACCACAAACTTCCACCTAACATATCCGAAGCAAGTGAGAACGATGTGACAGACAAATTGAAAACTTCTCAACGAAAAGCTATCAACGAAACAGAGGTTATTGAAAATCGCAAATTATTCGCCGATCAATCAAAGTCGTCTTGTGAAGTAGACAATATTAAGGAAGAAATTATACATTCGCCCACTGATGAGCACAGCCCAACATCGCCCACTGATGAAATGCAAGAAGATTTATATATTCCAGAAAAAGAAATGGAAAGTTTACCTGTACAACAAACTCAAGCCTCCTCAACCACAGCTGATGATCATTTTTTGAAGCCACAAGAGGAACACATTAATTCTCCAGAAATGTGTGCAACCAAAGAAACTCTATTGTTTGAAGAACCATCCCAAAGCCATGTGGTTCAATCAGATATTAATACATTTCCATCTCAAGAATTGGCTCAACTAGAACACAAAGAGTTCACTCGTTTTATTGAATCTGAGCTATTAAAGCTTAAAGATGACCTTCAAACAGATCGACGGATAGGTGAGAGCGTAAATCAACAACGAGTACCATCTCCCCTTCCAAAAGAAAAATCACACGGAAATCCAAGTCATCCTCAATCATTGACACTCAACCTCGATGCTAAATATAAGTATGCACGAAGAGCTCTGTTGAGACAGTATCTCAAAAATAGAGGTACCTCTACCGGCGATAAAATAGCATCAGACACTATTAACAATGCCTTAGATCTGAACACGTCTCTAAAATTGCAAAGATTGGAAAAGGAAAATAAGGAGCTCGAACGGCTACAAACGACCAGAAAAAAGTACGCCAAAGACCTTGTCAAGCTTGAAAAATTGGTGGAAATAGCAACCATGGAAAATGAAGTGGAAGCCTCCCAACAAAAATCACATGTAGTGATTGTTGATAGAAAAAAGAAAGATACTAAGGGAGCGTTGTCGAAAGGATACTCGGATATTCTACAAACTAAGATGGAAATGATGGGGAAAATACTTGTCTCATCTTCGGATGAGTTCGCTGAGGCAGATCCTGAGATTTTGTTGAAACAAATTAATCTTCTCAAGTCTGAAAGAGAAAAATTCCAAACATTGGTCGAAAAACAAAAAGAAACCATTCGATTTCTAGCTGAGGACTTATTGACCGATGTTGCCATTGATCCCAATGAAAAGCAAAAGCTTGTGGAACAAGTGATTAGCAATCATTCAGTACCAGAATCACCATGTTCAGAATCCTCTCCCACTTCCAACTCTGCACACCATGATTTTAATGTCGCATTGCCATCAGAAGATTCCTCTCCACCCCCTCCACCTCCTCTCACTCCCCTTCTCGTATCATTATCACGAGCTCACCACTCACAACCAGAGCCACCATCTCTCTCCGTTGAGATTGAAAATTGTAATCCTACCTTAAAGCCCAAAAAGAAAAAGTCAAAAAAGATGAAAAAGAAGACGAAGGAGAGCTCTTCATCAACAACAACAACCGTCATGATGGAAGCTCCTTCTTCTACTTCTCCCGAACTGCCAAAGGATGGTAAACGAGGTAGTACTTCCCTGCAGGAAAAGAAGAAGAAAAGATCCTCTTCACCTGCTCAAAAACAAGAAAGGCCCTCATCAGCTTTGGGTCTCTCAAGAAAGAACACAACAATCACACCACCACAACAACCAGAAGATACTCGAAAAGTCTATGAACATTCTCCATCATCATTCTCATCTGCCAACAAGACTCTACGAAGACCCATGTCTGCAAGTCGTTGTTCATCCTCCTCCGTGAAATCATCATCAACCTTAATTAATGCTGTAGCATCACCCAACTCCGAACCACTATCAAGAATAGCACATGATATAACTCAAAAACGTCCATCAAGTGCCTCTGCAACACATTCCTCGTCTTCGAGATATGACAAGATCATTGATCGGCTCTATGAAGGCGGTATTGAGAAGCAAAATAAATCGAGGGAATGGGCCAGGACACAAAAGGAGCTCAAAGACGCAAAAGAGATGCAGGAAATGAGAGAAAAGCCTCAACTCAACAGAAGGTCTATTGAACTTGTTAATCGGAAGTATCAATCTGGAGATTTTGTGGCCTCTAGTCGTGGTTCAACACCTTCCACTGATACGAAAACGATCACCAGTCCAAGCATGTACATGACAATTTCTTCTGATGGAGTTATTATGCAAACACCAGTTTCAATCGAACGCCCACGCAGTGGTAGTATTGAGGAACTGAGGCTGCTCCGACAAGAATCAATGAGGAGAAGAACACGTGAGTTTAATATCATGAAAGAAAGTCTTGCAGAATGTACATTTACTCCGAATATTGGGCGAAAATCTTTAGAAATAGCCTCTCACCGCAAGGCAAAAGATGAGCAACCAATTCACAACAAGTTATTTGAGGAAGCGAAGGAAAAGGAAGCTCAAAATGCAAAAGTCAGAGAAATGTAAGTATATGCACTATTGACATTATGTACATTTACATTTATTAGGGCCAAAAAAGTAAAAGATGAGCAAGAAGTTAAGGAGATACGAAAATCAAAAACCTTTAAAAGCGCTGAAGATGAAAAAGCATTTATCAATAGAATGCTCGAAGCAGAAAAAGCAAAAAAACAAAGAATTGAACAGCTTCGTGTAAAATGCTTTGAGCAAGAAACATTTAAACCTAAAACCAACAATACCCAGATACCGAGAGAAGGTGACGTGTGTGAACAGCTTTACAAACAAGGACTAGAAATACAAAAGAGAAGAGAGTTCATACGAGATCAATATGAGCAATATTTAGAAAACGTTCGGTCCATGAAACACACCACTAAGGGTAGCACTAAGTATATTGAAGAAATGAAAGAAAAACGAATATTTTCCTTATTTAATTTATTTTGCATTGAATCTGAATGTGAAGAGTCTGCAGAAGTAGAGATTCATAGGCTTCACGAGGTTATAGAACCACTACTGGACAAGTTTGGAGAGCCTTTGTCTCTAGTAATTCCTTTACTGGCAGAAAGATTTGGAGATGATTCAATCATCAACTATGACCAATTTAGAATGTTTATTGAGAGCCCAGAAACAAATTTAGATCTTGAAGATTTGGCTGCTCAAGTGAAATTACTGCAGAACCAGCTGACACTGCAACTAGCAGTTGAAAATCAATTTAACTTTAAGCCAAGCATCAATTCTACTTCTCGTAAGCTTGATCCTTATGCGTATGGTTGTGAAACTTTGGAAGACAGAGTTGACAATTTACTATCATTCAAAGAATATAGAGATCAGAAAATAGAAATGATGAGAAATAATGCCATTGAGAAAGAGCTGGAAGAATGCACATTCAAACCAAAAATTAACAAATAATATTATATTTAGTACCTTACAACTCTAATACATTCTTCAGGAACAACCTGCTCTGCTTGATTCGTTTCAGAAAGAGACTTAGCTCGAATGATTATGTCATCCATGACTCGTGTGGCGTTTAGCCCAAACTTGGGGAGGCTGTCGTAAAGCTCTTTAACTCTTTCAAAATTTTGGATATTAATTTCCATTCCAACCTTGATAATTTCTAAATCAACCTTTCCAAGAGGAAGTAACAGGTCATACAACAGCTTATTGGCAAGCACTCGTCTCTTTCCTTCGATTAATTCAAGTAGAATGAATTTGTATTCTTCCAAGGACAAAGGATGCTCAAACAAGTATCCCTTCTCTTTTGCTTTGGATATCCTTGAGAAATATGAGCGAGCTTTGACAATATTTTGTTCAAATAGCCACGCCACACCAATATATAAAAAAGATGTGTCATCTGGTGTGCAGAGTAGTTGATTCATGTCCTCCAGAACTCTTTCACATTCAGCAGCGTTTTTCATAATAGCATGATGTTGAATAGCCTGATTAAAAAAGTAAATAGCATTGTCAGAAGGTGACTTCATTCCAAATTCTAGTCCCATGTAATAATAGGTGTCAAAAATATCGGATCGTTTGTGAATGGTTCCGTATTGCATAAACATGCAATAAATGTAGAAATTAGGAACAACTTTGAACACATAATATGATTTCTTAAACAACGCAGCTGCAGTATCAAAATCTCCCTTCTGAAGCAATATTCGAATGATAGGCGTGATTGAGTAAATATCTGGTCCAATTTGTTTTTTCTTCATTTCATGTAAAATTTCAATGGCACGTGTGTGATCTTGCGCTTTACAGAAGCCATTGATTAGAGCATTGTATGTGTGCGACGTTAATAAAATGTTGTTGGCCTTCATCTTTTCAAAGAATTTAACTGCAGAAGTCAATTGCCCTGCTTCCAAATAGCCTCTCAACAGAAAATTGCAACATATATTAATATGTCCTTCATAGTGAACATTCTGTAGAAATCAACCATCGCATCCTCAAGAAATTGGTTTGCCATTACGAAATTTCGTTGTCGTGTGAAAAATGTAATTATCAATGAGTATGTAAGAGGTGTTAAAGCAACACCTGCATCTTTCATTTTCTGGAACACGTCAAGAGCTAATTGGATTTCTCCAATTGATGTATAAGCTTCAATAAATGAGTTTGCAATAAAGGTGTTCGCCTTAAATCCTAAAGAATGAAATTCTTTCATCAACTCCTCAGCCAGTTTAATATCAGGAACCTGGCATGCAGCCCTTATTATTTCATTGTAGCAATGCTGCACAACAGTGGGTGTTGCTTTGTTGGATTTGTGTAAATTCTTAATTAGATTTACATAGGTTCGAGCCGAAGAAATGTCTCCACTTTTACAAAAGCCAGAGACAAAATTATCGTAAATATTTGCATTAGGTTCAATATTATAGAACTTTGTCATAATATAGAGAAAATTTGTAGCTAACTTCATTTTGCCTTGGTCTGAAAGTAGTTTAAAAAGATGTTGAAATACTTCTCTATTTGGAGCAACAGGATTAGTAGATAACTTTTTCTGTTGTAAACTGTTTTGTTTGTGTGCGGTAAATGTTTTGTGTATGTATTCAATCATTGAGAGAGCAGAATGCAAAGCCCCATTTTTAGAGAAATAGTCGAAAAACGTGACGTAGGTCTCCTCATTCGGTGGATAAAATTTTAAATTAGTATCATCTTGCATTTCTTTCAAAATAGTTAGAGCCTCTTCACCCCTTCCAGCTTCTAGTAATGATTTGGTTATCAAATTGCTATATTTGGTGGGTATAGGCTTATGAATTCTCTCTTTTAACTCGTTAAAGCAATCCAGTGCACTTTGAGGTTGGCCTTTGCGAAAAAAAGCATATAGAAAATAGTAGTATAAATCTACATCTCTGTCTGGTTTTTCAAATGGTTTTCCTTTCATTCGTAGCATGTAATAATTTATGATATTATCATATCTGTTTTTGCTTTCGAGAGATTTCAACTTTTCTATTTCATTATCAATCGGAATTTTCTTTTTCTTTGTTTCCTGCTTGTCGGGAATGTTTGGAGGATTGTTTGCGCTATCAGTGTTCTTTAGCGATCCTTCACTTTCGGGAGGCTTGAACAATTTGAAAGCGTTCTTAACATAATCCAGAGAAATATGACGTTCATGATAGCAGCAATCATGTATCAATGCAATCATCCATTGCCCATTCACCTTCCGATTCATGCTATTGAAGAATACTTGCTGATGATGAAGACCTTCGATACAAGGAATCACAAGCCGTTTCATTTTTGTGTTTTTCAAAAAATATTAAAACATTTTGTGAGTCTTTTGTTTCCTCGTCCGACTATACCCTCAATAACGTTACACGATTGGATCGTTCGTGTTGAACTTAATGTAGAAGAATAATTGTAAAGTGTTGAACTGTAAATTTCTACCATTCGGAATGGCCTTGGGATATATTTGAGCATCATGTATTTGGATTTGATTTTCCAAAAGATATCGTTATTTTCCAAATTATTAAATGTCCACTCTCCCCAAAGCATTTCCTGATGAATTTGGTAGTAGCAAGTAGATGAACTTTCTAGCAGTGCTTGAATACAATTGGCAAGAGTCGCAAGAAAGGCTACTTCCTCTAACACAACTCCCCAAATGTCCATTATATTTGTACAGGATCCCCTCAATACATCACAATCGCAAAGAAAGACCACCGTTTGCCATTTCCATCCCACAAGTTAGGGATCACTGAACTCTCATCAGGTAAGTTTGTTTGAAATTGCAATACGCGTTTGGTTGTTGTTCAAGAGATAAATATGATCCATGTCGTTTTCAGTTAATACTCATGAGATGCAAGCAGAGGATAAATTTCTCTCCTTCGTCTTCGTAGATAAGCCATTTAAAACAGGCAATGAACATGTGACACCTTTAGAGATTCGGTGTCGAAATGGATTTTTACCACGGAACAACGAGAATGTTGTCTTGCGAAAGGCATGGTATCGCATGAGTTGACCAAAATTTGTTGGCCGTTCAGCTCCCCATTTTTCATTCGCATTGCCGTTTTTTATGTATTGTGTCCATCACTTGGCATAACCACACTATTTTGTGATCCATCACCTCGACACATCTTTGCCCATACACAAAAAAACAAAACAACAACACTACAGACTTCAAATACACCAAAAGCTTTTGTACTCCTTTCTCGCTACTACCACTGAAAACCCATTCAAAGCTCAATCTCGTAATGATGAAGGCCAACCTCAACGCTGTTTTACATCCACAACACAACAATCCTCATACTTTCAGCTTACCACTGTGTGATCTTCAACAATTCGAGGATCCATACATTGCACTGATGATGCAAATTCAGCAACACCAGCACAAGCAGCAATCATTTGCCAAAACACCCAATCACCAACTCTCTCATCACATGACTTGCCACTCACAGCAAAACACCACTCCAACAGAGCGAATGCAACACCAACCAACTGGTGTGGCGTTTTCAAAACTCTCACGAAACGAGTTTATTGAACTCTTCTTGGAGAAAGCGTTTATGGGGGATTCGCAAGAAACATCTCAGACATCACATGCTAACAGCGACGAGTTTTTAACAATGTTGTCACTTCCCTCCGAACAACAACAAATGGTGAACACGAATCCAGTCAACGATCGTACTGGCATTTCGTCGCATAATTATACCCTTGAAGACAGTTTGTTACTAGATGATTCTAATTTCATGCAAAATTTCCGTGAATGGTTGTTTTTATCTCAACAAATGCAATCACTACAGTCGTACCTGTAAAGAAGCCAATCCAACCAATTTCTTGTAACATAGCATCTCCTCAATGTACAAAACATTCTCAATACACAATAAAACAATTTTGAAGTCGGAACTCAATCGGTTGACGTTCTTTGCAAACCGTAAACTTTTTTGTAACGGAGTTCCATTTCTGTAGGAAGAAAAATTGACGCTTTTGAGGCAGAGATATTCCAATCAAACTCATTCATATGAATTTTAATCATCGGAAACGACATGTGCTTCAAGGTGGTGCTAAGAGAAAATTACCACCCTCAGAAGACGATCTAATCTTTGAGGATTCAGGTATTTCAGATTCTGAGTTCATCAAGGGGAGTAAAGGCTCTTCTAGCTTCTCTAAATCTTTACCGTTGAGAGCAATTAGACCATCAAGAAGAAAGAATGAATCTAGAGATGCCATAGACCCAATTCCAGAAGATCTCAAGCACATGTTTTCTCCAAATAAGAGCAAGGACGCTCCACACTTGTCCTTAAAACAAACATTCAACAAGAAGCAAGGAAATGGAGTATTTCAAAATCAGATGCGTTACGATTCAAATCGCAGCCCATTAAGAGTTTTTGAACCTAACCTTCAAGAGCATCTGGAATACTCTGAGGACAACATATTTATGCCAAACAGCAATCAGCTCTCAGAACACGAACATTTCTTCATACAACCCTCCCCGAATCTTCATCCACAGAACAAATTCTTCTTTGATTCATACAACAGCAAAGATCAACTTCTTGTGCCTCAGTTTCATCAACCCAAGCACTTTAGTGCCGGTATGGAAGATCACGCAAGGCGAGAAACAGAAGAAACCAATTATGGCGACTTGACTATTCAATTCAAACCAGAAATGACAACCTCAGGTTCATTCCACATGTTCAGTCCATTCAATGACGAGTCTTCAACCAGTTCCAACCATTGGTTTTCTTTTCAATCAAATCCAAGAGATGAATGCGACCTCTTCTCGCCACTGAAGCATCGAAGAAGAACAGGTAACGAGTCCCAAAGCCTCAATCAAGAATGGAAACCTTTGTTTGGGGTAAAATCAAACGAAGATCATTAGCTTGGCGGCAACCTTTCACATGCCAAAAGTCAACCTTCAATCCGTCTTGGATTTAAAAAAATAAAAAAAGATTCATTCGGCCGTGAGCACACTCCATCACAGCAAATCTTCGCGACCACAACAAACGAGAGGCGATTGATTTTTGCTTCTTCGAATTGACATTAACTGTCGCGACACCTTCAAAATCTATCTAACAACTTGTAAATAGACCGTATTTGAATTTTAGCAATTGTAATTTTGATAGGAATATACTTGTCAGAGAAAGAGTTGTAGAGAGTTTCATCATCTTCTAAATCTTCAAGATACTTGTACATTTCCTCTATATACAACCTCCAAAACCTAAACTCTCTACTTGAGTTGCAATACATATACATGATGATGAACACCAACAAGCAACAACAACAAACGCCTGGAACCCCCACCAAACAACCAACAGGGAATGGAAACTCCTTGTTCTATGCATCATCGGCCTCTCCATCCCATGTGGTTTCTTCTCCGCAACATGTCATGCTACAACATTCTCAACTTGCGCATCATGCTCCACCGATGCATTTAGGAATTTTACCATCCACGACCAGTATTGGAGGAATGTCCACTCTTCATCATCATCCTCATCCTACTGGAATGATGATACAACCTCATCAACCATTTGTACTAGGAGGGGGAGGAGGATCTTCTTTGGAAGATTTTCATCATCATCCATCAACACAGCAACAAAATTGGTTGAGTAATCATTACTCATCATCATCATCACCCTTTGTTAGTGGAGGAAATGTAGTAGTAGCAGGGAATACAACCAATCATGTATCATCCTCCTACTTTGTACAATCACCCTCAGCAGCGACCTCCAATAGTAGCAGTAATATGATGCATCATCATCATCATGGAAGAATTTCTCAGCAGCAGCAGCAGCAGCAACAACAACATTCCTCCATGTTCAATAACAACACTCAAGGAAATCATCATACCAATATGATCAATCCAACAATGATCACGATGTCGAACACCCAACCACAACAACAACACCCATCAACTCCAAGTAATAACAACAGTGCTAATGCAACACTATTAGGAAGTGGATTATCAGCCAATAATAGACCTGGATCTCCACATTCTCAGGAATCTTCAGACTCGAACAATTCCTCGAATGGACTACCTACGATCAATACTTCTTCTCTCAAACGTAGCACTAAGAGCGGTGGTAATAATAATAACAACTCCAACAACACCAACCACAACAATCATTACTATACTAGCAGCAGTAATAGTAGTAGTAATAACAGTAATAGCAATAACAACAACAATCAGAGTTCAGGTCCTCCTACCATTAACACTTCTAACTTGAAACGTGCCAATCAAAGTCGTTCTGCAATAACACCCAATCGTACGCATCAACCATCTCAACTCTCTATGAATCAAAAGAGAAGAAATGATGGTGCTCAGCAACAACAACATCCGCACGGTCCAAATACTATTCGTGCCAATAGTGTCAGCTCTCCCACTCAAGCAAATTCCAATTTAAATGATGTAGTGAAGAGAACACTTCATCTTCGATCGCAATATTTGTCGTTATGTGATCAATATGGAGTCAAACCAAGTCAAGAAATTATTCGTTTGTTGAAAGTTGCAATTCGTAATCAGGATCCTCTCACTAAATTGTCGATTTGTCATGCTCAGGCCGACGATGAACATGTCAAAGCATTGGTCAATGCATTGATTTCATTCCAAGATAGAAATAGACCAAGAAAAGGTCTCACTTCTAATTCATCGACTTCTACCAGCAGCAGTAGCAGCAGTATCAATGCTGTCACAACATTGTTCGATGTCAATGAAATTCTTTTGAATCACAACAAAATCACGGACATTGGAGCAAACATGATCATTCAAGAATTACTTCTTCCTCAATCTCCTTATCACAAACAAATTGTGAGCATTGAATTATTTGGCAATGAATTGACAGATTCATGTTGTGAATTGGTTGCAGAAATGCTTCGTACCAACAAGGTGCTAAAAAGACTCAAATTAGGAGATAACAAGATTGGACCTGAAGGAGCTCGAATTATTGGTGAAGGATTGAAACACAATCAAACATTGTCACAATTGCACTTGGGAGGTAATAATGTAGAAGTAGTTGGAATCAAGTCCATTGCTAACGCTCTCATCAATAACACTTCATTGACTTCTCTTGGATTGAGAGATAACGGAATTGGAAGCGATGGAATGAAAGCATTGGCTGAAACTCTCAAATCCAACACTCAACTTTCTGACATTCAATTGAAAGGAAATAATATTAAGGCCACAGGTGCTTCCTTCCTTGCCTCTGCTTTGATGACCAATCAATCTCTCAAAGTTTTAGAACTTCAATCCAATGCCATTGGTCCAGTTGGTGTGAAAAGTCTTTGTCAAGCTCTTAAAGACAATCACAGCGTTCATGCTCTCAATTTTAATGATAATGAACTTGGAGATGAAGGAGCACTTCATGTCGCCAATTTGCTCAAAGTGAATCCTTCCATTACAACTCTCGGATTGGCCAGTAATAGAATTAGAAAAAAGGGAGCGGTTGCTCTTGCTGATGCATTACGCTGTGAACAAACTGCTGTGACTGGACTCGATTTAGGATCAAATGAAATTGGAAATGGAGGAGCTGTGGCTCTAGCAGATGCTCTTGCTGTCAATAAGGTATTGACATCATTAGATTTAAGAAGTTGCGAAATTCACTTGAAAGGAATTTTAGCGCTTTCAACCATGTGCGATACTAACACCACGCTAAGACATCTAGATCTTGGAGCCAACTATGCCAAAAATCAAGGTGCAATTAGTTGGGCTCAAGTTCTGTCTAAAAACAAATCATTGACAAGATTGTGTCTAACAGACAATCAAATTTACCACGAAGGTGGTGAAGCATTAGCCGTTGGCTTGCAAAGTAATTACACATTACGTAATTTTTCATATGGTGGTCAAGGCCCACAACAAAACAAAATTGATAGCTCTATTAGGCGCATCATTGATAGCATTGTATCAGAAAATAAGAAATATTGGGAACAAAATCAACAATCATCCGAAGTGACCTATGAATCTACCAATCAGATGAGAACTGTGGATATTTCCAAGATGAGATTACAACAACAAATGTATTACAATCGAATGACAGACGAGAATGGTGAAGAATACAACAATGAACAGCATGATGATTTGTCAGGTAGTGACGAGAATAATCTCTCAGATACTTTAATGTCACCAAGTGAATTCCATAGCACCATCATGTCTCCACTCTTTCCACAGTCACCAGCAGCTGAAGGTAAAAATTATAACTCCATGCCAAATTGGCTTCTCTCATCCGTTCACATTCCAAGATCAAACGTTGATCCTGAAGAAATTGATTCCAAATTGGAATTTATTTTCAAGAACAAACTCTTGAAAGCAGAAAATCCAAAATTCAAAGGATGTTATTTTATTGGAAACATTGTAAATACTTTGAAAAAGGTATATCCAGAAACTAGAATTGATGAAGGACAGTTAGTGCAATTTGCCATGAATAATCCTAAATATCAAGTTCACCTTTCACGTGAAATGGTTAAAACTCAGATGAAATACATTGGTGACAATTCAGAGCAAGTTCCAAAAACTGGAAATATTTCAGCAGCAACTTCAAATAGTGACACACCGTCACTACTTCCAATCCAAAAGAAGGGAACAAAATCCACAGTTCGTACCAAGGGCAGTGAACTTTCCTCTCCAAGCAATGACCAATACAAAAAGTCAGTGCGTATTGACACTTCAAAGATTGGTATTGCTGAGGCATCGTCGGACATGAACGATATTTCGACATCCACTGGTCCAACCTCCCCTTCAGATCGAACCTTGTCACCAACATTGAATATTAGTACAAGTTTCCATGCTCCTCTCAATAAGAGAGCTCTCACAGATCCTGGATTTGGAATGGTCAAACAAGACAGTTCTTCTGGATTGTTATTGGGTCAACCATCCTTAATGGAAACTGGTGGATTATTTACTTCCTTCTATTCACCACTTCAACCTTCCTCTCTCTTCACATCATCATCCTCGGGTGCTACTCAATCAAATCCCAATCGAACAATGTCACCATTCATTGATAGTACTTCTTTTGGAATGGGATCTTTTGCAGGACATGGTACAGGAATGGTTGGATTTTCAAGCATGTCCAATTCTTCTTCGTACTCAATGTTTTCATCTCCTTCTTCTCATTTGTCTCAACAACCACCTCATTCAAGTAGCAGCAATTTAACTTCTCAATTTTTCGCGAGTAATACTTCTCAACAAGGAGTTCATGAAAGACAAGCTTCCGAAGATTCCTATACTCGGTATGACAGTATGGTCGACAAACTGGTTCAATAATCGATCAACACCAACTATGATGAACACCCTGATATATCATGGTAGTTTCATAAGAAAGCTCTCATATATTATTCGACGACTCGGTATTAATAAATTAGAACAAATTTCATAATAGTCGATCGTGTTGACGTCGCTTTGTTTTTTCCATGCATTCACTTGAATCATTTGTCATTCCAAAAGATCTCAACAAACACCAAAAGATCTTGGTGCACATCATCCTCACTCAACTCGAAAAAACACTCTCTTCGTGTTGTCCCTCTCCATCAGCACTCCTTCAAGCTCCGTTCCTTTTTTCGTTGGTCAACCCTTCAATTCCGAACGGCACCCTGAGACTTTTGAATCATTCACAGAGTGACACACGCAACTTCACGGAAGAGAAACATTTTAGAAAGAAGAAAAAAATCAAAAACGTTTCTCTCTCTCTTTCTTTCCGAGAATGTTCAAAGCCATTCGTAATTACTTTAACTACAACGACCTGATCGATATCAATATCAATGAAAGGCTAAAATGTAAGTGTTGTTTGATTTTGGAGTGTGATGGAATGCGACTGGTTGATGTCTCTCAATGTGTGATGATACAAAATGGTTTCATGATGATGAATTCGACGCAAATATGTATTTCCAATGATTGAAATCTCTTCATCATCACGAATGATTCGAATGATATAATTGTACACGTATTTGCTCATGACGAAATTGATATCGGTTTTAAAAACGGAAATTTACTGTGATGGAATGCAATTAATTGAATTTTCATCATCTTGTTGCCATGTTGATTATAACTGTGGGATCGTTTGCATTATGGGCGCTTTTCAACTTGCGATCTCGTACGTGTTGGTCAACCATTTGGTCAACTGCGCTCTCCTCTCAAATCCCCTCCGCACAACATCATTTCCAACCACAATCACACTCGAACAACACATCATCCTCCTCCTATCACAGACATTCACAATGAAAATGGAACAGAAGAACTCAATCTTCGAATTTCAAACCTTCTTACCGACAAATACGAAGATAAAGTTCTCATCTTCAACTTTACATCCAAACCGTTTCCTTCCGTAGCTACACGTCCATGTATTGACATTGGTTCAACACCAGTCATCAGTGAACATTTTGAACAAATTCCAATTCTTCTTTCCCTTTCTCATATGATTGATAACTATCTCCTAAATTATTCATCATCCAAAGATTATTATGTGGTATTTGTTGCTTCTACTCAAACCGTTTGTTATGCCTTGTTATTAGCTTCGGTATTTGTTTCCTATACCGATTCCAAAATGTATATGGATATGTATGGAATTGAACAATCCAGTCTTAAATCTCATCATCCAGAACGAATTATTACTACAACGGTATTGGATGGCTCTACAGTTCCTTCTGCTCATTCTTCTCCGAATATTCATAATAGTAATACTAGTAGTAGTAATAACAACAATAATAATAATAACCACTCGATCACAACCTCCGATGAATATGTCTTTATCAATGAGCATATGAGTGGAGATCCCAATGCCCATGATACGAATGGTTCATCATCAACCGCTGGAATGGGATCACCCAAACTATCCCGAACTTCTATTGCAAGTGCCTCTGAAGCAGGAATGGATCAAGCAATGGCTGCAGAGACTAATTCCACGTGTAGCGATCGAACCACCACAACTGTCACTACTACAACCACGACAACGAATTATAGCACTCGAATTTTGAATACGGTGCAAATTCTACAGCATGCCAGAGAAACCGTTTATACTCGATTGGAGAAGAAATTGAATGCTAAATCGTTGAACAAGCTCAAGAGTTTGGAACCTTCTGTTTTTAGATATGCTAATTTATTTCTGATTGCATTGCAACGACCGCTTTCATTGATGATTATTCAGGATCATCCTCATCTTTCCATCTCTTCTCAAATTAGAACGACTTATTTTAAACCATCATGCTTTAGATTGCAATGTATTTCAATGAATAGTTCGAGACTTTGTGTGAAATACTCGAATAATGGAATGATTGCTTCATTCTTAGATCAAAGTAATTCAACGTTAGAAAATAGAAGACATAGTATGTCTGCTAGAAATTTAAAACGTGAGGAATGGGTCTCTGTAAGCAAAGGCGATTCTACAGACGATGATAACATTCCTGACAGTCTAGTTGCTTTCCAATATCGGAAATTGTACTTTGTCGTTCGAAAACAAACCGACATTTTGTTTTCAACTTTCACAACCGCTTCTACCAATAATGCTCCAAGAGTAGAGAGAAGAAAGACAGTTCTCTCTTCACACAATCCAGAGGAGAGACCTTCCACTCGTGTGGAAACATGGTTCCATTATAATTTACCATTCAATGAAAGCAAACCATTGATGGGAGATTTTATATTGCTAGCATTTACAATGGCTGATGATGGTAATATTATTTCACTGTTTAGATTTACTTTTAATACCATGTTTTTGACAAGCACTGTTGTAGTCGTTGACAAGAGTGAGCTCGATTGGGCTCACAACTCTCCTGCATTTTCATCAAATTTCAAATTAGAATTGAATTTCTCTGAAATTGATTGCAGCAGTGAAAAGGAAGCTGAAGAACTTTCTACTTCCTATTGGACTGAATTGATTTGTGCTCTTGATAAATGTCCACATTTCCTTTCAAGAACTGCAGAACTTGACAATGCAAGACAACTCTTAGTGACCAAGCCCTATCTCATTGATGTACCAATAGGAGACAACATGTTGACGACAACCACTCAACCAGGAAGTAGCAACAATTCACCTCTTCTTGTAAATAACAAAGAAAATTCATCTCCTCGTCTCAATGGACAAAACTCTTCACCCAGTCTTGGTTCCATTCCTCCTCCTCCACCTGAATTGGGTGTGATTCCTCCTCCTCCTCCAACCAATGGAGGGAGTTTCATTCCTCCACCTCCACCTCCTGGTTTTGTTCTTTCATCTTCAAAAAAGAAATACAAGACAGCTGAAGCAGAAGAAGTGAGCAAAACAAAACAATTGCATTGGAAGCCAATTAAGAAAGTGAGCTCTGCAAGTTCCGTTTGGAGTCAAATTGATGAGGTTGATGAATCATTAATTGATCTCGAAAAGATTGAAATGCTCTTCGCAAAACAAGCCAAGAATGATGAAGATGACATGTCAACTTCTCCAAGATTAGGTTCTTCTTCAACAATACCTTCTCCAAGAACTAAGGTGTCACCTCGACAACAACAAAAGTCACTTGCCACTGAAGGTATTATTGATGCCAAGTCTGCTAGAAATATTGAAATTATTATTAACAGTCAATTTAAGCAAGCTAGTAGTGAACAAGTTGTTGAAGCAATTAATAATCTCAACATTACAGCTCTCTCTGCACAACAAGTTGAAAATATGGAACAATTTGTCTCTACCAGTGGTGACTTGTTTAACATGAAGGCCAAGCTTAAAGGAATCGATCGTGAAGAGTTACCAAAAACAGACACCTTCTTCTTGGATGTGTTATCTGTTGAGGAAGTGGGTACCAAGCTTAAATTGATGAAATTCATGTTGAATTATCCAAATCTTCAAAAAGATCTTACTGATAAGATTGAAAAGAAGAGAGCTGCGATCAGGTGCATTACCAATTGTGCATCATTCACAAAAGTTCTTTCTTACATTCACGCCATTGGTTCATTCATGAATAGAGGTAAAAAGAGATTAGAAGGAGAGGGCTTCGATTTAAGAATTTTACCCAAACTTGTGGACACTCGTTCATCCATTGATAAGAGTATGAACTTGATTACCTATCTTGTCAAAGTTCTTGAAAAAGATACCACCGGAAGTATTAACTTTGATCAAGAGTTGGTGGATGCTGGAGTTTGTACACATGGTGTGACTGTCACTTTGGCCAATGTCTCTCAATTACTAAGTGAAATTCAACAACAATACAAATTTATTGCAAAAGCAGTGGATGATATCAATAAGGAGAAGTGCACTGAGGATTACAAGACCAATTTGATAACTTTCTTCAAGACCTGTCAAGAAGAATATCCTAAAATGATGGAGGCCTATGAAAGTTTACAAAAAGAAGCAACCACTTGTTATGAATTCTATCATTTTGAACTTTCTGATGACGGTTCCGATCGAAAACTAGTTGAAGATGAATTCTTTGCAATTATTTCCGAGTTTGTCACTCAGTATCGTAAGGCTAAGGAATCTGTAATCAAGTCTCCAAGAAGCAGTCCAGCAGGTATGAAAAAGAGAAGTCAGTCCTTGATGAAACTTGATTTGAATAGAATTGATAAGAGATGAGATGGATTGGAATTTAAAATGATTCGAAATAAAATTTCAGCGTCAATTTGTGTCCGAAATTGTCAACATTACACACCATACTTGGTTTAAGCAAAAACATCAATGTGCAACAAGTCAAGTTCCAGAAAGCTTTGGGTTTCAGCATTCATTGAACAACATCAACGAACGTTACTTTATTTTAGCCAAAACAATTATTAATGACTTCCCGCATTAACACGAAAATGATGGTTAAGCACTACTGTAGTTGGAATCCGAAAAAAATTGGCGGTTAGAGTCCACAGCACATTCATGGTCGTTCAGACTCAAATGACTCGCTCATCACCATTTCAATTCCAGAAACAAACATTTAAAAACGGTGATGAAAAGGTACGAATGATCCTAGTTGATTTTTCAAGTTCTTTATTTCATCATGGTGAAAATTGTGAGCACACTCGGCATGCTGAAATGTTATTGAAAAAGAAATTCTCTTTGCAACAATTAGGAAAAAAGAAATGGCTTTTAAATCGAGAGTTACAATACCAACGTCTCATACCTGTAGAATTTATGAATGATCCTGAATTTGTTTTGAACCATATCAAAAAGTATGGTGCTGGATTCGAATTTGCATCGACACAATTAAAAAAAGATCGAGAATTTGTATTGAAGGCAGCTCAATATAAAGGATTTAACTTTAGATTTGCAGATGAAAATATTCGCAACGATAAAGAAGTGGTATTGGCAGCGGTACAGCACGATGATGCTGCTTTGCAATCTGTTTCAACAGCTCTTTTGAATGACAAGGAGTTTGTGTTGGAAGTTGTGGGAAAGAATGGAATGGCTCTGAGATGGTGTAATGAATTTCACTATGACAGGGAAGTTGCATTGGCTGCCGTCAAACAAAATGGTGTTGCGTTGAAATATGTCACCTACGACAGCTCAAGTCATTGGTACAAAACAATTGCATTGGAAGCAGTCAAACAACATAAGGAGGCAGTTCTATGGATTCCCATAGGTTTGCTTCTAGATCCTGATTTCTTTATACAAGTACTCCAAATACTATTTCCAAAAGATTTTCAAAGCTTAAACCATGCTGAATATTCAACGAATGAAATCATGACCAGGATGATTCAAGAATTTGGGTTTTTACTTGGATATGTTTCGAGTAAACTCAGAACTGATCGAAAAATTGTTTTGAGCGCCGTTAGAAATGATGGGTGTTCATTACGATTTGCGTCTGAAGATTTACAGAACGACAAAGAAATTGCATTATTTGCTGTTCAACAAAGAGGTGATGCATTACAATATGTTTCAGAAAAATTGAAAGGAGACAAACAAATTGTGTTGGCTGCTGTAAAACAAAATGGATTTGCTCTTACACATGCGTCAGAAGAGTTGCAGAATGATCGGGAAGTGGTGTTGCATGCAGTAACTCAGACAGGCTTTTCGTTGCGTTATGCCTCTAATGAGATGAAGAAAGACAGACTGGTTGTGTTGACAGCAGTAAAACAACACGGAGAAGCCTTGCTACAAGCAGGCGATGAAATGAAACGAGACCAAGAAATGTTGTTGGAAACTGTCAAACAAGGGTTGTTTAATTTTCAAGATGCATCCAAGGATTTGTTGTGCGACAAACAATTCTTGTTGAAAATTGCGAAACACATCGGTGACACTCTTCGGTCTTATATACCAATAGAAATTATCAATGATCATGCATTTATGGGGAAACTAACAGAGGAAATCAAAAATTCTGGATTTGTTGCAGAGTACAGTGATGAATTGTATCAAGAAAGAATGGAACGCTTTTATCATGGAGCGTATTTGGGGACAAGCGGAATCATTAAGGATCACGAAACAAAAATTTCAGCATCCATTTGATTGTGAAATAATTGTCAATAACACAAACTTGGTCTGTTGATCATTTTGTTGTGTAATTTCTCATGAGCTCTGCAGTTTGAATTGCCAAGTCACTTCCCGATCGTTGTAATCCCTCAACTACACTTTGAATGATTGGAGGAGACTTGTTTTGTGAGAGTTTCCACTTTTCTTTCAATTCCTTCACTGTCAACGTAAATCCAACAATTTCTTGCAGCAATACTTGTGAAAATTTTTCATCTACTTTGGAAAAATCATATCGTACCAAATCACTCTCATTTGGATTTTTTGAATACTTTAACAACCATTCTTCGTTGACATTTGTCAGCTCTGTAACAATTTCCTTCTTTCCATCGGAATCATGTATGATTTGACATTCCTCACATATTGCATGAATGGATGTAAAATTCCAAGTTGGCACTTGTCGTTTTTGAACTTGTACATCTCCATACCATTTAGGAGAAATATAAAAGTGAGGACCTGTAAATAATACCATACATTTCCATCGATTCGATTCTTCAGTATATATCGACTTGGAAAATTCTTCTAACGCTTTACAATGAGGATTTGCTTTTGCTAAATGAAATTTCAATACAATATCATGATTACTATTGGATTCAATTAGAAAAGGAACATGCGAAGTAAACATTTGATTTCCCTTCCATGTCAATAATAAAGCGAATGAATTTTCTTTCATGAATTGAATTTTGAATGAATTTTCATCCTGAAGAGATTTACTTTCACTTAATGAATTCAATGATTCTTTTTGATGTGAATTATTATTCATTTGAACATTATTACGGAATGCTGAGAAATATTTTGGAATGTAAAACTCATGATGATGAATTGAGTGTTGATCTTGTTCGGACTGAAGCTGAGGAGCAGATGGATAGCTCATCATCTTTTTAACAACATATTTCATGCATGAATAACCAAAATAGAGACAAGTTCCAAGTCCAATTCCTGCCAAGATTTTAGAAGGTTGAACAGAGGAGAAAAGGAACGAATAGGTATGGTCGTTGTTGTTGGATGATTCCGCACGAATAAGTTGTGCATACATTTTTTTTGACCTTAAACAAAACTCCGCGGAGCTTGTAATCTCTTCCTACAAGAATTTATTGGCTTTGTAACGGAACAAGTGTTCCAAAAGTTCGTTTTCATTTTCGAGGCGTTTAAAAGCTTTTCGGTAGGAGAGAATTTCGTTTCGAATGACATCTGCATTCACTTCGGAAACGACTCCATTATTATTGTTACGGTGTTGGAATAAGTCTGGGAAAAAGGTTTGTTGTTGTTTTGGGGATATGACTTTGGATTGTAAGCAGCGCCAATAGTCCTTTCTGGTGTTGCGATTTGCAGGTACGGTTACACTTGTTTTTCCTTCAATCATTTGATTGACTGTCCTACAAATATTGACATCCAAAGTGCATGGTGTGGATAAAATACTTTGCCTCAAGAGTGGTATTCGGCTACGTACACGCTCTCTATATACCACATACTTTTGATAATACATGAATGTATTATTGGCAATGTCTGGATAGGCATGTGTAAATTCCTTCTTGTAACCACTGAAACAGTCTAATTTAGCAGTAATACAGGTCAGAATATAGCAAAGAAGAGGAATTGCAGATTTTGGGGATAGATTCAATGGAGTGTGAGTGGGAATACATTTTGACAGCACATGATCTTCTAGATATTGTTCTCCTCTCAAGGTCGGTGCATTTCCTTTTCCATTGAAAACATAAAGAAAACAATTTTGTAACAAGTTCATATTTGAAAAAGATACAGGATCATTACTCGAAGCATGTGGATTTTGCAAATGTTCATTGATGGTGTCATGAGTTTCTGTTGAAATATAAATACTTGTTCCATTAAAATAATCGTATCCAAAAAGGAAAAATCCATAACCAGATCTAGTTCGAGCAATAATGCATTCATCCAAACCACTAATCCTCATTTTGATTTTCAGTTCAATAAATCTATAATTTTCAAACACCAAAAAATCAACATCTTTAGTAAATAGGTGCATCTTTCCTCCATCTCCAGAATAATAAACTTTCTCTACTTTGATTCTCCCACAAATAAATTTTGTTAATTGAGTCAAATATGGATGAACTATTGAGTAGTTCATAAAGTCCAATTGACGACTGAGATCGATAACACCATTGGAACTGATCTTATTCGTTGTTCGTATTTCATGTTTAGAAAAGTGATCTCGTATCATATTCCTCCAGAAAACGTTATTATTTTCCAATACAGTTGTTTGAATACCCGTTTTTCCTTTCTTGTTGTTGCTCATCATGTGGAAATACCATTCCCATAACGCATTTCCACTCGCAATTTCGTTCCAATCCGAGCAAACAAGACACAACTTTGGAACATGGGAGAAATCCAAAAACTTGAAAACATAAAGCAAGGAATCATGGTCGAGCATTTTTTTTTGGTGTGTGAAAACTGAAATTGAAGTGTGAATGAACTTGCTGGTGACTTCTTTTTAAAGAGGATCTCAGAATGCTGTAAAACACAATCTTTCAATCTGTAAACATGTTCCAGTGATAGCGAATCATATCTCCAGAACAGATTATGGTCCTCCAGCAACGATGTTTCAATATTTGTTTTTCCTTTCTTGTTGTTGCTCATCATATGAAAATACCATTCCCACAACGAATTTCCACTCGAACCTGAAAACATAAAGTAAGCAATCCGATTGCAAAGTGAACATTTTTTAACTCGTGAAAATAATCACTCGGATCCTCCTCCTAAAAACCATTTTAAAGGGTTACTATCATTCTATCATCCAGTCAGGCAAAACTCTTAGCCGATGATCTTTTAGAGGACATTTTACTTTGAGAAGGAATGTACGAGTTATTTTTGCACAATTTTTTTCATCAAACTTTAAAAAAAAAATTGAAAACAATGGCGATTGACTTGGCTCAAATTAAAACGTGGATTGAGAGCGGAAAGAAAGCAAGTATTATCAAAGCATTGGAAAGTCTTCAAGCTTACATGTTGCAACAATCGGATCATTTTGTTGCAAAAGAGAGAGTGAGAGAAATTTCTCAACAAATTCCGATCCATAGTTTTTTACCATGCTTTGATACAAAATCGTTGGAGCAATTACAATTGGCTGTTTCAGTCTTTGGGAAGATTTTGGACGAGGTAGATATTGATTCTGCCTTGCGGAATGATTCCATGGTTTTGCAATTCTTGGATCTTGGCTACAAACATCCGTTCGAAATTGTGAGAAGACTCACAATCAATCAGTTGGCAAAATGTTCCAGCGATACATTGTTAAGTAGACCTGATCTGTTTTGTACTATTTTATATTGTGGAATGATTGACTCGGAAATATCGGTCCAAAAGATTTCTCGTCAAATCATTTTAACCGTTGCATCACAACCAGAGGGTATTAAGAAATTATTCGAAGAATATCGTAGCTATTTAATAGGACCGCTGATTCAGTACTTGACACACGAAAAGAAAGATGATATTATCAAATTCCGAGTGCATGATTTAATGGCCTCATTAAGTTCTATTTCTATTGAGGCATTTGAGGTAATTGAGAAGAATGACATTTTCAAACTTTTTGCAGAGGACTTGGCGAGATCCAAGGACGACATACTCTCTCTTTTAAACCTTCTGGAAATATTCAAGCACTATTGTGTTTCCAGTTACAACAAATTGGGAGCAGTATCTCTCAAGAAATATGGCTCCTTCGATTTATTGATGAAAATATTGACAGAAAATCAGAACGATCCTCTTACGTACTCCTTTATTTTGAACTTGATTGCTGATTTATCAGACGCTTCGGAAGATTTATTTGATGCATCTCTACCAAATTCTGTTATTGAAAAGATTTTCCATGAGGATTTGTCCAACACTCATGTCAAGGAGTCTCAAATTGTGGCAATATCAGTAATTGGAGCACTTTGTAAATCCTCCCTTAAAAACCTGCAACAAATACTATTGAGCAACCATGAAAGATGCGCACAATTCCTAGTGTTTTTTGTTGAGTCGATCAATGACCAAATAGCTCAAACCTTTTATCACTCATTAGGGTCTATTTTAGAATCAAAAAGAATTGATGATGAAAGCGCTGAAAAACTGGTTTCCATTCTAGAGAGTATTCTTAAAAAGCGAACGGAGCCAACAATAACACAACCTTCTGCAAGTTTTATCATGAACTATGCCATGTACAACCTGAAACCTCCTTTCCCTGACATTAGATGCGCTGTTTATCACCTCCTGAAGGGATTAGGATCAAGATTCAACATTGTTAAAGACCACATTAACGTTTATCCTGCATTTTTCGATTACATCACCAACAGAACTACTGAGCCCAACAAGGAAACCAAGGAATGGAAATACAGTGTGGTTGAAGCCTTACACAACACTCTTCATGGACATCCTCATGGCTCAGTTATTGACTCGAAGCACATGATTGACCTTAAAACTTATATCATCAGAGGTGCATATGTTGGTGACAAGGTTGAAGCACAAGTTGCCGTTCAAAGCGAAGTCTTGTAGATGATTGATTTGTAATTAAAATAAAAATGCTGGCCAAGTTACTAACACCAAGCACAGCCAAACAAATTTCTCTGCGTTTCAACTCTCTTATCAAGAATAACAATTCCGTGAACGTCTGTAACCTTGGATTTGTTCACCAACAAATCCGAGAGTTTTCTTCAAAATTAAATTACCTTCGGAACAAGACAAGCTCGAACAGCCGTGATGATGATAACTATCATCCAACCCAGCCTGGACAACCACAATCTGCTGCAAATTTAGAGCAATTCAATTTGATACAATACGATCCGTATGTTTGTTCACTTTTTTCATTTCTTAAATATTGAATAATTTTGATTGAATTTTTTAATTTAAATAATTTCCTTGATTGCTTGAATATTCGATTTTCGATACTTGATCCACCTATGAACAATACCTTTCTTAATTAACTGAATATTTGGTCTTGATTTATTGTCTTCCATTTGTTTACATATATCAAAAACACCAAATCTAACACTAATCCTAAATGGACAAAACAGAAACGTGGTATTCATTTCAGGATATGGTCAGCGTTCATTCTTTTTAGGTAACACTAGAATTTTCGGAAGTATATTCGCGACCACTAAACAAGTCTTTCTGTGGGATGTGTCTAATCCCCACGACATCACTATTGAGAGCTTGGCGTTGGCTGAGTATTTAAACCCAACTCCAACGTTATTGCTGGTTGGAACTGGACACACCATGGTTCGATTGCCACAAGAAGTTCATGAACATTTCAGAAGTAATGGTGTTGTCATTGAGGAAATGCCAAGTGTGAATGCAGTGAGCACATTCAACGTACTAAATCAGGAAGGGCGCGATGTTTGTCTTGCATGTTTATCCTTAGAACCGGTAAATGTTCGAGAGTTGACGCCAACCAAAGCACCAACTTTATTTATTGAGATTAAGGATGCAATTTCTCGACTACCACCTTCAATTATGTAACCAACGCCTTCTTCCTATCGTATGCAGTTTAAATTACCAAACTATTATTATTAACAGCAGTATTTTATTAATTTATACCCAGGCAATTTTAATATTTATAGTTTGTGAATCATTTACATTCTTCAATAACATTATTTCCATGTTTAATGACACAGTGATGTGAAATTATACTAAAAGGAGGATAGCTGCAATTCAGCAGCTAGTACATTTTAGGAAAAATACGCAGTCTGCATTTTTCTCAATTCCATATAAACACCACAATTCTCCAAGAGGATTTTACCAATTAACCGATGAATTTCACTCCATCATACACACAAAAAAACGATCAACATATGTATCTCAAACGGTTGAAGAACTCACTTCTTAATTGCATGCCTCACCATCAAAATACAGAAGACAATCAGCATGAAAATGGCATGACATATGACAACAGCTTGGAATTATCGCCCATGTTATCGACACCAACCACTCCCTCATCTTCAACAACAACAAACAAATTTACTTCTTCGAGTACAGCCGTCGCTTCACCAACAGCCGATACAAGCAGCAGTACACAAGACAATCTAAGTTTTGAGGACCATGTAGCGTTGTGTGAAGGTTCGCGAGAGGATCATGATTCCTCGAATGACATTACTCTCAAACATATTCACATTCAATGTTACAAGGGTAGAGAAAGCCAAGCTTTGTTTCATCCCCACCCAACGATCACGTATCCTAAAACAGTTAAGATTGAGTGGGTATTTGATGATTGCATTCGTCAACGTTTGATTCACAAAATGTTAAAGAAGAGCATTGAACCACAAGAAGAAGGAATTAATTTTTCAGACATTAGCATAGTGGCCCGATACGATTCTTCTGAATTGGATTATGACAAGAAGAAGGAAAACAGAGTATTTACAATATCTCAGGATGCATGCTCGCTTATACCATGCATTCAAAGAAGGATAGAACCTTGCAAGCCACAGACCATTGAGTTACAAATACCTTTTTGCTTTCATTTTGCGATTGACTATCCTGAAGATTCTCCATCGAGTCCTGTAGTTTCGACAGGGTCTTCAAGTTCGTATCCAAAGGTTACACTGGAGGGATGTGTTGTGTTTTCTTCTGAGGTGTTCCTCCAGCTGATTAAGTGGTGTGAACATTACAGCAAACATAGAGAATTTATACAAAGTGATTTGGAGGTAAGTCTTTGTGAGTGATTGATTACATTTTTCTTAACAATATTAGGGAAAGGGTATGGTATATTGTAGTAGTAGTGAATCGTACTTTAGATCCGTCATTGGAGAATGGAATTGGAACTTTTTAAATTCGTTGAGCAAGAATCTACTTCTTCAATGTTTAATCATGTCACATATTTTGTCCATTCACACCTTGTTGGTGATGTTTAAAACTAAGATCATGTTCGATGTAAAACAAAAGTGCCGAGAGAAGAATGTGAGCATATTAAACTCTCAACAACAAGGTTCCACACAAGCTCAATCGTCTTATTGGACGACACCAACAAATACCAAGTAAGTATGCATTAATAGACTTGGCTAAAGAGTTTGTTTCAATATAGAATTCAATTTTTGAACTATTTTGTACAGGATTCTCAAAAGGTGAATGCAATTTTTCATCCTCATCAACATGTAAATTACCAAAAGGTAGCAACATCAGCAAGGAAAAGAATCACTAACCATGTACGATCTAATAGCTACGATAAAATCAGAGGTCTCACCGGCAATAATAGGAGCAATGTGACGAGTATGAGACATGATGCCAGTGCAGCCGCATCTGCCTCCACTTCCACATCCAACGTTGTATCCTCCTCAAGCAACAACAACCATACAACTTCAAGCCATAGTACTAAGGAAGAACCACATATTATTGCAACACTAGGAAATTCAAAAGATGGTTTCATTCACTTTCTCAGGATTAAATAGAGAGAGAGGCACTTTTCGGAGAGGCTCATATCCACTCGTTGTGTGAGAATGACTCGGACTTACTCACCCTCACCAGAGAGAAGTTTTGTGTGCAAGCCAACATGTTGAGAACAGTTCTGTCGAAACAACCACTCAATCCCCTAAAGTTTTTTTGAATTGTAAATTTATTCATTTGTTGCCAAAGCCACTTTTTCAAAACTACAAAAAAAGCGGGGTGGCGCTTTTTAAAAAAACAAAAATACAAGAGTTGTGCTGTTACTCTATCATCATCAACGAACCCGGTCAAACTTGTAAAATACATTTAAAATCGAGCAATAACAAACTCGTTTCTTTGAGTACAACAGTTAGTAATGGATATTGTAACAGTATACAAAAAGCCGAGAAGGCAGTTTGGAAGATATTGTGGCCATTTCATAGATACTGAGCCCGAAACGATCATTGATATCAAACCAAGTGAGGAATACAAGGCAAAATACATAACACGTGAACCAAGAGCGGTGGGTGTGCAAGCAGCAGCAGAATTTTCTGATCACTTCACCAATACTGAAACTCATGAGTCCAAAGAGCAAGGAATGAACCATCTCGAAGGAGGATGGCCAAAAGATGTAGATACCGCAAAGCTATCCAGCAAGGAGAGATATATCAAAAAAATTGAAAATAATATTGAGGATTTGAACTCATTCATTGCGTTGAGGGATTCCGCGGAGTATTACATTCAACAGAACAATGCAATCAATATCTTTGGTAGCTACTTTAAAGAGAAGACGTTGGACTTTGGAAGTGAGCGATCCATGGTAAAAACTCTATCTGTCTTCAAAGATCCATGCCAAGATAAGCGAACAGTCTCTAAAATTTCATGGCTGCCAAGTGACGGATCAAAACTTGCCGTGGCATATGCCAATCTAGATTTCCAAAGCACTAACAAGAAAATTCCAACAAACGCCTATGTTTGGGATGTGAATAATGCGAATGAACCTGATGTCACCTTAACTCCCTCGTCACACTTGGTTTCAATTAGATATAACCCTAAAGATAATAACACACTCGCTGGAGGGTGCTACAACGGTGTTGTTTGTAAGTAAGAAAGCAATATGATTTGTTTACTAATTGTCATTAGGTATATTTGACACAAGAAAAGGAGGCGAGGAAGTGCTAATTTCCGATCTTAAAACCAGTCACAGGGATCCCATTTACGATTTACAATGGATCCAAAGCAAGAGTGCAACTTTTTTTATCACTACGTCCACTGACGGCCAAGTACTGACATGGGATACAAGAAATTTATCAAATCCAGTTGACTCCGAAACAATGGAATTAAGAATACCTGACGATAAAAACGCAGAATGTAAACTGCAGGGATTGCTTGGAGGAGAGTCGATTGATTACGATGTTTCTTACAGTGTAAGTGATTTCTGTTTCTGGTTATTAATCTCATGTACATTTATGAATGTAGCCCACAAAATTCATGATAGGTACAGAGCAAGGAGCAGTCATAAGTTGTACAAGAAGAAAGAATAAGGGAACGGCTGTAGATAAGGTCTATTATGGTCAACATCATCACCATGGACCAATTTACTCCATTCAACGAAACCCTTTCTTGCAGAAATACTTTATGACCGTTGGAGATTGGACCATAAAGATTTGGAACGAAGACATTTCAAACGACCCCATTATTTCAACGAGGTATGATGACAGTTATATCACATCATGCCAATGGAGTCCTTCTAGGCCAGGAGTATTCTATACCACAAAGATGGATGGTACTCTTGATGTATGGGATTATTTATACAAGCAAAATAAGCCTTTGTTATCTCTTAGATTGTCAGATCAAGGACTACATTGTTTAAGCATTTACGGTAAATATATCGCCGTGGGAGGAAGAGATGGATCTACTAGGTTGCTCGAAGTGAGTGAAGGTTTAAGAGGAGAGGATAAACAGCAAGTACTCGAAGAGAAGGAATATATTAATAATGTAAGTAACAATGTTGACTCAACATTTAAGCATGTTAACAAATCAACAGATGTTGGAGCGAGAAACTAAGAGAGAAAGAGCATTAGTCGACAATAGAAAGGAAAGTGAACAAGCTCAAAAACGACTCGAGATGAAGAAAAAACAAAAAGACTCTTCAAAATCATCTTTTGGAATTACAATCAACGAGGATGAGCTTCAAGAAGATGAGACCCTATTTTTGGATGCCATTAAAGTCAAATAAATGTTTCCAGAGTTTGAATGTTGTAGAAACCTTTATGAACCAAGTCAAGGTTGCATGTCCATGAGTTGTTGGATGGTGCAGTTGTCTAATACATAAGTTAATAATCGAAATAATGGATTATCTATAGAAGAGCCTGGAGATACAAAGTGCTTTGATTGTTCAATTATGCTAGATCCAGCAGAAATATGTACAGCAGCAGGACTGCCAAACAAGAATTTGACAGGTTCAGAAGTTTGGGAAAGTAGGATTGGCAAATCAATGTAGTCATCTTGGATATAGACTCTCACAAAGAAACGTATAGTACCGCTCTCTTTTTCGACCAGTCTATCACTGGAAGCGACAGCATTGGCAAACACTTTTGGAACACGCAATTCACCATAGGACTTGCTATCATCATGCAAATGGCTTGTACTAAAAGCGTGAAAAGGGTATGGTACGAAAAACACAAAATCAATCCTGTCCTTCAATGCCTGCCATGTTTGAACAAAATCTTTCAATAAAGCTGGTGGTGAGAATAAAATCTGAATAAAGGAATTAGAGTAAAATGATCCTAACAAATGAACTCCACTGTAAATTGCAGCGTTGAGATAACATTTTGAAAAGGCATCTTTTAAAAACTCTTCTTCAGCTTCGTTAAGAACTGAACCTGATTTTGAGGTTATTTTGCTGATCTTGAGCTCATAATCCTTGCAGTCAAGAGTGTAATTATAGTGTGGAGCCTGGTGATGTTGAAATTCAATAGTAGCTTTCATATTTTCAAGGACCTTTGGTAAAACAACATATCTCTTCAACTTGAATATTGCTTGATCAAGATCATCACCATACGATTGTGTTGTTAATTGGAATAATTCTCTAGTAGTGTCATGAACTTGAATTTCCTTAATTTCAATAATGCTAGTAGGATTGCATGTAACCATGAACTCTCTATTGTAAGCCTTGTCAGAAATTGTTTGTTGATAAATCACTTTAAATTCCGCGACGCTTCTTGGAATTATATACCAAGCTGTTGGATTTCTATCACTTAAAAGCTGTTTCAGCTTATTCAGAGGTAGAACAAATTTGAGTAAAAGTTGTGTCAACTTGAACATTGATTCTCCATATGGATCATTACGAACAGATTTGTTTAGATAATCATCTAGCTCGTATTCAAATCTGTTGGTTGGATGTAAAACTAATCTAAATTTTTTCTCTGACCACTTGATCATGGCCTTATATCCAGATTTTCCGTAATCTAATCGAATTTTAGTGTGGGATGCCCACTCAATGTTGCACGTTTGATTAAGAAGCACTGCAAATTGTGGGTTAGGATCAATTAACTGCAATACGAGGGGATACATCTTATCTACAGAGAGCAAATCTTGATAAAGATCATCAAAAACATTCTTAGAGTTTCTAATAGTGCTGTACTTGAAGGTAAGTCTACCGTTCACATAATTGCTTGAAGCGACGTCTGATGGAATAATCACAGGAAGTGGCTTTCTTTCATAACATGTTGCCACCCATTGTGCATTGTCCACGTCCACCGAAAGTGAAATGTAATCAATGTCAAAATAGCTCAAGCCGCAACTTTCATTTGGTAAAATGATCATTTCATATTCTTGATCTGTTAATTCAAAGGAGAATTTGGATGAGGCCTGAACTTGTCTCAACATGGTGCTGAAAGAAACCTTGTGCTTGGTGGAATTAATCACTTGCTTAATATGTCTAAATGCTACAAGTGTGTTCTGAAATGAGGCGCTTTTCATTCTTTTCACGCGTTTGGAATTAGGTTCACCAATATTTTCATTTTCTTCTTCGTCTGAATTGAGAGAAACGTCCAAGAAGAGAGATGAAGGTACAGAAATATCAATTAGCTTTGGATGTCTTTCGATAATTATTCGGCATGACACTAATGGCTTTGATCTCATATATGCAAATTCAACAGCCTTAATTTGGATAAAAGCCGTACTGATGTTGGGAAACGCAAAGTAGACAGTTTGGTCCAAAGTTCCTGAACCACCTTCAAACAATGTTGGAAATACATCCAACTCTAACAATTGGGCTGCAGATTTGTATGCATAAATGATAGTACGTTTTCTTGCAGTCTCTAGAACATCTGTGATTACTTGAGAAAACTTGACTTTCCTGATATCTATATTGTTAAGACGGAAGAGAATGTCAGAGAAGTCGACATTCACCATTTGATCGTCACATGATAGAGATAGAAGAAAATATCCAGTTTTCCAATCAATGCTTAATCTAAGCATATAGTCTTCAAAGACATTAATACCTAGTTCTGCTTGATTTGTGGATGGATCAGTTATAAGCACAACATTTTCAAATATCCTTTCTATCAAAAGATGAGTACGAATGCAACATAGTCTTTCCACAGTATGAGCATATATGCATTCCGTTATTGTTTGGCTTAGATTAATCTTTGACATATTAATTTGTGGTGAGAAATTCAATTTCAATTTTGGTTGATAATCAAAAATAATTTGTTTTGATCTGTCCACAAATATTCTAATCTCATTTCTAGCACTCTTCTCTTTAAGTAGGGTTGATTTTTCGTCTGCAACTCCAGGTTCGGTTGATGTATATTTTTCCATAAAAGTTATCATGGGTGGAGCCTTGATCCAATATTTGATTGACAATGAAAGATCTTCATCAATATTGTCATTAAACGTATCACAACTAATAACATCATTTCCCCATCGTAGCTGTTTTGCTTGTTTTGTAAGAATATCCATTGCTATCCTTACAACCACTGCATGAATAGTATTGTAAAGATCAACCATACAAGAGACACCTGTATCAGATTCATCAAGAAAATAAAGTCTTTTTTGCAACACAGGAACAAGTTTTCCATGAACAAGCTCATCATATAAAGGACTCACAGTAACTCCAACCTCGTTCACAAGCAAATCCAAATAAATAATTTGCCAAAAATATTTGACATCATCCGAACCTCCACTCAAGTCTTGTTTGTGGTTTAATGTCATGATAATAGAAAACTCATTCTCAGCAATGAGATTCACTTGCCCATTCTCCAGCTTATTTACAAACATATTTGGTGGTATTGTACATTGCAATAATTTCATGCGAATAAGATCTGTTAGTTTGGAAACAGCCTTTTCTTTGTCTTTTACAGTAAAATCCTCATGTATATTTTGTAAATTTCCTCGAAACTGAATTGAATAATGAACGTTCATGTGTACTACATCATTATTAACACATACCTGTTGCATAATGTTCGGAAGTCTTGGGTATGTTCCAGTCGTTAGCACATCAATAGCAGTAGGAAGATCAAATACTGGTTCAATCAAGCTTGCAACTTTTTTAGATGTGAAAAACAATGTAAAGGCAGCCAAATCGAACGCGTTTGCTTTCATTTCCATTGATGATGCCACCTGGTTCAATTTATCCAGAGTCTTCTTTGATTTCTTTGACCATCTCAACAATACAAGCAATCGGATGAACCTCTCCCGAGTCTCTTGAAAGTATTGATACAAAATTTGCTTTTTCATTAAAGCTTCCCTGTCCGATGATTCCCGAGTCGATTGATCATTAGCCTCCATTCCTTTCTTTATTTCTACCACACATCTTTTCAATTCATCATGTGATTGCTTCACCAAGTGATGGATGAGCGTGAGAAAGGAAAAAGTAGGCTGGGGAGGCTCCATTTTTTTTCAAAACAAGAATTGTTATTCTTCAGCAGCCTCTGAGTATTGAATTCAATGAACAGATGATGTGGTATTTGTGTATCACGAATGACAGTACTTTTGTGAGGTTATTTCTATATACCAGTTTTCAATGGAATTACTACCATGATAATCTCCAACATGAAAAATTTTTGTAGACACAAATCACAGTTTGCCAGAACAACATCATTGATTTTAAAAAACGATCATCGGTGATGAAATGTTTTCCTTCAACATGTTAACATCATGTTTCAATTCCGTGTTCCCAACGAGGCAAATCACCAACATCACCAACATTACAAATAACAAATTCAAATCAAAACCAATTCGGCAATCACCCTCCACACTCAAGAACAAAGTACAAAAAGTACAAATTTCAAACATCATTCATAGCAAAAACACTCGTGCGAAAGGATGTTGCTTTCTTCGTGACGGAAGAATAGCCACTGCTTTTTATAAAGGATTTGCAACCATACAAGAGCTAGACGAAGGAACAATGAAAGAAATTATTGAATTGGCTCCTGAAGGTTATCCACTGAGATGTGTGAAATTTATTGAGAGAATTAATTGTTTGGTTGCTGGATCAGATTCATGTCTCATTTACGTGTATGATTGCCAAAAACAGTTGATTGTAAAGGAATTGAATTCACATTTAGATTATTTGAGATGTCTTGAAGTTCATCCAACACTTCCCTACTTGATTTCATGCTCCGACGATCAAACTATTCGAGTTTTCAATTGGGAAAATGATTGGAAGTCAGAAATTATTTTGACAGGACATTCGCATTATGTCATGAGGATTTGTTTAAATCCACACAACCCAAATATTTTGGCATCCTGTTCTTTGGATCACACAGTCAGAATTTGGGAGATTGATTTTCCGAAACAATATGAGATATTCACACAAGAGAAAACCACTACTTCAAGTAATTTTGTTTCCACTTTGAAGAATATTTTCAATCTGAGCAGTCCAATTCAAACATTGGAAGGATTTCAATATGGAGTAGATTGTGTAGATTTTTATAGGGGACGCGATCCTGCGAAAATGAACTGGTTAATAGCATGCTCTGATGACAAAACATTGAGAATATTTAATTGGAAGACTGCTGAATGTATTATGACATTTCCAGATATTCACACACATAACATCTCATCATGCATCTTTGAAAACGATTTAATAATTTCTGGTACGTCAGTGATTTCATTGCTTGGTTGACTTTACTTGGTGTGTTTACATTGAACATTCATTCATAGGCGGAGAAGATTCAATAGTTAACATTATTAGTGTTGACAATTTTAAAGTTTTACACTCATTTTCCACTAAATCGTTCGGTCGAGTTTGGTCGTTAGAAATTGACAAGTACTGCCAGAGTGTTTATTGTAATAGGTCCATTGACGAAGAAGAGCCATTTACGTTAGCAATTTGTTGCGATGAAGGATTGGTGTTGCTGAAAGTTCAAAAAACAATGACAGTTTCTTACAAAATTGTGTTAACTCATGCACTTGAGCAGCTCTCTGACATTGATATTATTACAACAACAAGTTTTGATGACGATGAAGAAATTGCTGCAATACATCATCGTACAGAAATACCAGCATCATCATCATCATTAGAAAATAATAGCGATGAATATTCATATAACCAATAATGGTGAGCATTCCTCAATTACCCATGGCTACCCATTGAGAGCAGAGATTTATATAAATCTTGTTCCGTGAGCGCGTAGTCGAAGTTAATTTTCTGGAGATATATACAGCAGACTCGAATACAGAGGCATGCTCGAATTCGCGTTTCAACGAGTTTGTCCTACACCTATCCTTAACCAATGTCATTAAGGCTCAACGCCTATAGAAACACCGCAATTAAGGGCGCCATGGGGTTACCTTTACCCCAAAACAGAAGTAACAACCACAAACAGCCCTTGTGTATTGGCCATTTTCAACCACCATATGCCAACTACAAAAACAAATGACCCGAGTTGTTCCTCAAACTTTAACTCCAGATAACGCCGTAGACGATTCGATGGTGGTTCACGTGGCACCTCAGCAACAACACCGAATGAATGAATATAGAGATGATGCCAGTGCAGCGGAAAGATCATGTACAGCCTCCTCGATCGTATCCTCACCTGATAGCCTCTCTCCATTCTCCTTTTTAAAATCCATCAAGTTCTGTCTCATGATGCTCATCTCCTCTCTCATAGTGCTTACTGTTGTATTGTTATCTGCAACATGGCTATCAGCTTTTGGACCTTCATTGGTGAGCCTGGGACATGCTGACAGAGACCATGAAGCGAACAAGATTATTGAGTTTGTAAAACAAACCATGGGACAGATTGCTCTCTCCTCTCGAGATATTCAGCAGCAATTAATCGGGGATCATTTTGATCCGTACTCGGGAGAAATTGTAGAGAAGAAAATGTACAGTGCTTACAAGGTAAGTGATTTAAACAAGCTCAACAGTTTTCTTAAATGACTCTTCAATGATTGATGCATTCCGAACAGTCTGCTCAAAAGAATCATGGAGGAGTTGTTATTTCAAGCTATATTGGAGATGTTGAAAATTATTGCTTTGGGATTATCACGTGGACAAACAGTGCTGCTTTATTCAACATCACAAGACAAAACCAAAAAATTTACTATTGTGAATCTCCTCTGTCAACAAACATCGAATGTAAGCGGAAACAAAACCCAGACGAAGTTGCTGGTTTCTTCGATTTGAGCAACTTGATCGAACTTTGTAACAAGTACCCTGGACAGCAAGCGTTTTCAAACAGTTACGCAGACCCGGCCATGGGCATGTACACTTTTGTTTCTCTTGTCAACTGTGTTCCAAAGACGAATAATTCTTTATCAGCAAATTTTACCTACTATTATGGAAATGATTTGACCACAGGGTCTATTTCAGAGTTTTTGAAAAGGAGTGCAGCCTCAGTGCAAGGTCAAGCCCGCAGTTTTATCATAGAAACATCAACCGATTTGTTGATTGCACGTATGTAATTCATATTTATAATTTTTTGCTGAATGAGATGTTTTAGTCGATAGGTATGACAACATTAAGATAACAGAATGGAGCCCAAAGGATGGCAGTTTAATTCGAAAAACATTTAACGATGTTGACGACTCTGATATAGTCTACTTTTCAAAAACTGCGCTTTCCTCTCTAAACCTTAACAGTTTCTCTCAAATTACTTGTAACACTTTGACAGTGGCTCAAGACTCACAATTCTACATTGTGATTTACCGCCTTTGTAGCGATACACACCTTGACTGGGTAATTGTTTTAACTGTGCCTCAATGGGTATACATGAAGCCTATTGCCATAGCTGTTATTGTTGCTGTGGGAGTGTCTATTATTATTATTGTACTTGGAGTCATTTTGGCAGTGTTTTTCTCGCTGAAAGTCTCGGCTCCAATTTACAACTTAATTGAATTGTTTGAAAGAGTTTCAGACATGCAACTGGATGACTTGGAAGTTTCAAAAAGTATCTTTTTTGAAATACATGCACTTCAAAAGCAATTTTCGTTACTAATCAAACGAATGAAACTATACCGTAGTTTTATTCCATCACATTTATTGGCTGATGTCGAAAAGAGCTTACAAGATGATGTAGAAGGTCCTCCTGTAGCATCACAGCCGTCTCAAAGCAATCTAGTGGAGAAACAATCGTCAACTCGTTTGTTTTCGGTAGTTAGAAGTGCTTCAACAGGAAAACCACACTCTTTCGGTAAGAAAAATAGTTCTAGAAAGAAGATTCAAAACACAAAAGAGGGAAACCACAAATTCTCATTGTACTTGGAAACCAAGTATGTCACGTTGGTTATGCTATTATTGGATGGATTAAATGAATGGCTTCACACCAGTACCCCTCATGAAACTGTATCTTTATTGAGGTAAGTTAACATGATGTTCCTTCCAAAGAAGTGACACAATGTACTGTTGAATATTATATGACAATGGTTTTATGTGGAATTTTATTCTATTGGAAATAGTGATATTTTCGACCAAATCAACAGTGTTAGCAGAGCATCTGGAGCCAATCAGATTTCTTCCTTAGAAAACGAGTCCCTTTTACTTGCTTTTAATGCAACCTCCAGTCAACCCAGCCACGAACAGAAAGCAGCCTCCTTTTCTCATACACTGCTGGAAAAATTAATGAATCTAAAAACATCAAAGTGGAGGTCAAAAGAATACGTGCAGAGAAGACCAGAACTGGTGACGATGATGAATTTTCGATTTGCAATTCACTCTACTGAATGCTGGCTTGGAAACATTGGAACAGCCAAGACCAAGGTATTCACTTTGCTTTGCAGCGGAAAGACCAATCTAAGCATCATGGGTGAGGTTTCGAAAAAGATGGATATCCCAATCGTTTGCTCTGAAAATGTGAACCGAGCTTGTTTGAAACTGTACAAATCAAGATATGTGGACACTAAGAATTTTATTGAGGATACAGATATTAGGCAGTATAGACCAAAAACTTTTGGAGCTAGTTATCAACAAATGGAAGAATCATTCTGTCCAGAACAGCCTACTCACTTGTTTCAACTTGGACTTTCTCTACAAACCTCTGATGATGAGTGGATGTATGAAATGGCCGAAAATGAGAAAAAGGAAGAATGGAACTTGTACAATAAGGCATGCAACTTTTTCATGGAAAACAACGTATCTCAAGCCCTGCCTCTTTTCGAAGAATATTTGAGAAGCAATCCAAACGATAGACCTACCAAGAATTTAATTCAACTCTGTAAGAGAGGAATCCAAGACGTGATAATGGAATGAGGAAGTTGTTTTTTCATGGTCATCATTGTTTCACTTTTTGGTTATTGTTGATTGAATGCGTTGTCAGCTAGCCGTTTTGATTTCGAATTAAAAAATTTCCAACGCACATTCGATCATCACAGAGCCTCCGAGAGTTTGTGGATAAGTGTTGTTGTTGTGAACACACGTGTTGCGAATCACAACACTCTCCCATCATAAATCATCCTCTTATTTGTGTAGCAAGAAGGTGCCTTGTTGTTATCAAACCCGTAACTTGCGAATCAGAATTTTATTATTGTTGGATATCATCACCATCACCAATAATAATTTCTATTTCGGTTTAACGGTTGAAAACACATAACACGGTGCTACCATTGATACTATTGTCATTATTCAAATATTATCATTGGTTTTTGATTGCTCTCTGTTATCCACACACCCACTCCACAACATTTCTCACTTTTAGAGCCTACTACAATCATTAACAAGGTGAAATTGGAAAGCATCAAATCCGAACCATTATAACACCAACATGTACAAACTAAAAGAGAAGGATATCCGAAAACGAAAGCAAGATGAAATCAATCAAGGAGGAAGTCCCAAGACAAACGGAAGCAACACTCTTCAAATCAATACATCAAACCTCCAGCCACAAACACCCACAGAAACAACTCCAACCAGTACTGTAAGTGGGTCTTTCACTCCGACACTCTCCACATTGTCATCTTCAATGCCTACCTTCGGCTCACCATCCAACGATCTTCCAATCTCTCCTCCTACCAAAAAAACTAAATTTTCAGATCAGGAAATTGTATGTTCTTTGCATTTGGTGATACAAGTATAACATTTAATCTATTTTAGCATGATTTAAAACTTGTGAACGAGCAACGAAAGCGACTTTTATTGAAAAATAAGGAGCTGACAAGGTTGAACGATCAGTATCACAAAGAAGCTGCAGAATCTGCAAGACAACGTGATATTGCTCATTCAAACATGGCTAGACTTTTAAGACAATTTAATCATGTAAGTGTCCGAGAAAGATGTTGTGAAATTAATGGATAAATGAATTATTTTCAAAAATTCAAGATGATCGAGGATGTAACGTTACAACTCTCTAGATTACCTGCAGTTCCAAACGGGAGGGTAGGTGAAGATGTTTTTGCTAAAGTTTATGACACAAGTGTGGATGAAGAATCTATAAATCAATTGTTTGAACGGTTTAGATCGATACTATCGCGAATAGTACATGCAATTGATGTTTTGAAGGAAGAAAAATCAACCAACAATGAAAAGCAGCTGGAAGAAGGGCTTCGAAAACTAAACTCACAGTACAGAGAAATGAAAGATGACTATAACGCCTTGAATGAACGATTACAACAATCTGAACAATTAATAACGACTCTCAAACAGCAAGTTGAAGATAAGGAAGAAGATTTAAAAAGCACCAAAAACAAAATAGAGAAGCTTTCCTATGAGAAAGAAGAATTATTAACATCCACTCCTTTAGCTACCCCAATTTCCCCTTTTACATCTCCAACGAAAATTTTCCCCTCAACTAGTTTTGATAATTTACCACAAGACGATACTAAGCTGCTTATTGCTCAAAGAGAGGAAGAAATTAACGAATACGTTCAAAGATACAGCAGAGCCAATGCGCTGAATGAGGAACTCAAAGCTAAAGTTGAAGAGCTTGAATCTAAGATTAAAAATTTAACATTAGAGATTGATTTTTACAAGGACTCTCTCCAGAAAGAGAAGTTAAGATTGGAAGCACATTACGAGAAGTATAATGCTGAAGTAGAGAGAAACAAATTGAATCTCAAGAATTTAGAAGATACCTACAATAGTTTCAAGGAAAAGATGAAACAAGACTTTGTAGAAGTTAAAAACGAAAACAAACAACTCAAAGATACCATAGAGAAGCTTAATAGGGAAAAATCAGAAAATTCTCTACTAAAACAAAACGAACAGCTTCTCCAAAAGAAGAAGGAACAAGTTGAAAAATACAACAAGTTAAAGTATCGATATGAAAAGGCTAAACAAGCTGCAGAAGAGGCCAAAGTTTATAAACAAGATAAGGAAGAAATTATTCGACAGCTGAACATGTACAAGAAGCGAAATGAGGAATTGGCAAAGCAAATTTCATCTGAAGCATCCAAAGAAAGCGCCTCTACTTCAGAAGGAGCTAGCAAAGAAAGCACTTCAACCTCGGAAGAAGATCCATCGTTTTTGAAGTCAGAAATTATCAAATGGAAAGAGCAAAGTGAAATGTTTGAGGCTTCACTGAACGACACTATTCAAGCCTATGAAAAGCTTCAACAAGAAAAGGATGAAGTGACTAAAAGGGTTGACCGAGCTGAAGAGCAACGATTAGAATCCATGAAAGAGAAGGCAAAAATGGAAAAAATCATGGAATCTGTCAAGGATGATTTGAAAAAGATTTCAGAAACCTGTACTGAGCTTGAGCGAGCAAAGAAGCAACAGGAGGAAAGGATTCAGTCGTTAGCCCTTGAAAAATCAGCGCTGAGCGAGTTTATAGAAAAACAAAAACTGGAAGAGATTATATATAGGAAAACGTTGGATCAACAACGACAGGTTCTAGATCATTACAAATTGGCAGTACCTTCTCTGCACTCCGAAATAGAGCTTCTGAAAACCAAAAATACACAACTGATACAGGACTTGGAGAAGAAAGAAAATGAATGTAACAAACAATCTCTTGCCATAAAGAGGCTAAACGAAGAGAAACAACGAAAGAAAGAGGCCGAAATCGCAAGCGCTAGTACAGATGATTATTTCAAGAGAAAGATTACTTGCACACAATGTAATGACAGAGAAGTGGATCATGTCATTTGCAGGTGTTTCCATACTTTTTGCAAGGAGTGTGTCAACTTGAATATCAAAACAAGAAACAGGAAATGTCCAAAATGTGGCGTTCGTTATGATCAAAATGATGTCAAACAGTTTTACCTCAATTAAATTATTTTACTTAATGTACCATGACAGAAACGAACATTTGAGCTCAGTCCACCACACTTTCCGGAATGTTTAACGAATTACCGGTCGTTATTCCTACTCCGCTCAACAGGACGTGATGCCAATTAACACCAGAGCTCACCCTTACGTCACGCTTTTGTGACTGGTTGTAAGCCAACTTAAACAAAGTCCAATGATGATTGTTGCCTCGTTACTAATATTTTCTTTTGTACTGAGAAGTTTTTCCTCCTCGTTTGGCTCGCTGTCCTGAGTTTGCTTGCTTTTTGCTCTTTTTTTCAAGCAACTCTTTTAACAGTGGCGTGATAATGGGCTCATCACTCTTTTTGTCGTAATAGGCTGAAGATCCAACGCCACCCAGAGCCAAAGGAACGTTCGTAGACGACTTTTTGCTTGAAGAGCTTCCTTCAGAATGGCTATCTCCTGCATCAAGACCTAGTCCACTGGTAGTTGAGCTGTTATCTAGACTGAGCGGTTGAAGAGTAAGCTCTTTTGGTTGCTTCAACTGTTCCAAAAATTTCAAATAGTGTTCATCCTTGAATATCGTGCCATCTCTTGGATCTTTCTTTTTTGGTTTTGGTACCATTTGAAGAGGACAATATTCCATAGTCATTGTAGTCTCTCTCCAAATAGAAGAATTGGTTGTAGAGCTGCTAGTATTTGGTAGTGAAGGCGTGGCATCTTCATCCTCGTCGTCTTTGTTCAATGGTACCGATTGAAGAGTTGAAATTTGTGATGAATTTTTGGTCAATTCCATAAATTCATTTCTAAATTGATGTAATAAATTAACAGTTGCAAAGTTTAAATAAGCAATGCTTGGAAAGACTTGTGTGGTAGTTTTGTAGCCACAATGAAAATCGCTCCAATTAATTTTCTTTGGGTCATAAATAATTTTCGTTCCCGAAATGCTCGAATTATCACCACTAGTCGTTGTCTTCTCCACTAGAAAAGATCGAGGCACACATTTACCAATAAAATCCTCTTCCGTGAAATTGTATGGAATATTCCGAATGATTGTCTTTGTTTTGTTTTTGACAAGACTTCCATAATGTTGCTCATTGCTATTGCTAACATGACTTTGAGATATTGAAGCAGCTGCTGTATTACTGTTGGTCGCTGAGGCTTTCGGATGTTGTGCCTTCTTGTTGCCTTGTTTTTTCTGTGGCTGTGCTGTAGTACTACCTGATCCTGTTGTTGTGCTAACCTCAGCTGATGAAGTAGAAGGCTTATTACTTTTACTCAATGTTGTTGTTGACGATGGAGAGGTTGGTGGTGAAGACACAGCTGGTACATTTGTATTCATCGGAGGAGATGTAGTATGGATTGATGATGATTCGGAATTTGATGTCGTATGAACCGGTGAGGTAACACTTGATTCATTATTATTATCACTGGATGATGACCCACTCTCCTGCGACGATGGTACAGATGCTGTATTAGACGTCTTTTTCACCCACAACACGGGCTGAGGGCCAAACTTTCCACTCATTTTTTTTTGTAAGCGAGCGACGGAGAAATTTCGAATGGTGATCAAGATTGAATTCTTTATGATGATGATGAACATGAATAATAAATGTATTTAAGTTTCTTTCATTATCTCTCACTGATACTCTATATTCTTCTAGTTTACAGTTGGTCATGAAGGTCATAAGTTGTCAAGAGTGAGATTCTGTAAGGAGAGAGTTTGAAAACTCTAGGTTGTTGAATTACTACTACTGGAGTGAGAGTGAGAGCGTAAACGTAAAATTGGTGTTCAATTACAATGAATACAGTCCTTAGAATCCAAATTGGAATCGATGTCATTGTTCTCTACAGCATTTCGAAATTAAGTATCGCACAAGCATTCTACTTTTATTCATCTCATTAAATTCTTATGGCATTGTAATCTCCAAATGACATGTCATTTTCGAACCAAACTTCACAAGTCGAATCGTTCCAGAGTGTGTATCGGAAAGGGTTGTCGCTCTTTCGACATCTCATTCCAAAATCCAATAAAAGCATGTCTTGAAAATATCATGGCCCTCCCCATTCTTGACATTTTAAAAAACATCTCTACACCTCAAATGGCCAAACGTTTCTCTGCTTTTTCTGTACATCTTTCATTAGTGTTTTGTTTCTTCCTATTCGCCATGACCCTTAACACTGTTCATGCTCAACAATGTCTAAACAAAAAGAACGCTCCTTTCTCTCCTACTCCATGTTCTAATTGTAATTTCTGTTCAGGTTTGGGAAGTTCTCCTTCTTGCTGCACTTTGGCTGATGATGTTCGTATTAAAGACAGTGTTTCAATTTTCGATATTGTTGGGGGAGCTTGTGTTGATGTAGCGAAAGAGATGGCATGCTCCTTGTGTGATCCTAAAAATCAAAAATATATTGACACAACGACCATGGAAGTTAAACTTTGTAAAAGTGCTTGTGTGAAATTGGCTGACACATGTAAAACTGGAGCAGCACGATTGTGTGATGCCTTACCAACTACGGATTGTTGGAGTGCTGCAACCAGCGGTCTTCAAGTCGTGTGGTCGTTGTCTGTGTTGTTGATTTGTGTCATTACATTTTTGATGTAAAAGAAGTAAACTTTTGAAATTTCGTTCATACGTCCATTTGAACTCTTTTTTACAAGATAGTCGTGATGCCTCCACAATCAAAGAGCCCAAAATTTCGAATCGAAACAAGTTGAATACTAGCCGTCTAATTCGCATTAAGATGAACTAATGTCTCTCCACGAATATCACAGTTCAGACAACTATGTTAAATCTTTTATTATGGACCCATGTTGTTTGAATGTTAAACATGTGAGATGGACGATGAAGTGGACACACATCGATTATCTTCATCATCGTCCTCTTCCTGTACTACATCTTCACGAGTACCACTATTCCTATTCGAAACTTGAACAGGTGTCATTATTTCTCTCTCACTACTCAACGTTGAACTCACTTCACTCTCCTTCTCTTCTAGAATTTTCAACACCTTTCCTCTAACAAAATATAACACATACCATGACAGTCGAACCATGACAAGGACCAACACAATTTTCACAATTTCTCCAGGAAGGAATGGAACGAGACCCTTCTTGATACTTACTGAGAGACCAAGATTTGGAGTTCCATACGCAAGCCATAAACATCCAAAGACAAAGGTCACACAATTGGAGAGAGCCAACATTAAAAGATTCATCAAGATAGTTCTGTCAGATGCCAAACGAGAACAACAAAATCCACAAACCAAAGCACTGAATACAAATCCAATTAAAAAACCACTCGAAGAAGATTCAAACAATACTTGTACTCCAGAACTCTGATTCGAAAACCATGGAATTTGTAACACACTTCCACAAAAGAGATATAACATGACAGACAGTGGAGCGAGAATGAAACCAGTTAAGGAGCCAAGCCATAAAACTGCAAAAGTTTGACCAGTGATTGGAACAGTGCTGACGGAAGGAGGAAGAGTAATTGAGATTTGAGCACAAATGCCCATGATGCAACTTCCAATGAGAAGGACCAAAATGCTGGAAAGTATGGGAAGTAAAATCTTGCGAGTCATCCATATGACAGCTGGCATTTCAGCAAGAGCCATCAATTTGCGAAAAAGAGAATTTGTAGTCCCTCTTTGTTTCATGTTGAGATAGATAATCTTAACAACGGAACCCACAAGAGAAAAGTAAGCCTCCATAAAGCAAGGATACCAAGTAGGATTCAAAATGACTTGAGTGGTGACAGTTGCCTCATTGGGTGGATGGTTGTTGATCGTTTGAATGCCATCATCTTGTGCATTAGTGACCACATCTGTCGTTGCAGCAGCAAGACTATGTTGTCTTCTGTTTCTGAGTAAAGACGAATCAGGATTGCTTCTTGCTGAAGAAAGAACGACGAGATTTTGATTTTTCACATGATAAGCAAGTCTACTTTCAATTTCACGAGTCAATTCATCCAGAGTGTTGGAGTGAGAATTGAAAGATTCTCCCAATGGTGTCAGTACTGTGAATTGCATGTTAGGATTTTTTCTTTGAATCGGTGTGCCAAATGTCTTTTCCAATCACATATTCTGATTTTTCGAGATCATCGGTCTCCTAAATTCTGCAACTTCAAATACAAATTGACCGAGACGACACCCCGATAACGCACATGAGAATGTCCTTGAAAGAGTCCAAATTCATTCATTGAATTTTACAATTAACAGTGTAAACTATCATTTGAAATTAAAATATTAATTTACAATATTATTTGGTAATTAAACTATTTACAAAATCCAATAATGTTTTCATCTGTGTGGCACATTCTACTCTCCATATAGAATATCTCTATATTTTTCTCTGTATTGTCCTAAAAACTTTTCTCTCAAATAAGGACAAGTCACTTTTACTTTCCATCCGTGTTGTTTGGCATAATCAAAGCAAGCCTTTGCAAACGGCATTGCAACTCCTTTGCCACGACACGAGTCGGGAATTTCAATATGATAAAACTCGTGTACAACAAACGAAAACTTCTTTCCGAATTCATCCTCTCCCATGGTTTGGCCATGGACATGAACCTTCTTCTTGTCAAATTCTAAAATAGCCTTGCTTGAAGATTGTAAATTTCCATCGCCAACAACACATGAAAATTGATTCTCTCCGATTTGAAGATGCTCCGAGAAGTAAGCTTCCGACATTTTTGTTTCTTGTTGCCGATCAATGGATGTCTTGTTCGAGGAGGATGAATGAAAATATTGTTGTTGAAAACTATGATTATTGATGCCGATCGTCTTTGAGAGTAGAGAAGAGTTGAGAGGAGTGTAACAGTGGTACCAGAAGAAACTACTGTTTGTGCTTTTACCGACACAAAGTACCAAGTGGTTTTTTGGATAGGTTATCAGCGGCGTAACAGAAGAGGCAAAGCACAATTTTTTCATGGTTGTCTGCTCTATTATTCTATCCTTCGTTATTGAAGAGATATTAATAATATGGCGCTATGTGGCACTCACTACTTTTCCAAGGTTATCGAATTGTAGAACAACGGTGCATTCATGTTGTCAAAATTAAAAAAAGCTTTTCGACACTCGGTCGAATCATGGAGAGTTGAATCTCTGATTATTACTTGAAAATCAGAACTCGATTGCTAAATGAATCACAGACCAATAACTCCCCAGTCAATTCGTTCAAGCATATGCCTGTAACAGCAGAAAGTTGGCTCGTTGTTATGCCTCCGAAAGACTTGAGAAACGAGCCATCTTTCTCGAAGATTTGAATTTTATAATTGTCAGACACGATTATGTGTTTTGCAGCCTTATCAAAAACCAATGTAAAAGGATGATCGAATTCTCCATTCAGTTGACCATACTTTCCAAACGATTTAATACATTGCCAGTCATCTCGAGCGTCATTCATGCGAAATATTTGAATTTTGTGAGAAGGGTCTAATTCACTAATAATGATATCTCCGTCATCACTAAAATCAATTCCATAGGGAGACTGAACCGTCATACTTTGAACTAGCTCTCCTGTTTTTACATTCAAAATTTTCATGTTATGCTCATCCCAGTCACAAATATATACATGGCTTATTCATTAAACTCGTATTTTTGGGCCTCCCAACTACTCCAAGTCAACCTACCTTTTAGAGCTCAATAAAACTATTCCTTGGGGAGAAACGAAAGCTTGAGAAGTCCAAATGCTTTTGCATGTCTCCATATTTCTAGATTTTTCTAACAAGTCATTCAAATCATATTTGAAGACACCAAATTTTTCGCATCCGAATATTAGAGCGTCGTTGTTTTTTCCATCATAATTTTCTTCCACACATAAAAATAGTGGGTACTTAGAAGGACTAGGAATAGATGCTCGCAATTCTTTGGTGTGTATGTCAAAAACCTGAATTCTAGAATTAAGTGAATCACTAATTAAAATACATGAACGAGAATAGGATATTTTTACGTCAAAGGGGCAATTAAACAGATGTGAATCATTGCCTGACACTCCAGCTTTTCCAAATGTATGTACGAGTTCAAAATTGGTGGAAAATGGTTTTGCTTTTCGCTTCACTATTCCCATCTTTTGGGTCAATTTTCTGATCAGCTCATGAGCGTCATCCATAATTTCGTCGTCTCCGATTGGCTGCTGATTGGGCAATAAATAAATTAAAATAATTTTGACACCATATGTCGCTTCATCCAGCTCATTATCAATAAATGGTTCCTTCCAACAATTATTTTCGTGATCCGAATGGCTTCGTTGCGAGAAGGTTGATCCGTCAATTGCAGCATTCATCATTTTTTGTTTTTGATTTTCTTGTTTTCAACAACGGATCGTGCATTATTAAAAAGAGATCTAACTCTTCTCTATATGAAGCTTGTTTAAACACAAGAACAAGCATCACTCAAACACGAGTATAAGGATTTAAAATTGAAGAGCGAAGCTTGTTGGAAGGCTTGCTTATCCACTCCAGCCACCATTATGGGTTAATTTTTTTCGTTTACAACAACACGGAAGAAGAATTGTTTTTTGCAATCATGAACTATTGATCTTGGTTCCACAAGTGAAATCGTCCTTCAAGGATCAATCAACCAGTGAAAGCAAATGCTGAAACAATTATTTGTTCAAAAAATAACCTCAAGTCCGAATGCAATGGGCAATTCTTTCGGTTCACCACCATCCACAACACAATTACAACCAAAAAACTATTGGACCACTCCGAGATGGTGGTTTCGAAGAATGACTGAAAAAGTATTGGATAAACGTCGAACAGAAGCACATTCTGTTTCCGAACTTCGAGTTTCGGACCAAGAAATGGACATGATGATGAAAAAATTGAGAAGTAAAACCTATTTGACTCCGTCCATGGGTGGTAAATATCTTGGTTTGGCAATGATTTCGCTTTTTGTTGTGTGTGCAGTTTTTACAACTTTGGATTTTCGAAGATATGAAGAATATATTGCTGCTCTAAAACTGGAGAACTCAGCCAAAGCTAGTGGTAAACTTGAACGGTTAACGGCTGACACGCATCAAAATAGTCAGCATCAAAGACCAAGATCGCCACAAGACTTTAGAAGATGATTTCTTGGGGATGATGTTTCGAACTTTTTTAACAGGACATGGCAAGTTAAGGCTTTTGAAAACAACACTCCACTGCACACACAAATGGATTTGATTCTTCGAAATGCTAAGGAGATTGAATAAATAGTGAAGATTTCCAAGTAATGGATCTGCAACTGAAAATAAATATTGACCTAGACTTTTCTTTCAAAATTTGATGATCGTGTTTACTATGATATATCTAATATGGGCGTCGAAGACGGTGACAAAATCGTATTGGTTGGCGACGATGTAGTGGAAGATGCTCCTTGATCCACAGATGGGTCACTAAAACTTCTATTCATTCTCTGTTCAAGAACTGCAGCATTGGTAGAAAATGTTGTTGATTTCTTGAGACCTCCTCCCTGAGTGACGCTGGGCAGCTTTGGTGTCTCGGATGACTGTTTCAAAGGTGATATGATGGTCTTGTTGGATGCTGAATTGTTTTCAGAAGATTTTGTTGAGTTTGTGGAGCCTTGGTTCGATTGTTGTTGCGGAGATTGAGAGGCGGCTGACGGGCTTGAATTGTTGGAGCTCGATATCTGAGCTAAGTGGTGGTGCTGCTGCTGTATTGGCCCATATGAATTTGACGAGTTCGTAATGCTCAAATTCTCTAAATTCTTGCTAATAAGGGAGCTAAGGTCTGAGTCTTGGAAGGTCGCAGTTTGTTTCGACTCTATCTTGTTGTTGGTATTGCCAATCTTTTGAGAGGCTATGTTATTGGTCGTTGTCGATGGCACTTTACACGGATAGGGTATTGAGTTTGGTGTTGTGATGCTTGTTGGTTTTCCTTGTGATGATGGCATGCTTGGTTGGCTTGTTGTCGTCTGAATACTTGTACTACTGATTTTGAAAGTATTGGCAGATGTTTGCTTCAAGTTGTTTACAATGGTTGTTGCTGTTATAACGGATGATCCTTCATTGTTTGTCTTTACCACCTCTGCCAGCTTGTCTTGCATGTCAAAAATTAACTTATCTCCGATATTTGTCATGCAATGTGGATTTACAATTAATGAATCCTTGTGAATGCTTGCTGCACTACCATTCTCAGGACTACCAATGGTCATTTTCATACTCTCGGGTGCAATGCCATACTTTTTCAAAAGTTCCAATTTTTCTCTCTTGTGCTTTGCGTTCAAACTCATCACTTCTTCAAAGTGCTTTTGAGTCAAGGCTTCCCATTGCATCTCAAATTCTTCTGGAAGTTTCGAATTGGTTGTTGGTTTGGAACTTGTTGGGCTTGTACGAATGGCCTTTCCATTTGATTGAGTTTGTTGAGAAGGATTACTTTGTGTTGTGTTACCTGGCTGGCCTCTCAATAATGGAGACGACCGTTGCTCATTGGTTGGTGAATCCTTTTTCTTTGTAATGTCAGCAACTTTCTTGGTCTCTATCGTTAGATTACTCTTGTCATGCTTTGCTACCTCTCCTTGAGTAGGAGTTGCTGGTGAATTTGTGCTTATTGGTTGAGGGTTTGGTTTAGACACTGATTGACTAATGTTGGTAAGAGGTTTGGTTGAAGTCGAATTTGGTTGTTGTGGTTTTACATTTGTTTGAGGATTGGCAGAGACAGGTGTTTGAGTTGGTTGCTTGATGCTATTCGTGCCGCTCGAATTGGCTGGATTTTGTTGTGCCAACTGAGAAAATGCGTTTGGAGAAAGGAAGTTAATTTCTGTGCTCTTTGGTGATGATGCTTGTTGTTGTTTCTTGGTGTCAGATTGTATTGGTACTACTGATGTAGTTTCCTTAGTTAAATTATTGGTAATTACTGGGCCATTGAATGGTGAAATTGGAGCGGGGCTTGCAAGGTTAATAATTTCCATTTCCTTCACTGGGGTTGATTTTGTGTCATTCGACTTCATAGGAGTGCTTGGAGAGTCAATAAGAATTAAATTATCAACATGGGTAGTTGAAGAGGTGGAAGCTGAAATGTTGGTGTTTGTGTCTTTGGACAACTCCGAGACAGATGATATCGATCCTGATGTTTCTGAATTGGAGGGTGATGTTGTACTGTCTGCACTTGCTTTTGTTGTCAAAAATTTTAGCTTTGCTTTTGTCAAACATTCTGCCAATGCTGTCGAAATGGAATCAACAAATGACTCTGTCAGGGAGAGTTCATTGACCATTTCTCTGGCGACATCTCTGGGTGTATCCTTTCGTAAATTGAATGGAAATTTGATTTCCTTATACTTCTTACTTCCTTCTATCTTAATATATAATTTGGTGTTTACAGAGTACTTGTCATTTGTGGAGTCATTTCCAAGAACCACTCTGACATCCTCTAATTCTTCATCAGATTCGTCACTAACATCATTGCTCTCTTCTTCATGCCCAAAGTAAAATACAGTGTCATTATTTCTATTATCTGTCATGAAAGGATGTTCCATCAATTCTGCAGCACTCGGCCGTATATCTTTATGGCAAATGCACAAGTTAATAAATTCCTTGACATCATGATCTTTGACTTTTTCAATACCCTCAGGTTTAACGCCTGATGTAACTCTTCTGTATACTTGAGCAATGCTGTTACATTCGCAATATGGATATTCACCAGTAACCATTTCCAAAACACACAAGCCAAATGCATAAATATCTACTTTTTCATTATAACATTCTTCATATAATTCTGGTGCCATAAATTCTGGCGTTCCATTCACAGAAGTAGCAAATTTTTTATCTTTCATGCTCACAGACAGACCCAAATCTCCAATTTTCACTTCACCTCTGCTGCCATTCATGAAAATATTGTCACATTTTAGATCTCTGTGAATTATTGATATCGAGTGTAAATATTTCAAACCCTCAAGAATTTGTTTACACCACTTTTTGATGTTTCTAAGTCTCACTTTTTTAGAATTGCGAATGAAACTTTAAGTAACAATGATGAAATTGACATGATCAAAACAATGATATCTGTACTTACTCTTTGAGTGTACCAGAGCTCATCAACTCAGTGATAAATATCAAATATTCACCGTCATCAGTTTCCCATGAGTCATAAATTTCCATGATGGATGGGTGTTTCACCTGTCCAAGAATTGAAATTTCCTGCAACATTTTCTTCTTTTGAGATAGAGCAACACCAGTGAGTTTGATTTGGTTCCATGCAACTTCAATACCCTCCTCAGTATCATAGGCACGGTAACTACAAAGGTTTTAATCAAAAGATGATGATGATGAAATTTGAGGATTTTAATATATTCCGTGATGATTAGATGGATTTTATGATCACCCAATAATAACTTACACCGTTTTGAAGGCACCAGAGCCTAAAAGTTCTTTCTTTGAATATCTTCCCTTTGGGTCGGTTTTAATTTCCTTTGACGACATGATGATGATAATGCTACGAAAGAAATAAAATTAATAATGATGATATGCCGAACAACAAGTTTGTTCGAAATGATGATGATAAATTCCTTGTAATCAGTAAAGACAGTTTTTCCACTAGTTTGATACGTAAACAGAAAGCAATGTGATGATGATTGGACTCCAAGCCAAGAAATACGCAACCAAATTGAATCGCTCTTGCAACGAAGGATTATGGATATCAGACGTGGATAACAATGGTACTCTCTCCGAGAAGAATGATGAGAATGTTTGAGTGAATCGGAATATTCCAGTTTGTTGCTGCCTTGCCCAACGCTGATTATCAACAACACGAAGAGAGTAGATTGTGGTTGTGGTGCTTGATATCAAATCACAAATATCGATGATTATGTGCTCCACAATCAAAGGCTTTTTCAAAGAGCAAGCCGTACAGCTGCAGCAGGGTTGTGGTTTTTGAAGAAATTTCAACTCTCACAACGCAGCCCACAGTAATATCAACAATTAATGATGGCGGTTTTTTTCGCTCGTTAATCTTGCAAGAGGCAACTGCCTGCTCTTTTAGAGAGCACACACTGAAAATAACAATGTGACTCGAAGCAGATGCGATTCGTGTTGTGTTGGACGAGTTTTCTCGAGAAAGAGACGAATAAGAAAAGGAGAATGAGTTCTGTTGGTCATCAATGACAAAATTCATTGAAGGCAACGACACCATTTTGTACTCTCACATTCGTCTCTGATAACTTAACTGTCAGAGATACAAAAAAGAACCGAGGAAGAACTTTCATGACTTCTCTTCGCATCAAAATATCAACGAGTTGTATTGAGGAACGTTTAGAAAGCGCCAAACCATCTTCTCCCACATCAACTGCTGAAGAACAAACATCGTACCACCAAAAGAAGATTAAGGTTCGTTGAGAGAAACAGGGTTCCCCACATTCTTTTGGGATGGTTATTCTCAGAGAAACATAAAGCAGCAAAAAATAGTTCCTTGTTAGATGCGTCTTGCACACGATCATCATTCATTCCGACATGCCATCAACAAATGAGAGCAAGTCCAACGAACGACGACAAACCACAGAGAGAAGACTTCATTCTCTTCTTTCTCATCTTCAGCTGCTCGGAATGACTTCTCCGTTTTTCAGACATGCATCCAACGCTGTTCAGTACGCAACGAATGATTCAAATAATAATAGAAATGTAACGAGTCCAAACACTCCTCAATCCAAATCTCGGATACCCGAAACGAAATCGTCATCATCAAGAAAACAAGAAGGAAAGATTATTTTCAATTCTAGTTTGAACACACAAGATGCCAACAAGCCGAACTCTCTCGAAAACTTGTACCGAAACTTGAGACCTCATGCCTTTCAATCATCGCAAACTGCTCCTCCAAATAACAGAGAGGAACAACTCAACAAAACTCTCCAACAAATGGCTGTGCAATCGACCAAATCAAGAATTGGAGGTTCCGATGTCTTGTTGCAATTCTCTCCTCTGGTTACAGGACAAGTCAGACACTCACAAGTGACCTACATTTCTCCTCACTCGGCATCGGAATCAGCAGATTCAACTTCGTTGCAAGCTGGTGTTTTGTTGGTGGCTTCAACACGGGCAGATGTGAGAAGAGCTTTTATTGAGAGGCTATGCCAAGCAGCTGTTGAAAGATCTGCACTTGTGTACTCGATTGCCACACAGGGAGGAGTCAATGTTTCAACAGATGGTGTCTACAAGTTGTCTACTCATCCAACTCTCTCGAGAAGAGCGATTCTGAACGCACTGCTGAGACACGGAGCTCATTTACTGGTGTTTGGAACAATCAGTACACGAGACGATGTCATGTCTTTGATGGATGCTGCTTACACAGGTTACCATTGTGTCGCTGAAATTTATGGAGAATCTGCTCATGATGTGTTATCGAGGTTGGAGGCTATTGGAGTAGACGTTTCCATGTTGCCCCAAAACTTGAGAATTGTGGTTCCAGCCATTCCGAGCACAACAGTGGCTGCTGGATCAACAACATCACCAGAGCAATCCAATGGATGAGTTGGCTTGTGAATCAAGCTTAAAACGCTGTGGAATTGTTGGTAAGACTAAACTTCCTTCGATGGTCATTATTAATTTCAAACCAAATAATAATTATTCAAGTAGAAGAATTTATTAATGGTGGAATTACTCACCATCATCATACTACGCATACGATGATGATGACGAAATACAATAAAGGAGGAGAGAATTAGGGGATGAGGGTGGTGATGAACAAAATGCTCTCTACTATTATTACTCTGGAGCGAAACGATAGGTATTCCGCACAACGCTTGTTGTTATATTCATGATGATGTAATTAAATAATTTAGAAACCGTGAATCTTTAGATTTTCCTTCGTTACGATTTCTTCTTCGAGAAGGAATTCAGAAATGTTATCACGTTGGTCTCCAGAAACTTGGATGACTTTTCCAGCCTTCTCATCTTCCACAATTGTTCCGTTGCAACAGAATTTGTGCTTGACGGCACTAATAAATTTCTTGAATTTAAAGTTGCGAGGTAAACCTTCTACAATGGTAACACACTTTCTACCATTACGCTTTTGTACTCGGATGTGGACGAATTGTTGTTCACTCACTCCAGTACCAGTTGAGAGCTGATTAGAATCGGCACTGTCTCTGAAAGGATCAAATGTTTGAAAGTTTTGAATTTCTAGTCCGGACATGATGATGTTGAATATTTTTTTGAATTATTTGTTTTATTTTTGTTTTTCAATTTGAAAATTTATTGGTTGGCATTGGGTTCAACCTAAACCTGTACAAAAGAATTAGTATTGCGGATTACAGCCATGTCCACGTCCAGAATGAATAGATGTACCATCTATCCAGATCGTGATATCGTTGTTAATTCAGAAACTTTAGTTTGATAGCCTCAAAAAGAGTCAATTCTGGATATTCTCTCTTTTCTTTTGGAAATTCCAATAACACATAGGAAAGTAGCTCTCCAAGTGTTACAGACCGTTCAACAATTGCTGGAACCACTTTGCTATTAAATTCTTCTTCAATTTTAGCATCATCTGGTGAAAACGTATGAATATAAATCAAAGGGCGATCACAAATGGTTGCTGCCATCCAACTCTGAATCACTTTCAAATACTTGTCATTTCCAAACATACCACACCCCCAAAATCCTGATGCCACTGGTATCGTGTCATTCATTTTTGAGAGCACAGAAGGATCAGTGTAAGGCTGTAAAATATTCTTCGAAGAGTGCATTGCAAATCCACACACAGCTTTGAGCAAGTCTCTTGTGATGTAGTCTTTTTGGAATTGCATTCGTCCCATTCCTTGCAAAGCATCCATTGCAATGAGTTGATTGCTTTTAACATTTTCAATTACTAAGGGTTGTTTGTCTTCATAATCTTCAAAAGACATGTTTCGAATGTAACCCTTAATGTTGGAGTATCTTCTCCAACCCACCATTCGAATCGTCTCGTTGGGTTGCATTTGAGGACAAACCAATATTGAAATAAATAATTCAGGAATTTCAGCAAACATGATTTCCTCTTGTGCAACCGCTCCAGATAACACATGACCACCAATCATGCAATTAGCAAAATCAACCATGAGAGTGTCTAAATTGTCTTGAATTTTTCCAGAGACAAATTTGAGAGGAATCATGGTTCTTGGATCGTTTAGTAATGAATTTTCCACACCATTCATTTGTAACACTCTTCTTTCTATAATCATGATTTCATTGAGGACAGCTTCTCCCTGAGAAGAAATTTCCAATTGGCAATGCTTGTCAAAGTAATTGATGAGTGATGTGAGGAAGGTAGAGCTTGCAACACTCAAAAACAGGCCAAATTCAAAATCATGACATTTTGGATGCTGCATGCCTTTTCTCTTATGAAACAAGCACAAAAAAGCACAACTTAAAATAGACCGCATTTGTCTACGCGTTAAACTCAATTCGCATGCTTTTGAAATTTCTAAAATTGGTAAATAACCTTCAGGAATTAATTCTTGAACTTGCAAAGCCCATTTCACAATACTTGGAAAGATTGTTGTACAAAATTTCTGTTCTCCTTTACCATCACCACCCTTCTTGAAAAGAAATGAAATGTTATGAAAATGATAATCCGTTGAACTTTCTAACTCTTCTTCATATTGATTGGTTTTCTCGAGATCTTTGTCTTCTTTGAATTGATGAGATGTGGTTCGGACCTCTTGATCCAATTCCTTTACGATCCGAACAAAATCATTGATCGAATGTATTTGAGACTTGTTGGTAGCGAAGGGTGTCAAATAGTGACGGATCACTTGCCACTCCTTCTCAAAGAAATGTGGTAGAGGTAGGAAAGATGCTGAAGAACCGATTTGTGGTTGAGACATTTTTAATTTTGAAAAGTTTAAAAGTTCACAAGTTCGTCACAAAATTAACTACGTTGCGTTGATTCACAACAACAAAACAACTTATTCGGAGAGCACACCAGTTTCTCAATGCTACTGAATTTTGAAGGTTTAAAAGTTCGTCTTACAGCAGAGGTTTGTTTTCGTGAAGATCTGAACGCTGAAGAATTTATAGTAAGGAAATTTCAAAAAACAGGCTACTTGCTTGTTTTGAGCAACTCCTGCTAATGGAACGGGATGAATCCAATAAACAGAAGGAAAGTATGAAGAAAGGTTTGTTCTATTAATGCGTTTTGAATATCCAAGGTTTCCTAACCGTTTGTTAACCAAACTGAGGAGCCCTTGTACCAAGGTTTGGAAGGAAAAAAATGGAAGTTTACGAAATACTCTTGGCTCTCCCCAAAGAAATTGTTTTTGAAATAATTTGCATGGCCATGCCCGATGATACATTTTCCAAATATTATTTATTGCATTGTGTGATTCGTAAGAGTGATTCATTGGAAATGGGCGGTATTATGGAGGAGGATGAAGAACCTTTGAACTTGCCCTTCTCTCGGAGAGATTTAATGAACGGAGAATATGTGGAGAGATTGTTGGATTGCTTCCATTATTTTGATCCAATCTTACAACAACATAACAAGCCTTCAAAACAAGTAACAAAGTTGTTTTCAATCTTGGAGGAGTCCATTGCGTATTGCTATCAGCACGACACGAAGGTTCAGGAAAAGCTCCAAACTCTGAATCATACAAAATATAGTTCTTGTGTTTTCACGAAATTCACATTTCCTGTGCTTAGATCCAATACAGATTCACACAAGCTGTTGAAAAAGCTGAAGTATATTATTCTTACAGCAGGAATGGAGTTGGTTCGTGTACTGTCGACAAATGTTAAGGCTTCTGAGACAGCGAAACGATTCACTTCTCCAAACGCTCAGCCTACTATTGATTATCTTGTTGAGCTGTTAAGCAAATCAGAAAACGGCAAAAACGAATCCAAAGTGCCCTCCTCAAAGCCAAAAAAAACCAAAGCTAAAGCAAGTGACCCAGTTGCCTCCATTGATACTAGCATTTGTCACTATTGTCTAAGAAATAAGGCAAGGTCAGACATACCAGATTTGTGGTTTGAGGGGATGTCCACCAAGTCAGTATGTGTGACTTGTGGTATTGGAAAAAAAGTATTTGATACTCTCTCAAGATCACAGGTCATTTCACTCACGCGTGTAAAAACTCCGTCCAATGTTTTCTCGCATACCTGCTTTGGATACAACTCAAAACAGCACTTTTTGAAAAGAGAAGTCATGATTTATTTGAATGAACAAAAGGAGAGTACAAGTGCAGAGCCTCGCATCAAGAAAGTGAAAACTCAGTAATGGAGTTGAAGATGTGTTTATCCCAATCAGTTAATGAAAGCTTGAAAAACTTCATTGATTTCAACGATATTCTAAAGCCTCACTTCGTTGTGAGACTCTTGATTGTGAATTGAATCTTCAGTAAATTTCACTTTTTGAGAGCAACGGGAAAGAGTTGTAATCAAAAAAAATTCACGATTGGTCTCCGAAAGCATTCCGCAGTTGTTGGTGTTTTATTCATTGGCATCATCATTGAGAATCATCAAGTCTCCTTCTTTTTGAGATCATTAACACATTGAAATTTTGATTTACATATTGTTTTGATTTTATGGAAATGTTGAATACGTCTTCTTCACCATCTACACCTTCCGTGGTGTTGCAACCAGGCCAATCCCATGAAAACGACAAGGCCGAGGTTGTTCTATTACATGAGCCTGGTTTGGAAGCCTTGTTAGGCTCTCTTCATGCCTCAGGCTCGCTTTTTGAAAAACCAGTAAATTTGCATATGGCAAGAAAGAATCATCAAGGATTCAAAGAAGCTCTCCGAAGACATGGAGTGAAAGTGATGGATGTGAGAGATATTTTAGCAATGAATTGTGAGCACTCTTTGAAATGCCGAGTTGAATTGGAGGAATTAGCATTGAAATGCATGAAATATGTTTGCAGTGATGGAAATGATGACGATGACCAATCCACGACTGAGTTTGAGGACTTGACTCAAGTTCAAAAGTATCTTTTAACAGATGATTACAAACGTGAATGTCTATCAACAATGGGAGTTAAAGATTTGATTGACATCATTCTATTAGGCCCAACTGTGCGTCTCGTTCCATCTTCCATTAACACTCCAATGCGTTTGGAAAGACTTGGTATGAGACCACTCCTCAACTTGACTTTCACACGTGACCAACAAATTGTTACCAATAGAGGACTTGTCATTTGTCGTATGGGAAGCTGGCAAAGACATCAAGAAACAAAAATTTTGAAATTCTGCTTTGAAAAACTAGGTTATGAAATTTTGGGTGAAATTCAAGAGCCTGGTATCATTGAAGGAGGTGATTTTTTAGTTGGAGGTTCAGACATTTGTTATATTGGTGAGGGTTTGAGAACCAATCCTGATGCTATTCGTCAAATGTTGGACAATGATTGGTTTGGAACGCGACGTGTTGCCGTTGTGCACGATTATTTTGACTGTGACCAACAAAGAATGCACTTGGACACATTCTTTAACATTTGTTCGCACAATTGCTGCGTCATGCTCGAAACAGTAATGGGAGAAGAATCACCAATTAGAAGAGTTGTTACTGAATACACCAAGAATGGAAATGGCAAATATGAAGTCACTCGTTTCAATGTGGAATTCTCTAAATTTATCAGAGAAGAGGGTTATCACATCATTCCAGTGACTGAAAAACAACAAGAACAATATGGTATCAACTTTTTGAATATTGGAGGTGGAGTATGCATTACCATGGATGAATCAACAAGTAGAAAAATGTTGCAACATCCACACTTTGATGGAGAAATTGATCTCATTGATTACTCTGGTATGACCACCATGTACGGCTCTTTGCACTGCTCTTCTCAAGTGATTCAAAGAAAAAAGCTTGCTGTCAACGAGTTCAGAAACACACCTTTGAAAATTCAGTCACAACCATACATGACTCAATGTAGAGAGTTTGAAAATCAGTCCTCCAACAATGTTTTGATTGTTGTACCAAGTTATCATGCTGTTCACACCAATGTTACTAAGGCTCTTTCAGCTGCCAAGCATGAGCTCATCTCATCCAATGACATTAGCAGAATTAAGGAACAACATAGACACATCCTTGCTGACATCCACAGACAATTGATCAAGCATGGAGTGAATAGCATTGTTTTCACTCAAAGACCAGATATTCCTGGTGATTCTACTGCTCACTTCCCAACTCACAACATTTCATCGCATGCCAACAATATCATCCTTTATTATAAGGAGGCTGAACGTTCCGATAGAATGGATAAATTGGCCAAGAATTTGAACATGTTCTACAGAGAAAAAGCAACGATTCAAAAGAACGTTGAGGATCAAACTACGTTGGACTTTATCCAAGGAACTGCAAGTTTAGTCTTTGATAGAATTCACAAGAGAGCATTCTATGTCATTTCAATGAGCACTATTGACACTTCAAAGATTGAAGAGTTTGTCAAGTCATTGGGCTACAAGGAATTTATTCCATTCGCCAAAGAACGATTCACTAAGGGAACTCTTGATATTTTGGATTATACCAATTCGCATCTCTTCATTGGTACCAAATTTGTGGTCATGTGCCGAGACGAATTTGAAAATGAGGATGATTATCAATTATTACAAAGTTATTTCACAGACAGAGTTGTCATTTCCATTTCCAAAGAACAACGTATGTGCAATTGCATCAATGGCCTCATTGAACTTAAAAGCAATGATGGAAGACTTGTTTTATTTGCTTCTAAATTGGCTATGAATGTCTTTAAAGATGAGCAAATTGAAAAGATTAGATCTTGTGTTGATGAAATTGCAGTTGTTGAGTTGAATATTCTGGAATCCAAGTACCACGTGTCGTTGAACAACCTCATTGCCCCACTCTTTTTTGAATAGGTCTGCAAGATCTGGAAAGAATAAAACACAAGTAACTTTGAACTTGATGATGTGAGTTGGACGAACCAAGTTCATAACATGGTGACAGTCCAACCCATAAAAAATGTTATCACGACTCTTTAATCTCAAGAAGACAACACCGTCATCGAACAAAGATGCTGCCAACCATACAACCTCACAAACATCCTTTCCATTTCCAAAAGAGATCGTTCTAACTATTTCACAATTTTTATTATTGCCTGATTTGTTTCATTTCGGAATGACATGCTCATTTACTCTAAAATTGTTATTCAATCAAACTCCACAAATAGTCATTCAACGACTCAAAGAAAAGGAAAAGAAACAGAAAAAACAAAATCTTTCGCTTGTATTAAAAGAAAATTCCATCATTGAACTTTACAAAAAACAAGATGAAGAATGCAAGACTAAATCAAAGGTCAATGATGAAAATTTTGAATTTGTTCAAAACATGATTTGGAAGAATTTAGTGAAACATTACTTTATTCGTTTTTCTTCAAGCGGTGTCAAAAACTGGATGCATGTATTACGAAGAAGGATTATCTATTTGATGGATCATGATCGACCAAAACTTCCCCTTGTGACTTCCATTCATCGTCAAGAGGAAGAATTGTTAATCTCTCGATTGGATGATTTCAAACAGTTAACTCCATGTTCCAGTGATTTGGATTTCATTGAGAAGTGCGACCATTTATACAACTGTCCATTGCATTTGTCATCGATTGAAACTCGAACTTATGTTGATTCTGTATATTGTCACGAGTGTGATCGTCAGATTGGTTTGGCAAGAACACCCATGGACTTTACCTTATCTTACATGTCATTGGCAATCCTCACTCAGAAACCAGTAACTGTACCACCAAAACCAGCTGCCAAGAAGTAAATGGGTGTGATGACCATCTCATGGCTAACTAGGATAAAGGTGTTTGCACTTGTGTATTTTAAAATTATGATCACCATGGTCCTCCTCGAAAAGGAAATGAATGGCATTGGTGTTGTACAACAACTCATAAAAAAAATGTTTGAAAATCCAATCACTCTGGTCATGCTCGGACCAACCATGAGTGGTAAAACGGAAGCAGTAAAAATCATTCGCTACTATAATTCGCAAATCATGTTTCGGACATCCAGCTCTGCAATCAAAAAAGAATCCGAGTGTGTGGTTCGATATGATCAATGGTCTGGACAAAGCTATCGCGATAAAGAGTTGTATTACTCACGTTTGAGAGAATCCTATCAAGAACCAACCATGCATATGGATTATTTAAATTTTGTATATTTACCTCCCAATGGAGAGAAAGTAGTGCAAATTGTGGATATTGGTGGACATGAAAAATTAATGAAGAATGCTTCGAGTGGGATTTCATTAAGCGAAAATTCTGCAGCATTGATCGTTGTTTCAGTAGATTCCATCAATTTTCAAGGAAATCAAAAAACATTGCATGACCATTTAATGTTCGCTCGAGTGAATGGGATTAAACAAGTAGCAGTGTGTGTAAATATGATGGATACGAAGGATTTTTGTGAAGAGGAATTTTGTCAAGTGACAGAACGAATTTTGAAGCCTGCTTTAAAAAATATTTTGGGAATTAAGAATTTGTCGGAAGTGCCAATGATACCCACAAGCTTGGTGCTTGAAGAAAATGTAATGAAAAATTCAGACAAGATGCCTTGGTACAAAGGTGAACCTTTGTTAAGTGTTGTTGATTCGTTGACAACTCCATCTTGTCAGCAATGGAAAAAGTATGCACCACTACGGCTTTCTGTCATTGACTCGTACAGAATTAGTGGTATTGGGACAGTATTGATTGGTCAGCTTCATACAGGAATTTTACAACCTGATACGATGGTCAAAGTTCCAACGCTGAAAGGAACAAGCCAAGACTTGCTGGTAAAGTATATTGAAATAGATCACAAAACAGTCCCAAACGCATTTCCTGGATCGGTGATTGGAATTCATGTATCGCAGTTGCCTGTGAGTAGCTGCAGAAGAGGTTTAGTGTTAAGCGACCCCAAGAACCATCCAGCAGCTTTTACACTATTCTTTGAAGCGAAAATTAAGATCTTAGATTGCCCAAATATTATTAAGGAAGGATTCACACCAATGGTGGATTGTGGTTTGGCTCATGTGGCCTGTAGATTTGAAAAACTAATGTATACCATTGATGCTACAACACGTAGAGTGGCTTCATATCATCCTTCATTCCTTAACAAGAATGATTTAGCTGTTGTGAGATTACGTCCCATAAAGAAGAGATTTCTACTAGAAAGATATAACGATTTCCCTTGCTTGGGAAGAATAACAGTACGGGACAATAACAAAATTGTAGCAATTGGAACAGTTACCAGGATTGTTAGAGAAGGAGACGATCATAATTTACCAACGTTGTACAATTTTTCCAAGTACGGTAACTATGTTATGGGTACATCAACGAGTTCACTAAGAGATATTTCTATCACATGCCAACATTAATAAAAGATCTAAAACTAATTTTACATACATAGACCACCATTCAATTCGAGAGCTCAATCAATTCAGACCTCTTGATAACAATTTTGGCATTATCTTCGACTGTTAGTTATGACAACATGATTGCACTTGAGATAATTACACCTGTCTAAGATAATCTTTGAAATGAAGGGCGACAAATTTACAAATTCTCTTCATGTTTTCGTTACTGTCCAAATAAATCGCTCCAATGATGGCTTCCAAAGTATCAGCCAACACCTTTGGGTTTTCACGAACTCCATTGATCTCCTCTCCTTTTCCAATAAGTAAATATTTCCCTAGTTCTAGATTGCTTGCAATTGTTGCAAGAGTAACATTGTTTACACAATATTTCAATTTGTCGTTTAATTCTCGTTCATGGTCTTGAGGGTTGTTTATGAATTGAATTCTGGCTATGGCTAATTCTAACACTCGATCTCCAATAAATTCTAACCTTTGATGTGCTGTTCCATCCAGTGAGCTGCTACCACTGCTTTCCAAAATGAAAGAACGCCTCATCAGTGCTTGCAGTAAAAAGGTCCGATTATTAAATTTATATACCAATCGTTTTTGAATATTCAGTATTGATGTGCTTAAATTGCTATTATTTATAAATGTGCTTTTTTCCAAGTCATGTGATGATGATGGCGGTACAATCAATGATGCTGAGGCTTGTTTGTTGCGAGCACACTTTGTGGTCAATTCTAAAATTTTTAAAAGTTCCTTTTTCTTCATTTTTTTTTAATTACGAAATTCAAAAAAATGTCAATCATCCCTCCACCTCCCTTGTTATCATCCACTCCGAATCCCAATAAGAGGGCCAAAAGATTTACATTGAATCATTCCCTACACACGAAGGAAAATATTTTAAAAGAGCCTCGTAAACGAATTCAAATGGTTCCGCATCTACATTACAATTTGAATCGACAATTTACCCTGATCACAATCATGGATGAATATAATGAAATCACCAAGAGTCCAACATTGGTTGCTTTTGGAGGTTCACATACCATGGATCATACGATTTATTATTTGGATTTGGAACCAAAATTATCGGATGAAAACTCTTCATTGTACGAATGGAAAGAACTGACAACAGTGACCAAGAATATCAATGGAGAATATTTCCAGCTCAACAGGTTGGATTATTACAATGCCAGTATGATTTATTCTCGCAAATTGCAACAATTAATTATATTCGAAGGATCTACTAATGGTATTTATTCTCTTTGTCTGAAAACAAAAACTTGGGCAAAAGCATTGGAATTAAATTTTGTGGGATGGCCCATCTACCACGCACATTTTTTAAAATTATGTGATGAACACTCGAACCATGCATTGTTGGTTTCCAGATTTACTGATTATTCCAACTTTAATTTAATGATTGGAATGATTGACTTGGACGATCTTTGTGCCACAATTCACACTCCTCAAAAATCTGTCACTTTTTTGAAACCACCCAAGGTCTGTAAGAGAAATAGCGTAACTCCAAATTATGTCGTTCCCTTGCGGCATAAACAGCAACTTGTTATTTTTGATACGAATGAGAAATCGGTAATAACTACGTCGTTATCAAATCAAGATGAGAAGACTCAGCGTTGTGATTGCATGACACCAAATTGTAATCGTTTGGTTGCGTGTGTACTCCCAACGGATGGACTTTCTGTGGTGCCATCACAGGAAGACGAAGATTTACACGGTACACAACTTTTAGTGTCTTTTATTAGAGATAAGCAACATTGTTTATATGAATATCATTCAAAAAAAGAAACGTTCACACGGTTGATACACAATCCATTACCTATTCAATTAGAACATCACATTTTCTTTCAACCAGTTCTTTGTACCTACAGAAATAGAAGGAAAGAAAGATGTGCAATTTTCATGCCTAACCTGGACATTTTATTCAAAATCAAATTGGATTACGAAAAACCAGAATGTGCATTTCCTTACTTGAGAAAACAGTTATTGACACTTTTTGGAGAAAATTTTGATATCGCTTTACATGCAAGCATGAGGAAAGATCTTATTACAATTGTTTGTCAAAATCACTACTTACATTAACGATAACAAGAAGACTTTATTTGGAAACATCAATTTGAAAAGTTAGAGCTTTCTAATCCCAAGAGGATCATAATCAGGATTCAGTGGCACACCACATGTGGCAACTTGTCCCCACTTTTTCACTTCCGAAGATGTGATGAATCTTCCTGTTGAATCTGCCAATGGTTCTCCTATGAATCGAATATTATCAATAATCATTTCTTTTGTTTTTGCCTTTTCTTCCAAGATGAACATAATTCTGTGAATATTTTGAACGGTTGAAAGAAATCCCAAGTCAGCAACAGGAATTCTCAATCTAGTCATACGAAGCTCATCAATTTTGTACAATTGGAAATACTCATCCTTCATGGAAACTCTAGAGAACTCGAGGATCTTACCTGAAGTTTCATTCAAGTAATAGAAGTGTAATCTCAAATCAGGAATTCCTGTATTATTGGTTGACTTGATGAAGAATTCCAAATACTTGTAAATGGATGAGTCGACATTGAATCTATTAGTTCCAATTTTGTTAATAACCGCATTTCCCTTTCTCAATCTCAAATGGATGGCAGATGAACCACACGTAGCTGCTTGAGTATAATTGAGGTTGAAAATGGTTGAGATGTCTCCTGGATAAGTGTACTGGCCACTTGACCATTCCAAAACGAAACTCGAATAATCCTGATACACATACAATACTTGAGAAGCAACTTTTAACTTGGGAGGATCACATGGCTTGGCAATAGAATGAAGAGATGGTAATTTACATGTTGACGTACCAGTAGAGCTACAATAGAGTTGAGCTCTTAAATGACCTTCTGGATTTTGTGTCGTTGTCACTTTGACAAACATCAGACCCTTCAATAAGGCATTCCATTCTTCCACGGACAAATTCACACCAAAACGTGCAGGTGTGTAGGTTGCAAAGCGATTGATGGGAGTGACCACCGAGTAGACCTCCTGTCCGGCCTGTCCAACGCCTATTTCAATGGATTTGAGAATTTCTGGCTCAACATTGTGATGGACTACAAATTCTAATTTGTGCTCGGCATAATCCAAAAAGGCAAAGACAGTTCCTTGAGCAGCAGCTGAAGAAGGAGCTAATGGTCCTGAAGCTTGCTCCTGTTGACATTTCTCCAAGCGTCCTACAAACACATCTTCCTTCAAATAGGTTTTGTACAATGTCTTGGCATTGGCTGGATTACCAAATTTAGTTGGAGCACAATTATTATTTGGACATTTGGCATCCACTGAAATGACTCCACCAGAATAGAAATCACCAAATGCACCAAAATATTCTCTATATCCAATTCTCGAATAGTAATTTTGTACCTTCAAAAACAAGTGTTCAGTGGTCGAGTCATAATAGTAATACGATTTTGCGTCACTCATGACAGTCGCCAATGAAGAAGCACGTGTCATGTTGGTTTCCACTCCATTCTGTGTGAATTGCACCTCAAACACAGTACTTGGTGGATATTGAACTGCCAACAGGATCCAATCTCCAACGACACTCGAATCTAATTGGAATTTCAATGAATTTGGTGTTGGAGTATCATAATTCCAACGAATACTATACAAACCACGAGTCATGAGGTTGGATTGAAGGAAAAAGGAACCTCCTGCATAACCTCCTTTCACTTGACTGACACGAGAGCCATCTCTCAACATGTCATGAACCACCATTCTTACTGAGCGATCATACACGTTCAGTAATTCTTTGTGTTGAACACCATCTCGACCAGTGACATTCATTGCAGTTGGATTGGGATTCGTCACTCGTAACTGAGCATAACCTTCTCCAAAAAGTGGACATACATGGGCATTCCAATCACGGACTCCAATACACTTGTCGAATAACATGATACTTTCATTGGCTACAATCCAACCTCCAGGTAAGAGTCCTGTTGTGGAGCCATCGACATCCATGAATGCAATTCCTTTATGGTTATCATAGGGAGCTGGATTTGGGAATAGAATCACCTCATTGGCATTGATATATTTGAGTGATTTGTATCGATTACGAGTTTGATGCTTGAAATTGTTGTGAAGACCTGACAAGGCACCTCCATAGCTAAATTCAGTGGTTGTGAAATTAACGAAAGTAACATTGATCAAATAATTTGGACCACCATTGTCATAGGTTTGAAAACCTGAAATGATGTCACGATTCGTGGTGATAGGATTGAGGAAGGGTCGTGTTCGATTTCCTTTATCCACAGTGGGTCTGAATGTGTATTCACCAACGTTGTCGGATTCACCCACCATGATACTGTCCTCAATGAGAGTTGGTCCAGATGGAGGAGTATTTGCTGCGACACGATTATCACTCAAATACAAGCTATGGAATCTGAGAGTACCTCTTGCCCTGTGTTGTGAAAATTATTAATATTGTTGACAACAACATGTCACCAATTCCAACCATGTCATGAACATTGAGATTCTCACAAACAAACTTACCATACTCCCCAAACTCTGTTCTTATATGCAAGGAAATTAGTATACAGAGCGCTACCAGAAGAAGGAGAATAACCCGCTTGCTCTGAAGTACCATCTGCTCTTTGCATATCATCAATGTGGAGACCATTTCCTCCTGAACTATGAGCCACGTTTTGATCAAATGGTTTAGGAGGTGCTGATCTTGGATTGATCGATCCAGGTGCATATCTTTTTGCGCTCAAACCAGTTCTGTATGTGAAATCTGTCAGAAATTGTCACTTACGAATCAAACTACTTACGGGAAGGTTGGCATGGCGAACCAAAAACCAAATTTACCTCCAACAGCATGATTACCAATGAAAGTATTATTTGGATTGGTTATCCAAAAGACACTCACATCTGAATCGGAAGGAATCAAAATTCTATCTGTGAGTTCTTTAGCGACAGGTTTTGCACGAATTCCCAAATTGGAAATGAATTCGTTTCCAACTTCAGAACCATCTTCCAAAAAGTAAGCATGTCCATACGCATCAAAACAAACATTGTTCTGAATGGAAACGTAATTGGTATCATGCACGGCAATACATCTCTGATAACTATGATGAATGGAGCAATGTTTGACAAAATAGTCAGTTCCAAGTGGAGATTTTGCAGCCTTATTTCCGAGCAAGTGGAACTAGGTTTTAGAAATTTCAGAATTATCAAAATAGTGCATCCGATTGAACACTACAACTTACATGCAATGAATATCTTCCCATCATACCTTGTTGGCCGAAACGACGAATCTCGAGTCCCTGAACTTTGAACGATTCCACTAAACGAATAATCATGTGACCACCAAATTGTGAAACCTCACTGGATTCATCTCCTTGGAACACAATTTTACGACTCAACAAACCAACTTCAGCACTCATTTTGGCATGAACAGAACCATATCTTCCGTTACTGGCATAATGGAAATAATTGAGAGGTGCGTTCAAGACGAGAGTTTTTCCACCATTGAGAATTTGTGCAATTTTCCTTTCCTTCGGTTTTCAATGTTAGAAATTTCACATGCATCTAGTTCAATAACAAAACCACCACAACAACAACAACACTTACCTCACTCTGATCAGGGAGTGGAACACCAGCGGCCCACTTCAACGATTCATTCTTCACTTGTGCTTTATCATAGACTTCTCCAAAATCAGTACTTGCCACAACGACCGAATCACCAACACTCCATCCAGAGACTGCTTGTTTCAAATCAATAGTTTTAGATCCCTTATTGACAGATTTTGCAAGTTGAGTCCATGAACGAGGTGTTGAAGTCACTTGTCCAAAAATCTCAACTCTAGAACCTGACAAGAATGCAATTCCCTTACTTCCTAATTTGGAACCATCAAAAGGATCTAAACCCAAATCATGGACAGAAGCATCCACACGAGGACCAAAGAACGTAATGACAATCTTGGAAGTAATAGGACATGTTGAACTACCCATGATAAACTTTGCTCCAGATTCCACACGAATGAATGACACATTGAGATTTAAGTTCACATTATCAAAGATCAATGAACCTCCAGATTGAATAGTAATGGAGCGAAGTCGCACACTTGGAGATGCATTCAAAAGAACCGATTGTTGTGAAATGACAACATTTCCATTCAAAACATTGGCACCTGCGAGCGTGTGAAAAGGAATCAAACCAGTGGCTTGATGAGGACATGTCTGTGCATGCACAAAAGACATGCTCATCATTAATAGCGAGAGGAGAATCAATGCTAACAACCACCATCGCGCAACGAATGGAGAACTTGAGTTCAACATTTTGAGTGTTGATGTTTTTTTGAGAATGATGTAAAAGTGTTGGTAGCTTGTTGCAAGTTAAAAAGATTTTACATGCCAAGCTACCTGTCAATAAATAGCACGAGATTTTGGAAGATTAGGTAAGGTCTTGTCACCAAACAGTAAAGTGCTAATGGAAGTGAGCAGATTTGACTGAATTTTGATTCTTGGAATACACATGTTTGTAGAGAGTGAGATTGTTAAATCATGATGATAATCACGAGGAAAAGAGATTCTCTCGGGCGAAGAAAAAATTTTTGGCTGCTCAACTAACAAGGTCTGGACCAACATAACATGAAAGAGTTTCAAAACAATTCCTATTAAACACATTTTCAAAAACTACACAACTCTACTAGACATAATTGCGAATGCAAATAACATGATACTGTTTTCGCAGCTGCCTTGTCCGAAATTTTATTGTAAAGATTTACGGTTCTTTATAATTTCAATAGGACTTGCCACATCAAAACCTTTTTTCACCTTCAATAACATTTAGTTGAAATTTCTGTCACTTTCTCAATTGTATTTCAATCGTTTGATACTATTTGCGCTTTTTCATTGGATAAAAAGAAGCTTGTTGAAATGGTGATTCTGCATCAGCCATCACTTGATTTTCACTTCTCTTTAAGGCTTCGTTTCTTCTCGAATTCAAATACTTGTCATGATCATACTGTTTTACATAATCAGCAATTGTGACACTCCCTTGCCGAATGGCATATTCAACAGCTGTTTCTCCGTGCTGAAAATATTTTTCAAATAGTATGAAATATTTCGAAATGAAATGTACATACACCATTTTTACATTCCTTGTCAACTGCACAATCATGTGTTGTATTAATTTTGACACAAAATCACGTCTTTTACAAACCTACCCTTTCCAGAATGCAATAATAATTTTACCATTTCAAGATCTTTCTTTTCAATGGCTAAATGGAGGGCTGACTATTAAATAGTTGTTTTGGATCTTGAGTGATTCCAATTAATTCGAAAGCTAAAACTTACAGAATCCTTATCCCAACTCATGGTTGTGACATCTGCTCCTGCATCTAACAAATAGGAAACTATATCCAAATGACCGTTTGAAATGGCTTTCATTAGAGGTGTCTTGCATGAGCATGTGAGTTTTTACAATTTTAATACAACAATGAAATACAAACATTCTAAAATTGTTTCAATTATGAATTTCAATAAATAAAAATTTTCAAAGATCAAATATAAATTTCAATTTAAATAATAATTTTTGATCATCGAAAACACATACTCCATAAATACTTTTCGGATCATGTGCATTAAAATCCACTCGTCCCGTACTCACACATCTTTTCACCTCTTCCAAATCTCCACTCCGACAAGCCATCATCAATGATAATAGAATGTCCATATCTGTTTGTTGTTGTTGAAGGGTTGTCTGTGGTTCCGTGGATCTAGCCAAAGAAGATGATTCTGCAACACTGGCTTGATCTTGTCTTGTTTCATTCAAATTTCCGTTCATTAATGGTTGTGGATTGGAAGTTGCCATTGATAATAAATTCATGGCAGTTTCGGAATCTTCGGGAGTGATGGTGTTGATGTTATTCATGAAGGATTGTGGTTGTGACTGCTGATTTGGATCTTGCAGCATGTTGGATTGAGGTGTTGTTGTTTGAAACATTTTTTGTTGTACTACATTGCATTTAATCAATTTGCAAATGAAGAAGTGCCAAAAACGACGGGAGTTTAATTTCCACTCCACCTGTTCACCCTTCAACTTGAACATTGAAATGACAATATTTAAATAATACTACTCGAAATTACGAAAATTTCCATCCTATTTACAATTTACCATTTTCATCTTAAACCTGGAGGAGCTATGGTTGCGTTAGTTTGGTTTGTCATTGTTGTTTGATTATAATATTGTTGGTTGGGATGAATAGAGGAAATTGAGGATTCAACAAATATTGAGGATATGGTGGGTATTGAGGAAACAGAGGTTGCTGCAAAGGTGGAAGGAATGCAGGTATAGTTACCATCTTCACTGATAAAGTTTGATTTGGTGTTGTTGAACAAGTCGCAGATTGAGAAGGTTGATTTGGTGTTGATTTTGTTGTTCTTCCTCTTTTCTTTGGCTGGTTAGGGTTGTACCTATCGAAAATCCAATTGGTATTGGAAGTGTTTGGAGTACTATTTGGATATGATGAATGTTGATTTGTGTTGGATGATTCAGGTGAAACAGACTCATTCGGAAGTGTAATATTTCTAATAGACTGATTCTTTGTAGTATTGGTGGCAGAAAGTGCTATCGATGGTGTGTTTGAAATGTTTGAAAATGTAATTTTCTTTTTCTTGGACTTGTCATTATTTACAAGTTGCAACTCACTGAATGGATTGGCTCTCTTTTTGACATTATTGATAGTATTGTCAGGAGGTAGCGCTCGAATTGAAGTCAATTTCTTTTCTTTGTTAGCAATTTCAATATTCATTATCTCACATTCAAGTTCTTGCAGAATATTCACTGATCTTTTTAGTTCAGGTCTGCTTGCAAATTTTACATGTAAACGAGAATGAAATATTTCAGCGTGAGTATTTGTCAAATCTAAATCTTGTATTCTTGACTTGAATGCAAGAGCCCAAATGTTTGGAGCAAATAGTGCATTAGTGGACGAGTCTCCAAACCAAGTTCTAACAAGATACCTCCACAGCTTTTCACCTGCAACACTTCTCCATGTTGCTAAAAATTCCTCCTTTTTGATGTTGAACATTTGTTCAGTCATTATAGTTCGTGCAAGGAATTTTAGTTCTGATTTAAAGGTCTTACGAAGTTCTCTATTTCGTAGTGGATTGTGTGCAGGTAATTCTCTTTTTATCCATCTTGACACTGCTTGCCAGAGATGGAATTGACATCCCACAATTTCTACATCTGGGAAAATAATTCTAAGAGCGTTGTGCATCGCTTGATCAAAATCACAAGCAATAAATAATTTTCGAACTTGCAATAATTCAGGTACAAGGAAGTTTGCAATCACCATCCACAAGTATGTATCGAATGTTTCTGACTTTTCTTGTGCGAAAATGAATAAAACAGGAACAGCAGCATCCTTTCCCTTTTTCCTCACATGAATGGTAATCATTTGTTCGCAACCTTTAGGACACACGTCAAAAGTTCCATCAATATAAATTTGATCTTCCTCAGTCACTTCTTTTAAGATATTAATTTGATAGTTAGATCCATAAATAAGAAGGAAATGTGGAAAACCTTGTACCCATCTTACAAACTGATCTTGAGATTTTGTACATGATAAATCTTGTCTGATGTACAAATCTTGTAAACATTCAATCCGTTCAGTGTAGAATTTCTTTTTCATTTCTTTAACATCCTCTTTGGTGATGATCAATCGATGATCTCTCAGTTCTTCTTTTGATAGCTTGTTGTTTAAATTTTCTGCAATTTGTTGACTTGATCTTATATTTGTGTTTGCTTTGATGTATTCAAATAATTCCTTTCTTCTTTCCTCCGAAATCTTTTGAGGTTGACTTTTTTCAATATGAGGTGGAGCATGATCACTGTGTGATGCAACATGTATAAATGTATCAATATCAGGATAATATCTTATTCGAGCAGCACATTTTCTAGATTTATAAAAATTGCACTTGTAGGTAATGCAGTGCGCAAATGTTTTGTGCTTGCTGTAGAAATAATTATTAAATCTCAATTGTTGTTGATTCGTTGTTACTTTGTGAACACTTTCTCTCGGAATGATATATTCATTTTCTTTCAAGTTGATCATTTTACCATCCATTTGTAAATAATTATCTCCTTCTACAATTGATGGCTTAGAATTACATACATCAGTGAGCAAACCAAGCTTATCAAATTCATCTTCGGAGTTTGTATCATGTGCTTCTTCTTCAAAAACAGGATCGATTTCGACCGTGTCGTCGTATTCCATTGTTGTTGGGGTGATTGTATTGTGTAACATGTTGTTGTTGAATTTTTTTTTGTGTGGAATGTTTCGAAATCACATTCCTTGTTTTGATATTTATAATCCGAAAATAGATCATTTCAAAGTGTTGGTTGAAAGGTGGTTGGAAATTGAATTCCCAAAAGCACCCATACTCGATCAAGAACATATTATTGAGAGAAGTCGTGATTTATGTATTACATTAAAATTGAAGAATACTTGGAATTTCTTCATTCACCTTTTTCACATTCTTTGTTAAAAGTTTGAATTGATTTGTGTAATATCGATACTTTTCCTCATCACTCATATAAATAGTGGCCAATGAATAATAAGCCGAAGCACAATTCGAATCAATATAAATGGCTTGTTTAAAATCAAGTTCTGCATTAATTCGATCTCCCATTTCCAAATAAGTATTTGCTCGTAAAATATAACAATTGGTACTTCGTGGATCGAGTGAAATACATTGTGTGAAATCAGTGAGGGCCTTTTGTTTGTCACCAAGGAAATTCTTATAGAGTAGACCTCTATTGTAAATGGCAAAGAAATAACCTTCTACGAGTTCAATACATCGATTGTAACATTCTTCAGATTTTGCTGGAAAATCGATTCGATATAAAAATCCCATATTGAAATAAGCCTTGTAGAAATTAGGATCAATTTCGAGACATTTTTTGTAATCTTCCATGGCCTTGTTTAAATATTCATTCATCTTTTCCTTTTGTGGTAATGGTTCGGTTTGTTCGAGAAGGAACAAGTATCGTTGTGCATAGATATTACCTCGTAAAAAGTAAGCCATTAAAGATTTCTTTTCAGACTTCTTGATCGATTCTGTAAAATATTTCTCTGCATCGATGGGTCGATTTAAATCCAAATACAGTAATCCTAATTGAACATAGGCATTGAAGCTATCCATTTCTAAAATGTGACGTAATAATTTCTGAAATCCATAGGGATCTGCCATAGCAGGATTAATTTCGAGACATTTCATAAAATCTCTTTCTGCCAATCGATACAATGGTTCATCCTGATGATTCACATATTCAAGAATGGCTCGAATGGATTCTTGTCGATCTTCCAAATCCGTAGAGGCTTCATTTTCATCCACCAATGTTTTGGTCTTGGATGACGTCATCGAGAGAGCTTCACTATGTCTCACCGATCCTGTCTGAGCAGCCAATAACAAACTCTCTGATCGAATATGAATGGCTTGTTTGCTATTTCGTGGGTAAAATGAAATTCTCTCATTTTCAGCTGCGAGTCCATAAATTATTTTACGGAGTGCTGAAATGTTTCGAGTGATGGCAAAATTATTACATGTCTTGATATTGTCTCCCAAACTGTTTAAAATGTCAGTAAGAGGTTGAATGTCCATACAGGAAAAGATGGAATTCTTTTTGTAAAAGTATTGAGCCAGAGAAGATTCTTTGATGGTACCACTTGTTGTCGTGATGTTGCTAGGGGTATGACTCGTCGATGTAGCACTACTATTGCTAGTAATAGTTGAGATGGAATCTGTCACTGGTCGTTCTCCTTTTCCAAATAAGAGATGGAATTTAAATTTGTATTGAAATAGAATTCCTCTCAGTAAATAAGCATCGGCACAATATTGATTCATTTCTGTGAGTTTTTGTAAATCTTTGAATGCTAAATTGGCATACTTGATATAACGTAATTCATCTCCTTTTTTCTCTAAAATTGAATTTCCAGCTGTTACATATAATAATGCTCGAAATAGATATGAATTAATATTGGCATATTGTGGATTCAATTTGATACTCTTGCTAAAGTCAGCGACTGCATTGACAAGATCACCAATTTTATGGTAAAACAGTCCTCGATAAAAGAATGCTTTAAAATCTTTGGGTGACCGTCGAATGATCAAGTGATAGAATTCTTCAGAGATGTCTTTTCGTTGATTGTAGGATTTGAGAGTTCCTGGTTTGAAATCATTGATTGAAACTGTGGAACAAAGAATTTTCAAAAAGTTTTCAAATCGTTGTCCATATTTGAATGGCTTTTCAACAGAGACTCGTTCTTTGGTTGCATTTCGAATTTTCGCTTTGAGAGATTGTACACCATTTTTCATCATCTTTTCCACTTGTTTTCTATTGTTAAATTTTTGAAGAATGTCAATAATTCCCTGTTCAAGTTATTGTCAACATGTTGTGAAATGATTGGCATAATCATGATCTATTCATTACTTACAAAAACTAGAGTAATAATGATGAGAATATTCAATATTGTACTGAGCTATTCAATTACTTACAGTAAACTTCCTTTCCGTCACTAGAAGCACATGTATTTCTTTGCCATCCACTAAATGAGGTATCTGTTGGCTGTGGCAATCGAAGTCGTGAAATAATTTTTGACTCTTCTTCCGTTCGTTGACTATGGTTATGAACACCCAACAGTAATGAATAATCCATAATGTCATTCTCTTGTAAGAATCTCACATCGCTTTCAAGTCTTCGAAAAAAATTAAGCTTTAAATCGAGATTGAGTTTGATATCTCCTTGTTGAATATCCTTGTCTTTCAAGATGGGAGATTTCTTTTTTCGTTCACTTTCTGTGGCAACTCTTCCAGCTGTACTTCCTTTCAGATCATATTTTCTATGAATGGTGAGAGGTGTGAAAAATATATTGTTCATGACTATAAATCTGTACTTGTTCTGATTACGAAGTGTCACTTCGAACAATAAATAAAAATTACTCAGCAATGTATATGGATTCTTTTGGATGTGTTTGTGATAGTGTGGTAGTAATTCAAGAGATGTCGATAACTCTTCCTCGGTCACTGATTTTAACAAGTAACTCGTGGATGATGTGAAAAAGAAGAAGGCTCCACTTTTTCCAGGGGTACCCACTCGTGAATAAGATCCACAGTGACATCCCATTTGTTTTTTAAAATCCCATTCAGAGACTCGAAATAATTGTCTTAAATGTTGAAAGACTGTTGGGCAGAATAGCTTAAATTCTGCTCCAATGTCTCTGAAAATGTACACTTCATCTGTATCATATTCAAATTCAAAATTAGAATCTTCAATCTTTTTCAAATTCGAGTCTCCACCATCACGTGTCTCATCGAGTGAAATTTTGTGTAATAATCGATCCGTTCCTCTATTAATCACTTTCATGAGCTCAAAATCTTTATCTGTCGCTGTCACTTCCTCTCCAATTTTGTTTTGTGAATTTTTGATTAATTCTTGCATATTGGCCATATAAATGTCAGCTCGATTTTCTTTTTTCAACATGGAATCCAATCGTTTTTTAAATGAAGCTCCTCGACTGGATCGTGCCGTGTGATTATTATTACTACTACTACTACTACTACTCATACTACTCATATTACTCGTTATGGTCGTGCCTCTCTCAGTAGTCACAAATCGATCCGTATCAAAACCAGTACTTTCAATTCGAGTTGTGAGTCCTACATTAATTTTGGGAACTTTAAAAACTCTCTTTTTTGAGAGTAACTCGTCTCGAGAGGAGTGTTCGTCTTCAACCATTGAATCAGAAATGGAGTTCAAATGAGTAGGATCATTCTCAACAGTATAGTCATTGTTACTATTCAATACAGATGAAGAATCTTGTTGATCTTTTAATACTGATGAGGTGCCACTCGTTGATGTGGCGTTTTCCGTATGATTATTCATGACATGCTTGGATGATTCATTAGATTCATGACATTCTTGAGATCCATTCAATGTTGGAGAGCTTGTCGTCAATGCAAATCTTCTTCGTGGCGAAACATGATGAGAAACCTTTGTGTCCATTGTTGTTGAAGAAGAAGATTCCACAACTTGTCCTCTTTCTTCATGGTTGCGAGTCAATAATAATGGATCGCTCACACTGGTCGAGTTGGAAAATGATAAATTGTGGTGTTGTGGGATCCCTGTTGTGTTGTGAGAAGAGGATGTTGATAATGATTGCGGAGAAAATGTTGTTGTTGTCGAGTGAGAAAATGATCCATGAGTGTGTTTGGTGTGAGATGAAAGAGGTAGTAACGATGAGGAATGGTCATCAGTAGCGTCATGAGGATGATTATGGATCATGAGGATGTGATGGTCTGAAGAGGTTTTTCGATGATGATGTTGATTCCATGTGGTGGAGTTGGAGGGATCACCTTCCACGATCGTGGAGACATCATTGGGAACACTGTCAGAATGATTGGATGGAGTGGAGTTTCCTTCGTGTCGTCTCTCTCTTTTGTATCTTCGATTTCTGTCAGTAATCAACGTAGAGGTCGATAATTCGGAGGACAAGGTCGATTTGTTGTTGTCATTGTTGCACATCATTTCCGAGATTTATTTGGCTGCTGCTGATGATCAGCATTCGAGTGCAGTGCTTTTGAATGTTGTGAAACAAGTCCTTCTTGAAATTGGACAATTTTTTGAAAGATGAAAATTGACCACAGGTGGCTCATGAACAAACTTATTGGTGTGATTGCCGTTTCAATCTGTAATAATAATCTTTTTCGTAACAAAGTGCGTGGACGAGAGAAAACAGTCGTTTGACTACTCTATAGAGATGTTGTTTGTTCGTAAACATACATCTCCAATCTCTTGTAGAATGATTTTGTTGACGAAGCATGTATGGGATGTTGTGTTGTTGCATGAATGATTCAAGTTGTGCAGAATTTGTGTTCCTTTTGAGAATGAATCCATATTCTCGATCGTTTGGAAGATCCTCAACAATTCTTTGCTTCAATAATTCGTCATCTCTACTAGGTAAACTCACATGAACAATTTGAATTTGTTTTGCAATGATCACATCTCTTGTATGGTGAGTGGTGGGGAAATATTGTTCTTGTTTGCAAAATCTAAATCCTTCAAAATGCATCACAGTAATACTTGCTTCATAAAAGTCGCTATATGCTTGCATGAGAAATTCTCTCTTTGAAGTGTTCCATGAATTTTGTAAAGACATTTTGATCTGCAAATGTTCACCAAGTTTGTCATAATTTTCTCCAATAATTTTGTAAATGTCAACAAATCTTTCCTGGAAATTGTCAATTCGTCCGTCATCTACCACTAAACCGCAATGGTGGCTTAAAGATTGTTCAAACTTTGCTAGATCCTTAATGAAATTGTAATTAGTTGAGAATAAAGATCTGTGATATGACTTGAGGAGTATTCTGCAAATTTCTATATTCCTAAGTGAAATAGCATGTACTTGAGACAAACCAAAAAGAGATTTCAAATAAATTTCGTGTTCTTTTAGATCCAAAGAGTCTATGATTCTGGCTACAGACTCCTTTTCTAGATGTTTACCCTTGAGCTGTGCCAAGTTAGGTAGATGAAGAGGTAAATTTTTGATGGGATGACTAGATAGTTTTTTCCTGATCGAGTCCAATATTCGTAAGGACCATAACGGATTTTCTTGTATGCAGTATTGGGACAAATGTTCAGTAAATGGTAAATTAGATATTATGTCAGAAATCTTATCTAAATTATGGTCCAAATTACGATTCAGAGTAATATGTTGAACGTTGTTTGAATTGGTCATGAGGAGATTTGTCGTGAGCGACTTTCTGAATGACTCGATTTGTTGTAAACAATTTTCCTTGTTGTTGAAAAGCAAATCCAAAAACAGGCGCAAGTTGGTATCAGATAATGCAAGATTAATGGAAGAAATAATTTCCAATAATTGCTCAGTTTGATCTTCTTCAAAATCAAATGGTATTCTAGTAATTTTTGTTTGCAATATGTTTAAGAGTCTCTTTGCTTCAAAATAGTGTGCGTTGTGTGCGTTATGATCAATAATCGTTGGATTCTTAGAAAGTGTTTCATTAAATGCGTCAATAGATGTTTGTTCTTGTTCAATCATTGCAAGAACTTCTTGCTTCTTTCTAGGATGAAGAGATATCTTAAAATCTGGTGGTGGTGGAGAAGCATTTGAAGGACACTCAAACAACTGATTCTTGCGCTTGTTATACTGTTCCACAAGCTCTAAAATAAGTGCTTTTTGTGCACTTTCGTCTTCACTTTCAAATTTGCTCAATCTATTCTTAATGAATTGCAGAACTCGTTGCATTTTGATATTTCTTTTTCGCACAAGCTTTTCGTTGGCTGTTAACGGAATTACTTCGCAGTCATGTTTCCGAACTACTTTATCTCTATAAGCCTCAGGACCTTCTAATAAACAAACACAATAAGTATCAATGTTGATGTCGATCACTTGTGCCAAGTACTTGTTCTTATTTTGTGTAACGTAGACCTTTCCATCTACAAACACATCTGTTCTACCAAAGTCCACTTTTTGGTTGAATGTACTTAAAATCTTTTTTACAACTTTCAAGAAATTCAAAACAAAATCATCAGTATCTTTTTTAAACCTGAAACCATTTTCTTTGACTAGAATTGATGTCTCTCCATGGTCAAAATAGTCTACAATAAAAGAAGATATTGAATTTGGATCTACAATTTTTGGAATGGGAATTAATGCGCCATCGATCGTAATTGTATGCTTGATATTTTGTTTGATGACTTCTAAATTTTCCAAATGGCCGTCATGATTGCCTGATAGTGCACTAAATGAAGAAATGCAATACATTTGACGTTCTGATTGACTGTTCGTTGATTTGAAAGCTGAGATTATCTTTGAGGATGCAGTATTTTCATGCTGATGCGGATGTTTAAAATCGATCTCACTGTAAGGCAAGATAAGGTCATTAAGGTTATTCCTGTTGGACATACTAAAACTCTTCAAGTAACCCAAATAGAGGTTGAATGTGTCGTTGTGAAATTCATTATATAAATCAGAGATTTTCAAAGGTTGCTTATCGATTGTTTCTATTTGAAATTCAGTAAAAGGTTGTAACACTCTTTCATTTCTAGTGTAATGACGTTCGAATAAATATGCTAACACTTCTATGAGCTCTCTTGCTTTCTGTTGAATGTTTTCATCATTGTCTTCATCAAGAGAAACACTTTCCACAATATGGTCAAAAACTCCCTTTCGTAATAAATATACAAATAAAAAGTTATCCGGTTCAAAATAGAATAGTTTTGAAACCAGGCCAGTAAGTCCAATTGGTAGTCCAAGCTCTGAAATGTACCCATGATGTCTCAAAAATTCAAATGCAAACCGGGCATAATGATAATGTTGAGCTTGTGAGTTCGAAGAGGTTGCTCGAGTAAACGAAGAAAGAGGTTGAGTTAAAGCACTAACTGCATCTTCTAAAGCATTTTCAGCATGTTTTGGATCGAGTCGTAACTCACTCAACATACAGAACGTAATTAGTCGCAATATAAACGTATTGGTGTTTCCAAAACTACCGTTCAAGTTTGGTAAGTTTGTAGTTAAATATCTTCTCACTCTCTCCAATAACATGTTCATCACAATCACATTACCTTTAGGATCAAAACCTCTTCGACCTGCTCTACCAGATATTTGTTGGAAATACATTTTCAACATAAACATAGAGTTGTCAGCGATTACTGATGTTTTGCATGGCATTGAAATACCATAACTTAGAGTACCAGTTGCAATGGCTACAGGTAATAATTTCATACGATACAACTTTTCCACTTCCTGTAACAAGAGGGCGTCTACTGAATTGTGATGCATGCCAACTCCAAACCTTAATGACAACATTAATAACTCTACGTCATCTTGAGGTAAAACTGTCGTTAAACTAAATTTCTCGTTTTGATAATACTTTTTTACATCTTCTCTTTTTGAGCAGTTCTTTTGCTCGTCATCACAACAAGCAACTGATAACAATCCTTTCAGATATCGCGATACTATTTCATAGTCAATAAGGTCTCTTCGTTGCACGTCTAATTCAGTGCTAGAAGTACTCACTACCTTAAGCAATGGAATCTCAATAATATTGCTCGCAGATTCGTTCTTATCTTTTGAATGTTGTATGTATCGGAGTCCATTTTGTTTCAAGATATCAATAAGACCTGTTAAATGATGCTCATTAACAAATTCAATTCTAACATATGCCTCAATAGGCTTGTGTGAAATATATGATTGCAGATTTCTCTTTTGGTCATTTGTCAACAAAGATTCTCCAGTAATGATACAATATTCAATGATAGAGGAAACCATGCTCTTGATACCAGATTTATCAAAATGAAAAACAAGAGCTGGTAGCATTTGATGATACTTCATGTATACGCATAAGTGAGGTATGGCCTCATATAACGACTCTTTGGTAGTGTCATGATCAATTCTATCAAAGGCCTTCAGAACAGGCTGTAATAGTTTGTTATGTAAACATGACATAAATTCTGGGTCTGTTTCTTGCAGTTCTGACATTTTTTGCAACACATACTTTCTGTAAGAAGAATAGCCATTGGAAGAAAGAACTTCTAGCTCATCGAATAGAGGAATGTTTTCATGAGAGCATGTATAATTTTCAAAAAGGAGTTCTGAAAGGGGATCATTCTTTCGATTTAGCTCTTTTGTAAGTAATTGAGAACATTCTAATAGCTCTATGCATTGGTCTTTTGACATTTCTGGAATGAATGAAAGGGCTTCCTTTTTTTCAAGTGATTTCTCGTCCAACACTGTCAATGGATGCATTCTTGTGTGAGTATAGAATTGGGGTTCTTGATCACTAATGCTGTGATAAAAATAATATTCAAGGGGCTGAAGTCGCTCCACAACAGAGGCACTACCATCATCTTTCAATTTTGGAACAATTTCAATTTCGGTATTATGGTTTTTTCTTTGGCTTCCAAGGTTTGACAGCCATCCCTTAAAATGCAAAACATTTCCAATCGATGCACTCAATGCAATGAAAGGACATCTAAGATCGTCAATAATTCGTGGTAAGGTCGGTGCTCAATATACACCACAAAAATTCAACTACATACCTTATTAATGATAAAATATGTTCCCATTGCCTACCATTGGATTCATCAGTAATTAAATGAATTTCGTCTAGTACTACATAAGCTAACGTTTCTCTCAATTCAAAATTTGAATAGTGGAGAAGTAAAATTTCTAACATGGCAGCATTGGTAACAAGTACCCTACACTTCATTGTGTTCACACGTTGATCTGCAGTAAACACGCCTACAATGTCGGCCTGACCTTCCTCGTTTTCAAACTTATTTAACACTTCGGCATAAATTTGATTACAAAGAGCATTAGTAGGCACAACGAATACAACCTTGTCTGTCTTACTATTCTTCAAAACTCTCTCAATCAAATACATGGTAATGAACGTCTTTCCACTGGATGTTGGTGTTGTCACCAGGAGAGATTTCTTTTTTTCACTATTGCTATCCATGTTGTGGTTGATGTATTCGATAACTTCTTTTTGCCATGGGTCAGGTTTGAATTGCAATACAGTTGTCATTTTCTTTCCATATTGATTACTGTGTTCATATATCTTTGGGAATAGCTGAGGAATGTAATTTGGGGACATGACATCCTTAAATTGAAGCTTCTTGAAACGAATTAAGATGTTGTCCAGGTCAGTGATGGTCATACATTGAAATTGCAATCTCAACCCTTCTTTGATCATTGATTCTTCCTTCTTATACACCGCTCGCACAATAGGATATAAGAATTGACATTGTAATATTATCGAGAAGAACTTGTTCAAGACAACTCGATGCCTCAAATACGAGTAGATGACGTTTGCCTGCTGCTTTGGTTTTCTAGCTTTTTCAATTAACCCATAAAAAGCACGAGAATGAAGAATGGCCGATATTTGCAAATTTGAATTCTCTGGTTTTTCATTCACTTCTTGTGTAAGTAGCTCTAAATGAGTCAATAATGCGTCAATGATTAATTTTAGAAGTTTTGCTCTATTCTCTGCTTTTTCAACTGTAAACTGTCTATCATCAAGATATTGAATACGTATGTTAGAAACCCATGTTTCAAACATACGGGTTATGAAAATATACAAAAGCTCACTGTTCAGTGTTGCAGATGAAGAGTTCTTAAATTGACTCAAAATCTTTCTCATTTCATCGATTACATCATTGGTTATATGGTGTGCTTTTGCAGCTTTGACATCATCCAAAAAAACCTTTTCATTCCGTTGAAAGCTTCGAGAGTATTGAGATAGGGACTCTTTGATTCGCAGCGAGTACAAACTACTGTCGTCTTGTTCTTTGTCATCAACCAACAGTCTTCTGGACTTCCAATGAGTTGAATCCGTTTCAACCATTGATGTGAACGAGTTGGAATTACCACAATTATCACCGCTTGATGTCGCTGGCTTAATATTTTGCTGCACTATGTTGTCACTCTCTTCAATGCTATACTCACTGACGTGTAAATCTTTAAAGAGACGATTTGCAAGTGAGTTATTCACAATAGGGTGAACCTTATGTTCGGGTTGATTTTCTGGAAGTTGGGACCTCCCTGATAGGTTAACAATTGGATGACATTCGTGGTTAGAATCACTCAAATAATTTTCCAATAACGGCTCAACAAACTCCCTAACAAACAATTCGTATTTGGGATGAACAACACATATCTGCTTCCAATCTGGCTTTTGATTCGCAAAGAGTAATAGCAATGTTTTCACCATCAATCTTCCGTCGAATAGATCAACAATTGCCTTATCAGAAACCTTTTTTTGTAGACCTTTCAGTACAATTACCAATTCCTTGTACAAGTGTTGTTCTACAAATTTAGAGTAATCTTCCATGAAGAAAATCTCATCATTACCTGGTAATTGGAATGCTCTGTCTTGAAGATCCAACTCAAACACAAGTAAAGTTGACACCAATAGCACAGATAAAAACAAGCTGTAGAGAGCAGAATCTGAAACTTTGGGTTGGATTCGTCTCACTGTGAGCAATAAAATTACTAGTCGATCTCTTTGAAAAGTTTCAAGATATGTATACTTGTTCAAAAGTTCTTCAATTGGCATAAATTCGTCAATAATTTCTTGGTGCTCATTTTCAGGGCAATGAGAGATCGTTTCAATTCGGCTGATCGCATTTGCAAAGCACGAACACTCCAAAGAAGTGCGAAAGAATGTACTAGAGACATATGAATAACAAGTATTGGGACCAAAGTCTAAACCGTCACCTACAACACGTCCCACATAGATACACAAAGACTTAAATAGATTGTCGTTAGATTGAGCAAGGGTAAATCCTGGTTCTCTTTGCTTCAAGAGCTGAATAAATTTTTCATCACACATGTTCTTGAAAGTATGACAAATAAAGCCATTGTTGTTCAAGTAAATTCTGAGTAATTCTTTCAACAGAGGTTTCCATTTTGGAGGTTCTACGTGCTCAAGGGACACTTTAACAGACACCTGAGATTTGGACATGTCGTCTTTGAGAATTTTCATGCCTTCTTTCATTGAACAAGTAATTGGTGGTTCAGATTGTTGAGATATTACCATTCCCTCACTGATCCAAGTATAGACTTCATCTTGCTCAAAAAACAAAAATTCAACTTTCATTTGCAAATCATTCATGCGTGACGCTAACTTGAAGAAATTCCAAAACGCATGAAGAATTTGACCACCATGATACATGTCAGTTTTAGAATTTGCCATTTGATCAATCATGGCATTGACATGAAAGAAGCTCAAGTCTCTACCCTGACATTTGTCAATGATATCCGTGTAACGACAGCTCGCGAACAAACCTCTGTACAATTTTTCAAATTTAGCTCCATTCATTTCTAAATAATCATCATTGCTTGAATCATGTTCGGAATGATGATGATCATCATCATTCTCCTTCAAAAGCGAATTCTGTTGTTGTTGTTGATGATCAGAGGCAAAATCATCTTCGATTAACAGCGAGATGGATGCTGAGCCAGTATCGTTGGAGAGCATCACGAATTTTTTTGACGTTATGATGAGTAGTTGATTGGAATTCTGATGATAAATGACGATACCTCCGAAGGTTGTTATTTACTTGTTAAACTTGAACGTTGTAATATTTTCATCCTTTGCAAAACATGATCAACAAAGGCAAACATGTTTCTGCGTGTGCTTGTTGTTCAGAACAGCCATTTTTCTCTTCATGACGAGAAACGCGCCAAATTTTTCTTTTTAACAAAAAAAATGTCTTCTCAAGGAAACGGCAATGATGACTCTCACATGATCGATGATGATCAACAGCAAGAGGGAACAGCAACAACGCCAGGCACTCCATCAAGCAGAAAAAGCATAGACCCTCTTAAACTCACGGTCAGAGAGTTGAAGAGTATTCTCAAAGATTACGTCGAGTTACCACCCGAACAACAAAAGAAGGCTTACTATGTAGATTTGTACAACAAATATGTTGTAAATGCTACTGGAGATGCTACTACTCCTGCATCATCGGATAAGAAACGTAAATCCGATGCTGTGGAAAATATTGCCTCTGATGATGAAGAGGAGAGCCAAGAACCAGAACACAAAAAAGTTAAGCCAACATCACAGTCTCCACAAAACGAGTTTCAACAAGCAAGTCAAGCAAAATCACCAGCTGCAAGTAGTAGCGAGATCACTTCAAATGTTGAAGTTACGAGAAAAACAAAATCATTGGCTCCTTCCGATCTTCCACAAAAACCAAGCGAGGAAACACCAACTACAAATGCAGCTAATAGAAGAAAAACTGTTGGTACTGCTGCATCTTCGTCAGGCCGTTCAACACAACAAATGATTTACAGAAAAAAAACTAGCGAAATTAATCCAAAGTTGTTCCAAACAACTCCAATATCAAGCAGAATTTCTGTTTCATCTCCTTTTGTTCACGACAATGCAGAGGGCGTAGATCCAAGACCAAGCGAAGTGGAAAGCAGCTCATCAGTGAGACAAGTCCTACTTAGTACCTTCATGTTACTTGTTTGGTCTGTACTATTCTTCTGCATTTATTTATTCTTCTTTGGACAAAGAGATCCTCATTTGCCTTATGGAGGTGTCTACTGCAATTCTGAAGACGGTCTTCTCAGATTGAAACCTGAGGAAGGATGTTTACCTTGCCCTGATTATGGCTATTGTATTGGAGGAAGACTACTCAAGTGTGACGACGGTTATATCATGAAAAACGCTGTTTGTGTGAAGGATGAAAGAATTCCACTTGCTAGTATTCAACTCATTAATGATCTACAAGCCGAGTTGTCAAGTTTGGCTGGAAAATACGAATGTGGAGAAGCAAAACAAAAGACAAAACGATTGGAAGACGTCAAAAAGTCTCTTGCAACAAAGCCATATGCTGTCGGACTAGATGAAAATTTGGTGATGGACCAAGTCGCTCAGCTCATCAAGAGCTCTCCTGAAAACTTCCAGCTTGTAATTTCTGAAGAAATAATTGACAATTCTGACGGAAAAGTTTCAGTAATTTATTCAACCAATCCATCTCTTCCTTTCCAATGCAGAGTGTCAAAAACTGTAACGGAAAATAAGGGAGTTATTGGTACTATTCTGATTTTGGCCATTTTTGTTGTCATTGGAAACGTAATCAAGAAGAGAGTTGACAAGGAACGAGTAGATTTCGAAGACCTTGTTAGAATTGCATTGACAAGAATTAAGGAAAGATCTGAGATTATTGTTGAGCACTTGAGAGATGAACTCAAGGAAGACTATGGCGACCAAATTAACGTGGACAAGTTGTGGCCAAAAGTTGAAGACTTCCTTAGTCAAGACACTCGCATCAGAGAGGCTCCAGCTCAACAAGGTAGAGCTTATGCTTGGAATGTCATTGACAATCAATCAACACCAAGAGCTTCGACACCTTCAGAATAATTTTGCTTACCATCCTCTAGGATTACCCATTACAAAGTAACTTATATATTAAATAAAGAAGAATCATCATGTTTTGAAAAATCATACAGTTTATTTCTCATCTGTGAATGCTTGGACATCGCCCATAGCAAATAAGAAAGGAGCGATTTGGATCAGAAGATTCTTGTTTCTCTCGAAATCTTTTTCTATTTGTTCCAGCCGTTGTGATGACTGTTGGAATCGTTCTTGTCTCAAATCACTGCTCAGCATGCTCACCAAGTCACATAGATTCAGGCATTGATCGAGCATTGTTAACAGTGGAATAATGAGTTGTTTCTTGTTTAAAAAGCATCTTTGATGTATCTTTGCAATGCATGTTTGGTGTAAACGTTTGGCAGTTTCAAAGTCTTTGGTTTCCTTAATTGACTTCTCCATAGCCAAAAATTCTCCTTCGATTACCTCTGTGTGTAAATAAAATTGTAGACTATTCACAAAATTTGCCATTTTCGATCGCAATAGCAACGTCCATGATAACTCTGAAAATGTTGTCGAGCTTCTATTTCTTGTGAGAGGAATCCAGGAAGCTGTTAATTTGTGTTGAACTCGTTTGCAAGTGAGTAAAAATTTGAAAATTTCATTGTACATTTCCTTCAAATCATCTGTGAAGAATAAATTGAGTGGCCATCCCACATTAAATTCGAGAGTAATTTCGTTGGGCCATTGTTTAGATCGAAGTAAGTCGTACTTGTTAGAAGTGTCAGTTAGGGATATTTTGTTGTATGAAACTGTATAATGATCTAGAAATTTGTAATTATCTGCAGAGCTTTTGAGAGAAGATTGTTTGAAAATATTCTTCAAATCTTTGACCAAGTGTTGAGGAGTAAGTGGTTGACTAAAAATTCTGTCGGACTCTTCAATAAAGCACAAGAAAAAGTCTCCCATTCCAATAAAGAACAAATCTCGAACTGATTTGATATAACCTAGCAAGTCACAATCCATCACTACTAAATTCCATAAATGTGTGCCTACAGTGATTCTTATCTTGTCGATTGTGAACTCAAAATTGAAAGAGTTGTATTTCCTAGCTGTTTCATGTATTTTCATGGCCTCCTTGAACCCGATAAGCTCTTCGTTTGGAAGCTTGTATTGTCTATCTGTTTTAGAAATGTTGTTGAATGTTTGTAAAATCTTGATTGCTTTTCCAATGAACAGAATTTTGTTTGCTACTCGTAGAGAGATGTAGGAAGGTATCTGATTCGTTTTAAGAACGTATTGCTTATTCCAGACATCATTTGTTTTGAATAGCTCTTCCTCGAGTTGTGACGTGTTTGGTTGCGATGATATTTCTTCACAAACGAAAAATTCGCTATGGTTCGAAATGATGCCATAAATCATCCATGCTGAAATTTGCTTCATCAGCACCACATTGCAGTGATAGAGTAATCGGTTAATAGAAGCCTCAATAATTGGTATTCCAGAAAATGTGGAATTATATAGAAAATCCAATAACTTTGCTCCACTCAAGTTCTCAGCCTGCACTTGTTTCACGATGTCCAGCAAATGTGGAAATATGATTTCATAATCTCGTAATAATTGTTTCAAGTAAGTGAGTGGCATTATGGCACCTGTTGAATTATTATTTTGCTGCAAAGTCTGAAACGATGATGAAGGGATAGAGAAGGGATGTAGGGATGAGAATGATGAATTCTCACCACCAATCTCATATGAACTCATCTCCTCTTCCCAAATACAAAATTCTTGTTCAGCCTTTGTTAAAATTCTCAAGTATCCCTCCAGTATTTCCTGTAAACCCTGCTTTAGAGCCAATATATACAACGACCCACTCGAATAATGGGTCATAAAATCCGACAGCTTTTTGTAATAAAATCCCATTTGGCATAGTTGTTGTATGGTGTTCTTTTCCGATTCATGCAAGAAGGGTAATTGATCATCCAAATAAAATCCCTCTCGTTGTTGTATATTGGTTGTAATTTGATTGGCATGAGTATTTCCATTCCGTAAGAATGATGATGACGATGTGGAAGAGTCCATAGAGTGTTGAGAAGAGGAGGATGGCTCCGACATTGCGGAAACGTGTACAATAATGTCGCCAGAGAAGCCTGAAAGTGCCAGTAAGAGCTCGTGAAGCATTTTTTGTTGTTGGAAAGGAGATGGCAAAAGCAGCAACCACTACCCCAAGTGAGGGTTTCAGAACTCTTGTCCTTAGATGGAACGGTTTATAAATTACCTTTACCAATTTCCTTACTACAAAGCCAGGTTGTTCAGTCAATGAAAATTCGCATACAGAAGAACCCAAAGAATAAAAATAATAACAAAACCCAAGAACCAGGAACTAAAAAAGTTCATCATGGTGGCTCTAGAGGTGGTTGATGGAGAATCCCAGCTTCAAAATCGCCGCAGTCAAGTGCGCTCAAATTTCAAACGGACGCGATCACCTCAAGTTTAAAAAATCGACATCGTTTTTGGCTTTAAGCAAAAAAATAATACAACAACAATCTATTCTTTCATACCCAACATGGTTCATAAAGTTGATACACTCCAAGAACTCAAGGACAAGATTAAGAATCACAGTGGTCTCGTAGTGATTGATTTCTTTGCTGAATGGTGTGGACCTTGCAAGAGAATTGCTCCAAAGATTGAAGAATGGGCCAAGAAATATGAATCTGTCTTGTTCTTGAAGGTTGATGTGGATGTTAATGATGAAGCTGCTTCTGAGTATGCTGTTGAAGCCATGCCAACATTTGTTTTTGTGAAGAACGGATCAAAGATTGAAACTGTGGTTGGAGCCAATGAATCTGCTCTTCTCAACTTGATCGAAAAGAACAAGTAAATGATGTATTTGAAATTAAATTGTGATATTTGCTTCCTTTAATTATTAATAATATCCAATCGATAGTGAATATTGTTGAATATTTCGATAGTAGGATCATCACGAATTTTCAAAAATCGAAAATATTTTCAATTCCTATGCGCACCAAGAATAGGATGCATTTCTCGTTTTTATTATTGCTGATTAGATTCTTGATAATGTTTCTTTCCTTGTTCTAGAGCAATCTTTCCTCCTTCGTAAGCCACTTTTCCAGCTACTTTGGCACCTTTCGCAGCTCCTTTCAATAAGGTCATAAAACCACTCGCAACTTTTCTTTGCACTTCCTTGTCTGTCGCTGCCTTAGCGATGTAGTGGCCAACCTTTTGTTGCACTTCCTTGTTGCCGACTGTGTTGGCTACCACGACACCTACTGTCTTTTGTACACTCTCATTGGTAGCCAAGGATCTGACCATGGAATTGTCGGTTGAGGATGCTATAGCCTCACCAACATTTCTCTGTACCGATCGATTGGTGGATGCTGTGGCAACACCTGTAGCAACCATTGATTGCACATGCTCGTTTTGTGCCATGTTGGCTACTTGATTTCCAACAGCTGTTTGAAATTTGTCATTATTCACAACATTGCCGACCGTGCTGTACATGACTGAATTGGATCGTTGTGGTTGTTGTTGTTGAGGTACTGGAGGAGGAAGAGGTTTCTTTGAGGGTACTGTTGGAAGTGATTTGCGATTACCACTTTGATTTTCGTATTGAGGTTGTTGTTGTTGATCATACGGATTAAGGGGAGGTGCTGAAGGAGCATTGTATTGTTGTTGTTGCTGTGAAGATTGTTGTTCAAGAAGTTGTGTGATTTGAGACATGAGATTATTCAACTCTTTTTTCAATTGTTGACATTTCTATCGAGTTTTGTGGAATTTGACGTCATGACGAGCAAAGAATGATATTGTCACACGTAAGATTGGTAATTACTCACCTCCACATTGTAGTTATATTCATCCTTATTGGAACTGACTTGAGGATGTTTGGCCAATCGCTGAATCAAAATTTCGAATGCCTTTATATTCACATATGCATTCTCCAAGTCTTGATTCTTTTTGAACTGGCCTGCTTGTCTAATGAGGTTGGCTCCGAATTGAAAATAATCTTGGATGGATCTGTTGGAGTCGATTTGAGGGACCGATTTTTCAGCCTTTTCGATAATCGAAGTAATTGATTATCATAGAATTGAATAAGTATCGTGAGGATGCAATAAATCAGCGGTTTGATGAAACAGAGAGGTCAGTAATAATGATGAACAAGCCCATCGGAGTTAGCCATTATAATCCTTGTCAATATTCTTACCTTACTATTTAATTGTTCAAATTTGGTCGTACTTGGATTGCTGCTTGAAAACCAACTGAACATTCTTAGGGATTGTTTTGGTAAAGAACTTGGTAAATTACAGGAATGAGCTATTCAACGAAATCCGATATTATCTTTACAAGCTAACTTTAAGTGCGGCGGAGAAAGGAGCAAAAAGTTCCTCGACAAGGTGATGAAACGTGCAGCACTTATCTATTTTTTTTTTACTTTGAACTTGTGTTGAAATGGAGATGATGATCTCTTTGAACTTGTTCTTATTGAACAGCATCATCGTCATCATTCTCTGCATGATGATCATCTTGGTCTTTGAGAGGACACGACGCAAAGCATGTAATTTTGTACTCCTCCGATCGGTACGATGGAACGTTATAATTGATTTCAGCTTCTGATGTTTTGGCAACCTTGGCATACGAGATGTAAGTCGTGAGAGTACCCAATTTCAAGTTATCTCTGTTGCATGCCTCTGAAGTGTCTTCATCATCGCTTTCTTGGTCACTCTCCTCTCCAACAATACTACATTTGATTTCTTCAGCATGGGTTTGATCGAATAGGGAGGCCTCAAAGAAAATTTGAGCATTTTCTCGTTTCAGCAATTGACGTAAATCAATGAACGCCACAATTTCATCCTTTGTGAGATATTTAGGTCGTAGTGCAATTTTTAAAATTCGTTCCTTTTCAAGGAAGGTATTCAAGTTGTCTCTTGAAGCAGAAAAGAACGTGGAAGTCTCAATGTGAAACACAAGAGGTCCCTCTGAAAATAATTGAAAGCTTTCATATTCCTTTTTCAAAACGCCAAAGAAATCAATGCTTAGTATCCAACATTCATCCACAGTTGATTTTAAATCCTTGATGGTCACCTGATTAATGGACATTTCCCACAACACTTCATCTTGCGCATATTGAACACGTGCTTCAATCGGTGACCGTGTGGTAGCCACATCATGAGGCGTCACAACTTCCTTTTGATTCACATTTGAGGTAAACATATCTAAACCTGCTGGTTGCTTTTGTGGTGGCTCTAACCATGCCAGAGAGGCTAAATCTTGAGCGGTGAGAGGAGACACTGAGTAGTCCAGTGGATCATGATTTGGTGATGAACCGTGATACACCACTCGTGGTCCTGAGCTTTGGGGTCTCTTCTTGAGATTACCAATTTGCTTGGCATACGACGGCACAGGTTGTTTCGTAAGTTGAGCACTTTGAGAAGCTCTTCTCGTGAGTGTTTGTGATGGTGTAGCAGGTCTCTTGGTAAACGTGGCAGAGAAAGGACGTCTCTCACCCGTTCCGCTCGTATTCACAAGAGATGCAGATTGTGGCCTTCTTGCTGAGAGTGGCTTTTGTTCCTCTACTTGAGAATCTTTGTTTGTTTTGAGGGTTGGAATGAGTTCCATCCATTCCTCTGGAAGTGGATCAGCTGTGTAAAAATCGGAGGGAGGAATGAAAACACCAGGAATCCACTCTTGAAGTTTGATGTGACTAACATCTTTCGTGCTCATTTGTACAAATCCTAGAGTGGCTCTTAATGAGCACAATTTCAAACCTGTTGCAGAGAATAAGACCATGTAGTCCAACTTATCGAGGAGACCGCTTTCGAATTGTCTCAAATGCAGTACAGCCTTTCCAATAACTTCGCTGGTATTGACACATAAATCAACTCTTACTTCACGTTGTGTTTTCAAAAATTGACGAAATTGCTGTTGGTTTTTCACAAAAAAGTAAAACACTCGTAATTTTCCAACAGCAATCTTCTTCTTTAAATCAATGTCCTCCATTTTGATCGGTACCAATAATTCAGTGTTGAAAATGGTCATTTTGAGGTGTATCTTTTTTGAATATAGTAGAATATCAGGAATATTTCTCACTTCTATTAGTAGAAATTAAATTTAAGAGCCATTCAAATGTTTACATTCAAATTTAACACTCCACTTACCATTCAAATATACAATAAATCGATACATTTGTAAGGTTTTTGGTTGTTGATGGTCTTCATGAATGAGAATTCGTTTCTGTTTGGAAAGCTTATGTTGTAGAGATTCAATAATAGACGCGTCGTCATTGATCTTTTTTGTGACAGGTATTCCAATAGCTTTTGCAAATTCAAGTTCTACTTTGGCGAGCTTTTGCTCTTGAATGTACATGTCAAAGCTAATTTGCGAATATTGACACTGTACCAGCATAACAAAATTATAAAGAAACTTACCAAGGTTTGCAAACCTTATATTCTTGATACCAGCTGGAGGTCTCTGTCAATCCTTTAAACTCTGGGCGATCAAACCACGCCAGTTTTACAGCTCTTCGTTTTAAGTGTTGCTCCGTTGCATAGATCATCTTTAAAGTCATGGAATAGTTCAATTCACTTGGTGGGAATAAATTAAGACACATTTTACACTCTTTACACCTTAAATAAGCACTTCGTGATTTTACAGTTTTTTCTTCAAATGATTCTTCTTCGAACGATGTTGGGCGCTTTGAAGCTGTTTTTTCTTCCAATGTGAACGCTTTCACTTGAATGAACCAATATCGTCCGCTATCATCTCGAATAAAGTCAGCAGCCAAAGATTCAAATTTACATTTCAAATTTGGTAAACCCTCTAAATATTTTACAAGTGATCGAATTTGCTCCCCTAACTCTCGCAACGCCGCTGTTTTAAGCTGAAATATATCGATATTGTTGACATTCTCCGTGCTTGTTAAGAGACGATTTGAAGGTTCCTTTTCTGACATGTCTGTCGTTGTTTTGATATTGCTAATGACATAACCAGAAACTGGTTTGTTGCAACTCCAAAGTATTCTTGCAATAGAGGCTTTGGCTCCACAAGATTTTACATATCTCTGATAGGCACAAATGCCTGTGGTTTGAGTATCCAGAACAGTCATTAATTGCTTCACGCTAAGCAAAGTTGCTGCATTGCTTGTGACCTCTCCTGTCACGGTCTGATTTCAAAGAATAATCACCATGATATATTCGAAAAATCTTTTTGAAATTTCTCTACTTACCCTCTTCATCACTACTGCAACATCCGTATCTGAGGTGGTACCAAATGTCAATTTTTGTTTGATCGTTTTGTAAGAAATATTGTCAGCTCGGGCCACGAATCCATCATTATCCGTATAGTACAAGACTGGATTTTCTGCAATTCCGTAAACAACTGTGTAAGGTATTGAAAGTCGTAATTTGGATTTCGTGACAACGTTTTGCTGATCTGAAGGAATAGCCTTTACCGGAACTAGATGTTTAAAAAAATGTACCAATGGTTTTAGAGCATGATTGGATTTGTAAATTGCTTGATATTTCGGATCCGAGAAATTCACTTTTTCCAATAATTCCTTTTGTTTTTTAATTTTAATTTCCGAAAGATGAGACGACCTTTTTGTTCGGAAATCGTCATCTGTGTGATCTGCAATATCATTGGTTCTGATATCATCAAAAATCGTTCATGAATTAATAGATATATATTTGACGTATTGAATCGTAAATTGAAAAAGACATTTTCGAATTTGAAATTTGTCAAATATGAATCTTTTCGCCAAAGTCAAACATACAGGAAGGGATAGGTGAAGATTTCTTCATCTATTTTTTTATCCATCTCCGCTTCGACTGGCTCTGCCAACCTTATTTTCCGAACAGGTTTTTCATTCGCTTCAGCCCTTTGTTTCGATCTCTGATACGATCGAGAAACTTTATCAATTAATGATGCCAGTTCAATGGGTTCATGATTTTTGCCACCAGACATTTTTTTCGCGCGTATTCGTATTACAAAATTATGGCGGGTGAAAATCATTCTTAACGGGCAATCAACAATGATCTTTTGTTTGACGATGATGAGGAGACTGCTCTTGAGTGATCCGAAACGAGAAATAATTCATAATACATATATTTGTAATGTTTAATTATTCTAAGGCCAATACAATTGAGAAGATTAGAAATCATCAGTGTCACCGCTGTTACTTGAAATGTCATTGGATAGAGATGGAGAAACATCAAGGATTGAATCTACTGCAGTAGCAGCAACAGAAGAACCATGCTCTCGCACATATTCTGCAATCAACGTTTTCAAGAGTTGATTGATGCGAGAAATATTCACTCCTTTCACAACTTCAACAAGACTTCCTCCCTAAATTATTATTCCATGAATTGAACATGTCGTAAAAGGTCAATATATGATTACATTCCACCTTGGTTAAATTCATTCATGTCTAATTTTGAGCTTACCTTGTAGAACAAAAACGTGGGACGTGATTTTCCTTTCAAAGACTCAATCAGAGGTACCCATTGAGATCGTTGAGTATCGTCCTTATTGTTGTTATTGTTTTGAAATTTCTGGGGAGATTGATTGGAATGATTTGGTGAATTATTTTGTAAAGATGCTCCTGCTGACTCACTCGACTCAACAGTACTGGAATCATGATTGAGTATAGGCATAGTAGCCGTTATGATGTCTTGATTCATACTATGATTCATGCTCGTATTGTTGCTGTTGCTGCCATTTGTATCGAGTGTCGGCCTCTCTAATGCACTCTTGGAACCAGTTCTCATTAAGGATTTGCTAGAATTTCTTCGGAGAATCGAGTGCTTGGCATGTTGTTTTTCGACAGGTTCCTCACGAACACTCTGAATGATCAGATCGGAATTGAGGCACACAAAGCTCATCGGACATTCTTCGTTGCTCTCCAAGTAGTATTTTTGAAAATAGGGAGTGATGACTTTGCATGATCCTACCCAATCAGCAAAAACGTCAACGATCAATAGAGTTCCATTTTGTTTGCTTTTACTCAATTCCTTTTCAAATTCTTTGTGATTTTGAACTTGTAGTTGAAATTCAATTTTCGTCGAGGAATGTTTTTGCATTTTTTAGCTTCCTTTCATACAACAAGACGAATCAGAACGAACGGCACTGTTGGCGAGGTCACACGGTACATGTTACGCCAAGTAGTTGTCCAAAAGCAAATGAATGAAGTAAATGCTTTACCAAAACTTGCGTTTTATTCTTGTAATAATTAATAAAAAATTAAAGCAGCAAAATTATTGCTTGAAAGTCTTCAAAATATTCAATCTGATCTTCATGGCATCGGCTCTCTCACCAGAAACAGAACCTGCTCCCAAAATCTTTTCAACTCTAGCAATTTCTGCATCAACATATTCAATTCCCTTCTCAATAACACGAGCCATGGCCTTAATATACAAGTCACCATTGGCGTGAACAGAAGAATTGAGAGTCTTGAGTTTTTCCTCAGCTTGCTTCATAATTTCCTTTCTTTCCTCGTTTGTGGAGGCAGAGACAAAGCTCTTAACAAATGAAGCCAAGTTGTAAACAAGACCAGCAGTGTCAGACAAGGATCCTTCAACAGTACGGAAAGTTCCAGCCTTTTGATTCAAAAAATCAACCATGGGTTGAGCCTCACGACCTGCATTGTACTCTTCAGCTTGCTTGTCAGCCTTGGCAGGGAAGAATTTGAGTGTTGGATATCCCTGAACACCATATTTTGAGGCAAGATCTCTGTACTTGTCGCTGTCAACCTTGGCAACCACAACATTCTTCTCGTTAGCGAAAGCCTTGGCGACCTTTTCATAGTCTGGAGCCATCTTTTTACAATGTCCACACCATGGAGCATAGAATTTAACCAAAACATTCTTCTCTGGATTAAAAACAACGCTATCAAAGTTTGATGGACTGAGGTCTTCAACAAAGGTTGGTTCCTTGGAAACTCTCAATCTAGCGCTTGGTTCCTTTGAATTAATAAAGTCAATAAGAGCTTCCACACTTCTTCCACTGTTGTAATCGGTTGGCTCCTTGGTTCCACGAGGGAAGAATTTGAGTGTTGGATATCCTTGAACGCCATACTTGCTACAAATATCCCTCTCAACATCACAATTAACTTTAGCAACAGAGACCACTGCTGGCTTGGCCTTGATCAAGGCTTGTCCGAGCTTGGCCATCTCAGGAGCAAGGTTTTTACAATGTCCACACCATGGTGCGTAGAATTCAACAAGTACGCTCTTGCTTCCATCAAGCACGGAATCCACATTCGAGCTGGAGAGATCAATGATACCCTCCATGGAAGCCTCTGGAGTATCAGCACGGACGACGGAAGAACCAACAAAAACTAGAGCCAACAAGGCCGAAAGGAGAGCGATGATGAATAATTTTCTCATTTTTTTGTTTTACAAAATAATTTCGGAACACGTGTTGTCGATATCCAATTCTATTATATTAGATTAATTTACATATCTAATGAATACAGTGAGACAAAAAAAGCAAAAGGATGAAAATTGCATCAACATCTTGTAAGATGAAAATTAAAAACTTTGCCGACACCAGGGATCGAACCAGGGACCTTAAGATCTTCAGTCTTACGCTCTCCCAACTGAGCTATGTCGGCTTCTTATTATTTGTTATCCTCTTAAAAATTTAACACCAATACAATTTCTGGTGCTCTGTTGGTCAAGGTTGGTGAATCGTCGCTTGGTCGACCAATTCCACTACAACTTACGCCAAAGAAAATGATGGCTACGCTCTCCAACCAATCAGAAAACACTGCCGGATCGAAAAAAATTTGAGAGCTTATTTTTTCTGTGAACAACAGCACACGACCAATTTTTCGATCCCACACATCGTTCTTCATTTATTTCTTTGCTTTCTTCGTCGAGCCAGAGCATGTGCAGGTTCAACTCTCTTGGCCTTTGCAACAGGTATCAACATGCCTTCTGTTCTCGCTGTTTCGTCTTCCAAATATTGATTCAAATTACTTCCTTCAGGCACAACCCGATTCAAGGTTGAAATGGTGTAGTGTTGGTAGTCTTTAGGTACGGTCACACATTGGTCCGAACAGCTATGATTTTCAAATACAGTTGTGTCTTCCTCTCGATAACAAAGTTGTTGAAGAATAGATTCATCATCGTTCACCTTCACAGTGTAATCGGAAGCAATTTCCTGCTTTCTCTTTTCCTTGAATCTCTTTGGCTGGCAAAGCATGAACGTGTTTGGAAGAACAGTGGAAAGAAAAAGTATTCTCAACTTTCGGAACAAAACCTGAGCCAATAGCTTTCCTTTTTGGCCAAGTTTAATGGTAGAACGAACACCGGTAGGTATTGGTTTCTTACAAAATGTCTCCATCAATAAATCCTTGTTATCATCAACATTGTCTCCGAGAGCTGACCGAACTTTGATTCCGTTTGATGAAAAATGTTCAAGATAGTCTCTAGTATTGGACAAAATATAATCATAATAGGAATAGGGAGTGCCACCACCTTTGCTTGATGCTCCTTCTATTGATTCCTTCTCTTCAAGATGATTGCTTTCGAATGCTTGAGTTTCAAATTGCTTTACATTTCTGACTCTTCGCTTGAGAGCTAAAAAATGTTTCGCTAAGATATGAGCATACCAACATTTACCTTGGAATCCTTGAGCAGCAGCAACATAAATATTCCAAAACAACGATAATGATTCCGAAATGACTTGATCCGATGCATTCTTGTCAATATTATTCAACAAGCATTTCAATGCGTCCCACAACATTTGTGTTTGTTCCTTCTCGAAAAACGGAGACATCACTCCAACATTGTTCAGAAGAATGTTGCATGTGTTTCCATGAAGAAACATACGAACATCATTCCATTCTTCGTCTTCAACTTTCTGTAAGCCTTCAAGTCCCTTGATTTTAATAACAGCATCCCAAAACTTGTCTTTCTCCTTAACACCACTCAATGTTATTCTCAAAACATTTTCACACAGTCGTTCCTTTGCATGAAGGACGCAAATAATAATATTGCATGCAGGTAGTCCAAGAATACAGCCCAATGAATCCTCTGTTCTGGGTTTGTGGTTTTTGCAACATATTGGACTACATGTGTCGCAGTATGGGCACCACGATCCTTGTTTCACTCCAGGACAGACCACACCTAACGCTTTCAAATCCATCGTTAAAAACACATCAATGGAGCAATGATTCGATTCGATTGTTATTCCGTGCTTCCGAATAATCTCAATTTCCTTTCGGGAATGATCTGCCACATGAATGAATTCACTCTCATCTCCAGACCAAATTGCAAGTGGAACGCATATAGCTCGAGATTGACCTGTTCCGAAGCATTTGCTATTGATCACAGTAATGGTCAAAGTAGTCAGTTTTGAATTGGCAGCATAATCAAGGTTCAATGCAACAATTAAATCCTTGTTATCGATTTGATCCTCTTTACAAAGTTGTATCTGCTTTTTCTTCATAAAACCAATCCACTTCTTGTGCTGCAACACATAACAACATACAGTGGGGAGAATTGAGTGATAAATGATTTTTCGATCTCCATCTAATTCTTTAACCTTTACATTAAATATGTCAGTGCAGATTAAGTCTGTCGTTGATTGTGCATGCAATAAGGTAGGTGAGGGTGTTAAATTTTTGACATGTCCTTCTGTTCGAAGTTCGTCCACGGCCTTATTAGAAATCACTTTTCGGTTTTTAACAAGAACTTGCTTTAAAGTATTTTCTTTCAATTTGAAATGTCTTGCACTAGTTTTTTTCTTGTTTTGGTTATCGTTGTCATTTCTGTTACGCTTTTTATGGTTCTCTGTTTGGTGGTTCTTAATTTGAGACATCGTATTACTTTCTTTTGAGAAGAAGGTTTGTTCGTTGCATGATTCTTGTTGTTTTGACATACTATAATCCATACTATCCAACAAACCTTCCTCTTTCATACGATCTTCGTTCAGCAATCCTTCCCTCCATAACATCCCAAGAAATTCATAAATATCTTTAAATTGATCCATTTTGCAAATAATATCGTGACCTCCTAATCGTTGTAACAGCTTTTCTTTTCGCTTCGTCTTGGTTCCATAATTTGCATCACCAAAATAGTCAGTGCATTTGTAATTGAAAGAATTGGTAACAATATCATCAGTGATATGAGTTAAGCCAAGATGTTGTTTGACATCAAGGAAATATCTTGCTTTTAGCTGAGAAGAGGTCTCTTCTAAGCATATTCGGTCGTTGGAACAAACTTTCCCAACAATAGACGTTATTGGGGGAGAAGAATTGTACTGATTTATTAATCGTTGCTTCCATTTGAACTCCTTTGATGAAGAAGAATGTGTTGGAAAATTTGAAACTGGTTCGCTCACTGATTCGTTTAATGATGATGATGATGCATGATTGTTGGTGATTGTTGGTGATTGTTGTCTTTGAGATTCGGATGTTGTAATGTTGTTGGTCATCAATAATGGTGATGGTGTAGGAATGAATGTCGAAGGCCATGAGTATGAAGGCCAGAATATGGGTTGATCAATGTAATCTTGCGACAATTGTTGTTGTGAATTGGGCCAATCATGGGATTGATTGGTGTTAATTTGAGACAACTCGTATTGTGGAGATTGAAAGTTCGGAATGAGTTGATATGTTGGCCAGTACAAGGATTGATTACTGTTGATTGGTAGCTCAGGTTGTGAATATTGAGAATTTGTTTGGTAGGGATAAAATTGAGACATTTTTGTTTTTAATAAAATTAATAATTTATTTCAATTTTAGAAGAAACTAAATTCATCATCATCGTCGTATTTGATCTTGGTATCGTATGACATATGCATGAACACTTCACTTGACTCTGTTTCAAGTATAAAAGAAATATTCTTAACTTGCAATAGGTATTCAGTTGTGACCACAGAATTGTCTTCCTGTGAAATGCAACTCTTGACAACTTGTCTTCCCCAATTCTCAAATAAATCCAGAACTGGTAAGGTATCTTTAAAACGATATCCAACACAGGGAACTTTGTACTTAATTCCATGCCTATAGATCATTCTGTCAGAGTGGAAAAACGTTGCTCCCTTCATATTTTGAAACATCAGTTGAAAGGTTTCTGTTTCAATACAGCCACAACTAATGGAGGTTCTTCGATGAATACCTCCCAACTTCAGCATTCTGTTAATCTTGACTCGGGCACACTTGGCAAAAAGTTGGAAAGATCTTGCGACGTAATCTTGTTCTTCTTCACAAAGGTCAAAGTAACTGTAGTTCAGAGGTTCAATTCGTGGTAAACCATGCTCAATGATGATATCTTTGAAATCGTAAGAGCTAGTTTCTTCTCTGCGTTGTTGTTGGATTTGTGTTGTGATGGGATCGGCTTCATTGTTGTTGTTGTTGTTGTTTGGAGCATCGAACATCATTGCATCGCCTTCATCTATGACAATCTCGTACATATTGGTTGTTGCTGTAGATTGGAGTTGTTTGATTAGAATCGTCATAATGATTCAGCCAAAATGTTGCTATTGTAAAACTTACGTTATTGTGTGCTGTAATCTTCTAACATAAAATTGATACGTATATTGATGTTTACGTCAAGAGTTCAATGTTGATTGTATTGTCAAACCTACGTGTGTTGTTTTGTTTCGATGATGAAAAAGGGCCACACAAAAATGCGGCACCAGAGACATTTTATATTTTTTTTTGTTGTAATTTGCTGTGAGCCAAATCATCATTTTCTTGGCCGCGAGCTGGCCCAAGCGACCGTGGTAAGTTGTAGTGCAAAAAATGGCTCCACCCAAAACAATTCCGTCAACACCATCAACAGATTATGAAATCCGCAGACCCAAACATGATTTGAAATGGTACATCTCCTATTATCGGTACAAATCCAAACAATTTTTTCGAACAAAATGGAAGCAAATGATTGGATTAATATTTTGGATTTCTCTTGGTTACTGGTGCTATCGGAACGAGTTTATGACGGTCTACGTGATAATCACCATGATCGGCTTGATTTTTTACAACTTGGACTGGCGAGAAAAATCAAAAGAGGAGCGAGAGTCAACTCTTAGTGCCTGGAGCGTGTTTAATAAGGACTTTAAATCAATTCCTGGAACTTTTTCTGCCGATGAGCAATTAAGAAATATGACAGGAGGAGCAATCAACACTTCCGGAAGAAGAAATTGAAAATAATTAGCCGTTCTACCTTTGAGAATTCATTCGCGAAATGCTGACAAATATCGTAGCTATGATTTTATTTGGTGATGGTTCAGGTGCGAATTGAGATTTTATCCTTCTTTCGGTGTGGCTATCGGTGACCATATTGAGTTGACACGAATTATGTTTCCAAAGTCAATTGTCCAATTTTTCGTGACTAAGCACTCGCTCATTTCTCTGCAATTGATATTGAGTTTATTTGAAGATGATAAACTTTTGATGAGGATTTGTTTTCTTGAATGTAATCTCTTCAAACAAGTTATGGCCGAATCTGACTCTATATTTCATACTAGGATGCATTTGGGAAGTCTTGTTTGACTTTGAAATTTTAGTTTGTGAAGTCGATTTTCTCGTCTTCTTCTTTGTAGCAGTGACAAAGGTGCTGCTACTGCATGTGGATGAATCGCTCGATTCGAGAGTTGAATCAATATGTTGGTTCTTGTTTTGAGACGATATGGTTGACATCATCTCTGGTATAATACATTGGGAAATGGCTGTATGCAACTGGTTTGTGTTCTTGCTTGTTGTTGGCAAGACGTTGGAATGCAGCTGCTCATCATTCTTCTGATGCATCTTGAAAGTGTGGTTTGGATTCAGTACGACATGGAACTTGCTCTCCACAACATTGGGCGTCAAGTGGTTGTTTGTACAAGACACGCTTGGACGAGAGGTTGTCCTGTTCAACATGGACCACTTCAGACCTAGTGAAGAATGGACATGTCTCAACTCTTCATCAATGATACGAAAGACCTCTTCTTGGTTTTTCATTGAGAAGCGTCGACTACTACTTTCACTCTGCCAGCGACGTGTTGTAATCTCTGTCTCTTCATGATGATGATGGATAGAAGAGGATGATGACCCATTCATGTGTGTTGCCGAATTTGACGACGTTGCAGTGTTGGATGCTAGTGGTGGAGATTCACAACACATACTCGTAGTTGTCAGGTCAGCACTAATATCATTCCATAGCACGGACGAGGAGGGCGTGAGAGCATCATGATAAGTATTAGGATGCAACGAGGAAGAATTAGAGGAACGATCATCACCGCCGTCAGCGAGCATCAAGAGATGTTCAAGCATCAAATGTTGGTTGGAGGTCTGTGATGACTCTGGTGGTGCAATGATATTCTTGATCATTTCATCGGTAATGCCACTATGAAAGTGAGAAAGCTGTGGAATGGTGACCTTGCTGGTTGTTGAACCATTCATTGTTGTCATCATCATTTCTGAATCATCCAAAAGAGTCGTTGAGGTTAACATTTGAGAGAAGAGTGTAAAATTTGACTTGTCTGAATCGTAGGGAGAGTGACTATTAGTCGTTATACAGAATTCTTGCATTGTGTTTGGATAAGGGAATCATACAAGTACTCTAGAAGCAGCAGCACAATTGTTTTTTTTGGTTCGCAATAGTGTCAAGCAACTGTCATCTTGCAAGTTGAAATGATTATTTGCATTTCCCAGAAAATAGTAGCTTTCGGGGCGAATAACCTTTTCCTGACTTCGACTTTCTGAATCAGTAGATGATGTCACGGGAAAAATTAAATGAATCTGGACAAACATTCTATTTGGTGCGTTACGCTTATTGAAACTTGCCTTGATTTTGTAACCATGCAAAAACGTAATCCCGTTTGTGCTGAAAGCGTGGATTTGATTGAGAACAATGTGCGCTAATGTTCACTAATACCTAAAGATCCCTTGCCTGAGAACGGCTAAAAAGACACTATGAGTGTTATCTCTCTGCATTTCTGTTGTGAGAGGAGGATGATTTCTCACCAATGATCGCCGTAGAAGTCTGTTCTCATCATGGTCAGATGTATCCTTGTTACAGGAACTGGTGTTGACATCTGTTTTGGATTTAACATTAGAGATAGTGAATCAATAATTGTTGATGTTCAACTGAATGATGATGATATGCCAGAACGTCCTACGAATGCAATCGTGTCATGGCAGTTCAATCATTTCACGATTTGGAGGCGATGAATATCTCATATTCCTTGTTGTTGTCAAATTTCAAAATTGATTCACTCGAAAAAGTCAACTTTCGATGATTTATGTCTTCGATTATAATTTCACCCAGATTAATCAGCAAGCTTTTCTATGGCGATAATTGTTTCCGCAACGACAAGAAACAAGTGTGGATATGGTAAATGCATTTCGATGTGTCAAAGAATGTTGGCGATATTTCAAATTCGATCAGTACACAATATGCTTATGCGACAGTAACGGGTTTTTTCGCTGGCCTGAGCCAAGTTTCGCTGGAGGGGTGGACTAGAATTAGTCCAGCGAAAATCTGGCCACACGAAAATAGCTGGTTGAAAAGTGACGAACCTGGGTGTTTAGATTCCATTAAACACAAGAAAAAATGGGCAAGCTTGGCCTTGTTGACTTTAATCAAGCCACACACATCCACTGCAAAGAGTGTTCTTCCACTTTTCAAACAAGACCTTCTAAATGTCCAACTCCTAATTGTAAATCAAGGTTATTCGGAGATTGTCCACTTTGTCTTAAATCAGTATCACTCACCAACATCTCAAAGCATAAGTGTCGGTTCGAAAGCAGGATTTTGATTTCCAATACTTCTAACATTGATATTCAAAATATCAGTTCGGAACATGTCACTTTTATTGCAGAACAAAATGGAATAGGGACTCCATTTGCAAAATTAGAGAAACCTATTTCAGATATGACCCCTAATGACGCCAATGAAACCGCTCAACAAGTTTTAGACCAATTTTTCAAAGTAGGAGGAAATGTCTCTCACTTATTAACTCACTCCCAAATGCGATCATATTTCAGAGATTTACGATCAACAAATTATCAAAGAGGAGTCCGAACTGGTGTTAAAGGAATAGTTGCGAAATTAAAAAAAAAAATTAAGGACCGAAATTCACAATTAGAAGGCACTAATTTATCCTCAAATCAAATTAAGATGCTTCAACGAGTATTGTTTGAGGAAAATAATGAAGATATTGAATCAAGAAAAAAAATCGATCGCACAATGAAAAAGTTAAACTTCAAACTTGAACCAATTTCAGACAAGGTTATTTTGAATCTTCTTGCTTTCTGTATGAACACTTTAAACAAATCTACAAATGACATTCACAAGGCCATTTCAGATGCATCAAATTTTTATGATATAAGCGGAGGGAACATGTCATTTTATACTGAGCGAAAAGAAATTATTGAAAAACATCTCGTGAATTTTGAATCAATTTGGGGGCGAATTGGAGAGGCGTTATTGAAGCAATTTAATATCACGATATCAAAAGGATCTATTGTTTACAACGTCAGAGCGTTATTTCACAAATACGGGTTTAATTCAATAACGCCAACAAGGATGAGAGGCAAAAAACATTCATGTAACGGAATAAGAGCAAACTTTGCTTTCGATGTCACAAATATGAGAAAGGAAAATTTACAACAAATCCCTACCCCAAAAACAATCGTCGAAGATAATGGGAAAATATTAGGAGCAGAATTAGACATTCTTGAGCATTTTAAATATATTTTAATAAGCTGCCTTGATCATGATTGTTTTACGGGTGAAACTTTAGAAAAAGCGAAAAAAGAACCTGTTGACTGTTGTGCCGCTTGGTGGGGAGACTCAACTGGAAACATGGGGCACAATAATTCAATGTTTTGTGGAAGCATTGGATTGCTGCATGGATTGAGCGTTACTTTTAAACAAGATCGTAAAATCCAACAATTTGTAAATCAACGACATATTTCTATGATGGGATATTTCAAAGATTCCAGTAAGCACTTTACTAAGGTACTCCAAAAAGTGGGAGAGAGCTTTTTTAAACTTGGAACAAATACCATTCAAGCTGAATATAAGGGGGAAAAGTATCTATTTAATGTCAGGATTACCAAAATCAAAGGAGACGCTCCGTTCTTACAAAAAGTTCTGAATAACAAGCAAGGAGGGAATCAAGCATGCTTTCTTTGTGATGATCATAAGGAACTATGGAGAACATCTCACTTTTTGCATGGAAATTCAAAAACATTATGGGGTGTCTGTAATAATCTTAAACAGGCAGGAATATTAGGATTTCCACATATTATGAAATCATTTGAAAAAAACCTTAACGATGATGCAGTGAGGGATGTGTTTGAAAAAATTGAAATTGTTATTGATTCGTTGCATTTAGTTAAAAACGTATTTGAGAATGTCAGAGAGTTTGTGCTGCAGTTTTTAAGAAATAACCGAGCAGAAGGATGTGTTGATGAAATAATTGAAAAGGAGAAAGACAATTTGAATGGTGGTGATGTGTCAAAATTGAAGAAAGTGAGATATTATCGGTCAATATTGAGTTGTGTGGATGTTGTGTATGTTGCTCCATTACAAAAACTTGCTGAAAGTTTCACAGAAGATCAATCAGAATTGAAGAAACAAGTTTCAGATTTAATTTCAATCATGAACTCTATTGCAGAAATTGTTTTCATCATGTACAAGAAGGATATTTGTGAAAAAGACATTTTACGTTTTTGGGTGAATACTTTTAATATGTATCATTTGCTAGAATTGTTGGGTTATGTTATGAAAACATATGATCATCTCACGTTCAGTCATGCTGGTTCTTTCATCGAATCTAAAACGCAATTCGAAAATACTAATGAGCAAGATGAATGTTTGTTCAAACACATCAGAAAGGTGATGCATTTGTTTGGTGGTCGTCAAGTGTATTCAAATAAGGAGAAAGAGGACATGATTGATGCAATCCAAGATATTTCTCTAGCAAGTACTACCGTTGACAAATGGAAATTAATACCAAAACATTTTGAATTGGTGTGGAGACGAGCTTTTGCGAATAGATCTCTTCAAGAACAATTTGGGAGGAATCATCATTCAAATAACAATACCTTGAACAAGAAATGGAGATGCCATCAATATCAAAATTTAACAATCAAACAATCCATAATGACGAACTCCACCACCAATAGAAAATGGGACAAATTCTGTCAAAAAATATTCCCAATAATTCATGCTCTCACTGAAAAGCAAGAAATCGTAATACTGAAATCGGATGAATGTTTGGAGTTTAAAATGGTGACCAAATCTCCCTCTGAAAATTTGGATTACATGTATCTCAGTGAATTACGCAACGATGTCTATTCCACAATCACGCTCCAACAGTTAAAAAATTTAGGCACCAATGAAATTAATATTGTGCACCATTCAAAATCCAATGTCGATCCTAGATTCAAGGTGCTAAAGCAAAATCTCAAAAAGTTAGCAGGTCGAATGCTTACTACTATTCTAGCAAAAATTAACATTGAGGCATGGAAGTCTATTAGATCAAAGAAAACACCATCAAATAAGACGAAAATAGAGAAAATCGTTAAGGTTGTCACAGACGACCGAACAGCACTGGAGTGTCTTCAACAACATTACCCAGAATTGCTTGAAAGTGATGAGAGACAACAGATATCAAAAAGTTCCAAGAAACAAAGCCGAACGGATGATGTCAATACTTGTGGAAGGAAAAAGGCAAAGCAATCAACCAATCTTCCTTTTCTCGGAAACTCTCAAAATGTTAGCGTTGCAATGCAATCTCCTCCTGTCATACCAATTACTATTCCCTCTGTGATAAATATGATCACAACAAGTCAACCACAACGAGCTCCGAGTTACAGCAACTATTTGCATTACAGGCAACCAAGTGTTTCACAAAATGCAACTCAGGATCAACCCTCACAATTTAACTCTTCTTCACCCTGTGGAAATTCATCCGAAATTTTAATGGAAGGCACTGTTGATCAAGTTTTTCAATCATCGGAACACACAATTGGCACAATCGGAAGGTCATCCCAACCGGTGATGGATTTTCTTCAATCAATGCCATCAAATGTGATATTTAATTCTCAACGTTTAACACATCCATATAATACTCACACCCAAACACAACATCAAAACGGAGTGGTGAGAAACGACGACGCTGCACCAAAACGGAGTGGTAAGAAAGCAAACCAACAGCTGTTCGCTCAGTTGGTGATAAACAATACAATCAGATAATTTTTTTTTAAAAACCATAATCAAAATACGTGTCCACTATGAAAGAGAAAGAGGTGCTCGAGCAACCAACTGTTTTTTGGTTGTGGACGTCACCTTCGCTACACAGTGACAGGTGACACTAATCAAAAGACGGTGTTTTCCAGGGTAATCGAGAGAAGCAGAAATCGGGAAGGAAACCACTACGTTACGCTAGCATAAGCCTACTGTGTATTCAAGTGTCTTAATTGGCCGCCAGTGTTTTTGCGAAGTCCTCGGTCATGGATATCGAGTCTAAAAGTTCAGTGACAGTTTTACAGTTCACACTATGTGGTTTAAAACTGTAGTTGTATCGATGATGTTTTGTCGACTTGTTTTTCTTTGAGTCTTGATATAGGTAAGGTTGTATCGTGTGTGCATCCAATCTAGATCCGTATATAAGGGAGTGATATGTGATCCATGATTCTTAGAATGACTTCGGACACATTGCTATCTGGTCATTCCTTCATTGATAGCAGTTGGATACAAGTTGTTTCAAAAGAAGAATACACAACCTTCTCGTTGTGTGAATGAACATTTCATGTTGCAACAAGTGAGATCAAATACCAGTGAAAGAATTGAACTATTTATTCTTGGTTAAACTCCAAGACAATAATTTCCCAACGTTGCAAAACTTTTTCTCGTTTGCTGTGACAACACCTTTCTCGAATCACAAACACGCTGATTATGAGCAATGGTCATATTCTTATAGACCTCAAATTCTGGTCGTCCTCTTGCATTACATGTATTGAAATGTGCAATTCGAATACATGTTTGACAGTTAAATCCACGAGAAACAAATCCAATAAATTGAAAATTCCATCCACATTCCAATTCATATTTCCACGATGAATTCTTCTCTAATAATCGAATGATCACATCTTGATCTGCATTCGGATTGGGTGACGACGATAAAGTTTCTTCTCTCATCTTTTGTACCCAATTTCCTTGTTCCATGAGTTTTTTAATGGACAACAACATGATTCCTGAATTATAGGCCGTTTTCGTACCATAAAAATCACTTTGTTCTTGTGCAATACCTAACATTTGACTTGAATTAAACTTGTTAAATTCACTCCACAAGTCGAACAAGTCATCAAAACCAAACAAGGGAAGCACATCTGTGTCCATCAAGATGACATGTTCCAACGTCCCATAAAAGAATTCAACAAATTTTAATTTTTTAGAAGCAGACGAACCCGAATAATGTGTGGTCGACATGCTCACATCCAAACTCTTGGTCTCATAGAAATGTAGATGAATATCATGTTCACAACGAGAAATTCTCGTTCGAACTTCATTCTCTGAAGATTGGTCATTGACAAACGCATGTATGTGTATAACAAACGGTGAGTGTTGTTGTTGTTGTAGTGGTTGTTGTAATTGTTGTGGACATGTAGTATGAGTAAGAAAAGGAGTGGACCTTGAATGTTCTGTATTCTCAGTCATGATGGCAACATGTATGGCTGGTCGTGTGTCATTTCTGTGTGAAACGACCTCAACATGCGCTTTTGTTTTGAGCATTCACGTTATCGTTATTAGAGGTGTGAAAGTGCAACCATTCGCAACATCAAAATGGAAACATGTATCAGAGGAGGACCATTGTTGTTGCAACAAGAACATCAACAACACTCAGACTGATTAACACAGCAAATCGTTATCGTATCCATGGAAAAAGTTATGCTTTTGAAAGACCCCATCTAATTGAAAAAAAGTTTAGTAGAATGTGATCCTTCACTCATGTACTATTGAGAGAGAATTCTCTTGTAATTTCTCCCCTTACGAATCCATAACTTGTTTTACATGTTTTGGTGTCGAATTAAGGTTGTAACAACAAAAATTAATGAATTGATTCAACTCTTAAATTTATCATGATGTGAAAAATATATATTGTAAAAATTCATCGCCATGATCCATAACAAGAACGAGAATTAGAATTCTCTTGGTAAATCTTGTTGTGGCATGTAATCTCTTGGATTTGTTCTCAATCTCAACAAGTAAATAATTACTCCCAAACAACACACACAACAACACACAGCAATCAATGATCCAATGACAATGGCTGCAATCATTCCTCCATTAGTGACCACGTCAGCTGTTTTGTAATTGTACCAAACATCGGTTTTAGCTGTTGAATTTTTAGGATTGGCAATCTTTTTGAATATCAACCATTGAATTTTCAAAATTATGAAAATTATAAATGTCAACCATGAAAATAAAGTAAGAAACATGTTCAGGACAACAATCGAGTGTTTCGAGTGAAATTCATCGTGTGTGTGTGGAATGGAAAACAAAATTTGAGGGAATTTCATGAAATGCATTTTGTTGTGACATGAAAGACACAGTGATAGGAAATCAATTCATGATAAAATTTACATACCACCAACACAACATCAGAAGTTGTTTGATAATCAATTCTATAGGTATAAATATTTCCATACTTGATTTGATCGGGAATCATGAAAGCAGTGTTATAGTAATCAGATCTCCAATTGAAATAATCTTGTTTTGTTTTGATCAATAAAACGTCACAAGGTCTGTTGTAACATTCTACTTCATAGGTCAAATAAACGTCAGGTGTGAATTGCTATTTCAATGAATGTCAGAATTGAAACGGAAAAAAATTAAAATAATTGAGTCATGACAATGATGAAATTCGTAAATATGTCATTGATGAATGAGGTCACGTGAGTGGGTTCATGATTGTGTGACATGGTATTTTCATCATAGAGACCGAAAGGATTATTTCAGTGATTGTTGATCATTACAATTATTTCAAAGAATTTGTATAAAATTGATTATAAACATTTTCAAAATAATGATAATTACTTTGTAGAGAAGTGCTCCAGGAGCCAATGAAGCTGTGTGATACTGGCTGAAAATATGTAGAGATGAATTTGCTGGTTTGTTGGTTCCAGGTTGTTGTGCCGAGACAAAGAATGAAGATCGATCATGATTGTTGTTGTTGTTATTGGTGGATGAAAGAAGAAACATCAGTCCTGCTGCAACGAGAAGGAACACTAGTGGTGGTGATGATAGTGTGTATGAGTGTTTGAGAGACATTTTTTTGATTTGAAGAAATTCCTTTCAAATGTCACTCTAAACAAGACCAAGAACGAAATGACGTTGGCTGGTGGTGCATCATTCTTGAAGTATGAAAAGTGTTAACAAAAGACCCTTATTTTAATTGGAAACAATGCCATTATTTATTGTTTACATCTTGTGTGTTAGTGCAATTTCTCGCTACAAACAACTGCTGCTGAGGATATAAAAAGAGGGACATGAGTTAAGAAAGTCTCAATTCTGGTAAACTCTATCTTCATAAAATTCTCAACTTAATTCCAAAGGTCTCTCTTCAACACCTCAAGAGTAAGGCGAGTAAGAAACATTGGAATAAGGAAAATTAAATGATTGGAAGGAGCAACCAGAAGAGTCCTTCTTAACCTAGTCCCATATAAATAAAGTGATAGATATGAATATATAAAGAAAAATAAAAAGATGGATAAAGGAAGGGAAGGAAGGGCAACAACAAAGAATGGTACTAGTGTGATGATGATGACAAAGGGAATTGTCGCTCTAACGAGATCCTCTCAAATCTCGAACAAGGAGCGATGCATACAAGTGGTGATGGGTTTGCAATGAAAGTATGATCTGTCAGTTAGTGAGGTTGGAGACTCCATTAAACATTTGAAGAAGAGTTGTTGATGAACATGTTCACAGTTTGTCTCTCGGTTGGAGTGAGTGACTTGAGCAATTGAATTGCCAAGGATGCTCTCTCGCTTGTTGGCTCTGGTTGTGGCTGTTGAATAAAGTTGAGTGGAGTGTGATGAATCTGCTTTTCCTTCTTTGTCTTGTTCTTGTCTACAGTATCAAAGAGAGCACTTAAAACATCAGGAGTTTTTTCTTGGTGCATAATGACATTAGAAGGAGGGGAAATAGGTGAAGTAGCAGTTTGAGGAGAGCCAAACACAAACTGAGGTTGATAGGCTGTAGTCCATTGAGGTTGATAATACATTGGCATTTTGGCTGCAGCATATGGTATTGGAAGAGAGGCAAATTGTTGAGCCATCTCTTGGTGGTAGGCAGCAGCAACTGCAGCATAATTAGCAGGGAACATGTATGGGCCAAAAGCACCAGGAGCAGTGGTATAATGAGGAACAGCAGCAGAAGGGTTAAGAATGGTTGGTGACGATGGTTCTTGCATCATAGTACGTGACTTGCTCATTGGATAATAGCTCGAGTTAACAGATGCAATGGAACGCTTAACGCCTTGCTTTTCACTCTTTGGGGAGGAAAGAATGCTGTTGCTTCCACTATTAGAAGAATCTGGAGTGAGAGGTGCATTTGACAATGATGGTGAAGTTTGGGTTGCAAGATTATTCTTGATATTTTCGGAGGCCTTTGAAGAACCCAAGCTTTGATGATGTTCTCTACGTCTTGCAAATGTCTGGAATGGGTCACTCAAGAAGAGTCTCTTGACAGTGCCATCAACCGTTTGTGTCAATTCTAATCTGAATGATCTTCTCTTGAAGTGGAATGAACACAAGTTAAACGTAAAACGAATCATTCTTTCATTAGGATTGAGTTCTTCCACTTGCTCAACAGCAACAGCCTCTACAATCTTCTTATTGTTTGGAAGAGTAACATTTGGAACGATGAGTGTCTCAGCATCAACAAGATTCAAAGTTAACTTGTGTTGACGATGATTCTCAATGCCAGAGCCAATAATTTTCAAGTCATACTTGTAGGGATGACAAAGCAAAGAGGGAGGAAAACGGTCTTCGAATTGGTCTTCTCTGCCCTTTGCTTGCTTCAAAAGAACAACAAGACCTGAAGCGGTGGTAGCAGTGCTGCTCTTTTTGTTGTCGTTGGTAGCACAAACAGTGGAGGTGCTTTCTTCAGAGGAAGTAGTGGACGAAGCACAACTGGAAGCTGGAGCAAGAGTGTTGTTATTGTTGATCATGTTATTAGTTGCAGAATCTTCAAAAGAAATCTCCTTTTCATCGCCAAAGAGGAATGGATCATCACTTGGAAGGAATTCGTCATCATATAAAACGTTTTGAGAAATTGAGTGGTTCATCTTGTTGTTGTTGTTGTGTTTGCAGGAAATGAGAGGAAATTGATGTTGTTGTTGGGGTATATAAAAGTAGTTGGTGGAGGAAAAATAAAAACAGGAGAGTATCAAGATCACGAAATTAAAATCCGACTTTCAAGAACAAATGTTGTCCTGTTTTGAAGGAATGTGTGTGGTAGTTGGTTTGAATTGGGAGAGAAGAGATTGGAGAGAATAGCAGCGCCTTGTAGCAAAGTTGGCAGTTGTTGAGAAAAATTTTTTATCCTAAAAATATCTCTCTTGTTTCTTCAAAGGACGAATCCTCAAGAATGAACAGCGAACCATCACAGCTGCCTAATATTTCAAGCTTACATTAAATGTATCAAATCTATCACCATCAAACGAACGCACTCCTTTCCGAAAGGTATTCCTTCATAATAACATACTTTTGGCAAGATCTAACTGCTTGTTGAACGTGGAGGGCGGTAGTCATAGTGAATGTCAGCCAATTTCATCTCATCACCTGCCCCTGGCAAAAAATTGGTAAAAAAATATTTTGATGTCCAGCAGCGAGCCAGTCGATCACTCCACGAGCCAAAACCAACACAAGAGAGGATCTGATTCATTATCCCAAGAGAAGCCACTTTCAACAAACAATAGCAACACCACCAGCAGCAGCTCATCCTCCGAACAGCCTCCCAACAAAATGCTCAAGGCTCCAAAAAAAGTTCCCGTTACAGTTCTCACAGGCTTTCTGGGTGCTGGAAAATCAACTCTTATCAATTACATTCTCTCGCACGATCATGGCCACAAGATTGCCATCATTGAGAATGAATTTGGTGAAGTGAGTATTGATGATGCTCTCATTGTCACTTCCAATGAAGAGGTTGTCGAGCTTAGCAATGGTTGTCTATGTTGTACGTTGAGAGGTGATTTGATTGGTGCCTTGTCAAGATTGAGTGAAAAGAAGGACAAGTTTGATTACATTCTCATTGAGACTACTGGGTTGGCATTGCCAGGACCAATTATCCAAACTTTTTATTTGGAAGAAAAGGTGAGAGAGGGCTTTTATTTGGATGGTATTGTGACCATGGTCGATGCTAAACATATTGTCCATCATTTGCACAAGCATCACCATCATGAAGAAAAGAAGAAGGAAGTGAATGAGAACCAAGAAGAAGACGAGGAAGAAGAAACCAATGAAGCTGAAGACCAACTTGCATTCGCTGATCGAATTATTTTGAACAAGATTGAACTCGTCTCAGAGCAAGAGAAGGCAAAGGTGTTGAAAAAGATTAGAAAGATTAATGGTATTGCTCCAATTCTTGAGACCAATCATTCAAAGGTTGATGATTTGAAATTCCTTCTTGACATTCGTGCTTTTGACATTGACAGAGTGTTGAACATGGATCCAAACTTGTTGAAAGAGTTGAATGATGAAGAGGATCGTGAACATGATGAAAAGCAACATCATCACCATGATGACCATCATGAGCATCACCACCACGATGAGCACAAACACAGTCATCACGACTCTGAAGTCTCGAGCTATGCCATTGTTCGACCTGGTTTGGTTGATCGAGAAAAGTTCGAAGATTGGCTACTTGATTTACTCACTGAGCAAGGTGAAGACATTTACAGAACTAAGGGATTCTTAAACGTTGGTGAAGCTAAACCTTTGGTTGTTCAAGCGGTTCATAGCTTACTCGATATGAGACCATTCGGTGAGTGGAAGAATGGAGATACCACAAACAAACTTGTGTTCATTGGAAAGTACATTGATAGAGATGAACTTTTGCGAGGTTTTGAAGAATGCTTAATACAAACAAAAGAGAATAAATAAATTGTGTAAAGTGTGCAGATCTTTTATTGTGTGAAATTCTATTGTTTTCTGAACATTGGATGATGGACGTCGTGTGATCATAACAAGATGTGCTCATCATGTGAAAGTAAATGAACTCGACTTTGGAAACAACCCAACGTTCAACGAATCAATGAAGATACTAGGCACCTGTCAAATTAAAAAAAAATGACGTCAACAACACCAGTGACACCTCCCTATGGTAGCAGCAGCAGCCACATGTCGACGAATCCATCCCGATTCAAAAAAGCACCCTCTCCATTCTTTCGATTCAAATACATCATTTTAGGAACCGTGATTTTATTCATTGTCATTTTACTGGTCATTCAATTTTCACTTCATGTCAACACACCAAGTCATGACGATGATGCATCAACACAAGGTACCCAACCCGAAGCTAAAAATGTTCCTCTCGTGAGTTTGAATGAGAAAGGAGAGACGAGAGATACAGTCTCTGAAGTGACTATATGGTCCACTAGTTTTCGTAAGTTCTCTCATTTCCATTTTCATCAACATGTGTTGTTAAAATTCACACAAAATTTTACAAATATTTGAAAATTGTGTTCTATATGAAATATATGAATGCAAATATATCTTTGAACTTTATTACCATGAAATATTTTGTGCATTTCCAAACTCTATATAAACCAAATCATTGAAACAACAACTACATGATTAAAACAACAACTACACTACTAAAACAACAAGACATTTCACCCATTCATTGTTTGAAACATTTCATGAAGAACATTTTCGAAAAGAAGACTGGAATCAAAGTGAATATCATTGAAAAATCTTTGAGTGGACATTGTGCACTCACCAATTCATGTGCCAAAGATTTAAAAGTTCTCACTCCAGACAATGCCAAAGGTGAAAATGAATGTGTGGTACCCATTGCCAAACAATTCTACGATGCCTATGTCGATGATCCTGAATTTAAAAAAGCAGATCTTGTCATGTGTGACCACAATGTGGCCATGTGTGAAATGTACATGGCATTTGACGTTCCTCTCGTACTCTATCTCACAACTCGATACGAATTGTGGAGACATCAACCCGAACGATGGCGGAATTTAAATTCCAATTTGTGGAAAATGTTTTTCAGAGGACCCAATTCGATCATTGCCAACAATCTCTACGATGCCAAATACTTTAATTATTTCACAGGATTGGAAGCTGGCGTGGTAGATAGTTATTGTGGATATGCAGCAGATATGGCAATTTATAACAATCCAAAACGAAAGGAAATATTAATTGGACCTTCTCGTCTTTCCATTACACCCTCAGAGTTCTTTAAACCTTTAGAAGAATTAGCCAAAAGAGATGATTTTGATTTGAAATTGGCTCCCATTCGATCCTTGTATCCAAAATTTGAATATTCCGATCTAGTGAACCATCCAGCCATTGTGATTGTACCTTATCAATTATCAGTCATGAGCTTTTTTGAATATTATCGAATGGGAATTCCTTTGTATTTTCCATCGGTGGATTTACTCACGAAATGGCATGTGAAATTTAGAATTCTCTCTGAGAAAACTTGGCATATGGTGTTAACGAAAAATCCATCCAAAGGTTCACCCCTCAAAAGAAATCCTCAATCGACAGTCTCTTCGGGTATGGATCCTAACAATGATGTCGATGCTAAGAGTGTACGGTATTGGAATTATTTTGCAGACTTGTATCAGTGGCCACATGTCATTATTTATGACTCGTTTGAAGATTTGTATCACAAATTGAAGAGAGCAACTCCAGAATATTACAAGGAAGTGAGTGCCAAGATGCATAAATATTCAGAACAAGTGCAACAAAATTTGATTGAGGATTGGAAACGAATTTTTGAAAAGGCAAAGAAAAAGAAGGGACGAAGTCGTTTCTCGTCCTTTTATGAAGCGATTCAAAATTGGGGAATTTTCATTAATGAAAAATCGTGTGACATTGCATAGAAACGTAGTAGGTAAAGGAGCGATTGGTAAACCTGTATGCATAGCGTGGTGTGTAAAACGTAATGTTTTGGACAGGAAGGAGTTCGGATTTTAAAATTTAAAATATTTTTTGAAATAACCTCCTCAGCTTTATTTCAATACAATTATATTGTAGTACTCGGTGAAATTTCTCATTCTTTTATACACATCTCTGATCCTCCTCGCCACACCATGTATTGTTGGTTCAAACATGGAGGTATTATTTCTTTTTGTTTTTTCTACGTCTGTTGCTCAGATAAGTGGAGTTACATGTGTTGCAAAGAGGACCGTATTTGGGACCGCTTGAAATATCAAAGTTTAAAGCTTGGCTCACCTTGAGAATATTTGTAACGGAGACCCGCATTGTTGGATTTGGCGCTGCCTTGGCACACACCACGCACTTTTCAGAATTCAAAATCTTGTCCACTTGAGATTTGTCAACACCTTCGTTGATGAATGGAATGGCATAATGGTTTCCGTAATTTGGCGTGAGCTCCTCAAGAGCAACCTCACTCCATTGTTCGTTGGCCTTAATATGCGTTTTAGTAACATAACGACTATTAATGCCTCGAATCAAGAATGAACAATCATATTCCACACCAAACCATGTCAGAGTCTCATCTTCTTTCTCAAATAAATAATCACCAGCCTCATTGATTGGAACTGTTTCTATTCTTCCTTTGCGATCGATCAAAAGGTTCGATTTGAATGTACTTCGTCCTCTAGTATACCAGAAAGTTAAAGCGAATGCTTCAGGATCCACCTTGGTTTGGATATACATTTTAGGACATGAGATAACAAAGTTCTTATAATCAAATAGAACCTCGAGAGTGGAAAATCGGATCAACTGAGCAATTCCCACTTTTTCAAAGTTGTGTTTGGAAATGCCGTCTTTTCTAATTTGTTCTGCGTTGTAGATATTTCTAAGACCGACAATAAATAGCTCAATGTCTTGTCGGGCATACAAATCGTAGACACAATCGCTGACAGCAATTCCATATTCCTTTTCATCCTTCAAATAGAGCAAACCTCCAAAGTATTGCCTTTGAGCGATTTGTTTGCTTAAGAACATGATTGGAATAGGTTCTTCTTGAGAACGCATTACCGATTCTTTGACCAGTCCGTAGGCTCCCAAAATCAAAGAACTCTGATGTGATTTTACACTTTGGAATGTAAAGGTATAATTTTTGCTTCTATGCTCTTCCTTAATATACCGGAAACGAATATTGTCATGAATAAAATCATTCAATTTGGAAGGCTGGACCAATTCCTTAATAATATCCAAAAAGTACTGTTGATTCATAATGGCTCCACAAAATACGACCAAGCTTGCATTAAATTCAATGATGGTGTCGAAAACAGCATTGACAATCCTTTGGAATTCTCTTATTATGTCTTCCGTAACATATTTCAACGCTTCATATGGATTTACCGCATCATTGAAAACATCCTTCATAATCTGTTCTGGATCCATGTTGTGCTTGTTCCTTAACATGTTGTAGATCAGGCCCGCACCAGCAACTTCTCTCGACATGTCCAGTAATACATTACCCATAACAACAGCAATGTCTGTGGTTAAATGACCAGGGTCTACAATAACGGTCACTTGTGAAGAATGTTTTTCGAGTGAGCATGTTTCTTCAGCTGCATATTTCAACAAGAGTGCTTCTTCAACAATTAAAATGTTTTCAATCTTGATCGGATGCTCAAAAGATTCGTCAATGGCCTTCTTGACAGCGTTTCTGTAGATGAGTTTGATCGTGTCCGAGGTTTCGGTTGGGATGGTAAAAATAGCATGTTCAAATTTCAACGCAATGTTCCCAGAACTACCGTCACGACTGAGCCTCATTTTGTTCAAGCAACACTTGGTAAATTGATAAATCAAGTCACTCACATGAAACATGACTTGTTCTCCGTTCATGGTGGTTGAATAGGTACCACTTTCATAAATGGTATGAAGCTTTTTTACATTGGGTATTGGGAAAAAGCCAGGAGCCTTCTTTTGAAGATCAGTTTCTTCTAATCCCACCATAAACAATCTGCTGGAAGGAGAGTAGTACAAAGTAGAGGGAAGAAATTCGCCCTCCCCAAATCTTATTGGCTTGACGATGGGGAGGTCGTTTGGATGAATCAAAATCATTCCGGCTTTACAATAGCTGGAACCAGCGTCCATAACAAAACACCTCACAGGAGGCGGTTCTGTGGATGGACTGGCGTGGACGCTGTTGTTGTCAGACGCTTGAGGAGGTTTCACCGATGGTCTTCTCATTTGGATATATTTGGTGAGAGGAGGAACGTTATCAATGTTTTCAAGCTCACCTGGAACAAAATCAGCACTTAAACGAAGAATTGGAATGATGTTGCACATCCCTGCATCTTTTTCATCTTCCTCATCTTCAGAGTCCTGCACCTCGTTAGAGGGTTTTGATTTCTTGCAACGAGGTTCAAATTTTTGCAATTTAGAACGAGTGACGATCTTTTCTGTGCCATTACTCTCATAACCTTCTTCTTCTGTGGTGTAGTCGTCGAGAAAATCCTCGTCCTCAGAGTCGTCGTCGCTGTCGCTCTCAAGTTGTAGCATATCTTCATCTTCACAAGTAACTTCTTCTTCGTCGTCGTTTCTCGAGCGTCTCTTGTTTCCCTTCGATTGTTGGTGTTGTTCAGCAGGTACCGAGGGACTGGTCAAGGTTGATGAAGAGGCAGAAGCTGGTTGTTCTTCTATTCTTCTAACAAATTTGGAAGTGTTGTTGACTTGAGAAGAAACCGAATCATTATGGTTTTCTTCGATGGACTTGTTTGCTGCATCGATAAAGACGCAGAAACGGTTAAACTTCTTGTCGTCGCCTTGGCGAGCATTGAAAGAAGAGGAATTCATTGAATCAGAGGTTGTTGCGAATTTTTTAAATATTCTAAATGCAAAAAAATCCCCTCTGCCGGTCTTTTAAGCTTTCAAAAATTATTGCAACGTTAAAGTCCATAAATAGTCGCACCAACATGCCACTCAGTCTCATAAAATCTAAAGACAAAAACAGTAACATTCCCTCTTACGAATCTTTGATGAGTGGCAATTTTCACGCAAACTTTCATGCCAGTATGGAATCATGAAGATTTTAATGAAAACGGCAATCAAAAAGAAGTACACTTTTTATTTGTTGTATTGCGTTACCCACCCTTGAGGGATCATAAAGTTTTCCATCGTTGTTGGAAAAACGACGACTTTTACATAGCATCTGACTATGTGTGAATGGATCAATGAAAGGGTATGACGTTTTTTTGAATTTCGAATAAACGTTGCTCGACACCAAAACCAATAGCTTTCAAACGAACGTGATAGACTCGTTTTTAGTGTCGTAAAGTTTGAGTTTTCCAGAAATTACGAGATTTTTTGGAAGTGTATCACATCAAGTAATTGTCTCTCCTCTGTTTTTTTAAAAATTCATTTAATATTTAAATTTTTTTAAATGATAATGTCAAAAAGTCCATCAAACATGTATCTACAACAAAGATGCGTTTGTCAATAAAATCGTCGAATCTACCCTGGTATGAAACGGGGAGAGGGATCTAGAGCGTAGGCAACTAGACGGCATTTTTTCTTTCCATTTTGGGCATAACTATATTTGTACGTCTTAATATATGAATTGTTTCGTTATATTATGAATCCTGTACTACGTAGCTACCGTCGACTCGATCAGCAAGCAAAATTACATATAGGGCTTAACTTTTTTTCGTCAGTCTGAGCCAAGGTTCTCTGTAATTGGGACATGGTTGTCGTAACTTTATTAAGCGTTATACTTGCATTGAGGAAAGTTTGGAAGGTCGCATTAGTATCTTGCTGCATTTTGATTTGGGGAGGACAAACTGTAGACATCTAAAAATAACTTTTCGTTTCTAGTTTTTTTTGGATCGAAAACTTTTGCCTTGGTTAGCAATTACGTACGTAACATATTCTTCTGCATTTATGAAAGTTTTGTTGTTGATGTTGATATCAAGTCGCGATGTTCGAATTGAGAGGGCGCGAAGAGGAATACATTCGTGAATACAACATACGTTGGAAAATGAAAAAGAAATAAATTTCCAGTATTTTGGGTGCTGTTCATTGTGAAGAAGACCGTTAGCACAACAATTCATGAGGCCTTGCAACATCACCAGAGAGAATTCATTACAAAGCATCTTGGTTCCACCACCAAAACAATTCAGCAAGCATTGATCATACATTATTTCATCAGCTTTGAATTTGTCCCAGAAAGGGCACTTTACATCAGGATGGCTTGTTCTGGCCCCAAGAAAACAAACAGCAAAAAGACCATCTCCATAATCAATGATGAATACTTCTTGAAACGTATCGCGAGTTCGACCGATTCGACAAACAAAACCATCTGATCAGGTTCGGCCAGAGCTTTATTCAAACCGAGCGACTCACTTGAACTCTTCACGTGGGTGTTTTTTACCAAGATGGAATGTTGATTATCTTCTTTGAGTTACTGTCATTACACTATGAAATCATACAAGGTTTCAAAATGAACATGGCATTTATAAAAAAATGGAATCAGCATTTCGAAAACTGTGAAATCCTGGTTTAAATTGTTCGAGAAACATGATTTGTTCTGAACGTAGTGAAGGGCAGGAATGTTTCGATTGTAAACAATAAAAGAGTTTGGGTGAGTATTCGAAATAATTTTTATGCTCAAAAAATTTTCTGCATACTACTTTGCTTTGCTTACTGACTTGCTGTCATCATCCGTGATTCTATTATTCTTTACTCTCATATTCAACCATATCATCTCATCAACGATACCACATATAACATAAAAGCAACTCAAATAGCTGTCATCATGTGAAATATGTTCTTGTTGTCTAACAACTCCTTTCTTCAATTATTCACGACGGAACTCTTTTTTCTCCCGAGCCAACGACAACTGTTCTCGCATCATTCAAATTTGATTACTTTCAGTTTGTTTTCCACACTTTAGCATCGAACTCCATTAGCTTTAGTACCTACAGCATTAACGTAATCTTAGCAACGAGATGAATAGCTCTTCCATTGGAGTATCAACTTATTTTAATTTTAATTCGGAATTGTTGAACGAACGTTATAGCATTCTCAACGTGAACTGACCAAACCATGATATTATCTAATCTCTTCACAGAAATATCGTTATCCTATTCAGAAATTATGAAGAAAGTGTTGAACGATTGAACTAGTTTGCTGGATCTTGAGACGTAAATTTTGTGGAAAGAACTACATTAGATTGGATCTCTAACGATATGTCAACACCATTCCAGTTTTTTCCTCAGAGTGAAACAATATCAAAACGATAAGAAGAGCAATGGACAATATCAAGTTGCAACAAGAGTGTACAAATAATCCACAACATTGGTCAACATGTAATCCTTCATCACGACACAAGTTGTTGTAGTGATTTTGAAGTGAATGAACAATATTCTTTGGCATCTAGTTTAAAAAGGACTGTATGGATGAGACAAGATTTCATCATAGTTTGTTTGTTTCGTTGTGACAACAATTATCACTTGACGAACTTAATTGGGAATACTAATTAATCATTAATGCTTTTGATAATGAGAAGCTTGGCGTCATCATGGTACTATGAGTCCTTGACACAACCTTGAACAATAATTTTCCTCTTGCAATTGCCACTGATGCCATAAATGTCAAACGAGGACTTCTTGTCATACTCTACTGATAGCCACCCAGATGATCAATCTTGTAATTGTTATCACTAAGACTCACGATTCGACCAATTCAAATATCAAAAAATCGTAGCACAGTCTAGTAGTGTCCCTATTCATCACTCATTATTTTTCACACAACTAACTCAAAACAAAGGTGATGAAAACCATTGATACATTTTTCAGTTGGAAAGTCAAATACTGGATTTCTATGAATTTTTTAGAAGTCAGTTGTAGAAAGTAACAACTGGAGCATTCTATATGGTCGTTACAAATGCGGGTTTATCGGGTCCATCATTTCGATTCATCCTGGATTTTTGAATGGTGGAATATAAGTTTTTCTCTCATATTAGACACGTTGCTCACTACTTGAAACTTTTTAAGAAAGAAAGATGTTCGAATTTCGCTTCCTCCTATTAAATCTCGTTCCAAGACCAGTCTCTCTCCCAAGTATATTCTAGGACAAATTTAATTTGGAATGTTGGTTTACATTTACACTTGCATGGTCGATGTGTTGACGTTAGCTTTCTCTCTATTTGGGATCACATTGTGACTATAATTATGGATTTCCTTAATGTTTCCTAGGTGGACCATTTGTATTAGAAAAATGCAGCCTCATTCCGCTCAAACCGTAGAACTCTATAATACATCTCTCGTATTCGTTTTACAACAATGTGAATCCCAACCGGTTAAATCGAGAGTCAAACAGAAAATCGAGAAAATTTAAGTTACCATTCGAAGCCAAGTTTAATAGAGACTGGATTTCTTGACGTAGTCAACTCTGGTATTACACCATTCCTACACCGTTAAGATGTACAACTCGTCAATGATGAATATGCTCAATAAAGTCTAATGAAAATCCCTCAAACACCAATCCTTTTCAAAGGATGGATGTTTGGCGAGATACAAACCCATTAGTTTTCCTCCAATTAACTCCAAACTCTTGTTTACATTATCGAAACACAAACATGCTCATAGTGGATCCACAATAAAAACCTGAAAACATTTTGCAGAAAGATTTTTCTCGCAATTTGCAAGCATCCTGCCAAATAGACGATGTTCAAAATTATAAATGGAAATACTGGCAACAATATAGTTATTTCTATTGAATGAGCAGACTAGTCGTTACCTACAAGCTTGAATAGGGTTTTCAGTTGTTGGTATTAGCGAGCAATTCAAATGGAATGAAATGTCGTATTTCAAAGGCCTCATGCAACTTGTTCACCAAATCTGCTCGTTCAAATACTTGTGATAGATTAGCGGAGGTTAAATATCTTTGTATATCGTCAATAGTGACGTCATGATTTTCTTGACCAGATATAAATTTAAATAATAAACGAAGATCTTTCATTGTTGTTAGACATATAAATATTGTCATGACTTTTGAGAAATTGTCTAATGCACTCATGGTAGTAGAAATCACTGTTAAAACAAAAATTTCGGTCAAGGATTCTTTGCAAGTAATTTTGTGTTGATTTTTGGCTAAGCGTTGACATCAAATTATTGTTGACCCAAAATACAACAGTTTGACAAGTGTCGGAGAGTAGAAGAGTCATTTGGAATATCTTCTTAATTATTTTTCTTTTTCGCTTCCAATTCTTTAAAATTCTTTCTCCAGTGAATATTACGACGCTGTTGGAGCCTGTTCTCTGTTCATTCTTGAGTATTTTTTTTTTGTTAGATATCCCAAAGTTTTTGTTTATTCCCATTCTAAACCAGTACAAGACAAATTCTCAAGTCTGTTAGTGTTGTTGCTAAATAATTAACGGATATATTTGTCTGATGTGTTTTGACTTCCATCTAAATATCAGGCCTGACTCCCGATAGACATTGAAAAGAGATACCACCACCTTAATAATTGGAGATGAGGAAAACTTTTAAAAAAAAATTTCAGACATTTCAATCTCTGTCCTTTATTGTGAGCTCACAATTGGATGTTAATTTCGTATACTCGAAACTTTAAAGTATTCGAGTTGTGTCACTTCATTGGGCAAAGGTCTCTCTTCAGGATTTTTCTTTAACATGGAAATTACAATTTCCACAAGTTCCTGTGAGCATTGAGGAGCTCGCGTTGCAAAATTATTTCGAATGAGTTGTTCGACTGATTCTGGTGTCTCCTTAAGATGAAGTTTGTATTGATGTTCCTTGAGATAGAGTTGAGTAATGCAAGTTTCAGTATCTCCTGTCAAACATTGATAAGCAGTGACACCCACTGAGAACACATCCGATTGGAAGCAATACTTTCCTTGAACGAGTGATTCCCAACTCATATAAATAGGTGTTCCAGCAAATCCTAATTGTGTACTCAACAAGGTATGAGCATCTTTGGAGAGCAAGTCCTGTGTGTTTTCCTCTGTTAACATGTATTCCTCTTGATTGTTACAATTTCCAGTTGAACTCATGCTTGTCGATTGCTCATTAAATGAAGTATTGGATGAACTATTTCTCCAACCTTTCTTTGCTAAACCAAAATCTCCAAGAACAACTTCAATATGTGAACGTTGTCGATCGTAATTCTTGACAAAAATATTGGATGGTTTCACATCACGGTGAATCATGTTGAAATCAATATTCATGTAGTGAAGTGCTGAGCAAAGTTGATAAATGAGTTGAGCCACGATTATTTCTGGCAGTGTGAATATTCCGAGTAACATTTGATTTTCAATAAACTTTTCCAAATCACCCAATTCATAAAAGTCCATTTCCATACATAACATTTGTTGACCTGGATCAATAAAAACGTCATTCACACGAACAATATTTGGATGAACCATTCGAAGTAAATGAGTAGCTTCTCGCAATGTTTGATTCAATTCGTTCAAACTTCCAAAACGAATGAGTTTGATGGCTTTCCATTGATTGTTTTGTTTCACATCTTGACCCTTCAAGACGACACCAAAAGCTCCCGATCCAACCTTTGAAAGATTTGTGAATCGATCAATTAACATGGAAGCTCCATTACTGTTGCTATTCTGATATTGTCCATTATCTGTGAGAGTGGTTGCTGTAGAAACTTGTGAAATATTCATAAAGGTTCGAATATTGTTACTATTGGTGGAGCGATTAAAATGGTTGTTGAAATTATTATATGAAGTACTCTGGCCAGAGAATGGAGTGGTATTGTTCGTATTGTTGCTACTGCTAACAGGAGTGTTCGAGTGGAATAAATTCATTTCCTTATCCATGGATAAACTTAAATTTGAATCAAAATCGCCACCAGCTTTTTGTGTCGTTCCAACGAGAGCACTTTCTGTACCGCCTGCAATGGCACTTTCTGTTCCACTCGATGTTTCTCGTTCCTCTGATTTCTTCTTTCGATCCTTCTTCATAATAATGAACAAGGAAATTGCAATAAATAATCCAGCAAGTAAGATGAGCAGTACAACACTTGTCACAGGTAGTGCAATGGCAAGAATGGTTGAGTCATCCAGTGAGTTGATTGCGTTTTGGCATTGAGATCCTGTATAATTTCCATTACACACACAAGTGTCTTGATAAATGCAAATACCTCTTCCATTACACACAGCAGGATCTGTTCCATTCTTTCCAAAACAGAAACCATATTGGCAATTGGAACCAAAGTAACCACTGTTGCATGCACAAATTCCTTCAATTGTACAGGTACCATTTCCTCTATTACAAACATCAGTGCTTGTTCTGACCACTCCATTACAAGTGACAATAGGACAATAACCCTTAACTGCTGGAGCTGACAAGAAGACACTGTGAAAACCACCGGCGGATACCATCAAGATTGCTTTTCCTTCATCCGACAAAGAAATGGTATTTGAAGTTTGAATGGTATCATTGGCAGATCCGATTTGTCCATAATCATTATTTCCGTAGGCATAAACTTCTCCGGTAGTGGTGAGCATGATGGTGTGAAAAGCTCCTGCCTTGATGTCAGCAATTCGAACGTCACTTGGAATGATCACTCGTGTTGGAGTAAAAACAAAAGAGCTGCTCGTTCCTTCAAGCTTACCCAATTGTCCATAATCATTTCTTCCAAAGGATAAAATCGATCCATCTGCCAACACTACATGCGAGTGGTAGTAACCAGCAACAATTTGTTTCACACTTTGTGACGTTTGTAATTTTGTTGGAGTTAACACGTTGTGTGTGCCTGAAGTAGTGACACCACACTGACCATAACTATTGTCACCAAACACATAGGCTGCTCCTGTTTCACTCAATACCATGGAATGCTTTGCTCCACATGAAATAGCAGCTGCTTTTTCTCCATTCAAAGACACAGTAGTGGCTTGAACAGTTCCAGATCCAACATTTCCAGTTCCAAGTTGACCATTTTGATTCAAACCTACAGAATATAAAACTCCATCTTGGTCAATTATGAGAGCATGGTAAGCGCCACATGCAATGGACTTGAATTTCTTGTTGGTGAGAGCTGTGATAGGCGATCGCATGTAAGGACTGTCACCTCCCAGTAATGTCAAATCATTGGTATCCCGCTGTAAAATAATTGTGTTTGTGAAGGTCGAGCATATCATTTTAGCATTTTGAGCTACTAACATTGGAGAATAAATGATATCGTCTGCTCCTGCAAACATGGAATTGTAATTACGACCTGAAACATAAAACGACGTTGGTGTGTAAATAAATGTTTGGAATGGACCTGTCTGAAGTGAAATGTTTGTAACAGGAGAATAATCAACCTTCACAAGAGCACTTGTTTTTACCGAGGTGGTTTCTTCAACAGAGAACATGAAACGAGTGACAGTCGATGGTTTCAACGATTGCTTGACTCCTAATTGTCCTAAATTGTTCAGACCAAATGCTCTCACAGTATTATCGTCTCGAGTGAGGAAAGTGTTAAAATCTCCACATTCAATATCTGTAATGTTTCTACCAAGTAGTATTGGTGCTCGAATTTCTGCTCCAGGTCGAAGTCTCGGCGATATACCAAGTTGACCATAGGCATTAGATCCAGCGCCGTAAGCTTCATGATCTTCTGTGAGAACAACGACATGTCTTGCACCGCATTTTGCTTTGATGACCTTGTCGGGAATTCCAAAATTGAGTAAAAAGTTGGGAGGAGGTAGATCCATTAACAGGAACATGTCACGTTTGGGAGCTGCTGTTCCAAATACCCAAACTCTCTTATTTTTGTCTACAAGTAACAAAAATCGGTCACATATTTTTACATCTTCAATGGTCGCCAATGTTCCGTTAAACACTTTAAGCTTGTTAAATGCCAAACCTTCAAAGGTGACATTATATCCTGGAAATCTGCCGAAAAATTTAACTGGGACTAACTCCATACCTGGAGCCTGCTTGTTAGTAACCAAATTATTGATATCTCCTAAAATTACAACCTGTTCCTCTCCAATGACGAGAGTGTTGTATTTTCCAGCGACTACCTCTTTCACTTTAAAATCATCTCCTGTTTTAAAATAGCCAGGTATTTGCATGGAATCTAAATTTGCAAGGATTGGTGTTGTGAAATATGAAAATTTGATATTGTTCATGGTCTCATTCGAAACACTAGAAATACCCATTTGGTTATTCAAATTAGAACCAAAAAATCCAATCGATCGATTCCTGAAAATGAAAACAGTGTGATCATTTTCAACAGAGACTTTGTCGACCGAGTCAAATATCAGCACTGGAGTTTGAGATGGTTTTGTCGTATTGCATCCAAGCTGTCCCATATTATTTCTACTTCCAAAGCTATAAAGCTGACCGATATCAGAAAGAACAATACTGAAACCACTTCCAGAGTGTACCGATTTCACAGGAATGTCCTTATTTTGATATTTAAACTTGTAGCTGGTGGGAGTTTTCTGAATGCTTTGTTTCTGCATTTCTGGAAATGCTGCCCTATTGAGTAAAGTGTTCGAATCTTCCCAATCGAAAATAAAAGAATTATCAGCGGTGAGTACAGGTACTGGATTTTCTGTTGGAGCTATTCCCAATCCACCATTTTCATTCAATCCAAATACATAGATCGTCTTGTTATCTTCAGCAAGAGCAATGGTATGTGTCACGGAAGCTGATATTTGTCGAACAACTGCATAATTTCCAGGTAATCTTTCTTTGGAATCGTCTTTGGAGCCGTCTTTGGAATCATCTTTAGAGTCGTCTTTATCCATAGAACCTCTTCGAAATTGGGTATATGGTTCAATGTTGTTGGTTTTTGCATTCTCAGATTTCTCTTTGTTAAAACGAAGAGCAGATTTGAAAAATTCAACAAGCGTTGGATCACTCACAAACAAGGTTGAAGTTGGAAAAGCAACTGACCCATTTCCAATAGATCCATTTCCCAACGCACCGGATGAAGGTAAACCTGCGGACATGATCTCAAGTGTGTAAGGTGAAGGTGGTGGTTGACAAGTGACAGGATATTGGCCCAACTCTATTCCTGTGGATATTGCGTCTTTTGTAAATCTCGATTCGAAATTATAAGCTAATACAATAAATGTTGTTGAAGAAAATACACTCGATATTGTTTGTTCTTCATCACTTGCGGTTGAAATGGACCGTTTCATCATTGTGAACGTCCCAATGAAATGATTTGAGAAAATGAAAAGCAGTGTGAGAAACAGGAAGAATCTCATGGTCAACATCCATAACGATTCTGAAAATCGTTTTCTACACAGGCTTGTAGTACTTGATAAATTCTTCTTCTTGTTATTACTGCGATTAGCTGGATAAGAAGATTGCTTTACGAGATCCAAAGTTGAAAGTTTCCATTTTTGGAAAATAGACGAGGAAGAGCTAGCCGATGAGAATTTGGATGAGTGGTTGGGTTCAAGTTGTTCATGTTGTTGTTGTTGTTGGGTAACGCTGATGATACATGAATTTCCTTGTTGTTCATGTCGCTGTTGAATATTATTATTCAAAAAGTCGTCTGATGATGAAATGGATGGATGATACAAATGATGATGATGAAAATGATGATTATAAATATTTGTCGTTCGGTTCTTCCGCAATGTTTCGTCGATCTTTGGATATTCTGATCGAAGCTGCTGAATTGATTCGTTGTCTATGTGTTGGTTAAATATTTTCCGTTGTTCGTGTTGTTCTTGCTCTCGTTGTTCGTGTTGTTGATGATTCCAAGAATTTATATCAAAGGAAGAGACATCATGTACCATGAACGAATGAAAATTTGTTGTTTCGCTGGCTCTGAATTTAAAAGTGGTATTTGTTGTTGTTGTGGGTCTCATTTCATCAATACTCCCAACGGCAGCACAGCAACGGTTCATACTGAAGAAAATTTTTGCCTTGAAAAAATTTGAAGTTTGACAGCTGGCGAAGGAATGGCTTCGAAAAAAGAGTTCAGCATGTGCGAACTTTATAAATCTCAAATTGCAACTCTGTGTCCATAATCTGTTTCTTTTATCTACATTCTCAAACTACAGCCTTTTGAATTTCAATGACACAAAAGAATAATTATGTGACCATCAACAATTAAGAATGGACAAAATGGATATTAAATTCATCAAATACTGGTCATGACACTCGTTGGCCTCCTCAACCATTTTTCATTTCCACTACAAAAAAACGCCACACAATAACTAATGTCATCCCCTCGAGCGCATTTCCGTACCAAATGTCATTCCTATGTTTTTATGGTGTTGATGATTCAATGGATTGGACTTGTAGTGATGATGAATGAGAATCATCAGTATGGTTATGGTCATCCTTCTTCTCAAATTTCGGAAAAGGTTCAACAAGTGTTAAATCGAATTTTACATCCAACAGAACATGCTCCGAGAGGAAGAAATAATTTTGAATTTTCGAAAACAGTTCGAGAGAGTACGGAATTGAATCGTCATGATGATGAATTTTCAGCAGCATGGAACACACGGTCACATCGAATGACAAGCAACACGATGCAAGAACAGAATATTTTCAAATTGGCATCTGACAGCTCTTCTTCGGTTTCATTCACTACTTGGAATGCAGAACTGAATCAATATCCTAAAAACCTTCAACTCAATTTCACACTCTATGTGGACCCACAATCCTCTCTGTCATTGATGTGTGGTTTTTCTCGAGACAGGCCTTGTCCTTTACTTTTTCACGCTTTATATTATTTGAATCAAAAACTCGAACGAGATTTTTATAATTTCACACACACGCTTACAAATTTCAAACGAGCCATTATCATTGATATAATTCTCATGAATGATCTTTCAGAATGTAGCGCTTCCCTTCAATCCATGCCGTTTCCTAATTTGAAATATCTCATCAAAATTCAATCAGATCCATTACAACCATTGAAAACATTTCTTTTTGAATGTGGACAAAATTATCAAGTACCAATTATTGGAAATGGTCGTTTAGATATTCGAGTCGTCATGTTTCACAATATTCAACTCTCAATCTATCAGTACACTTGTGTGGGTATTAATTACATCATTTCGAATACGAAATTTATTTATACCCAAATATTGACAAATTTCGAACCTTGTGGCTCTAACATTGTTAAAGGAGATTACATACTTTTGGAGAATTGTCAAGTATTTGCTGGCGATCTTTTATATTTATTTCCATTTCATTATTCTCAAGTTATGTTGCTAGGAATGAAAGGCAATGGACGAACGTCACTCATTTTCATACAATATGTCTCACAGGTCGTGATTAAGGATTGGGATTTTCCGTTTAGCACTCACTTTTTTCAAGACGTTGACACGTTACAAGTTTTGAATTCCAGAATTTTTTCACAAAGCTTGACTTTGAATAAGGTCACAAATGTGATTGTGCAAAACACACTATTTGAAAATTTTAATGGATTGGATTATGCTTCGTTTTATGCAGATTTTGGAAATGCAGTTAGTTTTAAAAATGTGAGCGCTGAAAATGGAGAACAATTTATGCATGTTCAGGGCTACCTTAGTGTAGAGATGTCAGATGTCAAAGTACAGCACAATGACCTTCAGAGAATAACAAGACCCGAAACTAATTTTCGTGAGCTCAACGCAATCATTTCTATCACTCAGACATTTCGAGTGAACATTGTAAATTCCTTATTTTTCAACAATACTGGCAAGCTAGGATCCTCATTATACATGGACAATATTTATGTCATGGATATCGTCTCGTCCTCATTCATTTCGAATACTGCAGAATCAGGAGGTGCCATCTATGTTTATTCCTTCTCCAAGACATACATTTATGGAAGATCCGAATTCAAAAATTGTTTATTTGACAACAACTCGGCACAACATTCTGGAGGAGCTGTATATATTCGAATGGGATTTTTAATCCTTTTCACAGCATGTGATTTTAGAAATAATCGAGTGGTCTTCTCAGGAGGTGCCTTTTACGTGGGATATGCCATCCGTTCGATTCTCATTGATTATTCTGTATTTAGAAATAACACAGTCAGTGGAACGTCAGCATTTGAAAGTGCAGGTGGTGCCATTGCCATTACCTATATTTTTTCATCGTCAAAACCACAAGATTTCAAACCTCTTCAAAATGCTCTCTTTATTGAAAATTCTGCTCCTCGAGGAGGTGGAATCTATTATTACCCTCGATTCAGTGAAGGAGTACAATTAAGAAATATTACATTTGTGAGAAATAGAGCAACCATTAGTGGAGCTGCCATGTTCATTGCTGGAGGTTATCAAATTGGAAATGACTCCAAGATGGTTTTTATGGACAATCATGCAAAATATAGTACAGATGTGGGATATCCAATTTTTACCATCCAAGTCTATGGTAAATCTCTTATGGATGATACGAAACATTTAAATTCAGAAAAAAACCTTAATGTATTTCATCATGTCATTCCTGGAAGTATTTATGAATTTCATGTGGAAGCACGTGACGAGTTGGATCATTATTTACCTGCAAATTCAGAAAATTTAGTCATTGAAAGCCAAAATCCATTCGTGTATGCTCACAAATTATTCACTCATCCAGATCGTATTCAAATGATATTTTATATTTTGACCAATGACACGTTCTTTTATGGAGATCAATCATTTGTGAATGTCACTGTGACCTTTGCAGGAGAAAAATCCAACATGCCTACTGAAGTACAAGTGAATATTCAATCGTGTCCTGCCCAATACAAACTCGATAAGGTTCCTACTGAGCTTGGAAAGATTGTTTACGGATGTGTGGAAGTTCCACAAACGAATTATCTGTTAATATTTGGAATTGCAATTCCATTGAGTATTTTCACATTTATTATGGGAACGATCATTGCCATTGTGGTGACATATTCTGTAAAGACCATTCGTAGAAAATTGAAAAAACTTCAAGAAAAGGAACGCGCTGAACATGAAATGCAACAAAAATTAATTGACAAGAATTTGATTTTTGACATTGACATTGACAGTGAAGAATGTGTGTCAGGAAGAGATGAACTTTCTCTCGCTGGATGGAATCATGAAATGATGGATCAACAAATCCCAAAAATACCCAAAAACATGTCATCAAATTCAAGTGGCAGCAAGGGAAGTCATTCTTCTCATAGTAAGAAGAGCAATTCTTCGAGTTCGAAAAGTGATTTGGAAGTTCCCTTATTGTCCTATGATCCACAACAGAAGGAAGCTTCAATTTCACAAATTAATAATTTCATTATTCCTATTGAGGACATTAAGATTGAGAGAAAAATTGGTGAGGGTGGAAATGGAGGTATGTAGTTCATTGATGGTATTTGTCATGTGTTCAAGTTGGATTGTTGCCTGATGGGATGTGGTTTCTCATTTGGGTGTTTTACATTTTTTTGTAAATTTAATATGTATTGAATATTACCATTTTTGGAAAAACAATATTTATTGGACTCACACCTTTATAATATCAGTGGTATATTTGGGATTATGGCGAAACTTGAAGGTAGCCATTAAATCTGTCAAGGCGTTCGACCTTTCTGAAGAAGAATCTGATGAGTTTGATAAAGAAGCAGCCATTCTGAGTCGTTTACGGCATTTCAATGTCGTTCAATTCTATGGAGTGACTGTAACAAAACAAAGCAAGTACATGATTACAGAATTTTTATCGAAGGGCAGTCTCGATCGAATTATTTATCAATCGAAAAATGGAATTCTTGTGTTGACTCTTCGAAAAAGAATTAATATTTTGATTGATGTTGCCAATGGAATGGATTATTTACATTCGTTGAAACCTGCTATTATTCATCGTGATTTGGTATGTTGTGTACAATTTCTACATTCTTAATATTTACTGTTTTGGAATCATTTATTTTTGTAATTTTACTATTTTCGAAATTTCCTTTTTTTGAAATTTTGAAAACTACAGAAACCTGGTAATATTTTACTCAATGAACACTTTTCAAGTAAGGTTTGCGACTTTGGTTTGGTACGTCTCGTAGGCAACACTGCACAAAGCTTGACCAAAAACGTTGGAACTCTTCTCTACCTCGCTCCAGAAATTATTTCCTTAGACAATTATTTGACCAGTCAGACCAATATGGAAACAACGACTTCAACAAATCCACAAAAGAAAGGTAATTTACTTACCAAAGTCGATGTCTATTCCTTTGCCATTGTCATGTGGGAATTGCTATTCGAAAAGACACCATTTTTAGAATTTCCTCTTGCAGAACATGGTAACAACAGAATGGTCGGTGGAGCTGGTTCGACTTACCGAGTTCCAATTCTCGTATCGAAAGGCGAACGACCCCAAGTGTTGGAAAATCAAGAGCAAATTCAGAAATGGCTTTCGACTCGAAATCCCCAACAATTACCAGATTTAGCTGAGTTGAAAGATCCTGATGAATTTGTAGCGAGATATATTCAATTAATGAAAACGTGTTGGGACCAGACACCACAGAATCGACCTTCGTTTTCTCAAATTTTGAAACAACTCGAAGAATTGGCCAAGATGTTTAACTAATACAGCTGAATGTAAAATGTGAAAAGATGAATCGAGGTGGAATGATTGGAAAAGCAAAATCAGAAGATGTCAAAGACAAACGAGTTACTTTTCCAAACAATATCTAAGTTTAAAGCTCTTGTCTGCTCAAAAAGTCAAACGAGCGTGTTTCCTAACCGATTTGACAACCGTTGGGATCAATCATTCGAATCGATAGAATTCTGACCTTCCTCATTTGTCCTATGTTTAAAGTTCTAAGAATCAAAATTATGATTATTGAATTGTGAATAATAATTTAATATCAATGCCAACCTCCCATTTAAGCATACAATTTGCTATTTCCTCCGTCGTTATCGTCATCCTTCCTTGGTTGATTTGCAGCACCTCCGAACATGTTAGCAAATGGGTTTCCAGAACCTAACATCTTTGAGGCATAGCGTTGCATGAATGCAGAAACTTCTGGATCAGACATGTGTTGCATGAGACTTTGTGGGCCATTGTCACGTACTTCAGTGAAAACTCGAGTGAGCTTTTCGCTTTGTTGAACTTCTGGTTCTTCCAAAATTTGTGACATTACAGCTCGTTGTTGCTCGTCCATATTGGCACCATCCATTCCTGGCATGTTTCCAAAAACACCTCCTGGTCCACCCATATTTCTCATCATGTTTGAAACCATTTCTTGCATTCCTGGTTGTTGCATCATGTTCATAGCCATTTGCATGAATTGTGGATTGTTCAACATTTCAGAAAGACCTCCTAAATTTGGCATTCCACCAGGGAAACCTCCTCCAAGACCGCCACCCAGACCAGCAAATGGGTTGCTAGCAGCAGATGATGATGTTGATGAAAGTTGTTCAATTTTAGAAGCATATTCAGTTGCAGATTCTGGATTCAAATCGATCAATTTTTCGTAGGTTTTGATGGCCTCCTTCTTTTTGTTCAATTTTGTTTGACATTGAGCAAGTCTTTGATATGCCTTGACATAGGTGTCGTTCAGTTTGATTGATTGTTCACAGCACTTGAGAGCTTTCTCATGTTGGCCTAAGCTAATGTAGGCAGCAGCCATGTTGCTTGGATAAATATGATTTTGTGGATTATATTGCATTGCAAGTCTGTATGATTCAATAGCTCCTTCATAGTCCTTATTCTTCAACTTTTCGTTGCCTTCTTCTTTAGCCTTCTCAGCCTTTTCAACATCAATGGCTGATGAAGCGGAACTTGTTGTTGTTGGTGTTTGTTGATGAGACTTCATCTTTTCTTGGAATTTCAATTTAGCCTTCTCATAACGCATCTCATATGTATCAGTGCTTGTTGTATTCTTAAAGTAACCCATTGAATCCAATTGCTTCATGAATGCTTTAAACTTTTCATCCATTGAATAATCAACAATGCTCAACTGCTCACATCCAGCCCTCCAAACCTGTTCCAAATTAATAGTGTTATTATTCTCAACAGGTCCGATGGAATATGTATTACGGAGCATTTGAACAGCGAGTTGAGCCTCTTCATTATCGGTGGTTGTTCTTGCGAGGAAATCCACAATGGATTTCAAAAGTTCTCTGTTAGCGAATGATGGTGTTGGATTACTCATTTTTTTTTGATTTAAAAAAAATAAATTTATTCCGTCATCCGTATGTGATCGGAATCAAATATGTTCCAAACAATCACAGCCATGTGATGAAAACCAATGATAACTAGCATTTAATCTTGAGCTATGGATGTCATTTTGGATGAAAAAAGCATGATCCAAAATATTGCAACTGTAGCTATCAGGAGCAAAAAGGTAAGGGTGGATTTACGCCACCAATCGCTTCTGAGAAATGAGCAGATCGCAGTGTTACAATTACACAACTTGCCTCAAAGATTATGGTAGTGTTTGAGGATTTGAGAGGAATTGAATCCATCCACCACGTTCATGTTATGGTTGCTTTTAAATAGAAGGTTCAATATTTGAATAGGTGCAATTTCCGCATGCAAGTTGAGTTTTTATTGACCCACTCCATCATCAACCAAAGTCTGTGCTTGGGAAGTTCGTCCAGTTGGACCATGGTTGGAGTTGAATTCAACCAACACGATATCTTTGATTCGTTTTTGGTCCAGAAACGATGCAGAGGCACTTTTAGAGGATTTTCTGGTCTTGGTGATTTTGCTTTGGGGAGTTGTGGACGTTTTCATCAAGGTTTGGCTGAATAATGCAGCAGAATGATCATGACAACGTTTTAAAGGCAATTGCTTGCTGTTGTTGTTACTAGTAGTGAGTGGTTGCAATTGTTTCAATAACGAAGTTCCCATTGCTTTTTGAATGAATTCAGTAACGGGTGATGGTGGAGGAGATGGTTGTTGTTGGTATGGATTGGATTCTACATAATGTTGACCATGAAGAGAAGATGAGTTGCCAGACAAGGAAGAAATTGGAGAAAAACCACAACAACTCTCCATCGAATGATTTTCTAAGGTGATTGGAGTGGAGGACGAACATCGAGTCAAATTCTTGGATGAAAAGCCTTCGAAGAAACGGTTCACTACATCAGCAGGAGGAAACCACACGTCTGCTGTTGCCTCAGGAAGACAATACTCCAATGGTTGAAAACTGTTCTGAGCAAGGAATTGAGAGGTTGGCATTACGGTTGGTTCATTAAAAGAATAGTGTTGGGGCTGAGAGGACAATAGGAGCGAAGGATATATGTCTTGAGCAGCAGGATCAATCTCCTGATCATCATCAGTACTCAATGCAGACCATCGAAGAGGTAAATCCGATTTTGAAAATTGTAAAGCCTTATCAATGAGATGATACAAGAAGGAAAGAATGGTTTGATTCGTGAAATGATGAGAGGAAGGAGTATTGAGCAACGCTTGCAATAGATAGGTTTGTAGCTCCATATCCAAGTTGTTGTGGTGGTTATTAGCATAATTCTGGAGCATGGTATGATCGTTGTTAGAGGTTCTTCCTTGATGAGGAATAAATTCCATGTTGGAAATGTAATGCTGGCTCGAATTCATCTTTGCATGAAAGAATGGCAGTGTATGATGCATCGTGGATGGCGATTCTTTTTCGTGTTTGATCATACGGTGGTTGTTGTAGTGTCGGCGTTTGGGTATGTGTCACACACCTCCGCTTCGGCACACATCAAATCCAAACACAATACTTTGAAAAGAGAGCGCCAAATCAATGATGGATCATGACATTTGTCATTTAGAATTGTACATTTTTGGCGCGGTTTAGTAATATCTTTGTCTCAACTTGTGTTTACTTGAATCCATCATTGTCAACCGACTGCATCTTGGATTTCACTTTCCATCAAGATTCTTTTTGAATCCAAATTCTTTTCGTCCACATATAGCTTGTTAAGGATAACCTTTCATCATTTCCGATAACCTGCTACAAATCTCGCTAAATTCTGGTCTTTCATTGAAATTTTGGTTCCAACATTCTTTCATGAGTGAGATATACTGACTTGTCATGCGACATGTTAATTCCAGTGACATTGTGGAATTACCACGTGGCTGCACGAACTCGGCAATCCATTGCTCCAATTCTTCATCCGTACGGAATGGAATGATTGGCCTTAAACCATGCATGACGTGAAACAGTAGCTTAATTCCTAAGGCATCGTTCTCTTCTTGTTTTTCCACAAATTTATATAGTTTTTTCGAATCAGAATTCAAATATGGTTTCTCTTCAAAGAACAGTTCCCACATGATGATTGCAAAACTGTAAACATCCACTTTGTGATTGTAGTTGGTATCTCCAGATATCATTTCCTATATTTTTCACACCCCATGTTCGATTACTAATTAGAAGTAGCATTTCAATTGAGCAATGACTTACATTTGACATGTAAAATAATGTACCAATATTAGTCGTTGCTGAATTTGATCGACTATTTCCTAATGCCTTGCTTAGACCAAAATCACATATTTTGGCTGTGTATTTACCATTATTCAATCCACACAACAAAATATTACCAGGTTTTAAATCACGGTGAATGATTCGTTTCGGTTTCAAACTGTGTAAATAATTCATTCCTTTTGCAATATCGAGAAGAATATTAATTTTGCTTGGTAAATCTAAAATTTCAACGCCATTGTATGAATTGGCAATTAATTTTTCCAGAGATCCTTTTTGTAAAAATTCAACAACCATATACTTTTGTGTACCAGAAACGATGACTCCAAAAAATTGAACAATATTGGGATGACGAATACTTCCAAGTAGGGATGCCTCTCTTTCAAACTCCTCATTACTTTCTTCTATTTCATCCATCGATGAGCCTTTTTTCAATGATTTCAATGCAACTTGTGAACCATTCCATAATGCCATATAAACGGTACCACTTGAACCCTCTGCGATTCTCCTTTCGACTTCAATGTCATCAATAGAAATAATCCAAGATAAATTTTTCACAGCTGATGTTTGGTGTGACCTGTTGTTAGAATGATTGCTCCTCAATAGCGATGTTTTCTCGTCAGCATCACTTGGTTGATTGACAGATCCTTCATGCCTAGATCGGTGATCAACTCCTGAGTCTTCGTGGTTCATCAAAACAATTCGTTTTTCCAATAATTTTGATTCCATTTTCTTCTCTGCATTTTCCTTTCTTTCCAATCGTTTCAATTTCTGGAAAATATTTCTGCCAACACGAATGGCCAAATACACCAACAAAGTTACCAGTAAAAAGAACACAAAATTTACAACAACCACAACTGGTACGATAATAGAAAGAGACATTTGTGGGAGGGGTGTGCAAGTCATACTTCCAGATGGCAATCCACGCATGCTTAAAGTAGTACCTTCTGGACACTGTAATATATGTACGAGAAGTGGAATTTCATATTCAAAATCCAGAATCATGGTCACGTGTATGACTTGTGTTGATGTATTGAAAATGGAGATGGCAAATGATTCCAAGCCGAGCGTATTGTTATTTCTATAACTCACATAAGCATCCTGAATTTCATGCCAATGACACTTGACTGGATGTCTCAGAAATCGTACTCGGTCACTTCCATTGTTCCACAATAGCAATTGAATTTCTTCAATGGTCTGTCCAGGATAGAGAAAGAGCTCAGGGATCTGATGTTCAGAATCTGATGTTAAAATTGACATATTTTCCGAGGTGTAGTGAATTTGAAGCTGAAATTTCATATTTGAGAATGGATAGGCAACGTTCGTGCCGTATGATTCACCAATATTCCCTTGCAATGTAGAATTGATAACTTGTAAATTTTGTAATTGGTCTGGATTGTTAAAGAAGAGACATCCTCCTACCATTGCTCTATTATTAAGGCATGAAGTGAAGGAGAGTGAGGTTTGTAACGAATTCACATAGAGAGCTCCTCCATATAATTCCACATAATTGTCTTCAAAAGAGGACGAACTGATTCTTAATTCTGAACTTATCACATTGATACTACCATGCACTGCCTTATTTTCTGTAAACATGGAGTCAAACATGTCAACAAGCTCAGCGGACACGTCAAGCACTGTAGCCACGTTACGAGAATTTGGTGTGTGCATGAAAAGTGTATTGTTGTGGAAGATACTATGCGTTAACTGAAACGTTGTTGTTCCAACAAATTGCCCCAAATTTGCCTTAATACAATTTTGGCCAATGTTGTTTTTAAAGGTCACATCCATGGCATACACTTGTTGCACTTCCTGAATGTCCATTAAGGATGACCTACAATTTAACCATGATGTGTGATAAATTTCAAACACAGATGCTGTAATCACTTGGATGATGTACTGATCTGGAGACTGCATTAAAGGTTCTAAACTTGAGAACTGGCTTTGTGTGATAAGGATGGATGGAATTCCCTTCAATTGTAAAAAAAATTTCCCAAAAGCTGAAATATAATTGAGAGCAGCATTATCAGAAAACAAAAAATTCAAATAATTTTCTTCTTCGAAAGTTACTGAGTGTAAAGTAATCCAAAAAAATCCATGGATCACCAATTTCGATCGCTTAAAACTACAATTTTCAATAATGAATGAATAATCATTTTTCACTACTGGTTGAACGTAGCGCGAGAATGATTCTATTTGAAACTCAACAAATACAGAGAGCTCAAAGTGAAAAATAGATTTGTCATGGTGCACTATTGTCACCATTTCCAATGAGCAGTTATTGAACTTGGCCGTTACTGACTTGAAGAAATTGAATGTAGAGTTTCTTAATCGTGTTTCTGTCATGAATAATGAGCTCCTAAATGGTGTCACATTATCGTTTTCAATTCGTTCTAAATTGATTTTGTAAAATGTTAGAGTGAAAATACCCAGACCTCTAAAGAGAGGATTATTTTCACAGTCTATAGTGATCGTAGTTTGGTTATCCTCAGATTGGACTATCAACTCATCAAGCTCGGCATCTCTGTAATCATGTTGACATTGGTCTCCTCCATAATGAGTATTTCCATCACTACTTGACATCAATATCAAACGAGCTGCCTTTCTGGGAATTTCAAGATTGTTGTATAATTTTTCAATGGCGATAACACCTTCGTAAATTGAACTACATGGGTTTGCTTTGTCCGTGCAATTATTAAAATCATTGTTATTATTATTTACATCATAATTGTTAGTAGGAAATAAATTAGTTTCGGATGATGATGAATTTACTTTCTGTATGTACAGTGTCGGCAGAACATCAACATTTGAGCCTTTCAGCAGTAAAGTATGTGCCAATGTCGTTGCAATAATGAAAGAGATGACGATGAGAGCTGTCATGAGCTTCATACATCTTTGGAATTTCATTTTTTTGCAAAATTGGAGATTAATGTTATGACGAATGGATTTTTTCAATCAACAACAACAACATCGAGAATAATTCTGTGTGAAACATGTTGGTATATGGATTTCGATTTTGTGTAAAACAAAAAATTTATTTAATCCGCTCCACGTAATACAAGTGCAATTTCTTTCTTTCTCAAATTTCTTGCAGGAATATAACTTCCAAAAATTGCACACAGCAACGCCATCACTAACATGGAAATAAATAAATAATAAGGGAAATCAAATTGGAATGGCATTTCCAAGAAGAGATTAAATTGAGCAGTCAAAGTTAATGCAATTACACATCCAATTACAGTTCCAGAAATGAATGCAGAAACCACTAAACATAATGCTTCATAAATATAGGCACGAATGAGTGCATTCACTGAGAGACCTACTGAACGTAAAACACCAAATTCCCATGAATTGTCTTTCACGTTGGCAGTGAAGGAAACGGCAAGCATGAAGAAACACAAAATAATGGCAATCGCTGCTACAATGTTAAAGAACGCCATCAATACAAGTGTTGCTGTTCCAGTACTTCCAACAAGATCTTTCACGTTTTGAATATTTGTAAAATCAGAGTTCACACTGGCTTGTAAAGCATTGACAGTGTCTTGTAATTGGGTCGTAGAAATATCATCCTTCAATTTGACAAATAATTTTGAATAATTAATCACTCCGTCATAAGTACCTCCAACAGATTTTGCTACCTGAGCAGCCACTTTCTTATAGGAATCCATGGTAATTAGGACAGGTGACCCAGCTGCAGTTAATTCATATGATGACATGAAAAATCCAGGAATCTTGTAGGCCAAACAACGAGTTTTTCCAATATAATCGACTTGGCTGGTTGTTGAAGTTTTCTTATTTCGCGAGAAAAATCGAAGATCTACAGGTGTCTTGATTCCAATTCCAACAGATGGTCGCATGGCCTCTGATGCAATAATGTCCAAATATTGTCGGTATTGTGAGGCAGGATCAAACGAGAGAGAAGCATTGCTTGGAAGTGATAATTTCACACCACTGAAAATTCTTGATGGGGCAAATCCAACTTTTTCTCCATCGACTAATGCTTGTCCTGCATTCGAATACAAGCTCTGGAAAACGTCAGGTTTGCCATTGGTCATATTGTAATTAAATTCCGTGTCCACATAGGTATAAAGGAAATATTGATTCTTGACAACGCTCAAAAAATTGCTATCAACGGCTGAAACTGCTACTTTTCGTGATGGATAATAGGCAAGAGAGGAAAATCTCACGTCGTTCATATACTGGAAGGTATTCAGTGTGTTTGATTGGTAGGCATATCCAACAATAGGTGGACCACTGCTTTGATTTTGATTTTGTAATGCAATGACAGCGTCTAACTTATCTTTTGGTAATGAATAGTATGAAGTAGTCGACATGACTACCACATCTGCTCCCAGAAAACTTTCAACATTGGCTCTAATATTTGCCGATTGCAATGAAAAGACGACACCTGCAAAGATAATAAATGCCACAGAGAGTGTGAACATTAAAAAGGTCTTTCTGCTACGTTTTCGATGTCCTGCCAAATTCTTTGAAATTAAAGTTTTCAATCTTCTCTCATGTCCACACAAAATGACATTCAGTACTAGTCGTTCAAAGAATGGTTGAATCACTACGGCAATCACACATAATCCCAATAGCATTCCCAACAAGATGGCATTCAAAATGAAGAAAAATAGAGGTAGGTCAGTAAAAATAAATGCATAAGGAATCATGTAATACACAACAAAACCAATAATGACCAACATGATGGCTACACCTGTTTGCCAAGGTTCCAAACCTAGCTCTTCAAGTTTGATCATTTTCACAGTTGTTTCATTAAAAGTCTGGTGAGCAATGTCGAGACTGTCTCGCAGTGTTCGACTCATGGCATGTCGAATTGGAATAATATTTGCAACAATTGGTATTCCAAGTCCGAGAGCAATTGGTACAACTACTGCACCCCAAAAGAAGAGTAAATTCAACTCTGGTGTGCTGATTACCACTTGCAATATATATTCTACAAGAATATTCACCAAGAAAGCCAAAATCATGGCAATAATAATTGCAGGAATTGCAAAATACATGGATTGAGCCAAAATGACCTGAATGAGAGAATATTGTCTCAATCCCAAAGCACGGAGCATACCATATTCGTAGGTCTTTTCTTCTACGTTGGAAAGAAGAAGAGCAAAAATCAATACGACACCCAAAATTGCTAACATGACAACCACTCCAATAAATATTTGGTCAATGAAGAGAGAAATGAATTGAGTGGCAGATAATGCGCTCAATAGTGGAAGAGTATATGAAACTGGATAAGAGACTCCAAGAGAATCCATCATTCCATTTGTGATTTGAATCATTTGATCAGTCCGTTCGTTAGAGCTCTTCAAATAGGCCGGAAATCGATCTTTAAACCTTCCTACAGCCGTCAACGCATATTGTTCTATCGGGAATGTGTTGAAAAAGTTTTTGATACGCTCTGTATCTCCAGAAAGCTCCAACAATAATTGAATGGCTGGAGATCGAAACAACGATTGACCAATCACTTTTCCAACATAGGCGCTGTCAATCATCATAATATTACCCAGAGCACCTGGATATTTTGCATAGTTGGAATTGATTGAGCTCACCACAGTATATTCTCCTTCCACTTTCAAATTTAAATCTGAGAAATTTCCTCCTCCTAATGTGGTTGCAATTGCTTGAAATGCTTGTTCTCCAGTAATTGTGATAATTCCAAATGCATTGATGAAGGGTTTCAACGGTGGTGGGATTTGAATTCCCAATTGATTGGCTACTTGAGTGATATTTACATTGAACGTTTGCGAAAAGTTAAATCCTGATGCTTCAAATAAGGTTCTCAATAATTCGGTTTGATTGATCGTTTGTTGATCTGGTGTGACTCCCTGTGAAATGGATTCGTCAGTTCCAGAAAAGGCGCTTGCCAAGCTTGCAAAATCAACAACCATATTGACACGTTTGCCACGATCAGGAACAATATCAATAGCACGAAGAATGGAATCTCTGACATGCATTTCTCCTTCTCCTAAAGGTCTGTAAGGCCAAATACGACCAATTCCTAACCTTTCTTCTCTTTCTGTATCGACAATTAATAAAATTCCACTTAGATTCTTGTGAGGATGATCTCGATTTTGGAGATTGGCAAATAAAATCCATCGAGGGCTTGTTCCAACAATGAAGGGATTACCATTGAGTTTTTTTGCAATCTCTGTGTGATTAATAAAAGGTATGGTGGTAGAGTTTGTGAATTTTGGTGTGAACATGATATCAGCGTCTCCAACATTGTCCTCAGACAATTTAAGAAAAATCAAATTTGCCTTAAGAATGGAATTGTAGAGAATACTGACGACAAATACCACAATGGCAATGGTTATTAAACCAACAAGGAAACTATTGTGTCAGATCGCCAATTTGAAGTGAGTCACACAAGTTGTCAAATATTTGGTCATAATTTTAAATCGATAACAAGTGAAATTTTCCTTAAAAAACCTACCTGGTACATCTCTTTTTAGTGTCCGATGTCACATAGATCAAACTGAACATCAAACTATAAAAGAACTCTTTCACATATCCCCATCCCGAAGTGATGACTTTTTTACCTTGCTGAATGTTACTCTTTTTGCCAGGCTCCTTTTCATTGGTACCTACGGCAGTGGAGTCCTGAATGGGATGAACATCGTCACCTTCACCACTGATTTGCAATGTTCCATAGTGGTGTGAATTTCTTGTTTTCGATGTACTACTTGCAGAGCCCAAAATACGATCTACGTTTTGAAATGTGTGTTTGGCTGCTTCTGTAGGATCGGTAAATTTCTTGTATTTATCGTCATAATCATTATCATCATCGTCATCATAATTATGTTTCGGATTGTTACTTTCACTACGTGAGTTCGACATGGGTGTCAAAAATTATTGTTGGTGAATAGATGATGATGATTGTATGTATATATATATAATAAATTATAATTGTTACAACTCGACAATCACTAAATTTTCAGTTTCAATATGTTTGTTTTGATCAACGGACAATTCAACAACAATGTGATTGTTTCAAAAACTCACGAATACCTCACGACTTGGTTGATGATTCGAGCGTGGTGTGGTCGTGCGTCCTTCGCTCTCTCTCCGATGAATAGGTTCGCCGAATGGAATCTGAAAAAGACTCAAGTCGATGATGATGCTAATATTTTTTTTAATGTGCGCTTTCAATTCCACTTTGTGTCCAATTTGGGTTCGCCTTTATTTAAATCAACAATTTGAACAAAACAAATCGAACAAAGTGCTGATCTTGCAAGCAAACACTCAAAGAGTGAAAGCCAGGGGAAAGGACCCAACGCACACAAGGTGGGGAAGACCCAACACACAAGGTGCTCAAAAACTAATTCTATGAGTAGTAAGGAATCGAAGAAGAATATTTCTTGCTCCATTGATATCTCTGTCAAAAATTGAGCCACATGATGGACAACGAAATCATCCCGAAGAATTTCCAACACATCATGTCGAAGTTTCATCATCATTCATACCTGCCCAGGTTGCTGGTGAAGTAACACAGTCAGAATCTACTGTCTCAGAAGATGTTTCATTTAATAATCAATCTGAATAAATCCTGAATTGTACAGCTCTTCACCTGGGTACTGAAACGTCCTTTGTTTTACTTACTTTAGTAATTGGTTTAATGTTCAACATCTACTGAATTGTGTTGGAATCAATTAACGGACATTGGCATTATTATGATGCATTTCCTTTATTTGAAACGATCAATTGAAAACACAATTTATAATAGTTTGATAACGATGTGTTTATTAATACATTTAAAAAATAACCACTGACTACCATGCTAAGCAATCAATAATCACCTCTTTATACACACCCAAGTGCACACTTTATTTCCTACAACATTGCTAACAAGAACAAATCAATGAATAAACAAACAACAAAGAAGAACTATGTTATGATGCCCAATTTTTTAGAAACCTTCAAACTCCCAGATCCGGGGTACCCAAAGGGTCTGAGTGAAGAGGAGATAAAAAAGGATGTATCTGGGATTATTCGAGAAATACAATCAGCCAACAAACAAGCACCAGCAATTAATTGAACCAATATACAATTTTTATAGATACTTTTGGTAGGTATTCAATGTTTCTATTTCCTTGCCGTCTTTGGAAAGAATAATAATAAAACGCTCGAAAATATTCTTTCTATCAGTGTTGTCTAGTGTTTCGATGTTATTGGAATTGATGTTCAAATCACTTATTTTAACTGGCACTACCATATCCAATCTTACGAATGAGGTAGTGGTGAGTTTTATGTAAGTACCTTTTAATTCAACTTCTGGATAAGTGATATCTACACTACCAGTACTTGTACGAGGGGTGGAAGAAATCGCCCATCCTAGCACACAGCTAATAGCCCGGATGGGGATGGTTGCAAAAATACTGCTTAATTGCACAACTCCAGCAACAACAATTTAAGGATCTTCATCATATGGTGTGCTACATCTGATGCTCCTGAAGATACATCACTTGATCCTGTTCTTTTGGCATGAACTCATGTTAGTTGGACATTTATGTGCTTTCTGTGGATTGAATTTTCTCTAGGAATTGCAAAATTCAATCCAAATCCTTTCTATTTTGCATGACTCGAACACATGTTCTCGTTCATTACTGAACTCTGCATAAACCAAAACTAATTCTTGTGTCGGATGACCAATAATAATTATTCTCAATTATTATTCCGTTCCGTATGGAATTTGGATTTTGGGCCGAGAGAGCCTTTGAATACACATTCCTTAAATTCAATTCAAACTCTTAGTGTTGATGTTTTTGAAACATTCTGATGCAAACTGGAGAGCTTGTGGATCTTGTTGAATGGCAGCTCGAACAATTTCAATATTTGATTGTAATTCTTCACTTGCAAATTGTAATGCAAGTCCATAATTCGAAACTGCTTTCATCACAATTTCAAAATCATTTCCAAACTCTTTTTCAACCAATTCCAAACTTCCTCCAAAGTTTGAAACTGCAATGGTCACTACTTCTCGATCTGTGCGAAATATGGGATCCACATATCGAAAGCCATTTCCTTTGCTTGAACATGCAAGAATGGCGACTTGTCGATCTCGTTTCAATTCATTGCTGGCATACATGAGAGAGGTTCCATTTCGTTTCACAGCTTCCATGACCACTTCTTTATCGTTTTTAAGCGAATCATCTGCATATTGAAGTGATAAGGGATTGAGTGAAATATTTTTCAATACTAAATCTCTCTGTTTTCTCTTCTCATCATTGAGATATCTCAAACTCCATTGAGTGGCAGCACTTGTGATGTTATTAGAAGGAGTACTCGTCGTCGAGTTGAAGTTATTTCTAATTTCATCTCGAATATCTTCGGGAACATGATCAATATTGGAAATGCTCTTTGTCAGTGCAATCTCAATAATTTCCCGATCCTTTCGAAGTGATACACTTGCAAATTTGAACGAGCTTCCATTCGGGCAACTTTTCATGGCTTTCAATACAATTTCACGATCATTACAAAATTCGGGAGGCAAAAACTCCAACAGCATGCTATTCGCTTGTACCATTTGCATGACAAATTCTCGATCATTTCTCAATGAATCTGGTATATAACTCATTGCTTGACGGTCATAAACTCTCGTCGTTTTGAATGTTTGAATCAAAAATTCCTTATCAGATGTTAAGGATTCATCGGCGAGTGACAAGGCACGGAGATAATGTTGACATGCTTCTAACATTAATGCCCTATCTTTTCGAACCTCGAGATTAGAGGCTAATTCTAATCCTTTGGTACCAAATTTCAAAGTATTCCGCAAAGTTTCACGACTCATTTCGACACAATGTTTCAACTCATCATAACGAGAATCAGAATAAATATAAATCACACTTGGGCATATTCTCAATGCCGTAGAAATAAATTGAGTATCTTTCTTCAACTCATTTGGAATGTAGTAATAGATTTGATAATCATTGGTTTCTTGTAATATGAAAAGCCAAAATTCTTGATTAAAATGTGTGCTATAGGTAAAGTTGGATAAAAAGTAGTGACTCTTTTTACAGACCTCTGCCACAAAATTCCTATCATATCTGAACTTGGGAGAAATAAGTTGAGTGACACCATATTGAGCTGCCTGTATAGCAATTTCTCGATCTTGACTCCATAACAACCGTTCCTCCTCTGATAAAAAGTAACAATGTTTAAACTTTTCAATCATTTTCAACAGGAGAGTTTTGTTGTTTCGAGTCACAGATGGATCCGCATACTGATAGGCATCGTCATTGGCAAGACATGCAATTTCAACCATTTGTGGATCTTTTCGTAGCCGTTCTGAAAATTAGGTCTGTTTTTTTAGATATAATTCTCATATCAAAATTTACATACCTGAGGCAAATTTAAATGCTGTGGAAGGATGTGTAGGACTATGATATGAATATCTGTGGAAATTGGTCCCTGGAATGGCATCGCTTTGAACTGCATATTGAACCATTTCAAAATCATCACGTAACTGTTTCGAAGCAAATTTGAAACAGCTTCCACATTTTGAGACTGCAATTTGAACAAATTCTCGATCATTGGAAAATGTGGGTGGAACAAATTCCAATGCTTTTGGATTGCTTTTCAAAGCTAATAATATAATTTGTTTGTCGTTGAGAAACTCCTCATTTTCAACAAATTGAATGGCTTCTCCAGAGGTATTGACAGCTAATTCAATCATTTCACGTTCATTCTTGAGTTCATTTGACACAAATTGCAATGCGTTTCCGTCTTGTTTCAAAGCTTTTCGAACAATTTCTCGATCTTTTCGAAACTCTTCACATGCATACTTCAATGACATTCCTTTTTTATCAACACATTTCAATACAATTTCTCGAAAATGTCCCAATTCAACATTCAAATAATCTACAGCCTTGTCAAATGTTTTCAATGCCATTTCAAATATTTCTCTGTCTTTTGCTGCCTCTCCTTTGGCAAATTCTATGGCACATCCATTCGTCGTGACTGCTTGCAACACAATTTCTCGATCGCTTTTTAATCGAATTGAAGCAAATTGAAGAGCTTGGGGAAATGATCTTACGGCCATCCATACTACTTGACGATCATCGGAATATTCCGGTAATTTTCTCAATTCATCATATCCTCTTCGTTTTACTCGTACCAAAAGACGTAAACGTTGAGTATTTTCGTTTTCCAATCGTTGTGCAATGTTTTGGGAAGTGATTTTTTGGAATTGACACAATAATTGAAATAATTGTTCGGAATGATGATACGGATGTTCTTGACTCGTTGTCGTTGATATATAAATCCTCGTTCGGAATGATGACGGCAATAAGTCATCATGAGCCAGAGAATTCATTGAAAAATGTTCTGTTGTGGAGAACGAAAGATCGACAAATGCATGAAAAGACATTTTTTGAAACACAATTTTCAATCTAATGGTCATTCAACACGCACCTCATAAGCATCATCAGCGTCATCTTCAAGGACATGTCAAGAAGTGTCGATGATTTAATAATCGACATCATCAACAAATTAAATTAATATTTGTTCTTTTATTATTTATTTGTTTGTTATTATTTAGGAGATTATTGGACGTTCTCGAATGAGGAAACTTCTGGCAAATCTTCACCCTTTTCTTGTGGTGCTGAAGACTTCTCTCCCTCCTTGAGATTGGCGAAAAGTTGTTGTAATTGACTTGGGTCATAGTTTTGCAATTGCTTGAGCATGCTTGGCAAATATTGTTCCATGGTCAATCTTTGATATTTACCAGTAATGACGAAAGAGTTGGAGTGGACAGCAGCCTCAACCTTTGGTGTTTGTACTACAGTGATAGTACCATCATCCATGAGCATGGATACTTCCATAACCTCTGGAATGTTGGTCATTCTCCACTTATTAACAATGTTTCTTATTTTACCCTCGTTTTGAGATGTCTTCTTCACAACCTTGTGCTTTCTTCTCATACCACCAGCAATGACCACTTCCTTGGCAGTCTTCTTGAGTTGCTCAAGCTTAGCTTGATTAACTTCAAACTTGTACTTTTCCTTACCAGTCTTCTTTGGTTGAGTTGATGTTGGTTGTTGTTCGACGGCAGTATCAGACATGATGATTTTGGCTTGATGAAATTGTTATGGCTGTGATAGGGTGTCCTGCAGCAAATCGATGTATTTTTTTGCAAACACTTTTTTGTCCCTGGCTTTTAAATATTTTACAATGGAAATTTTTTTGAGCCAAAGCCTGGCAATCCAAAGAACGTTCTTCTGTTCTCGTTGAGAAGATTGATATGGTTTCGTTGTTGAAGACAGTTGCAGTACTTCAAGGAGGAACCCTTTGCAAGCACCTTGAATTTAGATAATTTATCTTTGTGAAAATAAACGATCAACAGTCTGAAAATAAACCGTGCACCCAAAGAATATCCTCCCATTGCCAAATTAATGTATTTACTAAATTACACATGTTACTTAATGTAAGAGACTCCTTGTATTCCACAAATATTCTTACTCTATTCAAATCCAATCTCTTCAAGAAGCAAATGACTGATGAGAGTAAAACGCTCAATCGTGTGAAGAGATAGATACTCAGTTCAGACTTTATTTTGGCTCTCTTCAATTACTGGAGGTTTGAGGGTGAAGCAATGAGATCATTCTCTGAAGGTACTGATGGTATTCCCATAGAATTGTTTTCAGGAATTGAGCTTTGAGAGGTAATAGGTGTGACCATTGTTGATGACGACTCTACAAAATCTTGATTTCCATTCGAAGGTGATGCATTCTTGTTGTTACCCTTGGTCACTAAGTTTTGAGACGCCTCCACTTCTATATCAGAAAGCATTAAATTGTAATCTGCTTGTAGCGCCTTTTTCTGTATTTCAAAATATCGTTCTGTAATTTGTCGTTTTTCTTCTCGTATTTTGTCAAGAGTTTCATAGAGCATTTCAAGTTGTTCATCCTCTTTAACCTTAATGTAGCGTTTTTGAGTTTGTGTATCAAAATACTTGTATGTTCCAGCTCCGTCATTATATTCCCAAATAATTGTTGATTGAGGTTCAGAAATTGTAGTACTTTGTTGGCTTGCAGCAGTGTGAGCGCTGGCAGGAAATGCCATGCTACTATTGAATGATGAACTATAGTTGCTTACGGTACCACTAGAAGAACCGCTCATCATGTTACTTCGTGTTGACATACTACTGTTGGGTGTTGAGGGAGGTTGAGATGAGACAGTGGATGGAAATGCATTTTGTTGTGACATGTAGTTGCTGCTACTACTACCACTTATTGCTGAGCTTGGTTGCTTGTAAGGAAGCTTGGCTGGTGAAGGTGAGGCCTTATAATTAGTAGCTTGTGAAGAATTGTATCGATTTGTAGTATCCACATAGAGCTGGTTTTTTGGAGAAGAAAGTTGATAATTTGAGTTTGGAGGATAGTTATTGCTTGTGGCCGTTCCTGCATTACCAGTTGTGCTGACGCCTTGTGAGGAAGAAGATACAGCCGATACTGTCGATGCTGTTTGGGAATAATTATTGGATGACGAGTTTGGATATGGAGATGAACTATTGTGCTTGGGATAGTATGAATAATTATTGCTGTAATTGTCGCTTCTGTATGAATTTGAGCTCCATCCTCCTTGTTTCATGTTGTTGTAATATTCAGAGCTGCTTGAAGTTGTTGACCCAGGAGCGTTTCTATTGCCATTATCGTAGGAATTGCTGTTGCTGTAGTAGGTTGGCTTGGTCGGAGAGGCATATCTCATAGAATCTTGAGGAGGGTAGGAGCTCCTTGTACTGCCATCACCATAATAATCTCTACTCCCTCCTCTCGAAGGGTAAGTATTGGGATATGGTCTCCGAATGTCTCCACTAGTGGGCTGTTGATATGAAGAATCATACGGCTGTTGCTGTTGAGAGGAGGGAGTGCCAGCCGAAACATAAGGAGGAGATTGAGTGTTAGCTCTGGTAGGAATAGGTTCCTCTTCGTCAATCATTGCATTTGCATCCGTAGCAGACGAAGGTGGTGGAGGTGGAACGCTGTTAAAGTTTTGCCGTGATGAGGATGGAGGAGATGGATATCGATAATCGGAACCAAGCGACGACTCGTTATTCCTATATGCAGATGAGGAGGATGCATACTTATCAGGATACGATGTTGATGGTGGTGAAAGTGTGGCTGGCATCTCGGATGGTGGCGGAGGCTCCATGGCTGATTGTTGCTTGACAACAGGTGGAGGCACCTGTCCATCATTGGATCTATATGTTGATGTTGGAGGAGGATTGTAATAATGTCCACTATTACCAGTATTGTAATAATTATTGTACTTGCTGTAACCTCCTGATTTACGGTGTGAATAGTAAGGGGGAGCTCCTCCTCTGCTGTAAGATGTCATGTCATCATTTCGGTATTGAGGATGATGGTCATAATATGAATCATACTTTCTGTTATAATTGTAAGAATTGTCTGGATATGAATGGTAAGACATTTGGTCATTTGTCGATCCAAATCTTCTTGAATATCCATACGATGAAGAACTAGAGTTTGGTGTGGATGTTGATGGAGAGTTCAAATTGCTGGGAGAAGAATTGATGAAATTCGAAGAGGGTGTATCAATTTTGTTTGGTGTAGATGGAGCATTGGTTGAAGGTGGAGTTGTGGATGAAGAAGGGACAATATTCTCAGTTGGCAAAGATGACGAAGATGGAGGCGGAGGTGGTGGAGGATGATGTCCAGCATTTGTAGTCTCATTATACGAAGAAGTATGATAATGCTGTGGTCCATATGAGCCTCTATTATAATTGTTGTTGTAATAATTATTATAATTCCTAGAGTATCCACCGCCTTGATGATGATAATACGGAGAATTTCCGTGATGATGATGTGTTCCATACGAATTATACGTTCCGTAATTTCTTTTAGGAGGATAGCTGGTCATTGGCGGTTGGGAGGACGTGTTCATCATGGGTGGTGGAGGTTGAGAGTTCATCGGAGTGGAAGATGAAGGTGGAGTCATTTTTTTGATTGTTTTCACAACGTTGGGTTCGGATTGTGCCAGATATTGAGACTTGCACAATCCGAGACTTGAATGAACTTATCTCGAAAGAAATCCGTTAATCTTGATCAAAGAAAGGACTTGGAAATCATTGTTAGTGGGATAACAACGTTCAGTCAACCAAAAAAAAATTATTTGTTGCATTATAATAACACCTTTTACTCACCACGCAAGATTTTTTCATGCTAGGAGCACCCTTCGGAGAGGCTTGATTCGCGATCATATTCCGCAAAAAACATACATTCCGAATCTGTTGGTGTATATTGAATCTACATCAACAATAATCAATCACGAGTTGACTCAAAAAAATTAAATCATGAACGACGAGGACAAACATGGAGCATCATCAGCTTCAACAACACCCATATCATCAGAATCTTCTCAAAGAATTGCATCACCAATCATCATTACGGTGAATCAACCAAATGATTTATTATCAACCAATACTACGGAAAAAACATCTAGCATTTACTTGAAAGAAGAAATGGTATCCTCGAGCGATGCATTGATTACGAAGGATCTTCCTTCTAGCAATGAAAATTCATGCATTGTGTTGGAGACAAACAATCATCATGATGTACTGACTGTGCCTGTGCCTGTATCTTTATCACCCTCTTCGTTCTCACCTCTTTCACTTTCTTTCTCACATCATAAAACCATGAAAAGAACTGTCAAAATATATGATGCTGACACACCTCGTAATGAAAGTGGTATTTCACTCAATCAAGGCGGTTCTGATGGAGGCGGTGCAGTATTGAGTCATGTTGGTACTCCAGAAACAACTATTTCTCATGCAAATCCAATGGTTTTCAGGTCTGTCAGCGACATTCATTCGGATCGAACTGGCTCGCCCAATTTTGTCAAGAATTTAAAATTTGTAAAGAATTTGAAGGAGAGAAAATATATTTTCTTTGGGCCTGTAAAGGAAGATCATGGAGACAAACATGCAATGCCGTAAGTTGATTTCTGAGTGCTGAAATCAAACGAATATTTTGACATTTTATGGAATGAATGGATGCAATTGTGGTACTTGAAATATTTAGTCCAAGTGTTTCTTTCTTTGACGTAGAAAAACCAAAGAAATCGAAAAAGACCACAAAAATTACTAAAGTATTATTAAGCAGATGTTACAAGCTGTCCATCATTGGATTAATATTTTTCACTCTAGTTTTAATTGTTTTATTTGCAGTTGCGATGGACAACAGTACGTCACAAAACGGATTCTTTACAAGCGGATCTCCAACTACCATCATATGGATGAGTATAATACATGCTAGTTTATGCATTACCATTTTATTTGATTTATTTGTACCCTTATTAATACTGAGGCTTTACAAACGAATTGTGAAATGCATGTGGAAAGACGTAAAGGATGAGAAACAACTGAACATTGACGGATATTTTGTTTCTCTTGTCATTCGAGCTATATGGTCCTTAATGATAGCAGTCGTTGGATTTATTAACTGGATTTGTTATGGTCTCTATTACGAGAGCAGAGACCGAATTGCAGGCTATATTTCCTTTTTTACGATACTCACTCCCATTTCATACATTTCCATGGCATATCATCAATATGTGCGATTCAGAAAGCACAATATTTTAATTTTCGAGTTCAAGGATAGCATCGACAATGTTAAAATCGATCGAATGCACAAGCGAACGCGATTATGTTGTCGAGTTGGATTCATGTTGAAACTTGTGTGCTATTTACTCATGACAGCCATATATGCTGTATTGATACTAATGACAATACAGGCTGTTTCGATAGCACAGGACGAGCTCAAATACCCAGGAAAATTAATAACAGTGACTTCAAAGAAACAACCTTTCGATTTGCACTTGTATTGTGAAGGTCGAGAGGATAGAGACGATGTCGTACTCATGGATGCAGACGTTGGTGTAGCTTCTCCTTATGCCTATTACAAACCATTACTTTCATTACTTGCCAACAGTGGAATGCGAGCATGTGTCATCGAACGGGCTGGTTATGGCTTCTCAGATTCAGGCGCTTTCCCGAGAGATTTGGGCAACAACACGGCAGCAGAAATGGTCTCTCTCATCAAGTCTTCCTTAAATACTCCAATTGTTTTGATTTCACATTCTGCAGCATCATTCACAGCTCGAGTCATGATGCATTATTATCCCAAATTATTGAGAGGTGTCGTATTGGTACATCCAGCTCATGAAAACCAAGATGAGCTCTATTTTAAAGGTCAAGTATATAACATGACAATGGGTGAGTATGAGCTTTTGAAACGGCAAAAGCTATCTTCCAATAATTGGATTCGTTTTGTGACACCCCTTGCACTCACTCGTCTATTTCCACAACATTTCCATGCCAATTTCATTTTGACACAGGATGACATTTTTGAACTGCACTATTTGAACGGATGGAAAACCTATTTTTCAGTATCCAACATGTCCCTCATTTATCAATACACACAGCATACCATCCATTTGAATAAGTACAGCAATGTAGTATGGAGTGAATTGAACAGTTTTTCTTCCATTTCACAAATGATGAATGACCTTCGAGGAGGAAATTTCTCGCTCTTCCATTTCAATTCTTCACGACCATTCTCAATGAGTATTTTAACGAGTCAACATGTATTGAATGGCACCTGTGAAGACAATAATTTGGATGCTTCTTCAAACCTTTGCAAAACCTTTCTTGCGTATCAATCCAAGAGACAAGACTTTCTTCTTTCCATGCATTCGGATTTGGCAAATTATTACAAAAATTATTTATTGGAATGGTCGCTTATTCCAGGTAATTATGATGTCATTTTGACCAATCCTTCTGTAGTGGCACAACATGTGATTAAGCTTATGGTTCACACCAAGCCGTGATTATTGAATAATTTGACCATATTATGTGACAATATGCGAATCAAGAATGGTCTTAAAGAAGCCTTAAATGAAATACAAATGTTTTGAATTTGACCAAAAATCAATGACCTTTTTTTCATGACCAACCATTGATATTGGACAAAAAATTACAATCAACAAGAGCTCTTGTTGAATAATTATCATGATTCCCTTATTTCCACTACTGACAGTTATTGTGAACAAAGAACTTGACACGAAATCTTTCCTGTGTGTGAATCTAAATTATAAAAAAAATGTCTTCATGGGCAGACCTACTTCGAGGCTCCAGTAGCAATCCAAGTAGTCATTCTGCAAGCTCATCCAGCAGCAACAAGTTTACTTCCATTTCAGCTGCTTGTACAACCATTGGGTCACCTCAACAACCGAAATTGACTTCCGTGAAGCAAACTTCCAAAACATTTGTTTCCATTCCTGCTGCTAGCACAAGCAACCAGAATATTCATCCGAATCCGAACCAAAATAACATGGCCTCTTCTTCTTTGGTAATGACATCATCATCACTGCCCGCAACAACAACAAGTGTCGTCTCACTTTCCACACTCAAGCAACAATGGAAAATGGAACAATTGAATTTAAAAAAACAATTGAAATTGTACAATGAAACGAGTTTTGATCCAACTCGTCTCTCGACCACATTGAAATATATTGGAGGAGTGGATATTAGTTTTAATTCGGTGGATCCTAATCAAGCAGTGGCATCGTTGGTGGTTTTATCATTTCCAGATTTGAAAGTGATTTATGAAAATTATCATCATGTGACCATGACTGTGCCGTATATTGCTGGCTTTTTGGGATTTCGAGAAGTTCCACACTATGTGAAATTACTCGATGAATTGAAACGAACACAGCCACAGATTTTCCCTCAAGTCATTCTCGTGGATGGAAATGGAATTTTACATCAACGTGGATTTGGCAGTGCATGTCATTTGGGAGTCATTGCCAATGTTCCAACTATTGGTGTTGCAAAAAAGATGCTCTATGTAGATGGTATTACAGAGGAACAAGTTCAAGAATTGGATGAAAATGAATTGGAACGAAAAGGAGATTATGCGTATCTGACTGGAAAATTTGGAAATGATTTGGGAGTAATGTTATTGACTTCAGATGTGTATCATGAACCTGTGTATGTGAGTATTGGTCATTGTGTCTCGTTGACAACGGCTATTGAGATTGTGACCATGTGTTGCATTGATAAAATTCCAGAACCTATCAAACAAGCAGATTTGAGAAGTAGAAAGATTGCCAAGAATTATGACATGAACAAGACAAAATTCAACAATCGATCTAACACAAATACAAAGGGACAAGATAGACTTCATGATAATGGTTCACAGTATGGACGTCAACAGCAGCCCACTAAGAAAAAAAAGCACTAAATAATCATTAGAAGGCGTGTTGTAAAGACATGGCAGTCCAATGAGCTCAAAATTCTCCAAAACTATGAGACAAGTTTATCTAGACCCTTTTCCAATTGCATGTACAATAATTGATGATAGCCTGGTATTGCAGTGGGATCTGGTTTTGAAATTTCATCATACGTTTCTTGTGGCATGCACTTTTTTGCAGTTTCAAACCAATAATTGAGAGCAGGATTTTCCTGTAAGACTTCCTTAGATAACTTGTCTAATTCTCCAATTTTTCTGGCGTGCAGCTGACCTAACCTGTACATGCACATACTTTCCATGACTTTGAACCTCCAAACTTGTTGCGGAGTTTTGTAACATTTTTCTGATGCATTTGAAGACTCTTCGATGCATCTTCGAATACTTTTCTCAGCTTCTGTATATATTCCTTCAGCATATAAAGTTTCTGAATATCGAAATAATAAATCGAATGCATTCACTCCCACACAAAAACTGGACAGTAATGTATTTTCAAACAGCGGATCAATTTGTCCTGTACTATTCTTATAAAATTGCAAAATTTCTTCATACTCTTCTGAATGTTGACCTAATAGCTCATGTTTGTAGAAATTTTGTGTCGTAAAAAACAAGTTTACAAGTTGATTTTGTAATAATAAGGCTTGATGAATTGGTATGCCGGCTGTAAAAGTTGTTCTCTCTTTTTTCGGAGGATTTAAACATGCTAATTTCATTGTTTCTGTCGTATAAAATCCCAATTGATATCCAAATATTGATAACTTTAAAAATCCCAATTTCGGATATAATTGTTTCTCTAGAGGCATTGTTTGCTTTTCGTGTTGAAATCGACTATTAAATTCTTTCATTTGAGAATTAAATTGTTGAACTTGATTGAGTAATAGCGGAAGCTTTGTTTGTGGATGACCCACATGCACTCGCAACAATTTATCACAATTTCCGTACGTCCTATTCAAAAGTTCTTGCATGGAAGCAGCGATTAGAGAGGATGCAGCAGCAAACTTTTTCGCCATTTTTTTTTGTTTTTGAAAGAAACAAAACTACACTTGGCCAAGAAATGAAAATAATACGTCCATGTTTCATTAATGGGATTTGAAAAAGGGATCTTTTATTATAAGTTCCCGAATAATTGATCAATGAATTTAATTTAAATTCAAAATAATTGTTGAAAAAAATTCAGCACCTCTCCATCTTGCTCAATTCCTTTCATCACAAAAGTTGTTTCATCATCACATTTAGGTATTTTGGATCTCATTTCTAGATTCCGTTTTTGAGTGTACACATACATATTCAACACAACAACTAAATAATCAATTTAACAATTCATGAAAAGAAAGCTTTCAGCTTCCGAAGGTACTGCTCCTATCAACAACTCCGAAGAAATGAAAAAGCAAAAGAAAACAACTGCTTCTACATCACCATTGAAAAGAACTCCCGAGGAGGAAAAGGCTCATCAGGAATATTTGGAAAAACTCAATATTATGGATCATTTGAATGCCGAGTACAGCTCTCCAGAAGGCATCCAAAAGTGTAAGCAAGCCTTCAAAGAGAATAAGCCATTCCCTCATTTGAACTTGAAGAACTTTTTCAATAGCGTTGAATTTATGAAAGATGTAAAACAAGAAACTCTCTCGCTTAAATATTGGGAAAAGAATAATGACTTGTATCATTTCTATCAGACAAAAGATCTTCAAAAGAATGCAATTGTTGAACAAAATGAACACATTCGTAAATTGAGAGATGTTCTCTACAGTCCAAGTTTTAGAGGATGGCTTGAGGAAGTGTGCTCTTTGAAGGAACGCGGAATTGTATTGAATCCAACAATTGATATGTTTGTGTCGTGTTATAGAGATACTCATCATCTATTGTGCCACGATGATGAATTGGAAAAGAGAAGAATTGCCTATATTATATATTTGGTTCCTGAAAATTGGAGTGAGGCTGATGGAGGTCATTTGGATCTCTATAATTGCGATCCTAATCAAATGGATCAGCCAGTGAGTATTGGTGGCTCTATTCTTCCATCGTTCAATTCAATCTCCTTCTTTGAGGTTTCTACAATTTCCTATCACAGAGTCCGTGAAGTATTGAGAAGTGTGGATCTTGAAGAGGATCGTATTGCTATTACTGGATGGCTTTATAGTGACACTCTTGTCGAGAGACCCGATTATACCATCGAAGATATTGCCCCATTGAAATATGAAGCTCCAACTACGGTTGCCGAAGATCTTGCCTCTAAGCCAGCACATATGGATTTAGCTTACTGGCTTTCTGAGCCCTATTTGAAGGACAATATTAGAGAGGCAGTCAATAAGCAATTTTGTGACGAGTCATCTATTGAGCTCAGAAAGTTTTTGAGTGAGGAAAAATTCAACAAACTCTATGAGGAAATTAAGGCATTACAAAATGATCAACATTTTGAGTTGACTATTCCTGCAAATAGAAGACACTTTTTGAGATTGAAAAAGGATACTCTCGACAGTAATTCTCTGTTGGCCAAGTTCTATGAATTTGTCTCTTCTCAAATCTTCACCTCATACATGAGTGAATTAACATCCTTGCCAATTAAGAATATTAATTTACAGGCAAGAAAGTTCAGGAATGGTGACTATGCTCTCGTTCAAAACACACCAACCAATGAGGTTCGTCTCGATGTTTTGATTCGATTATGCCCAGATCATTGGGACTTTGAATATGGAGGTGGTGTCACTTACATGGACGAGGAAGAGGAGTTGTTAGCTATTTTACCTGAACCAAACACAATTTCCATTGTTTTACGTGATGAGGGTGTTCAAACCTTTGTGAAATTTTTGACACATCATGCTCCAGGTGATGTGTATGACTTCTTACTGACTTGTGAAACTGAGATTCCAGTGGCAAGTGAGGGTGATGAGGGCTCATGGGAAGATGCTGATGACGATGCCGAAGGTGAGAATGAGGAAGAGAACGAGGAAACTGTTGACTAATAAATCTAACTTGAGTCATAGGACTAATGAATTTGAAAACCATTTTCAGTTGTGTCTTTTGGTAAATCCACTGCCACTTGGATTAATTAATGTCACTCCTCAACAATGCATAATAAACGACATCATGAAACTTGTTATGATAAAATTCATGTTCTCGCAAATAACCTTCCTTCGTGCACTGTAATTTTTCACACAATTTACAACTTCTCGTATTCTCAGCATCAACCTTAAAAATTATTTTGTGTACATAACTATTGATGACAGGGCCGTGTGTTTCATTGCACGCCATCGAAGTGGTACTTGTTGTCGATATAGGAGCACTTGTTTGAAATAAATCTCGACAAAATTGTCTCACTGCTCGAATGGCAATTCCCTTCGATTGAAATTCTTGGCCAATCCAATACCCAACTTCACAATTACAATTGCTCGGATTAAAATTTTGAATGGCCACTAATCCTGCCATTTCATTCCGATACCAAATGGCAGCTGTCAACATGATGTGTTGAGGAATAAACTGATTATATCGTTGATTACATGTATCGATGAAATTGCTAATACTTCGCTTGTCATTCCCAGCCAATGTAATGGTAGGAATAAATTCATGAAGAAATGTCAAATTTCTACGAGTCAGTTCAAAAAGAGTGTCGACATCATCATTGCAATGATCTGAAATTTGTAAATTTTCATCGATCATTCCAACAGTGTGATTGTTGAGTGGTGTAAATAGTTGATTGACTTGATTGTTGGTTTGTTGTGACACTAAATTACACAAAACCACTTCATCATCAACTCTCCGAAAATAGTAATGAATTTTTGGATGATACATTTTGAAAGTAGTTGGCAAGCTTGTAAGAGTTGTCGATGGTTGATCATTGCCGTACGTGGTGGTAGTGTTAAACACGTCCGAAAAAAAGCCCATTTTTTTTAATGATTTTTTATTTCTAAAATGGCGTTTGACGTGTTCATGGTGCATTCAATTCCCAAGACAGGAATTCTATTAAGAGAAATGATGCTCATTCCACACGACTGCATGCACCTTATTGAAATTCTTCAGCATTAGAATTTACAAAATGAATTTCCTTTCCTTGCTGTTTCGAATGTTCCATCATAATCTCATCGAACACATTTGGTCCAAATCGAACACGATATCGACTCGTATTATTGTTGTCATTCACTACGGAAGTGAGTTCATTGTTCTGACACAAAATCGTTTGGGGAGAATTCTTTCGTTTCGTTTTGGAACCAAAACTTTTCGCAATTTTTCGTCGGTTTTTCGTTGACAATTCTCCCGCCTTAATCAATGAAGGTTTCTTCTTTGAGGGAGCAATTTTCATGGATCGTTTTGGACTTAGAAAATGATGTTCCTCATCGAAATAATATGTAAATCGTAGAGGGGCGTGATGAATGTTGGTACATGTACGACAAGAATTGGACGAATGGCAAGAGGTTGTTGTTGGTACAAGGGACGAACCGGATGTTGAACAAGTGTCCATCATCATGAACGGATTAGAAGAAGACGAAGGGCATGAAGGAGGACTTGAGGTGCATGACGACGTCGTTGAGGATCCTTCTGTGGTGTTCGAGGCCTCGTTGGATGAATTGGATTTATCTGAACAATTCATGATGTCTTGAGAAGTGTTTCGAATCTTGTCAAATGAAGCATGTGGTGTTGTGGAATGAGTGTCCATAAAAGGAATTGCATTAGTACGGATCGAGGCGTCGTGCGACAACATGATGGCATTTGTTCCTTGTTGTAGACCCAAAGATGACGACATGGAATTTGTATTGAAAATGCTCCATGTCAATCCCAACTCGGATGGGACATCTTTGAGAGCAAGATCAATCAAGGCGCAAAGATCTTGTGATCGATTATTGTGATTTTCTTGTATCGAATAATAGTAATCTTGATTCCACGTCATGCATGAATCCAATTCGAATGGTGGTAATCCTAAATATTGTCCTTGTTGGAGTGGTGTTGGTAGTACGTTCGTTTCAAAGCTCGAGTTGCTCGTCGTTGGAAATTGGAAAGAATTCATGGAGAGTCTTTTTTTTGATGAATGGCAGTAAGAGAGTGTTTGGAATGAGGATGTCTCGTGAAAGTTGGACATGTCTGAATTCACGACGACATGATCTCTACGATCTAGCCCGGATGTTGAATGGGGATGTAATAATGCTACAAGGTTGTTTGGGGATTCAAAGTTGCCATTTTTAGTGTTTGATGGTTGGCAGGGTGGTTCATGATAAGTTGCATGATAGATCTGAGTATTCGTATCGTTTCGAAAAGGGCCATTGCAGGGTGACAATTCACGACTCCCAAATGCCAGTTGTCTTGACATTTTCTCAAAGATGAAATTTTAGAAAATCGTTAGTCAACTTTTAGAAATTTAAATTGTTAAGTTGCGGTTCGGAAATCAAAAGACACTCTTACACAGTCTTTTGATGTTGTGCTTTTTGTTTTTTTAATATTCAATGAACCCTTTCTTTATCATCGCAACTCCACGAATGGTGACGGAGGAGCAATGACCTTCGCGTTAATAGCTCTTCATCGTGCTTGCCTATCCGATATCATGTATACAGTAGGCGCTGCATTTCCATTCTTTCCAGGTCAGATTCGAGAGGATGTTTTTTCTCTTGTTAAAAACAATAAAATATTTCCAAAAATAAATGCTCATCATGTGCGAAAGAGAGAATTCACTTTGCTGACTTCGCATTTTCAAAACCTTTGATTTTTGGAGAGAGATAGACCCTTTTTAAATTGTGCAGGATATGAGAATGGTTATCATATCTTGGTACGATCATAATCATCAAAAGCATATGGTTGTCTGAGAAATTACAGGATCGGTTGTTGTTTTTTTACGGTTGAAAAAATGAATTGAGGAGAGCCTCAATTATGTAGATGATTCAATGTTCTCAGTTTCTCTTAGACCTGAGGTAGTAGTTGATAGAGTGCTCGAAAATATGAGGATAATCCCTGCGCAAGGAGGATGGAGGGAGTCAAAGGATCCGACGTTTCGCTCATTTCAAGATAGTACCATGAATGTCGGATACCTCTTGTGGTGATGCGAGGACAATTCGCTTTTGATTCAGGTACAGATTTGAAAGCTTTTATTACGACGTAATCTTCGGGAATTTAATTGACCCATTTTGTGTGGGACGTTGGCAAATTCAAAATAGCTCCATGATTCCTTGAATTGATTTAATGACAATCTTCCTCATACGTTGGAACAAAATGTAATTTCTTTGCATGATTGGTTGGTTCTGAGAAGGAGTTGTACTCCCTCATCAGTTCGTCGAATGTATTTGGCCCAAAACGTATACCTAGGGCTTTTTGAATATTACAAGGGGATTTCTTTTTGATTTTGTTGTCCAAACCTATAACCTCACCACTCTTTCGCTGCAATGAGAGTGTATGTTCAACTTCGTCCAATCTGTTTTGTGATTGTGGATTGTACAATTTTTTGGGTCCTCATTAACTATCAGTGAGAGGTTGTGGGATGAGTGACAACGAGATCGTTTACGGCTTAAATACGAATTCTTTGCATCGAAATAATACGTGAAACGACCTAGTCTCCCTTTTTGCTGCTGTTTGCGATTCACACATATCTGTGGATCGAGAAGAATAAGTGAAGGCACTCAACGAGGGAGAGTGACTTGTGTTGGTGTAGCAGCTGTCACATGACCTTGTTTCTTCGATCTTCGTTGTGGTTGTCAGCACACTCCAAATTAATCCCAGCTCGGAATGAACATCTTTCAATGCCACATCAATTAGAAAACTCATTTGTTGATAGTATTCGCTGGTGTTCATCGTGTAACTATTTCCTGAATGGCTCTGACCAAAGTACACTCAGTTCAATACATGAGGTTGGTGTTTGTTTTTCTTTGAGAGAATATTAAAATTGTCGCTTAGCGAAAAAAGAATTGAATAACGGTACATTCATGGTTTGGACTGTTACTGACCCGACAAACCCTCCCGAAATATTGTGAACTTGGACGGAAAAGCAATCCGTTCATCAGGGGCATACGACCTTTTTCAAAATTTTTCAATTTTTAAGTTCAAAACAACGAAAGATTACAATTACTAATTTATTGGAGATAGTCTTCAAAGTGTGGAACGAAATTGACGAAACGAACTGTATTCCTTCCATCCACTTGATTCTCGTACTTGATAGCTTCATATTGATTAGAACTAAAACGAAGTGACCTCTTGTGCTGTTTCTTTTTTCCATTGTTAGGTTTTTGAATTTTGCCTCTAACTTGGTGAAGGCTGTTGTCCTTTCTACAAG